CCATGCTTGAACAAGGCATCATGGCACGTCCCAAAGCTCAGCATGGATCATCTGACGCTGCGATGTACATACGCCGGAGGAGGGATGCAAATAAGACAGAAACTCTCTACGTTGACTGTACCATCGTAGGCGCCAGTTCTGCGGGGGAGACTTAGCACAGTTATGGAAAATGCTGCATCATTTGCCTGGTTAGCCTGCTCCGATGGAGACCCCTTGGAGCCCGACCGCAGGCGGATGGCCCCCGCATCAGTGACGAGATCCCCGCGATGACGATCCAGACAATCGACCTCAAGTTCAGACACTCTCGCTATAGAGATGCAGGACCGCGTCCATGGCTGTGCTAACATGGGCTTCTCCTCTCCTAGTAGTAGCAGCATACCACGCGCGATCCCCTTGCCATGATCCCTGGGCCTGGGTAGACATGGCCTAGTGCCTAGCCCTCCACTATACAAAGCTCTGTTACCTTGCCAAGATCATGCAGGATAAACGGGTGTTTGCTTGGCTGGATAATCCTACCACACCCCCCCCACAACCCCCCCAGCGCGTGATCATCTTCTGCCAGTACCCTCTGACCATCTGGCTGGTTAAAATATTCCTCGACGCCCTCTGTGTTTCATTCATCTCGCTCAAGTTATCAATGACGGCTGATTAACGGGCGAAGAACGCGGACCTGTTTAATAACCCAAACGCGAGCGGTTCCGCGCTGGTGACGAACTTCGCCGTGGGCGCACTCGGCATCAACATCCATGACGTCTGCGGCCTGGCGGTGATGATGGAGGCCGCCGTCATCGTGTGCACGCTGTTGCAGGCGATCGGGCGTCTCCATCGGATCGCAAGTGCTTCTAATCTCGCCCTAGTAAAGCCAGACCAGGGAGAGCGGACGCCAGGTGGAAACCCGCCGCTTGTTTTGCCTCGACGCCAAACAATATCATAGTCTCATCTGCGATGCGGGCCTGGTGACATAGCGCGCCGGCAAGCACAACCTCTTTGATGATTTTGCTGTGCTTCCGACCCTTGTCCAGTCCAACGCTGAGCCATGATATCGGTAAACGAACGCCTCATCTGACTTGGCAAAGGTAGCTCCCCCTTCTGTGACTCAGAGGTTGGTGCCTTTGACTCCTGCTAGTCGCCTTGCGCCTGGCGTGAAACATCTTTGCAGCACCATGAGGTCGTGGCTGGAAGACCCCCTAGTTTCATGAAATTTTTGGGGGACAGGACATGATTAGACTCAACATCGTCTTGATTCCATGAATAAAACAAATTAGATTTAGCCAATGGTTCTCTGCAGAAGCTACATTAGCCCGGGAAATAGCGAGCAAGGGTGAGACAAGTGGCTGCGGGTGCTCAACTGTTTTACGGCGGAGAGACTGCCCAAGAGATGATAGACATGCACTCACTGCATGGTTCATTCGCTGGATGGCCTATGCTGTATGTCACCATCACACTCATCAGCATAAATGGAATCGCGGTGGACTACATTCCCTCTGTAAATCAGTCGGGACATGCACCATCAGGCGCGTCGATGATTGCTCGAACACGACAGAAGCGCCGAAAATATCCCCTGGCCGATAACGGCGAATCACGCCAAGGACCATCTTCGATCTGATCATAATCACGGGCATCGACGAAGCCCGCACCTAGACTGGGGCCCGATGGAGATCGTAAAACTCAAACACGAGAAACCACTGCGCTGCAAAGTCACAGCCCTAGACGGAACCCACGCGTTGTCGGGAAAAGCAGACTACTGCGTTGGATACACTGATGACAAGCAAGGCAAGCGGCTGCTAAGGGTGCATTGATATGGCCCGAGCGGCGTACCCGGCTGATCCCTGTATGGGCGACAGAAATATGCGGGCTGTGGACATGTACAATAAGATGCTCTTATTCAGAGCGCTAACCGTGAGATGGACCATGGCGAGGCGTGGAGACTGGTCGCAGAGTGTTGCTCTGCGAATTGCTCAGCAGATCTTGATGCGGCCAGTTGAGGGATCAGCCTAGCCCTGGAGCTTCGATGCACGATGCAGATACCTGAAGTATGTTTTCGATAGGACATTAATGTCACGCTAGAGCAGAGCAAGCCGACGATCTCGCCACTGTTTTGCGGAATGTTACAGTGAACGCACACCCCCTCCCATAGAATGGTGAGAGGACAGTGGCAGAGACAGCTTTGTCCGTGGACTGTATAACTGGCACAGCGTCCCCTACTATGACTGAGCGGCACGTTGGAGTTATTACTGCCACTATCGCCCGGGGCCTCCTCTTTCTGCACTAACAACCAGTCTTCAATCTACCCCTCGCTTCACCTTTGCTCCTGCTATTCGAAAAGCGGATACCATCAGCCCGAATTGTGCTCGCATCTGCAAGGCTTGTATTGGGACTGATAGAGAGTATCCGTCGTTCGACAACGGTATGTCTGTCCGGGGAAGGTCAGTCGGCTGCGAATAATATTAGTTCAGAATCCATGCAGGCTACGTAATGCCATTTCGGTGACATGCGAGATAATGTCGCCGGGTGCGGGCGTTGGGGCAAGTTCGTCAGGGGCGTTGAGAAGTGTTGATAAATTGAGCTGTTCCCAGCAGACGCCTTCTTCACCGGGTTCGGGGTTTCCTGTCATAACATGATGTTAGACTCAGAGCATGACCCCAGCGGTAAGGGCTGGCTGCCATGTCCTGCTATACTGCCTCGTCAAATCCACGAACAGCTGGAAATTGTCGAAAGTGGGATGCATTGCCCGGGCTAGACCTGCCTATGCTCCCGTTCTTTTCAGGTATATGTCGTCGATATTCCAGCAGCCAGAACTGATCTCAATGAAGGTTCCATCGGAGTTTCTCTCGCCCAAGTCTCCTTCTTTCTGGGCCCATATTTTATGTTTGTTGCAAAGATACAATAAAGCCCTGTTTCGAAGATGAGAATCACGAACCTGTTCGAGCTTGCCCAAGCATGTGTAATTCTATTTCAGCCCTGGCTAGGTTCTTATTCTACTTCAGGCCATGGCCCCCTGACCTGCCCTAGGGCTGGTGAGCAATGTTGGCAAGTACTGCAACCGGCAAGAAATATCCTGATACCAAGACGCGTCTGACAAGAATTGAAAAGGGCAAGAAAGTCTATGCTGGGTCGGTTGGCAGTGCCACATGAACGCTACATATCCCCTATGAAGGGTGACAACCCATTTGCAACTTGGGGGCATAGTGGGCCATCCCGGTGGCCCCTGTACGACTTGGCACCCGCAAATATGCGGCACCAACGCTTTTGCACTGGAGTCCGATGACTCTCCCTATGATTCCGGTCGCCTTAGAGCCAGATATGTACCGGAAAGTTTTCATACTCCGGCTGTAGCAGAGGCCGCCCATACCTATCCAGGAGCTTGCATGTCACAGTTAACTACCACTGACCGATTAAGATGGTCATGGCTCTGCTATAGAATGCGCGTTGGAATGATTGTTTGGGCTCTAGTTAGTGGCAAAACCACAACTTCAAAGACACACCATCCGTGTGTAAGGGGGTAGTGCTAGTAAGTGGGTATTGAATTGCCCCTTTGACTGGCAGACGTCCAGGACGTGTAGGGCCTTTACTCTGCCCTTGACCTCTTGAAATCTCCCATTGGCGGCGATCCCGAGGGCTTATATCGATGCACTTGTCGTGTTCGCAGGTGCGCTACAAGCAACTCCTGGTACACAAGATGAAGTAGTAGGACAAGAGACTGGCTATCCAACGTTTACGTGAGTTCATCGCCGGCAGCTGGCCTGGGATATTTCAAAGGTAGCCAGAAATGGGGGCGAGGACTACAGTCTGGCATTAACCCCGATGATCAAGAATGGCATTAGCAGTCAGAAATACTTGACCAGTTGGATCCAATGTTACCCGTGTGATGGCTGCGAGTTGGTACCTCCATCGCCGCTGATCGGCATCGACCCCAGAAACACCTTAAGGGTCGGCCCTGTGTCCCGATTGACCTGCCAGTTGGTGGGCCCGCCTTTGACATGTACGTATAGGTCAGTCTCCAGGCTTCAGTTCGTAACAACAGTCCTGCTGGCTCATGCCTCTCTCGACCATGCCCATGAAATGGCCAAAATCCGACACGATGGTGCCGGGTGCGTTCCAGTTGATCAATCATATCGCATCCAAGCAGAATAGGTATATCAGCATTCCGTTCCAAGCGCGCCCAAGGGCACTCTTTGGGTACCGCCGCATAACTTCACGACTGAAGGAACGACGGAGCGTGGCAACCCAGTCATGGAGTCTATGATTCGCTGTATGCCTCGCCAGCTCCCAGTGGAATTCATATAGGGAGATATCAGTGCAGATGTTGAGGACTTCGTAGCCATGTCTGTGAATGTCATTACAGGAAAGATCCCTTCCAAGTTACCATATAAAGCAGCTCCAGCTCGGAATTCTCTCTGACCATATACAATGGCCTGGATACCGCATAGGAGTTTGTTGAGGAGCGCCCAAGGATACGTGCAGAAGCTCTCAAGCAAGTCCTTCACGGCTAAAACAGGATGAAACTCTGCTCCGACTGGGAAGACAAACACAAGGAGCTCTGAAGGGTTCGCCTATGTTCTCCTCGCGCAGAAACCTGGGCCTACGGGATACTACGAGATGGACGCAAAATCCAGAAGCTCCACACGACGTTCCTAGTCGCACCAAATTCAAGTCGCGTGGCGCCTGGAGGAGTCCAGTCATTGCATCCGAACACCCTATGCTTTGGTTTCCAAGATGTCGTGGGCCATATGCCTCAGCAGTGCCTTGAATAGAATTGACCGCCTGACCATGGATGAGAACAGATCATTGATAGTTATACCAAGGAGGGTCGCAGAAATTGGTGGTTACCTGCATTATTCTATGTGCTGAACTCCTCACTTAAAGACCAGCGCCTCTTTGACCAATTGAAAGAGTGTTGGTACGTTGAAGGCTGGAGATCCAGTGAAGGGTGTACAATAGAAGATTGGGATAGGGCGTGAATCAATAGGAACAACTAGCGACGCTCAGCGTGAAATAGCTCTAGAGGACAGATGATAGTTATGATTGTTTACTTGTTTTCTAATTATAAGCCCTCCTATGAAGAACGCCTGTTAAGATACAGGCAGCATATCCCCGTTCTTGAACTATACCACCAAGCATCTCCGCCTCATATTAGCGACCCTATTGATTCAAATAATTGCTGCATGAGCCCACAAATCAGGGGTGCTTCTTAATCCTACGCGGTAGCGTGAAAAGTAAAGAGGAACCGTTTGCGATTCCAGGGGTTCTCTCCTTCATATTTCTGAAGGTCTGGCAGCTTGCTCAGCTTCTTTTAAGCAGAAAAAGAATTAGCATGTCATGATACGTTTGCTTAGAGAACACGATGCTGGGCACCCTCGGGTAGCTTACCAAGTTTTCACCGTCCATTTCCCAATACTGATCAGGTTTATCAAATGATCTGATCCTATAGTAAAAAGTAAAGAGATAGGGCATCATGTAAGTTAAGAGATCCAAAAAAAAAAAGAGTCAGGTACATAAGCATAGTATGTCTTACTGGTAGAGGCCCAGATTTGCGTCAAGGGGTTCCATTTTCCATAGCGTTATACCCTGACCCCCATCAGGATGAAAGGGATTTGTATCACGTTGGATAGAAGAGTCTTTAACAACACTGACAAGACGATCCTCCAAAAGCAAGATGGATTTGGAATTGCCCTCTGCGTTTAAAACAGTCCACTATGCCAGTTAGCGCGGAGTTACCAAAAAAAAAAAAAAAAAAAAAAAAAAAGACTAGGCTTTGGGTGTGGTATGTTTTACTGACCTTCTTCTCCGGTTGTCCCTTGGTGATTGAGCCAGATTTGTCTGCTTGTAGATAGCCATCAGACACATCTGAATCTGACTCTGACGAGTCTAAGTATGGTCTCCAGTGAATGTTGTAGGAGCCTGATTCCATGGTTTGTGCAGCCGGGTCAAGTTAACACTAAGTAACTACACGTAGTGATATTTAGTATAGAATCCAGATGAAGTACTGAGATAAAAGCAAAGTTGAGGTACTCTGCTGAGGAAGAGTGTAAGAGGAAGGGAGAAGGTGACCTGGTATTTATGTACAGGAAAAGTGATACCATTAACATTAACATGTTTAACTTATTATAGCATGAATGCATGCGGCAATAGAAGGTGCTTGATGACATGATCACGAGACTTTACATCATAGTATGAAGGTATGTTGTAATCTAACATGCTTAGTGACGTGATCAAGGGTCTTGATATCATACAATGTTTAAGTTATATTGCTTGCAAGATTACCCAGGACGGACAGGGATAATACTTTCATAAAATGACTAGTTTTCAAGCAGGGTGTCTGTAAGCCGCAGTAACTAGCAACTGCGGGATATCAATGTATAAGGCGGCGTATGAGGGTTGAATGTATGTTGTCTATTGTATCTAAACTATCGCTGCTTCTCCCTGTGGAGACCAGCAGCGCTGAGATGAGGTGGTACGTCACGTGCATCCAAAATGAGGTCAGGGTCACACTGGTTTTGACTTCCCCTGTATACTAACTTTGCTAGAAAGAAAATACCATTATAAACACCAAATGTGTTGGAAAGGTGGCAGACAGGATCCACAACTCTTTTCAACCTTGAATAACAACCTATCGTAACAATCTAGCTTTATTTTTGGAAAAGTTTGATAATCTTCATGCCCATGGCCAAACCTCCGAGCTTACTATAGAAATCTTGGCTGAGGTTAGAGCGCCATAAGGATTGGGGCATGCAGGTCTAGGCGCTGAGGCACCTTGATTGAAGGAAGCAGCACTTCTGAACAGGTTGTCTTAACGTGAGGGTCCTCGTATTTGTAGACCTCGGCTACAGAAGTGGCGTCGCCTCTCCATCGTTGTTAAAGGAAAGATATCAGAAAGAACCATACAAGTGCCTAACCCTGCCTGCTCAGGCTTTTTTTTTTTTTTTTCTTATCGCCTGAATCCCCCGTGCCCGTGCCACCTCTTACTCTTGGGTTGCCCAGAGAAGCCACCAAAACGGGAGTGTGCATTTCTACCTCAACGAAGCCCCCGACGGTTGTGCGATGGGACTGCTGCGTGATATTGATGGAGCCGATCCTGCTTTGCAAAGGTTTGCAGGTCATCTGGGTAAAGCTACGCCGCAGGCTGTTGTTGAGGGTCTAATATGGCCAGAAGTGCAACGCCACGCGTCGCCGTGGCTATCCCATAGCCCTAACAAACAGGAGTATAGTAGATGAAACGTCGAGGTCATGGAAGCAGAGGTCAGGGCTAACCTTGGGTCTCTGCTCAAGCAAGATCACTCTTAATCATGAGGCTACATACTAGCGACGCGATTCAGGTCTAGAAAGTGCCTTATCTCTATCATAATATGTAAGAGAGCCGCAAGCTATAGCACGATCATCCACTATGCACGTCTTCTCGTGGAATTTCAGAGTTTCAAATATCGACCAAATGTCAGGTTGCATCCGTCGGATTACCGAACGGTATACCACACATTAGACCAACTTCACAAGGAAGGCCATACGTGCCGCGGGAGGTGGGGTGAGAGACGGAGGATTGGGTTTCTCACCATACCCGAGATCTCGCCTAGGTGCTGGCCCAGGCAATGTCTCATGGCAGTCTATCCTGGGACCGTAACAGCTCGGGGCATGGTTCCTCTGTCTCGATCATGGCGGTACCTACGAGCCGCCCTATGTAAGATGATTTATATCTTGGGAAACTGTAGCAGAGTTCAAACAGGCCACACCCCAGTCGAAGAGAGTTGACTGTGCGGTATATGCCCAGGCAGGCCGGTAGCTGATAGCCTGCTGCTTTGGCCACTCATGCAAGTATGGCCATCCCGCAAATGGGCCTGCTAATACGTAAGAGATAGGAAGCACCGTATTCGGATCTCTAACGAGGAAAGATCTCAGTGTTCGATAACGGCGTACCTGACGTTCCGACAGGTTTATGTCAGGTGGTGGGACTACTGCCGTCCTCTCATCCACGGAGGCTACTTACTCGTTTGCCAGAATCCATCCCGTTTCGTTTGTTGTAGGGCTTGCTAGTGCTCATGTCGTCACCGGCAACTCTCGTCCAGGTTGGAATGGCAGCCAGGTAGTCAAATTATTAGCATCGATGTATAAGAGCCTTGAGCTAAGGTCAAAAAATACATTTCACTACTGGAGGGCCCTTAAAGCCCCTCTGTGTTAGGCAAATGCTGCTATTTATCTGTTTGAGGTTTCGGGCAGTAGGCCCGGGAGTTACCCTCTAATCCACATGTGGGTAGGGCCATTCCTCGTTCTCGGTAGAGGAACTCACAATGGAGGCTTAAAACGTTCTATGTACCCAGCGCCAAAGTACTCTTAATCTCTCACCTCCATCAGATACAGTGCTTGCAATGAGGTTCATTCTTAGCTTGACGTACCCGGTGTTTTCCCCGCTGGGGCTGATCGAGCCAATAACTATTCCGTAGAATATTGTTTAGGTCTTGGGCTTATTTCTGACCTTTTTAAAACTCTCATACTTACTCTTAGTTCCAGTTAGTCAGCGCTAGTTGGCCCTGTTTGATGCTCAAACATGGAAGAGGCGACGGTGGTGATTTATACTTTTCTATGGACAGTTGGACTCTCAACCTAAAACATCTTGTGACGTTCGCCAAGTATTCCAGAATCGACTCGGAAGCCCATCAAACGCAGCCAGGTGCATCAAGCAGACACGGTAGGCTAAGCCCCAGTCGTTTCTGGTAAACTCAAACAGCAGACCTGACTCATCTCCGGAATTAAATTCCATGAACAACAAACAGGACTCGCTCAAAGAGCCAATCATCAACGCTCCTTTTAGACATGCGGACAAAGAGCTGGTGTGCACTGGAACAAAGACATACAACGCTCTGTCCATTACCATTGACACGAAATAACAAGGCTCCGTTGGTGACGAAAACCACCTCTTTGTCCATTTCTGCAGCTTTGATAAAAGCCCATTGAGGATTACAAAGTTATGTCTTGAGACAATGACACAGGATTCCTGCGCCTCTCGTCGCAGCTTCCACGTCAAAATTATATAAACCACGACGATGTCCCCAATCACAATAGATCCCCACAGCAGCGTCTCAAGACCAGACTAGGCCACCACAGACGGACAGGATATATACGCCACATATATTCCATCTCTCTACAAGTCTACCTACTAGCCCAGCCATTGCAACCCCTCTCGCATTCACACCCACTGACCCACGCAGCAACTAATTCCCAAAATCCAAAATGGCATCCGAAACCCTCAAAGTCTTCACGCGCGTGCAGAACACCCTAAACGAGCTGCGCCTCGCCTTCGACGCCTGCCCACGCTCCCTCCTCGACCAGTACAACCGCAACCACCTCGCGAACCATGCTTTCCGCTGGGACCGCGTCAAGCGCGACGTCATCATCGTCGCGGGGTACTTTGACGGAGACATGAGTGAGGGGTCGCTGCGGTTTCTGCACAAGTTCATGGAGGATGTGGAGTCGTATGCGCGGCAGTGTATCGAACGGACGGCGCGATTCACCGGCGCCGGTGCGGAAGGGAGAGTTACGGACGAGGATATACTCTTTGTCGGCGACTGCGGACATGCGATTCAGGCGACGCTGAAGAGTCTCGAGACGCTGGTGAGTGTGTATCGCGATCGGGATGAGATGAAGAGTCGGATTGGGTACAAGTTGAGCATTAGGCCGTAGCTTGTTCTTTCAAGTTGATCGGCCCTTCTCTTTGTCTTGTTCGGGCACTGGGATTCATCTTGATATATTGGCCTTCGCAGCTTAGTTTTGATTAGCAAATTGAGAATTACTGCGATGCGGGGCTTAATGTGATTGCTGCTGTTTTCTTAGACTGTTCTTGAGTTTTTTTGTTCTTTAGCATGGAAAATTGATTATGGGATAGCTTTTTTGTAAGGCGTTGGTTCTAGTTTTGACCGACTCTCTGCCGTGGAATACATCTTAGTATTAGAATGAATGTAAATCACCGTAACCACTAAACCGAGGGAGTAGGCTGCCTTTATTCCTCGAGGTAGTCCGCGCGTAGAACATACTACATACTACACCATTTAAACCATACCCATGGAATGCGGATTGTCTCTGTGGTGACCGTGTCTAGAGCCGAGCCGAGGCAGAATACAGTACACTAGGCCGGGGTGGCTGTAAATCCCATCGAAGGATGTAACTATATAGCATGATACTATGTACATGATTAGTTACTTAGTTTGCATTCGGAACGAAACTTCCATGAGTGCGTTTCAGACAGACGCTAAATATCAGGTGCATGAAGGAGAGATTGCGGTCGATTTCCAAGATGCGGGCGATGCGCTCCTTGGAAGCAACTAGCCGAGTTGGCGGCGGCGACGGGCGATTGTCGGGATGAATCTGGACAGTCGACTCGAGCAGCATGCGCAGGAACCAGATGAGGTACTGGATATAGGCCAAGACAAGCACCGCGTGTCGTTGCAAGTGGAGAATTCCCCCTGCGCGGTCCGCCAAACTGCTTGCCCAAGGGTCTTTGCATGTCGTGGTACACCGGACGAGAAGATCGCGTTCCTGTTCAGGATCAATGGGAAGCGAGTTGAAAGATGCACTGACTCTCTGTAACATGCGCAAGCTTCGCTCGCAGCAAGCAAGCATTGACTCGATGGCGCTGATACACTGGGGTGGATCTAGCGTATCCCGCGCACCAGCAAGCCGGGGATGCCGGCTCTGTGATTGGAGTTGGATAATATCCCCCAGGATAGCCATGAGGGGCAGAAAATACTCCAAGAGCCCTGTGCCTGACACGACCATCGGCGGTCCGGCACGCTGGGGCGGGATATGCTCTGCGGGTATACTGTCGAGGTCGCGCCAGATCCATCCGGTAGTGGACAGAAGACGTGCCAGGCTGCATCGTGGGTTTAGATGGGTTTGTTCAGGATAAATGCGAGATGCCGTTCTAGGGCATAGGCTGGCCAGCAGGTCCGTCGGCACTCTTCTTGTTTCGCGCGCACTCCCAAGTAAAAAAAAGTTCTTGACCACCTATTGATATATATTTTGTGGTAGCAGGTTCCAAGGAATACTGGTCTGACGAGTGGAGGAGAGTCTATGACAATACAAGGCAGCCACACTACCTCTTCTGGCGGTTCAGCAACCCCTGTTGCCAGAAATGGCGCACAGATACCCTGCGCTTAGAGAGAGACTGATAGCGTTGATGAAGCCCCGGATAATACAAAGTGCACGCCCGCTCAGGAACCTAGGTGACGGTGCGTGTCTGGGAGTGTGGCATCAAGGGCTATGTCCCCTGCATTTCCATGTCCAGCACAGACTCCATTGGCTATAGTATACGATAAGCATTGATGCCGACAAAGGGTTTTCTGCTACGAGTAAGTGGGACCATTCGAATCATCACAATAAATACAGAGTATATCAAGCTTCCCTTGTTCAGACACGCAGCCTCAATGCCTGGAACCCAACAAATCACCAGCCACCTGCTTCGATGTCGTCGGTGAGACGAGACGTCAGACAATCCGTGATCGTCCATTGAACTGCCTCTTTGGACGAGCTCGTCCATTCTGGAATGTCTGAGTTCGCACAATCTAGCGCCACGACACGTCCTCCAAACTCGACTCCATACTACGTACGGCGTATGTGCTGCCGACGGATCTGTCTCGGGTGGATCCGAGAGGGCCTGCTCCACAGGGTGACGCGGCAGTGCTTGTGCACATGCCAGGGTCCTGCTGACTGCTGGCAGGCCGTCGGGGATTCGATAGCGAACTGGGCTTCTTTTATAGGACTATAGCGGAGGAGGCTACGCATGGCCTTGTTGGTAGACTACTTGATGCAGCAGCATTACTCCCGCTGGTGCTCCGAGAACGTTGGGGGACGAATCTCGAGCTGCCCCAAGGGGTCAGATCGTTCGCCACATTTTGACTTTTCCAGACATTGCTGCTGAAAATAGCCTTCCCTACAGCGACCCAGGTCCGCAGTAGCCAGAAAAGACAATCTCATAACCCGGTCTCGGTACCACCAAGAGCCGACATTGCATTTTCGGCCGACCACCTGTGGTCTCTCCGGCGGGGTTGGCAAGTTGATATCTGATACTAGCCTGCCCAGCCGTTTTCAAGGCCAGCAGGTTGCGACATTGCCCAGCTGGAAAGTATAGCTACAAAGGAGGGAGCGCCAGCCATCAGTTAAGTGGTATGATCCAAAGTCTGGAATCGGCCGGCACTGGATCTCTGATATACATATAAAAGCTCAAAAGTCTAAATAGTCTGTAGTTGCTGGGTTACGATTAAGGTCGGAGAGAGGCTTTCTAAAGATCTTAATATAGGCTAATCAGGGTCAACTGCTGAAAAGAAACTCGTGATGACCATCACCATGAGGCTTTGCAATGGCCATGGGAGTGGTGATCATGGTGCCCATGCGCGTGTCCCAGGGTTGGTTTGACGGTGACTCCGGTGGTGCTGGTTCCCGCATTACCAGCAGTTACGGCAGTCGTAGACCCCAGCGAGGAGCTCACGGTTGCGGATGATGAAATTGCTGTTGACGCAGTGGCGGTAGACTGTAATGCTGTACCTGTCGAACTTGGAGGTGAGGCAGAACTGCTGGAAGCAATTTCCTGGGACGCCGTGGTCGCCGGTGCGGCGCCTTGTCGTAGAGCTTCAAGGTCGTCGTCTTCCAACCGGTAGAGCAGCGTCCCCCACCCAACACCATCATAGTGACCGGAGCCCTCACCATACCCAATCCCCTTCTCGAATAGTCCACCAAAATACTCCAAAGTGTTGTTCCGATATGCTGTCGTCCATGGCGCGTCGAGTCCTTTGATCTGCACGTAGTGAGCGTACAGCAGTTCCCACGTTGGGCGGGTTGCGCCGCGGCTTGCTGAGCTGATCTCCGTGTAGCTGACTATTCCGTTGGTGTACGGTTCAAAGGGGACGTCATGGCCAAGGTTGTACCGGGCGAAATACTCGGCCCTGTACCCAGAAGGTGGGTGGTTAGTTTTCGTATCAGATCCAACGGGGGGCGACATACCCGCGAAGAATCAAACTATCATTCAAACTAAACAGGTCTTCCCCCTGATTCCACGCCTGCTGTGCAATGGCCGCGAGAAGCTGTTGATCCAGCGCAGAGTGGCCCTGATCGCGACCGGACTCCTGGCCCTGGCCCAGCAGTGCACCCGTGTCGGGTTCCTCGACGAGGTTGCTGATGGCGTTTCCTATCGCGCCATTCCCGTCGCCGTGCTTAAAGTAATCAATGGCAAAGTCCCAGGCTGTGGCATTCTCCGTCAGGACACTGATGGCCTGGATGGAAGCGATCTGTGCGAGTTCCCAATTCGCGAAGAAATGGAGAACGTTGTGCTGGGATGGCTCTTCATGGTTGAGAAACGCAAAGTTCAACGGGAGGATGACGCTGACGGCCATGTCCACAAAGATATCCCAGCCATCCTCATGGAATGGTGCATAATCACGCAGGAGCTCAGCTGCATTGGCGAGCTCGTACCCCTGCAGGCCCGCCGAGAGGTACTTGTCATCCCCACCCGAGAATGTACTCAGGGTCTGGCCCCAAGCTTTGAGGATTGCAGCAGCGGCCTCTGCATATGCTTCCTCCTGCGTCACTTTCCAGCGAAGAGCAAGGTTGAATGCGGCCGCGGCATCGTGCCAGAGGACCTCACCGTTCGTGGGCCGATCAACGTCTGCGACGGCGTTGGGCGTGTAAGAGCTGCTGGAAAAGGACAAGGACTCAAAGTAGGCCCAGGCGCTTACCCAGGGCTCCTTTTCAGCGGCGAGTTTGGTTTGGATGCGCGAGATGTCCGACTCTGTGACCAGCAGACCGGGGTGGGTCCAGGCAGAGGCATGTGCGGCGAATGCGACCGATAGGTAGAGAAAAGGAAGATGCATTGCCAGCAATGACTAATAGGGAAGGCGCAAGACAAATGGACAACGGAGGCTAAATGAGTGACTGATGGTTTGCTAGGGGAGCCTGGAGTGCAAGAAAAAGCAGGCCTGCGAGGAGATTAATACCAGCCCTAAGCGCCATTTTGCCTGATGCCATCCAGTGGAAATTACAGGGTCGGCGGGGGAAACCCTGCGTACAAGACTAAAGTCTAATAGATGAACCACTGCAGCATGGACTTCGATGGAACACTCGGTTAATCTCACCGATATATTCTACCGATTCCCACCCTTGATTTGGCTGGTGCGGACCGTCACTGACAAGACAGAAGGGAAAGGAGCGGCCGAGGATCCAAGGAGCACTCTGGAGAAGGATCGGGTGGAGCACCTGCCACTTCAACGGTCTAACCTGCCATTATTGTTTCAGGCTAGAATCGGTAATTGAAACACCCCCACCTCGAGCGGAGCTACAAAAGTCTGACTGGTCGACGTTGATCATCGAGCGAGTGCTTCGGACAAGTATTACCGCTGATCGTCCCACACGGCGCCATTTATTGTCCGACGAAGCTCGACGGGGCACTCTCAATGTACTTGGATTCGCCAAGACTGCACGCTCTGAATTGCTTGTGCGAAAGCCAGGGTCAAGAAAGATCTCGGAGAGCGCTGCGGCTGTAGACCAAGAAGCACTCTGGGTCTCCTGAAAGATTGTCGGATTCTGAACCGGAGCAGGTCCGGCATTTAGCCCGCCACGAACCCAGCCTTGAGCTTAGCCCGAACCCACGTCTCAAGCGGATTGGATCCGGCCCTGATTTACCCGGCGTTGCGAGTCTTGACGGATGGCCAGGGCCTTCTGTTTATCTTTACAGTACCTTGTCGTCCGGGGAAAAGATGTCTCTTCGAACTCCCTCCCTTCGCAAGGTGGTTTCTTTCCGTTCCCCAGCCATGTGTGTCTATTGATTCAGGGGTTGGGCATCTATGTATGTCTACCAAGGTACAGGCCGTGCGCTCTGGAGACAACTTATCATGTCTATCATGGGCATGCATGTGCATTCGAGGATAATCTTTACTAGTTTCTGAGGCGGGTGGATTACACCACGAACATATATATGCCGGAAATATACACCTTGGTACAGCAAGTATTATGATCAACGAACCAGTATTCCTGGTCTGTTAGAGTGAAATTATCTGGAATTACATGGAGTATTCCATTGAGATGACTCTCTTATCGAGTAAATCAGTCCAAACAACTCCACTAAAAACATACACAGGGAATCACCCCACCCTGCAAGTGCGTCCCCAGAATCGATCCCGTCCAACCTCACGGCCGCGTCCAACCAAAGCCAAAACAAAAGAACTCTACCGATAAACCCAGACCCGATCATCCAGCAAATCCAACGCGTTCTGCTGCCCGCGCTGCTCCAGCTTCAACCTTGCATGCACAGCATCCACCTCCCTCTGCGCATTCGCTCTAGCCCCCTCATGCAGGATCCGCACCCTCTCCACCTCGGGCTGGTACGGCGCAAGCGGGAAGATGTCGCGCGGCAGCTCGCCATTCTCCCGGTAGATCGGGATGCCTCTCTCCCTTAAGACGCGCGACATCTGGCCCCACGCCGCCGAGGGGTTGAGGAGCGCGCCGGTGATGGTGAGCGATGTGAAGCCGCGCAGGGAGAGGAGGGGTTTCTTGCCGCCGGAGACGGAGATGGAGGACATGAGGCCCTCGAGGTTTGTGGGCATCATCCGCGAGAGGCGGTTGAGGGTTGAGGAGGTGGATGACGAGGTCGGGGTTCGTGGGCGCAGGGCGAAGTCGACCGAGTACGCGGTGAAGTGGTCGGTTAGTTCGCGGTCGGCGATGTCCGTGCTGTTGTTCTGGGCGAGGCTGGTTTTCCCTGTTGGATTGTACGTTAGTCTAGTCCGGCTCAAGGTGGAAGGGGAAGGGGAAGGGGAAGGGAAGGAAATGGGGTGGAAAGGGGCGTACAGATATTGTGACTTGGCGGTGCGCCGCATGCGTCGATGTACTCTGAAAACACCTCTGGGGTGTGGTATCCTGTCCTCTGCGTGTCGAAGCTATAGAAGATTTCTTCGACGGTGCGGAAGAAGATTGGGGTTGGTGTCATGTCCGGGTTGAAGAAGGGGGTCCAGCCAGAGCCGGTGGGCTGGTGCGGATCGGGCTGGGGTGGAGGAGGACCGTAGCTCGAGGGAGGACCTTGCGGTGGTCCCTGGGGAGGGCCCTGAGGGGGTACCTGGTCCGACCCTTGGTAATAAGTCTGCGGCGGTGTCTGCAGAGGGTCATGCTGTGGTGGATTCTGCGGCGACGCTTGAGGGGGTCCCTGCGGTGACATGGGAGTATAGCTCTGAGGCTGGTACGGAGCCTGCGGTGGAACGTGGGATGGTATCTGATCTGACGGCGGCGGAGGATACTGAGGCGGGCCTGGAGGCGGGCCCGGAGTATACGACGTATTCTGCGACAATGGCGTCTGCGGCGGAGGGGTCGGCGTGTGCCCAGGAGTCGGCATAGGAATAGGCGTAGCCAAAGGACTAGGGCCAGACGTAGACGGAATGTACGTCTGCTCCCTTAGTGGCTCCTCGGGCTCATTCACCGTCTCAACCGTGACAGGCCTCGGCGGCTTCCTTGGCGGAACCTCGCTGTACGAAGCAGAAGTCGGTCTACGCCTCGGCACCGCAGTCGAAGGCCCATTCAGCGGCGGATTCGACGGCGGAGGCGGAACCGGATGGCGCACCTGAACGTGAATCGGAGCCTGCGGTCTTGACCGTGGCGGAGGCGGCGGCGGGACAGGGAGGAAGCCGCTATGCTTGAAGAGGATCATTTCATGCGTGGGGTCCTCCTCGACATGCTGGGTGGGATACTCCTGCACGACGTAGCAGGCGGCGCAGAGGTGGACTTTTGGTGCGCAGGCGGGACATGACAGGCGGGGTTTTGTCGGTTGGATTATTTCGGCGCATGTAGTGCATTTGTAGACGGAGTACAGCGACGACATGGTGGGTTTGGTGGGGATGCAAGAGGTTGAACGTTGGGAAGAAAGATGCTTCAGCTGAGCTTATAACGGTTGGCAGTGTTGGCGCTTGGCAGGCGGGGGAACATGCAGGGCAATTGCAGCCGATGGCCCGGATTGGCTGCGAGAATGCGGCTCAAGACACGGGATCACAGTTAGGGCTGGGCGGCAACCAGCAGGGCAGGAGACCAAAATCAGTTTGTGGATGGTGAATCGCAGATATACCAGTCGCAAGTAGAGTGAACAAGTGAGCCTTCTTCTCTATTCCATGGAAATATTCAATTTGCTATACAAAGATCCCTGTGAATGCTCCCAACGCAGGCAGCCCTATTCCTTTGTCGCCTGCAGTATGAATATCCCTCTATGCCCGCGGACCTCTACTCTCTCTACATCTTCCTCTCCGCTCATCTTTTGGAGATTCAAAAGCAAAAGCAAAAGCAAAAAAAAAAAAAAAACCGACCAAGCCGACTTTCCTAAACGGGCAAGGTTGCCCTATCTCCCTGGCTGAAATCAAGAGTCGACTACCACTTGCTGACACCATCTTTTCAGAGTCTGGTACCTAGCTTCACGGATGGCCGAATATACCATCCCCAATCTTCAAGCGCTGTGTCCGACCCGCTTCCCCTTGCACTGAGGGCTAATGGACGATGGGTTATCCAGTCTACGAGACGACAACAAGTGCATCATGCCCTGTTTTCTTGAGCTATACGAGGTTCGGTCACTTCCCGACCTCGGACTCGCACAAACGGTAGACAAGCGGAAGGCTGGGAAGAGGTCTTTGCCTTCTGGCTTTCTCGCTTTCCGGAGAAAAGGATGCAAGCGCGTTGCAAAAGATCAAAGTCTACTTCTCCACGAGCGCAAATCAACAACCTCTACCAGTGGGCAGAAGCACAGTGAGCGGAGTTCCGGATGACCGCGGTCGACCTGAACAACGGATCCCATCACCCCAAGCTCGCGATGGAGAGTGTACGAAGGACACAGAGCTGTGAGGGAGCGTCCATGCACCATGGGAAACACTCACAAAGGGCACATCCTCCGCTGGGAAGCATATTGCGGACATGGGGCGCGGCGGGACAATCAGGTAGTCACAGGTCGAATGGATTACAATATATGGTACGGACAGCCTAGAGAGGCAGAGACATGGCAACGAGGATATCCGACAGTGATGCAAAGACGGATAAATGCAGGCCTCGTGCAGATAGAGCATAGCCAACTCGTGAGGCTTGTGCTCCGGGCGCAGTCGGAAGAAAGACCGGAGCCAACTTTGAATGTCACCCGGTTTCAACTATCACGAGGCTGTCCAGGATGGGCCACCCAGCTAAGATGATTTTTCAGACATTATGTCTTTGTGCGGCGTATCTATTCGCACAACTCGTGGAGATATGGTCAGCGTATGAGTATAACCATCCTTCGACGAGCGCGGTTACAAATCAATGGTCCAAGAAGGCACTCATCACACGGCCCCTCTGCATCCGAGACTGTCAAAGTACGTAGGAAGTCTAAGGAGCACCGACGGTCCGCTTTGATGCCGGACAAGGTGAGCTTAGTTATAATAGTGTTTCTATGGCTACTGCCAACAGGGCACAAGTGTCGGCTCCGCGACAAGTCATGTTTAATAACGAAAGGCGGCGATGCGTTACAAGCTTGCCACATATATCCGTTTTCACTTGGAAGCCCGGTATAGACGAGACAGCTCGGAGCAATTGCGAAGAGACCTTTTGCGCAATACCAGGTTCGTGATCAGCTGTCCTGCGATCTTGATCACTGAAGAGCCAATGGACATGTTTACACTACGCGCCGGTGTCACTACCACTGCTACGCCGATGGTTGCTCATGCTGCTACCGCTGCCGCTGCTCCTCCTTCTTCGACCCTCCAAGGAAGGAAAGGATCACGACCCTAAACGCAAATTGACTTGTGTGGAATGTGAGAGCAAGGAGATTCACACGCTAGAAGCCACTCTCCAGACGTTATCGAAATCGTTACCGCTTACCTCCACGCCGTCATGCGCGAAAGGAAGATCTATATGCGACCCTCACCAGGATTCGTGGTCAAGCAAAAGGGAAAGATACAAGTATAGCTTCTCCTGAACGCCCTCTACGGCCTCCGTCAAGCTGGCAACGTTTGGTGGGAAGCTATCTCGCAGAAACTTGTTGAACTAGGATTTCACCTTTACCCGACGAGCCGTGCATCTTTGTGCGTGGTTCTACGTACCTTGTGGTCTACATCGACGACCTACTCATCGCCGATGACGACGACACTGGAATTGACAGAGTCATCGCGGAGATCAACCCCTCTCTTAAAGTCAAAGAGATTGGTCAACCTTCACGATTCCTGGGCTACAGAATACCCCGGGATAGTGACAAGGGCAGCGTGACGATCAGTCAGCAAGCCTGTACGAAGGATCTCCTGAAAAGTACGCAATTTCCCATCCTAACGAATGAGTCTCCATCGGTAGTGTCAAAGCAAACGCCCTTCCTTTCGTGATATCTATGGCAAGGAGCCCCGTGGCCCTTCGGCTCATGTCTACAGCAACATGGGTGCAAAGCACATTTCCCACCAAGGGGACATGGTGACCGAAACCCCCAGCTGTAGCATTCCGAGCACCTTGCCTCGTCGTCTCGTATAATGATAACATTTGAGCATCGCCGCCTTTATACCGCTAAGACTATCAAGGCCACCACTTTCAGAACTGCCCCTTGGACCTAGCTGCGGCTCGTTGCACTTGTGATCATAATGCCATGTCGCGTTGCATTGTTGTGGCTCCTAGAGGCCGGCAGGCTGCAGTTGGCAACGACCAGGACCCTTTTCATGGGCTCAAAATACACCTTTGACGTGTTTGCTTTCGAGTAGAAAGTTGAGGGTGGCCTGATATACGCGCCTCGAGGCTGAGCCACAGGGCCGATGGCGAGGATACCGAGGACGAATGTCGGGTATATGCGCACAATGACACGCCGTTCTGTGACGTTAAGAACGAGAACGTCACTATTGGGGAGAGTGATAGAAGTCCCCAAAAGACCTCCCGCCGTGGCTCGTTGAGTTGATGACTCTTCGGGTTTTTCTCGCATCACCATCAGGCGATGCCTCTCTGGAGGCTCTTCAATGCCTGCGTGCCCTGCGATGGATCCGACAATGTCTCCACGAAACTGGTATGGCCGTGTTTCCTAACTACACATTCCCACTGTCTATCGATCCATGGCTAATCGTCGTTAGATCTCAACAAATCAGAAGATATCCCAGACGAACCCTTCTATCAATGCAACAGTAGTTGCTTACTTGATTGTATCGAGAGTTTGATCCGGCCCTTGCGCTTCTGCTACACTATCCAGCACAGGTCATTACGCGGTCTTTTCGATGGGCCCTAATGTACCACATGCACAGATGAGGCTCTGTCCACCTGGCTAAGCCGGCACGTGCTATCGCGCGGCTCGGGTGCCGATACGATCCTGCGAAAATGGGTCTCGCTTTGGCGCCAGTTTGCCATGCCCTGGGGACGGAGCGCGTAAACCCCCAAAGATGCAGCTGTCCACGGCTCCGGCGCTTCTTGATCGTTGGACAAGGTACGCTCATCGTAGCGACTAGATCCGTGAACAATCCGCCAGTGAGAGTGGCCCTCTGGTACACATTGGACATCAACCGCGTTCCAACCCCATGATACTATCATGCGGTTGCGGTTAAAAACACAGCAGGTCTCTGCTACCCCACGTCAGGATATCGGGACTTTTGTCCAGGATGAACAATTTCTGCGTACGCCGCGACATTTCTTGAAAAGTGTCAGCATGCATGTGCCACGGAGCTCGGTGCCATCGTGGCTCGCGCCTTCATCATCTCTCATCCATCAGCTCGATGGCTTGCGTACGAATAGGGATTATTGGGCGTGTGTCTTGCTTGGAACAAGCTTCGAGCGGTTTGGAAATGCAACCCTAGTAGTGGATGATGGTGGCAAGCGCGGTTTCGCCTGTGTGGAGCGGCCATTAGCAGCACGCGTTGTACTGTCCAAGCTACGCTATAAGCTCTGCACAAATCCACTTCAGGAGACACTTCTGCACGGCGTAAAAAGCGCTCAGTAAACGGCGGATACGAACGCATCACCATGTTGATAAATAAGGGTATACCATATTACTTTTTCTAAGCCAGTGGCTTTGGCCTATGATAAATAGACCCTTCGCGAGCTTTGGTACAAGTGCGCAAGCGAACAGACCAAGGGGGAAGAGTTCGATCTCAAGACGAACGATGATAATCGTGTGGAGAAGTCTCGCGACCCCTTGGTAACCCTTGCTGAGGGAAAAGGAGCAACGATGATCTGCTATGCTAGTTTACTTGCGGCTTCCTCGTCGATTAATGCTCTTCTAACAATGGAAGCTCAACCTACAACCCCATGTTTGACCCCATAGAGCGCCAAAACAAAGGACGCACGGAAAGCGAGCGGAACTATCAGCATGGTACACCGGTTCATGTACCACAAGTCCTGTAAACGGCAATTGCCCAGTGAGGCGTATTGAGCCGGCGTTATAGAGATTGGCCCAATAGATATGGACGATGTTCGTTGGAGCCGACGTAGCTTTTCGATGCCTATTTCATGCACCAAAGGTCAAGGCAGAAGATCGCGACTCTGGGGCTGCTGTGTGCCTGTGTACGCACAGACCCAAAGAGGCCCCTTCCGTGGGCGCTGGACATCTCGCGAGTTCATATCAAAGGAACTCTCTCCACTTTCTGGACCGGAGACAAGGTGATCGGCTGGGCAGACTTTTGGTGTTTGGGCATCTGTCCACATCAACCCTAGGACATTAAACTTTCGGCGGCAGCATCGTGCAACGGCAGACCAGGAAATCATGGTGTTGAAAGCCACTGCCGTGCGAAGACATGTTACGAGAAAAAGCACATCATGCGGAATTCCTGCATGCACGCCCGAACCACCCAGAGCTCAACTCGGAGAGGAACGCGCTGCGGAAACACAAGCCCGTATCGCCAGTCTCAACGACACGGTTATAAAATTGAGGACGCCAAAGTTCAAACCGCCATCCAGGCACTTGCGGGTGATGTTTCCAAGGGAGTTATGCGCCGCTCAACATCCCTTAAAGTATGATGGCCTCCCGCGTGATAGCAGTGCATGGAGGTGGCAGGACCACCAAGCTCAACGGCCGTGCAGACTACTGTGTGCGGTACGAATCCTAGGAGAAAACCTATTTCTGGGAAAGGGTCTGCTGCTACTTGCGGCAAAAACAAAAGAGTACAATGACCCCTCTCTAGATCGGACGGGGCAATCTGCATGTTCATTCGTCTACCCTGACTGCCCGGGGGACGGGATGACCAGCAGGGTATCCTCCGATTCCGCCACGGGCACAGGTACATCTATGGCCTTGAGACTCCGTGTCTCTTACATTGCTAGCCGACCTGTAGCAGATACATTGTCGCTTACATTCAGCTTGCATTGGTGACGACTTGAGGCTTGTAGCATATGAATGGGGCATTGCAGCGCATACCCTACTTGGTCAGAGACCATTTCGACCCCGATATCTAGAGGTTACTCTTCACCAACACCTTGGATAATTTATTTCAGGTGTTCTAGCTCTTGCGCTTCTCACTATTACCACTTAGTACTATTTCCACTCACAGTCTCGCAAAAATGACAGATTCTCATCGCTAAAAGGCCACCGTTAATATAGCCATCTGGTCTGCGATCTGTTGCCATCGCCGACTCTGGAGCACAGGAGACAATTCAGATACTTGACGGGATCGCAAGCGGCGTTATGGACTGGAGTGCCCTGGTGGAATCGTGCTTTGGTGGCGGTTAGTTACATCTATACACTAATCAATCTCGCACTTAGCTAACACTATTTACAGCAGAGGAGGCCGGATCTTCAATCGCGGTTCCCAACGGCGACGCATCCCAGAGGGAAGTGCTTAGCCTTGCTGGTGAATACATACAGGATGCCGTAAGAGCATAGACTGGCCTTGGTTTACCCGTGGCGACTGCAATGTCCGCCGATGGCTACGTAGGTTTGGACTATAGAAACCTCCTGCTGTCAGGCTAGATTGGAGATCCTTCTAACTCCTGGAAATAACAGTCGGCGGTCTGAATCAAGACGGACCAGATGAGGAGCGCATCTCATCGGGATACATTTCTTCTTTGACTGAAAGAGGGCCGTCCAGGCAGGGCCTTTAGATTGACGAGGATGCCACGCCCAAATATGTCAAAAAGCCAGTATTGTTCATCGTACCTGGCGCATAGCAGCAATGCTGAAAAATGTGGGGAAAATAAGACCCTGAGCGCCAACCGCATCTTTCTGTCCCTGTACCATGGACATCCTGGATCTGAGCACCAAAACGCACAATACAACCAAACACGACGGTTCTTATCCAGGCCAGAATGACTAGGGCTGTGGTTACATGGCCCTCTGTCGAGTCTAAGAGAAGAATGACTGTGCTCCTCGCCCAGGTCCCGCCCCCAGGACAGCCGCATAAGCCTGCGAATCCGCTCTGGTACTCGCATATTGGAGTCTCAAATCTTCGTTGCCCTAGCTCTCCAAGCTCCGGTCACCAACCCCACCACAATCCGGATGACGCCGTGCACACTGACTGCACCTGCTGTGCCGGGCTCTCTCCCGAGTCCTGTGGTTCTAGGAGATAGTAAGGAGCTTAGCAGCCACCGATATGACACCAGATCATAACGGGACTGAGCTGAGTTCCAGTCTCTTCACTACCTTGCGCGAAACAAACGTGGAAACGCATTTGGGGGGCAGCCATCTGATCTTTGAGCAACCTGGCACATCCCGGCGTTGCCTCGTCAGATATGTCAGCCTTTGCCCGCCCTTCCAGCATAATAGAGATGGGCTGGTGTTGAGAAGCCCCTGCCACTATTCTCGCACAGGTCCGGGCCCAAAAGTCTTACACTCTCAGCAGGCCAAGCGCGTAGAGAGTCGTTTCGAATTTTCCTCTTCATTCGACGCCATGGCCATTTAGGGAGATTGATAAAGCACCGCACATGGTATGAATGGGGTTTCAGTTCTGGGCCAGTCAGGCAGCACGCCTGAGATACTCTCCACTCTGGTAACCTGGGAGCACACACTCCGTACGGAAGCTACCGCGGTGACTTGGGAGTTGGACTTGCCCTGGAGGGTCCTTCTTCATGCTTTTCGCGACAAACACAATGTGTTCCTCCACTCCTCTCTTCATCTCATGTCTACTAGTTCTTACAAGGGTATCGTCTGTGTTGTGTACGACATACTCCTGTCTACCCATGCTAGGCGTTCGATATGTCTAAGCGCAGGTGCTCTATTAAATGCCTCTGGGGGCTCCAATGTGCGAAAGGAAAAGAGCCATCTAAACAGCTGGACTCCCTTGCCGTCCAATAGCTTGATGCTAAGGAGCATTCGTGAGAACTATGCCTATTTCACACTTCGCCTGAGTGATGGTCCAGGTACGGCGCTGGGAACGGAGCGCGGGATCCCAAATTATTGGTCACTGTTCAACGTTGACATCGATGGCCGTGATAGTCCCCCTGCCAAACAAGATCTGTAGCATGAGAGAAGCTGAGGAACGGCCGATGGGAGACGGATAGAGGGAATTCTGCAGACTAGTATACACTTGACAAAGTGGTTGGCCATGTCTCAGGGTGAAGAAATGCAAGTGTGGGGGCGTGGCTAGCGGAAAAGGCTAACGCACGCTCGAAGGATAGGGGCTTTGTATAAGACTGAGTAATCTCTAGCAGGGCAGATTAATCGTTCAGATACTACGTAGCGCCGTGGTGGGAATAGGGCTATTGGTTGAAAAGATTATGATTATCAGCCAACGCTATAAAATATGTTGCACAGTCTCCCAAGTTCTCTCGGCCCCTTCAGATCCCTTCTATCTACAAAATCATCCGCATACACGAAGTGCCCCTCTGCGTCACCAAAACCGTTGCCCTGGGCTGCCACGAGCAGGGCGGCACCTGCTGGCCTAGCTTTACCCCCTGCCCCAGCAGCATCAGCGGCCAGCACATGGTTCCCCATGACAGGACAGGCTGCCAGTCTGATTACAAGTGCTGCATTCCGCCTTATTGAGCGGATATGGTGATGGATCTGCGTGTCTGGGGTTAGATTGTGCGATTGATGAGGAGATTGAGTTGTGCATGGGATTGAGGAGAATGCTGGGCATAAGCTGTCTCGTGGTCTTGTATGGCTAGCTGGAATGCTATGGTACCTCCTTAGCCAGGTAGCTTCGAGAGGTGTATATAGGGAATCCACATTGCGTTCACCATGACTATTAAGTCCCTCAATAAACTAGCATTGTAAGGCGTCAAGCCCCTAGGGCTCGTTCGTATTTGTGTCTATATGTAATCCAAGTAATATATGCTAGCAGATATTAGACCGCAGTGATATTGCAGGGGCCGGCCCCAACTCCTCGAGAGCAAGGTATATCAAGAGCAATGGCTCAGGTCCGCAGTTGCGCGGTGCGAATCCGCCATAACCTCCGCATTCCCCAGCCCGACGACACAAGAACCGCAACACAAGATACAAGAACCACAACAGAAAACGCATGCGGACTCTTCTCGGAATAATTGACTAGATTCATCCCGTACCACCCCGCAACCAGCGTCGCCCCCGCGAGCGCCAGCATGAGGATCTCGAGCCTCGCTTCAAGCACCATGATCTGGTTCCGGCGCACACTCAGCGTATACTGCACCGTCTCCTCTGTCCGTCGGATCCGGCTGATCAGGCTCGCCGCCTGCCCCGCGATCGTGTCGCTGGCCTTGAAGTACGCTTCAAAGAGGTACTCGACGCTCTGGTGGTCGTGGACCGCGTGCGGCTTGCCGGCGTGCTTGTCGGTTAGGTACATGCTTGCCATGTCTTCGTCCTCGTTGAGGATTTCCCGCGACATGCTTTGGATCTGCCGGGCGCGCTGCTCGATGCTCGTGAGCTTGCGCTTGAGTTCGAGGGTTGTGCGGAGGCCCGAGTGCATGGTGCTTTCTTCGCCGCTGAGCGTGCTTGCATCGGTCATTTGCAGCGCCTCGGAGACTTTGCGCTGTGTCAAGAGATACTCCGCTTCGAGAACGGATGTCACCGAAGACAGCGCCACATCCAGGGCGTACAGCTCGTAGTGTGTCGTCTCCATCCCACCAGGCTGATGATGCCCGTTCCGTGTCCCCTCCTTCATAATGTGCGTGAAAACGCGCGACACGCAGTGGTCGGAATCGCTCTTGGCATCGCCATTGTCATTGCCACTTGCCCTCGCGCGCTCAGTCTCAGCAACCGGCTCCTGGCCATGCGCCTGCGTGATATGAAATAACCGAACGTGGTCATACCGCACCACCGCCCGCAGGTCAAACAGGTGAACCAGAATCGAACTCGGTCGCACCAGGATATGCGGCGCCCCTGCAGAAGGCTGGTCGAAGACGCGCAGATCCCGCCTGCTCAGTCCATACGCGTCCGCGATGGCGAGTTTCGTCATCGCGCCGACTTCCGGCCGGTCGGTCCTGCTCTGCTCACGGCGTACATCGGGGTAATCCGTATAGTGCATCGCCGTGCCTCCGCCATTGAGCGGCCGCTGCGAGAATGCGACGGCGAGGTCGACGACACGTTCCGAATACGGCGGCTTCAGGCCTGGCGCCGTGCCTGCTGTATGTATTGACTGAGATCTCTCCGTTGTGCGTTGATGTCGCCTCCCAGAGCAAGTCCTCCTGCTCTGGGTAGAAGCGAAATTTATTGGGGCGACTCCTCCTGTAACGCCGCCCGGCGGCGAAACAAGCGGCGTCCATGACATGCACTTTGGGAATATTTTGCGTAGCCCTTTTGGTTGGTTCCGACAGAGGAACATGGTGTTAAGACTCACCTCTGTCGCTGGACGCTGTGGAGCTTGGGGCACTGAGTTGTGTTTCTTTCCCCGCATGACATTCAGGGATTTGGAGTGGCTGGTTCGCTCGGCCGGTCGGTCGGAGTGGTGCGCGGATGCGGAGGCCGATTCGGACAAAGAGGACAAAGAGGAGCAATACTACAGAGTAGATCTAGCATGGCTTGAAAGGTCCATATTACCTAGTATCCAGCACCAGATCATGGTGGTATAAGATGATTTTGATAAGATGACCTCTACATCAGCGGCCACATACAGTTCTACGTCAAAAGTCTCCATGCGACGGCCACAAAAAATATATAGTTTCGCTGCAGCGGTTTGCACTCTTATTTGTCAACCAACTGGGATCCAAACATTATAAGAGAAGTTCGGTATATACAGTACGATCGCGCGCATCTAACGACACCAGTTCCAACGCCCAATATGTAGTATACCAGCACCCAGAAGCGATTACTGCCTCGATCCGCCGCAGCATCGATCCGACCAACCGGTCACAGTAAGCCTGACCGAATGATCAACTCCCAGGCCTGCTCGATAAGCTCTGTGGATTTCCCAGGCTTTCTTTTCAGTCCCATTACAGGATTCGATATCAGGATCGACCCGATACATCGTCTCCTTCAAGCGGGCCAGGCATGCTCGATGGGAGTTAGATCGGGCGAATAAGACGGCAACAAGAGTACTTTTGAAAGACATTTTTTTAGCCATCCTTACTCGGTTTTATTCACCCTGTGGTAATTGACTTGTTTCTTCCATACCGTGTGACAAGCGTGGTATCTCATACCCGCATGTTCTATAATTCTACTACCGATGGATTCTATGTTTCTGTCTCTAGCCCGCAGTGGACTATAATTCACTCATACGACAGGACCAATGTCAATCCTTTATAATGTGAACCTCAAGATACAAGCTTTGCTAATCGCAAAAACACCAGAAATAATAATAGTCCACACCGTCGGCTTCCTCATCATGCTATCTTTCCCATTTCGCGAGCGCGTAAACGGGACTGGACAAAGTCAACGCCCTGACTGGCACCGATACAGAATCAATCTTGGAATTGAGACATGCAGCAGCTCACTGGGTCATTTTAAACGCAACGCATATAGTTGACAGAACGAAAGCGTTCATATCATCGTGGTTTCCAGAGGCTTGGATAGTGCTCCTCGATATCCGAGGCAACTCCATCTGCGCATAGGGCTAACCAACCGTTGCAGACGAGCAAAGCTTGTCATAGCCCAGTGACGATCCGGCTGAGGGGCAGAGTCCAGACAGGTTTGATATCGCGTAGTGGAGCAGGAACTGGGCCGGATGAAATCATCATGTAGTAATGGTGGGTCCAGGAACAGACCAACAACCGATATAAGATCATCGACCATCACACCATGGAATAACATGTTATCATGGACATGGAGAAGAAGACCTCGATCCGCGACCGGCTGAGCCAGGTCACCTGGGGCTGGTACTCGATATGCATGGCCACAGGGGGCATCGCCGTGCTGCTATACAACACCCCGCATCAGTTCAGGGGTCTCGAAGCAATCGGGAAAATCATCTACATCTTCAACCTAGTCCTCTTCGTAACAATCTCCCTCTGCCTCATCGTCCGCTTCACATCTCGCCGCCCAGCACTGCGCGAATCCCTCCAGCATCCAAACGAAACGCACTTTCTTGGAACCGCGCCCCTCGCCCTCGCAACAATCATCCTCGGCGCAAACAGCTACGGCACATCCTCCTGCGGACCCTGGCTCACCACCGCGCTCCGCGTCGTCTTCTGGATCTACGTCGCCGTCGCCATCCTCCAAGCCATCCTCCACAACTGGTACCTCTACCACCGCCGCATGGCCGCCTCCCAGCCCTTTGCAATCCCGCGCCTCCTCCCTTCATTTCCCGCCATGCTCTCCGGGACAATCGCCTCGGTGCTCGCAGCGAACCAGCCGGCGCACCATGCGGTCCCGATTCTCGTCGCGGGGGTCACGCTGCAGGGCTTCGGGTTCCTCATGTCGCTGTTCGTGTACGCCGAGTACTTCTACCGGATGAACAAGGACGGACTCCCCGAGGCGCGGGAACGGCCGGAACTGTTTATAGCGGTTGGGCCGTGGAGCTTCACGGCGCTTGCGGTGATAGGCATGGCGAACGGCGCTGTGCAGAAGGTTCCTGTGGACTGGTTGATTTCCTCTGGAGCTTCTTCGTCGCAATCCCTCGAATCCGTATCGCCAACAACCGCACAAGTCGCTCTCATCCTCGCCTCGCTGTTCGCAATCTTCCTCTGGTTCCTCGCCTTCCACAGCCTGTGCGTCGGCATCCTCAGCATGCTCGCGCTGTGTCGGGTTTTCGGCGGCGAGGGCGTCCCAGCTATGAGTCTGCCGTGGTGGAGCATGGTGTTTCCGAATACGGGGTTTGTGATTGCGACGATTCGGATCGGGAGTGTGCTGCAGTCTGCGGCGATCCTGTGGGTTGCGTCGGTGATGACGGTGGTGCAGGTCGCGGTTTGGTTGGTGGTTCTGGGGGCGTCGGCGTGGGTGATCCTTCGAGGGGGGATGTTGTGATGGCCTCCCATGGGGATTGATGGGGATGAGATTGGGAGACGCTCGGGTATGGGCCAATGGTTCTTCTACTTTGGTGATAACGGTACAGGTATAGATCCAGGTATATACAGAGGATAGACTCGGTATACCACGTGATAGACAAAACTAAGGATGATATCACACTTTAAAGTCCAGTAATCTACAATCCTCGACAAACATATCGGCAAAGAAGGACCCGGTGGGCAGGCCCTTGCACAAACCAGAGACGCATGAGGAAGGCACGACCACCACCAGAAGGTTCCTTGCAAACACAAAACAGGACGGTACGCTGGTGGCTCCTTCCGTTTTCATCATTCAAGTTTCCTCTGGCAGATATGGAAAGAGCGACCAAGAGGTGCACCTTGCCAACCCAATAAAGGAAGGAACGGATCCGTGTGACGGTCGTTCCTTCCTGAATACACGGTGCCAACAACACAGGAGGAAGGTGCGACCAGAGCCTCAACTATAGAGGAAGGAATGGCCAGTGAACGACTCGGGACGCTGTGTCGCTCTTTCCTCCTGTACGTTTGAGTAATTAGGAAGGCACGACCTTGACTAGAGCGTACCTCCCTAGAATGGTATAGGAAGCAACGGGCAGCTGCTCGCTCCTCTTTTCCATGTGATTAGCTTCATGAGTGTGACTTCATTCGCCGCACTGTAGAGGAAGGACGACCGTGAGCAGGTAACTATAGCCGTGAATATTGAGGCTCATTGAGAACGGCGCTTGGTATTATGGCTTCGAGTACAAATCGACTGTTCAGGGGAATGGTCGTAAGGCAATCTAGACGAGATATCTCCAAGCTCTTAGCTGTGTATGACATCTGGCGAATGTAATGTCAACTTGTCAGAGACAATCAATAAACAGGGCACAACCAGACCTTGCCACAAAACGGCCTGGCCTACCAAGCTATTCAGATACGTCAGAAACCGAGTGACTTGGCTTCAGCAGCCTTGGGTACCCAGTTTGCTCAGCCCAGAACTCATCAAAACCGTTGGGCTTCTGTCTGGTCCCCCAGTCGACCTTGTTTGAATCCTGCTTACACTTCAGGGTGACATCCCACATTGTTGCCCCTAGCAGCGCGCACGGACTAGTGATGCGGCGCCGCTATGACGACAATGGTTTGGTGGTAGTATGGTAGTACCGTCGACTTTCTTCTCCCACCGACCTGACTCGTGCACGTGCATATAATATCACACGAGAAGCAGACCGGAAACCTTATGCCAAGGATGTATTTCGGTGTGTGTCTTAGCTTGAATAGACGGTGAGTGCAGTTTTCTCGAAGGTCGGGACCAAAGGCTAGGGCTGTGTGGATACTGCGCCCAGCTCAGCTTCATAGATTGGCGTTTCTTAGGCCGCTTACTCGGGCCTGGAATACCAAATTAGAGCTTTCCCACTTTTCTCAGGTCAGGGAATGTAGACCGTACCATTTCATACTCTGCTTCACGGAGCGCAGCAGCTCCGAATAGCTCGAGGAGTGCAGGCCGCGGAAGTACTTGGCAAGTAGTATGGCGAGCACGAGTGACCTGCACCACCGACGTCACCCGGCTCTCGGCAATCAATAGCCATTGAGACGGTGAGTAAACCCTTGCATCGAGGTCGTCATCACGTGTTCAGGACATGACGGGGTGTGGCCGAGAACGAGGTGGCTGGCGCCGTTTGGGCTGTGTCAATGCAAGGGACATGACTACTCGCACGATGCTAGGACCCGGACAAAACAACCCGACGAGTCAGAACTGCGGATTGAGGTTGCGATTAGCTCATCCTCTCCTCGTGCTGATCAAGTTTTGTTTCACACTGGCCTCGTGCGTATGCAATGCATCGAGCCAATAATCGCCCTTTTGTGCTGTTCGACTGAGGAAGAGCCGGTTTGCGGGATGGTTGGTGAGAACAAGCCATCTAAATGCCTGACCAAGAGCCCCTTTGAGTTCGATGGCACCGTAAGCTCAATGGGAATGAGGCGTGGATCCATACCGCTCAACGGCGTCATTCTAATGCCTGGGTACCTTCGGTTGCTTGCCTGTACGCGTATTTAATGTGGAGTAGCGATTTCATACCTGTAATCAACTAATGAAGGTTCTTTCCAGTCTCTCTACCCAGGCTAATGGGTCATCTTTGTTCATCAATCTGTATAGCCTTTCAGCGAGCTTCAAGAATCATTTCAATGGCGTTCCCAATCACACTCAACTCGAATGCAGAACTGCAAGAAGCATCAACTTTGGACGCAGACGCGTTCCGGTCAATCCATGTCTCGGATAAAAAGCCTCAACTCAACTCGTGCGCACGGCTTCCCGCGTTTATCGGTCTGGCCGTTGTTCGAGAAGCATGGGCGACGACGTTGTCCCGAATATTGAACGCCACAAGGTCTCTCAGCTTCAATATTGAGCATGTCGGTGACTCAATCACCCTGATTCAAGTGAGGCTGGCCTCTGGAAGCCCCCCGATCACGCCCATCACGCCCATCACGCCCCCGGCGTCACCAGGTACGACACTTGAAAGTCTCGTGTTAAACGAGACTTCTATAGTCTATATCAACCCTTGTAGCAACGAGAAGATTTCGAATCAGCAAGCGCAGTCCAAGTCTTCCAGCCTTTTATCAAGCCAGGTAAGTCGGCTAAGCAAAGAAAGAGATACAGCGCTCTGATTGTATGACAGAGCAACATTGGCCTCGAGGTGATTCATCACGATTGCCAATGGCATCTGGAACTTTGGTACAGGTCCAGTGCGGTATCGCCAGTCCAAGCGAATGAGCTAGTCGAGCTCTTTCAGCAAGATTTGGAAGCTTTGTTCAAGTCACTAGCAGCAGCTTTGCCGCCTTCTCCCCCAGCAGGCGCACTTGAAGAGGTTCAAGTCTCCGTGGAGGTGGATCAGGCTTCGGATTGTCCCAAGATCGATCGCTGCATCCATGACCTTGTGGAAGAGCAAGTCATAGTTCGGCCACAGCAAGAAGCTGTATGCGCACATGATGGCTCCCTTTCCTTCGCCGATTTGTCAGCGCTTTCCTCAAAATTGGGTCACCAACTTAACTCTCTAGGAGCCTGTGTGGAGCAACGGGTGGCCATACTGATGCCCAAGTCGCGATGGTACTCTGTATCTGTGCTTGCAACACTAAAGGCGGGGGCAGCATTCGTTCCACTAGACCCGAGTCATCCCGACAACAGACTGCGCCAGTTGATTGAAGATATCGAGCCGTGCGCACTCGTCACAGTTTCTTCACTTTCCGCCAGAGCACATGCCTTGGAATGCTCGAATGTGCTTACCATTGACGACATGGACTTTGACACTCAACCGGAAGAACAGCTCACGGCTCCAGTCACCCCCAGCAACGCAGCATACATGATTTTCACATCTGGATCTACGGGAAAGCCAAAAGGAGTGGTTGTGGAACATTCGGCGTTAGCGACCAGCGCTATAATGCGAGGTACTGTTCTAGGGCTGGGTCCGGACTCGCGTGTTCTGCAATACGCACCACATACATTTGACGTCAGTGTGGATGAGATTCTAACAACATGGATCCACGGAGGGTGTGTATGCGTGCCATCGGAGAACGATCGTTTTATGATTGCCGAATTCATGGAGGCGAAGCGGGTCACCGCAGCTTTGCTGACGCCCACGTCGGCTCGAACTTTGAACCCTGACGACGTTCCCTCTCTGCGCACGCTTCAGACCGGTGGCGAGGTCCTTACAGAGGACGTGAACGATAAATGGTCCAACCGAGTGACACTTTTCAATGTATATGGACCAACAGAGGCCAGCGTTGCATGCGTCATCAGCAACAGGACTGGCCTTCGGGGTACCGGACATGTCCTTGGGCAAGCAGTCGGAGGAAAGTGCTGGGTCGTCGATCCTGACAATCTATCAAAGAGACTGGCCCCTGGCGAGATTGGGGAGCTCTTGATCGCAGGGCCAATTCTCGCTCGCGGATACTTTCGTGATCCAGCCAGGACAGAAGCGTCTTTTGTTCGGTTGGCCACTGGAGAAAGGGTGTACAAAACCGGTGACCTAGCCAGCATGGACGCAACCGGGACCATTTCTTATCATGGCAGGAAGGACTTGGAGGTCAAAATTCGGGGACAACGTATCAACGTTGCAGAGGTTGAGCACGCCATTATTCAATGCGACTCCGTCCATAGCGCTGCCGTCGAGTATCCTCGATCAGGGCCCTGCGCCGAACGACTGGTGGCAATCATATGTGCAGAAAGCTCTGACAGTGAAGCCAAACAGCCGGTCGATTTGTTCGCGCAAGCAAAAGCTCTCGATTATGAGTCCCTCAAGCCACTTCTTGATCATGTGTCTGGCGTTTTGACACCAGCAATGGTGCCTTCGAAGTGGATAACTTTGCCCTACTTGCCACAGACGACTTCAGGAAAGGTAGACCGCAAGCAGGTACGAGCCTGGCTGGAGGATATTGGAACCGACACCTATAATCGAATCTTCCATAGCACGCTGGATCGCACGCCTGAGCGCGTTCTAGCAGATGATTCGGACAGTTTAGTCGCTGTCTGGAGCAAGGTGCTCAAGCTGGAGCCTCGCCATCTCCACCTCAATCAATCCTTCATTCGAAACGGTGGAGACTCGATCATGGCAATGGAAGCTCGGACCTTGGCCCACAGTGCGGGAATAGTGGTCAATATTCATGATCTCCTGAGCACCCAGAGCTTGCACGAGATCGGTCTAAAAGCAGCCTCATCTACTCAGTCAGTCGGTCCTTCTACCTTCGAAGAAGATACAGATGAGCCCTTTGCGCTCTCTCCCGTGCAGCAGATGTACTTCGAGAAGATTCAGGATCCAAGCTTGGGCCTGCAACAACGTGTGTCGGTTGAAATCACGCAGCCCATTCACCCCGATCATCTGCGCATTGCATTGGATTATCTGGTCCATCAGCACCGAATCCTTGCTGTACGGTTTGCTTTGAAAGAGGGAACATGGGTGCAGTATATACCTTCGGACAAGACCACCGAAGTGTCCTTGTATGGCTTCTACACCACACCCCCAGAGCCTCTTGACGACTTTTGTACCGCGCCAATGAGCATTGAGCAAGGGCCCCTGTTCCATGCGCATCTGGGAACTTCCGATAACGGACCCCAAAACCTGATTCTGTGTGCCCACCATCTAGTGGTGGACTTTGTGTCGTGGAGGGTCATACTGCATGATCTGCATGATGCCCTACTTGCAGCTCAGATAAAAACCGCCCTGCAGCCGGTCACGAAGCCCACTTTGACTTTTCGACAATGGTGTCGAGAGCAGGTCAAGTACGCATCGTCTCTTCTTCCTGACGCCGTCCTGCCCTATCAGCCCGGCCCGCTTGGCCTGGACTTTTGGCAGCCATTGGATACTCCATCTTTGGCCAACACGTACGCAGGGGTCGTGCAACAAGAGTTCCGCCTATCATCTAATCAGACTGCTCAGCTTCTGAACAAGTTCAACAATATGCCATCGTTGCATCCGACTGATGCCATGATCGGTGCCTTCGCTATGGCGTTCAGACGTATCTTCCCAGAGCGCGAAACGCCAAGTATATTCATCGAGAATCATGGCCGAGAGCCTTGGAATGCTTCACTCGATGTATCGCGCACAGTAGGCTGGTTCACAGCTGCATATCCAGTACACCTGCCCAAGTCCACCTTACACAAGCTTGAGGAAGCTATACGAACAGTAGCCGAACGCCGACAAGCCACGCCCGCCAATGGTCACGCTTACTGGGCATGTCGCTGGCTCTCTGCTCGCGGCAAAGAGGCTTTTGCCCATGACTCCCGCCATCAGCAAATGGAGGTCGTATTCAACTATGCAGGCAACGTCGTTCAGCGGGCACCAGATCATGGTCTTTTTGGAAGCACCGTGCGTACTGCTGAGATTGGCCATCCTGACTGTCCGCGGTTTTCCCTCTTTGACATCGTGGCGACGATCGAGCAACCGAATCAGGAGCTTGTCGTCTCATACAGTTTCCCAGGGCACCTTGCACACCAATCCCGCATCCGCGAGCTTCTGCATGGCCATCAACAGCTCTTGGCTCTGGCAGTCAATGAGAATCATGCAATGGTGCCGCTATCACAGCTCCACTCCTGCCCAGCCGATATTTCCCGACGGTTGGAGGAGCAGGGAATGGACATGAACCAAGATGTTGAGATGATATATCCGGCATCACAGATCCAGCAGCATATGCTCCAGCGGCAGGCCTTGGAACCATGGTACTACCGTGTGCGCGGTACTTGGGTTTTGGAAAAGGCCGCAAAGTCCTCATCTGCAGTGGATACTGAGCGTCTGATGCTTGCATGGAGAGAAGTGGTGAGCTACCATTCAACACTGCGGACAGTCTATACGTATAGCAATGACTTGCACAAATTCATTGCTGTCGTCTTGCGCAATGTCAATCCTTCCGTTGCGCGTCTCCAGGCTTCGGATAAAACCACCAGCCAGTCACTATGCAAAGACACTGAAAGCCTGACTCCGCCCCACCGTATGGTACTTCTTGAAATGAGCGATGGGGCGGTTGAGTGCCAGTTCGAATTCAGTCACGCAATCATTGACGCTGCCTCTCGGTCAATTGTCCTGCAGCACCTTGCGGATGCTTACGAGGGAACAATACATCAGCGGTCATTTGAGGCTCCATCGTACTGGGAATATCTCAATCATGTTCAGTCAGAAGCAAGCGACTCCTCAGTCACCACAAAATCACTAGCTCCTTCGGGTGCCGTGGCTGCTCTTCCGTTCGAACTTCCACAGCCTGGAACGTCCATTCTGGAGACTTGCATGGCGAACGAAATCACCGTCTCAAGCTTCTTTATGACAGCCTGGGCAATCGTCCTATCACGGCAGCTCGGTAATCAATTTGTTTCATTTGATTACGTGCTCTCGGACAGGTCCGTTGACATAGCCGGCATTGAGTCGGCCGTGGGTCTCTTCATCCGACTACCAGCATGTAAAATTGCCATCGCACCCGATACGCCTGTTGTAGAACTGGCCCGACAGATTCACGCGCAGCGTACACGTGTTTCGGAGTCTGAAAATTGTCTTCCAAGCAAGTCGACCGCAACGCAAGGACTTGCAACGCTCGTCAACATTCGAAATAGTGGCACAGAAAGTCTAGACATGACTGCCGGGGGCGTACGGTGGAGCCTAAGGTCATTTGATGATCCGTGGGACTATGACCTCGTCTTTGCGGTGAATGTGCGGGGGTCACAGGTACTTGGATGCTCGATCGAGTACACAGAAGGTGTGGTGTCGGAATCAGTAGCCTCGAGTTTTGCAGAAAGTCTTACCAGGAATGTGGAGACAATGATGCAGGCAATGATGTAAGTAGGAATTAGAATGATCAATGGAACGTGGCATCGTAATGCAACTGTGCAATTGTTGATGTATGTAGGGTGGTTCTTCGAAGGGGGTAAGATTCCCCTTACGTCCAGGGCCTGTGAGGTCATCTTCGCTTCATGCAGACGGGGCATTCTCCGTTAGAGTTAGTGTCTCTCACCGCGTCTTTGAGGTAGTTAAATAGCGGTCATGCTTTTGTGTCAGCAGGCGCTGGTTATAATGTGACGTTCGAACGTCTTCCCACCCCATCGCGCATGTCCTGAACGAACATCATGTTAGCCAGCATTGGGCTTCCAATATGGGTTGTCCTGTTAGGGCTTACCCTCACCTATTTCTTGGGTCTCTGTATTCATAGACTGGTATTCAGTCCCATTGCACGCTTCCCAGGCCCCAAGCTGGCTGCTGTCACCTTTTGGTATGAGTTCTACTACGATGTAGTTCAGCGTGGCCAGTACTTTCGGCAGATTGACAAGATGCATCAGCGATACGGTTCTAAGCCCCCTGCTTGTCGCTGTTGAGACTCCCAGCTAATAAGCCTAGGTCCTGTCGTCCGCGTAAACCCCTTCGAGCTCCACGTGCAAGATCCCGAGTTCTATCCTGTGCTGTATACAGGACCGACTCGCCGGCGACACAAGTGGCCATGGGCAGCAAGGATGTTTGGCAACAATACGTCGGCTTTCTCGACCGTCGCGCACGATCATCATCGCGTTCGACGAGCTGCTCTGAACCCTCTCTTCTCTCGGACCGCAATCCAGCGCATGACGCCTCGAATTCAAGACCGGCTGCAGCAGCTATGCCATAGATTGGATGAGATGTGTTCGACCGTACGTGTTTTTGACCTGGGTCTAGCTTTCACCGTGTTTGCCGCGGATGTCATCACCGACTACTGCTTTGGCCGTACGCTTGACCTCGTGCACACTCCGGACTTCGCTGCAGACTGGGTCGAGATGGTGGCGGCGCCATCTGAGCTCAGTCACCTGGTGAAACAGTGTCCTTGGATTGTGCCCGTCTTTCGGCGTTTCCCTCAGCAGATAGTTCGGCTCATCGCCCCTAGTGTCGCCCTCCTTTATGAGATACAGGATGTATGTGTCCCTGCAGACTTTCGGACGTATCACTGACCATAGCAGAGAATGAGCCGCCAAATCCAGCCACTAGCAGACAGAAAGCAAGTCGATCATTCCTCACATCCACTGACAGTCTTCGACACCCTGCTGGCCGGCGACCTCCCACCAGCCGAAAAGACCGTAACACGACTCAAAGGAGAAGGCCAAACGCTCATCGGAGCCGGAACGCTCACGACCGGAAACGCGCTGAAAACGATCGTCTTCCACGTGCTGGATAATCCAGAGATTCTGCACGCCCTGCGCACGGAACTCGACGCCGCCCTTTCCACCACTGACCCGCTCACTATGCCGGACCCAACAATTCACCTGGAACGCCTCCCATACCTAACAGCCTGCATAAACGAGGGTCTCCGGCTCGCCTACGGTGTAACGCACCGACTGCAACTAATCGCTGAAGAGCCGCTGCAATGCTGTGGAAAGACAATCCCTGCCGGAACGCCCGTGGGAATGACGTCGATATTCATGCACGATAACCCGGCCGTTTTCCCTTCCCCGCGGGCATTCCGGCCGGAGCGCTGGCTCGAGATGGATTCCGAGACGAGGGGGAAGATTATGGGAAGGCATTTCGTGCCGTTTAGTAAAGGGTCACGGATGTGTTTGGGCATGCACCTTGCGTATGCGGAGTTGTATCTGGTGTTGGCGACGGTGTTCCGACGATATGAGATTGAGATGATCGGGGTGACGAGGGAGGATATTGACATGGCGCATGACTTTTTTGATCCGGCGCCGAGGAGGGATTCGAAGGGGTTGGTTGTGAGGTTGAGGAGGAGGGGTCTTTGAGTCAAGTGGGAAGGAGCGATCAGTGGCTCGGGTTAGAGTCTTGTTTGCTTTTTGAAGGTCCGACTTACAGTCCTCCTGGAAGCTTTTCAGCAAGATAGAAAAACGCGGAGGAGGTGGAAAGATGGGAGAGAAGTTAGGAAACTGGCGTTGTCGTCGATCTCAATTTGTGCGTGAGGCAAAAGCGTCTCTGAAAACAGGTGTCAGTGTACTTCATTCAGACTGTCAAAACAACATCATTCTGTAGTTAAAGCGCTGCTTCGAATGGTAATTATCCATTATATTCAGTATGTACTCGTTAGTGGGTAGATCAATCTCTTCTCTTCTTCGTCTTACCCTCGTCTCCATATCAATCTTCCCTAACCGAAACATGGCCTGTTTTCGAAACATCGCTTCCAACTGCCTCGTGCGTGGTCGAACTATTAGCACTCTCCTCATCGAGCACATTGGGCCCCACGACCAAACTTCGATCCCTCTCACTGCAATCCATTAGCTAAACCCAACCCTCAGGCAAAGGATCAGACACTCACCCATTGGTCCCATACACGTAACGGATAACAAAGGTCATCGCAACCAGCAACGCCGTAATAACCGCAGAATAGACATATCCATGCTCAAACCACGGCCCCTCAACAGTCGGGTACGTGAACAACGGAATCCAGCACGTCCACATGGTCGAAATCGCGGTGATCAGCACCAACACGACCGCGCGCTCCTCGATATTATCGCGGTAGATGACATTCACCCACCCGTACAGCACAGACGACACGGCAACAGCCGAGTACTGCACGCTGTAGGCGAACCACTTTGCCCCCTCGGGGACGTTCCATATCGCTAGTATGACAAGACCCGTAAAGTTGAATGCTGACGCGAGTGTTATGGCCCACGCACGCTCGACGAAGAGGTCCGTGCTGAAGTTTATAAACAGAATAAAGAAGATTCCCAGTGCGGGACTGATGGAGTTAAGCTCGTTCATTCGCGCGGCGCTGAATCGGTTTAGGCTCTTGAGCCAGAGGAGGAAGGAGGCGGTGTTTGCGCTCGAGTTGAAAAAGAGGCTGTCCCAGAGGAGGACGAGCCAGAAGCGCTTTGTGAGGAAGATCTTGCGCGCGAGGGCCCAGGAGAAGGGGGCGCTTTTTACTTTGGCGCCTTGTTTTTCGAGGCGAGCGCGTGCGAGGACAAGGTCTTTCTCTGATATCACGAGTCTGTTGGGTTTGTCAATTGTGCCTGGGTAGATAAAGCAGCCGATTATGGCGAGCGGTAGGGTGGCGCATGCGTTGACGATGAAGAGCCAGCGCCAGCCTGCGAGGCCGTGGACTCCGTCTAGGGTGTTGAGGGTGGCAGTTTGCATTAGACTAGCTGTTAGCATGCCCAGGGAGAGGCCGACGTAGAAGGCTCCGCCGCGTCGACCGATCTCGTTGCTCTTGTACCAGGATCCAAGGACGAAGTGTACTCCGGGAAAGTATGATGCCTATCAGGTCAGTCTCATTGACTGACAGGTGGAAGAGTAATATACCTCAAAGATCGAAACCATGAACCTATACGCCATGATTTCTGAATAGCTTGTGGCTCTGTACTGCAGCAGAGTGAAGATACCCCACATAAGGTCCAGGGCAGGAACAAGATAGTGCATCGGCACTCGAGGAAAGAGGTACGTAAACGGTAGTAGAGCGACGACATTGCCAACGGTGAATATAGTCTGGAAATGGACCAGTTCGTTTCCATGGAAGCCAAGTTCATCTGCCATTCCTGATACGTAGGCATTATCTATACAGGTTAGATGCTGGTGCGGGCATTTTATCGTGGGTACTTACTGATATTTCCCTGGTCGATATACTTGACCCAGTATACTGTAAAGGCGTAGGGAACGATCAGCAGGTCCAGTTTTCTGATCAACTTTCTTTCCTCAGGCGTGTCTTCTGGCGAATACCAGTCGTACCATTTTCGTGTCGCCATCTCGAATACAGGTTTGACATTCTGGCTGACCCAAAAAATACCATTTCCTTCTCGCCGAATAGTTGGGGTTTCTGTAGCTATATGTGAAGGATCTATGTCGCCATCCTGGCGTTGATAGCACCACATCTACTCCAACTAATGATGCCATCGAAGGCTTGATTGCGACAGAGAACAAGCTCTGCTGCCACGAGTGATTTGACAATCAAGCATGCAAGATAAGAATCTCACAGCCTTGGTGTCCGCAGCTTGCATCAACCTCCGATGTCGGTAGGAATCCTCAATATGAAACCTCTTTTGGCTGATATGGCTCTTCCAAGTATGCAATCTCCTTCTCTGTCAACTGAAAGCTGACAGCTTCAACCGCCTGGTCTATTCTTTCGCGACTTCCGAGTCCTGCTATCGGGAATACCCCTTTGCTCAAGTTCCAAGCCAGAGCCACTGTAGCCATAGGAACTCCTCTCTTCGTCGCAATCTCGTCGACGCGGCCGACAATCTCTTCATCAGCTGCGTTCGCTTTCTGACCACGGACAAGATTCTTCAATAATCTATCGGTCTGTTCTCTTTTTGACGTCCGATCATCCCACTTGTGAGCCAGTACGCCGCGAGCCAGCGGGCTCCAAGGCAGGACACCGACACCAAGATCCCGACATAGCGGATTCATCTCTCGCTCTTCCTCTCGATAGAGAAGATTGTAGTAGTTTTGCATCGAGATGAACTTGTGCCATCCGTGTTTATCTGCAATGTACTGCAGCTTCTGAAATTCCCACGCGGCCATGGAGCTCGCTCCCAGGTATCGAACCTGGCCACTGTTCACGACGTCATTGAGTGCTCGCATAATCTCCTCTGGGCATACGTCTCGATCTAGTCGGTGGATTTGAAGTACATCGATATAAGTGCCGAGCCGGCGTACGCTTTCTGCGACTGCGTCAAGAATATGTTTGCGCGATAGTCCAACACGGTTGACAAGATGTTGCTTCTTTTTGTCCATCATTTCGCGGATCGGTGGCTGATTGACGGGATCAATCGCGTAGTATATCTTGGTCAAAATGACGACCTGCTCTCGAGGGATGTTGTACTTCTTTACTGCTTTGCCGACTATTTCCTCCGAGCGGCCGTTGGAGTATGCGTCTGCAGTGTCCCATGTGTTGATTCCCTTGTTGAACGCATACTCCAGGAGAGGAAGCGCCTCTTTTTCTTCCAGAACCCAATCTTGCCATTTCGATGAACCATAACCTGCGGTTCCGAGGATTATCTTTGAGACGTACAGTCCGGAGGTTCCTACTCTACCCTTCTTAGCAATCGATCACAGCTAACATGTGTCAAAGCTTACCTGGCGTACTCCATGCTGATTTTCAAGAAGAAAGTGATGTCGTTTAATCAATCCAGGACAAACACAAGAAGCGAACTTATACTCGCAGCTCGGGCTATCCGTCGCGGGTTCGGGGCAATCCCCGGAGGCCACCCGGACTTTTTAGCCTGCCATCAGGCCCATTATCCTTCTATGGGAATTGATTCCTTTGTGAGCACCTCGCAAGAAGGTGGTTATCGCATTTGGCCTATCATGATCTGGTCCTCCTGTGTAGCCGTGAGATGGGATGGGCGGCAACGCAACATCGACTCGCCATGTTAGCAACTGCTCAGCAACTCCCAGACTTTGATTCAAATACAACCCGTGGTGACTCCCATGCAACATAGTAGGGTCATTGTACTCTCGCTCTGCTTAACACGGTCGTGTCACCGGTTCGCCGGACTTGCCGCGCTGAGGTCATCTTCAATCATGCTAATTTGACGTCAGCTCGGGTCTCTCTGCGAGCGAAACTCGACTGTTTCCTGAGCTTCCATGCCCTCGACATGGTAAAATTAGTACACGAACTCGAAGAGAGAGTGTGTGTGCAATTGCTTCTGGTGTTTCCGCGGGGTTTACGTCATGTGCCTGGGTTGATCAGATATGCCCGTTTTAGCTTAGCGTTGGTGCCTTGCAGCCCGGATCCTTGAGGCAGCCACTATAAAGCAGTATCTCACCCCGCTTGAATTCATCTTACGACAACAGTTTGAGGGAGCTCTGCCGTCCAACAATTATCCAGACGGCCTGATCGACTGTATATAAAGTCGTATGATCTTACTTCCTGTTCCATGTACTGCGGCTAACAGAGCAGATGACGCTTCGATCGCGACTCCGGTCCATCACCGAGTACAACATCTCGACCTTCCGCCGCCACTATGTCTCTGAAATCGCCGGCTCACTCGGCGACCTGGGGACCTTTCTCCCCATTGCCCTCGCTCTAGCCGCCAATGGCACAGTCTCACTCGCCAGCACGCTCATCTTCTCCGGCATCTTCAACATCATAACCGGCGCCGTCTTCGGCATCCCACTGCCAGTGCAGCCCATGAAAGCCATTGCAGCCGTTGCTATCACACGCTCCTTCTCCCCAGGGTCAATCGCTGCAGCCGGTCTCTTCGTCGCTGCGGTCCTCTTCCTCGGAAGTATCACAGGTCTCCTGCAATGGTTCACCCGCGTCATCCCGATCCCCGTAGTCAAGGGCATCCAAGTCGGCGCTGGCCTCTCCCTCGTCATGGCCGCCTGTACAACCCTGCATGACCTAGGCTGGATTCACCCCTCCTGGGCCGACAACCGCATCTGGGCGATTGCCGTCTTCATCGCACTCCTCCTCACAAACAGCACAATCAAGCGCCTCCCCTACGCACTCATCGTCTTCATCATCGGCCTCGTCCTTGCAATCATCCGCAGCGCATTCGCCTCGCACCTTCCCTCTTTCCACATCTGGCATCCGCCCCTCGTCATCCCGCACGGCTCGCAGTGGTCCAAGGGTGCCATCGACGCAGGCCTCGGCCAGCTCCCGCTGACGACTCTCAACTCCGTCGTCGCAGTCGTGCATCTAGCAGCCGATCTCCTCCCGTCCGTTCCAACACCAACCGTAACAGCCATTGGCCTGAGCGTGTCACTCATGAACTTCGTCGGCGTCTGGTTCGGCGCCATGCCCGTCTGCCACGGGTCTGGTGGTCTCGCGGCGCAATACCGCTTTGGTGCGCGCTCCGGCGCATCGGTTATCTTCCTTGGTGTCGTTAAGCTCCTCCTGGGTCTGATCTTCGGTGAGAGCCTTGTTGATCTCCTGCACCGGTTCCCGAAAGCCCTTCTCGCGGTGATGGTTATTGCCGCGGGTCTGGAGCTCGTGCGTGTGGGCGAGAGCCTGAATACATCGGGTGCAAGGGATCTCGCGCGGCACGCGGAGGATGCAGATGCGGGCGCGGAGACTGAATCGAGGATTCATATTGGGGAGGAGGAGCGTACACGTAGGTGGATGGTTATGATGGTTACGGTGGGGTTGCTAGTTGGGTTTAAGAATGATGCCGTGGGTTTTGTTGGAGGGATGCTGTGTCACTGGGCGTACGAGTTGCCGGGGTACGTTGAGCGGGGGAAGAGGAGGTGGGGTGAGGGGAGGGTTCGGCTGCCTTGATAGACAGAGTAGAGGGCTTGGGACGGTTCCCGTGGACATACCCATGATGGTAAAGTGCACTGCACTTCTAGTGTGCTTGGACATGCCTCATGATATTCATGACATAACGACACGATAGAAACGATTATAATGCACCCAATATCACCAAGCAAATCGATTTGATACAATTCATCGAATCATACAATCATCATCACCTCTCTCCCCTCACCATTTCATCTTCTAAAAATCCTAGACAATCTCATACTCCTCATCCTCAACATCCTCAATCCTCCTCATCCCCTCCCCCTCCCTCTTCGCATCCGGCAGCGCCGCCAACTCGCGCCCATCGCGATCATACCGATGCTCCTCGACGATAACGGGCTGCCCCAGATCCTGTCTGATCGTGCGCACGGTAGTTGTTCCGTCGCGGTCCGTGTGCGAGTCCTTGACGTAGCGGTGGCCAGCCTGCGAGGTGTGGGTTCTTGTGCCGTCGGAGGTTGTGGCCGAGGCGTTTGTGGAGGTTGAGGTGAAGAAGGAGGATGTTGTGGAGATGTTGAAAGGCATTGTTGTTGTTTGGAGGTTGGTTTGGTTGTTTTGGTTGGGTTGGTTGAGCTCAGTGGAATGGTATGGTATTATAATCGGGTATTATAGTATAAGACTTGATAATGGAGTAAATAGATATGATGGAGGGCGAATGGTGGATTTATAGGACGACCATGAGAGCATGTGGCGAGGACTGATGTCATGGCTGGGTTCCTGTCCTGTTGCTGTTGCGGGGTCGTTTTATCATCAGTCCAGGTGATAATATTAGCCTGCCCAGTGTTACACAGTGCAGATAATGATGAAAAGACCAGCTAAAGATGGAAACAGTTCATGATGGACTCTGTCTAGAACATACTCCCAGCTCTGGGTGGCGCTAACCCAAATGGGGTATGTAGCTTGAAGCTATCCAAACCCCGCAGATAAGCGCAAATTCTCCGGGCTTCCCCCACTAACCCTCCTCTTTTGTCTCTCAGTCAGGCCACACAGCGCAAGACCACTTCACACACCCCTCCTCCCGTCAAGCAATCCCACTCAACGCACTCAATCGATGAAACCCCCATCAAAATGGCTGGCCTTAGTGATTCTCAACTCCAATTCTTCAACGAAAACGGCTACCTCGTGATCCCCGACTACCTGGCCCCGGAGCAGATTTCCTCGCTCATATCCGAAACAAACTCCCTCCTCTCCTCCTTCGACCTCTCCACCCACCCACTAACCCAATTCACAACGGGCGACGATGCTCAAAACCCCGAAAAGCCACACGTCGGCGACGACTACTTCCTAACCTCGGGCGACAAAGTGCGCTTCTTCTTCGAGCCCGACGCCATCACCACCGACCCCAGCAGTGGGAAAGCAACCCTCGCCCGGTCGAAAGAAACAGCCGTGAATAAGATCGGACATGCACTGCATGCTCTGTCTGAACCCTTTGAGGCCGTGACGCTCTCTGAGCGGAATGCGGGGATTGCTCGGAGTCTCGGGTTTAGGGACCCTCGTGTCTTGCAGAGTATGGTTATCCTTAAACAGCCGGGGATCGGGGGTGCGGTGCCGCCGCATCGAGACTCGGAATTTCTGTATACGGATGCGCCGAGTGCGGTTGGGTGGTGGGTTGCGTTGCAGGATGCTGGTGTGGGCAATGCGACCTTGGGGATGTATAAGGGGTCGCATCGGAAGAGGAGTGGGGGGATTAGTCGGCGGTTTGTGAGGAGGGTTAATAAGGATGGAGAAGCTTGTGGGACGGAGTTTGTTGCGAATGAGGGAGCAAAGTTTCCTGTTGGCTTGGAGGTTGAGGAGGATGATAGGGAAGGGGAGGTGGAGGTTTTGGATGTCAAGGCGGGTTCGCTGGTTCTGATTCATGGGAATGTGTTGCATAAGAGTCAGAAGAATACGGGGGATAAGAGTCGGTTCGCCTATACGTTCCATGTTATTGAGGGGGCGGAGGGGTGGGAGTATGATGAGCGGAACTGGTTGCAGCCGCCGGAGAGCGGGGAGGGGTTTTCCAAGCTATACAAGTAAAGAAGGCATGAATGTGAATCCTGATACTGTCATTGCATTATATCAAGCAAGTGCGCTGTACAATCCGTGCGTTGCTTTTCCTTCCCAACCGTAACTCCAGTCCGTAAATGATATGTCTATGCGCGCAGCATGTCTAACATCCCCCTCGTCTCAAATGCTTGATGCGCGAAGTCCACTTCGTCGCGCACACGCCAGTGCAGTCGCTCCACCATCTTGTCAATCTGCTCGGATTGTCCCAGGTTTCCTGAGTAGATGTCCAACACGTTCATCGCAACCTCCACGCTCAGTCCTACCAATCGTGGCTCCGTGATGTGCTTGTAAACCCACTGCAGCACAGGCTGGAGCGTCACCTCGTCTCTCCCTTGTAAGGCCGCACGAAGCGCCGAGCGATGTCGCAGTTCCGTGAATAGTGTGAGCTGCGCAATTTTGTCTGGCTTGCCAAGGACCTGGTCAAGAGCAGCGGCGTAGCGACCTTTCCGGAGGTCAAGTTCCCAGCCCTTCTCTTTCTTGCGCTTCCTGGCCTCGTTGCCATCAATGACAATGTCCACGCCCTCGCCGACAAAGTCGAGTCCGCGCCACCGACGCTCCCAGGCAGTACCCTGACGCTTCTTCTTTAACTTGGCCATCTTCTTGTCGTGTTCTTCAATCTTACCTTCTATCAAGGCCTCCATCTCCTTCTTGCGCTCGCGCTCGCGTGCCTTTTGCTCGCCGGAGAGGCGGGTCTTGATAGATAGTAAACCAGACTGCATACCAACAGCGATGTGCTTGTCCTCCCGCGCAGCTCCAGAAGTGATAGCGCAAAGCGATAGAATAGGCGACTGGTATTTGAAGCCAGCGACAACGTTCCATCCAGTCGTTTCGTGGATCTTCAAGTGGCCATCGAGAGCACCACTGAGCAAGCGCTGGCCATCCTCTGCTAAAGACAGCGACGTGACCGTCTTCTGGTAGCTCTGAATCAAGTGCAGCGGCTTTCCGGCCATGATATCCAACACAGCAATCTTGTTATCCGCGGCCGCAAGCACCGTGGTTCCCGTCGGCATGGGAAGAACGTCTTCGATCGCGGCGCCCATCTTGAACGTCATGGCTGATCGTCCCTCGACACGAGGATCCCATAAGCGGACCGTCCTGTCGTAACTACCGGAAACCATCGACCCCGAGGAGGCAAGCGAGCCGGGCATGAAGGCGGCAGTGCGCACATAGTCGGAGTGACCAACAAACGTCTTGATACTGTTCTCACTAGGGAGGTCCCACAACCTCACAGTCCGGTCGTCGCTCGCAGACATAACGCACGTCGGGTCACCGGGCGAAAACTTGGTCACCCAAACGGGTTGCTTGTGATCCTTCCACGTCTTCAAGATGGCTCGCGAGCCCACGTCAAACACCTGTACCGTACCGGTATCATCACCGGCGACGACAATCCTGCCATCCGGGCGGACATCTGTTCCTCGGACCGTGTCATCGAACCGTGTGATTGATCGGAGGAGTTTTCTCGTGCGAATGGAGTAGATCTGGACGCGGGCGCCGGTCGTGACTGTGAAGATGTCGGGAGGCTGTGTGAGGGAGGGAAATGCGGAGGCGGAGGAAGGCGCTGAGGGTTGCGTGATGAGATTGACTGGGCCATTTGCAGGCGAGGGGATGAGGAGAGGGTTCTTGAATGTCTTCCAGTGGAGCTGCTCGGGGCTCAGTGGTGATGCGGGCAGCGCAGGCAGCTTGACCTGCGCTGGGGGCAGGACTGGGGCTGCCATGCTGTATAAAGTCGCAAGTCGCCTGGCGATAGGATTGAGCAGTGAGGCCGCGATTACTCGGGCGTGCTGGCGTTGACTTTGTCGGTGAAGCTGGTGAGAGGTCGAATCTCGAATTCCAGCGGATTTTTTTCGATATCTGCAATCAGTACGCTAGGCCATAATAGGTTAGCGCCTTCCAAAGCTGTTCACCTCAACAATATTCTATACACAAAAAATGGCACATGACTCGAATAAATCTCCATTGATAAATTGTCAAGGCTGTCTCTAAGACAGTACTTGGCCTGGTATAGGTAGGTGGTAGGAGATGGCGCAGTCTTGATGCCATGAGGCGGACGGGGCAATCGTGATATATTTTCGTCCACTCCTCCCCGGCAAGCCAAGAACTTGTAGATTCGAACAAACTCAATCTCTTTATCAAACCTTCCTAGATCTATCAGTAAACGAACTACTAGCAATATACGCCGGAATCCAAGTCTCATCTTCATGACAATAGAAGGAGATTACGAAAGTGTGGTCCAGACAAGCTTCCAGGGATCATGTTTGCTTAAAACGCCGGCAGCTCGTATTTTCAGCACAAACAACCCAACTTTAACTGACCGAGATTGTATCTCTGACATTCGAGCCAAGGCAAGTTTCTGCTATACTCAAGCAGTAGCCCAATAGGTTGACACGCTCTGCGTAACAGTCTCACTTGATGTTCCTTGATTCTTCAGACATATTCTCCACAGTAGGCATCATTACGCCTCGTCTTCGCAGTGGATTTGGCAGCGCCATCGGATTGTAGCTACCTGACTACACTTCTCCTGAAACTGTTTGATGTCCCAGGATCTCAGAAGCTAGGATCATGCAGTCGGCTGAATCGAGTTTTCTTAGCGTGCAGTAGTCCTGCAGCTGTCAGCTGCATCAGTGATTGAAATGATAGGGTCTCATGCAGCAGACCTCTCGATGTACGTTCACATATCTCACATGGACGGACTATACTCGGAGCCGAAGCAACTGCAGAGTATAAAAGCTTGCCTAAAGCCAGCGATCATCGCTTTGTTGCCCTGTTCAGCTTCGTGTCCAGAGGATGGCTCCATAGGCTGGTGGATTCTAATCAACCGTTGGGCATCAGGATGTATCCAGGCGAGGATCTCGCTACACCAGAAAGCAAAATCTCAATCTCGACTATCTGAGCTGCCGTCATCTAGCTCCACTCCTCACTGACAGCAACAGTCCAGAATCTCATGCATGACGAAAATCGACAGGGCTTAGTCTGCCGAGGCTCTAGCGCGCAGGCTGGTCAGTGAGATCATCAGGCGGCCATATTCCTTGATTCGGGCGCATCTATTTTTACGCAGGCAACAGAATTGCAGTAACAAATTCGATATCAGACTCAGTTTTCTTTGACGATATGAGCTGCCTAGACTCAGACAAAACTCGTTGGTATAAGCCCAATCAATGGTGCTGCCGATGTTGTGCAGCCAAACTTTATGCCTGTAATTTTGGCGTAACAGGCCGTATTGGCAGTGGGCCCGAGCTGGCCATCCTGGCAGGATCGAGTCGACGCAGGAACGAGTGATCGGCCAATGGTGGCAGCTGAACGCTCCACAACCAGCCACCCCCCAGCCTCCCAAATCCTGGCCTGGGCCAATGACGGGGGTTGTCTCGATAAGCCAAAGGCTGCTTGTTTTCCCCTCCTCCGCCTGGATCTCCCACCTCTCACTTTCTTCTGCGTTTGCTCGTCCCTCTCTACTGCTCCTCTCCAAATCTCCTCTCGACTTGCTGTCGCGTTGTACAATTTCTTTTCTTTCCCTCCTTGGGTCCTTTCTCCTTCTGTGCTGGCTGTGGTGTCGTGTTGTTACTGGTGTCTTTGGTTGATTCACTCCTTGCCTCGATACCCGCCTTGCATCCTCGCTCCGGCCGCTCCTTATACCCCTTGACCCTGTTGACAGATGTGCTAGCCGTCTTCTGAGTCTTTTCTCTTCTCTCCTTAACCCTCACCATGGCTGCGAAACCGTCTCGAATGAACGGCCTGAACCATGCCGCCGGCATCTTCGCCGACATGTCCGTCGACGGACCAGCAATTGGCACGCTGGTGGCCATTGTCGACCGTGCAAAGAACCTGCCGAACCGAAAAACCATGGGCAAGCAGAACCCTTACTGTGCTGCGCGTCTAGGCAAGGAAGCCAAGAAAACAGACACCGACTTGCGTGGAGGCCAAACACCCAAATGGTAAGCTCCCGAGTGGTGCAAACGAACAAAGACGCGTCCCGGCTAATCTTGCCCAGGGACCAGGAACTCCGCTTCACCGTGCACGAATCCCCCGACTACTTCCGACTCAAGCTCTCCGTTTTCAACGACGATAAACGCACAGACCTTATCGGCGAGACTTGGATTGATTTGAAGGATCTTATCATCGCCGGAGGTAGCCAGAGCGACCAATGGCATCCGTTACAATTTCGTGGCAAGTATGCCGGCGAGATCCGCCTCGAGATGACTTACTACGACACCAGACCCGAGGACGAGGCCGTAATCGAACGCAGAACACAAGGAGTTGACCGACCGGCGGTCAAAACTAGTAGCAGCACTCCCGCCGCGCCTGTCAGCACACCGTCATCATCGTCGTCACTTTCCGGACCTCGTCAGCCGAGAGAGGTCAAACGTCGCCCGCTACCCACCGACCCTACCGGCTCCGCCGCGCCGCGCCCTGCTCCAGAGAAAACACACTCCGCCCCGGCGCCTTTGCCCGTCTCAGCCCATTCGTCTCGACCGGCCCAATATGACAGTGTTCCTACACCCCCATCTAGCTCCGGCATGGACTATTCCCACCAACCTCGGCATACGGCGCCTCCAGACGCCAATTATGATATGCCTCATGGCCTGCCTTCCCCGGCGGCGCGCCCGAGGACGTACGAAACACCGGACGATTTCCAACGGGACTGGAATGCTCCCGCACCGGCTGTGGCTCATCATGCGCCGCCTACTGGACCGCCGAAGCGTCATCCACAAGCCTATTCCCAGGACCAGCACTATCCGTCATACAGAGAAAGAGCGGAACCCCAGGATTACCACAGGCCGCGCTCTGGTTACGACAATGCCCCTCCTGCTGATTACCGATCCGTGAGACAAGACTTACCACCCGCAGGCCGACAGGATCCTTACCACGAACCGGAGCTGCGCGAACCTGTTTATGAGGCCCCGCGCCCTAGCAGCCATCATTACAACCAGCCCTATGTTGCACAGGACCAGTACTCATACGGCCCGGAAGAGCCCCAAGCTCTTCGCTACCATCATGCTGCAGGAAGCATGTCCGGACGTCGGCGGGTCGAATATCCACCGGAAGAGGTTGAGCAAGACCGCCATTATCGTGGCCACAGTAACTCCCTCCCGATCCGAGGGCGCAGCCCTGCTCGCAGCCCCGGACGCCAGTCCGGCCGTGACTATCATGCGGAATACGCAGCAATGCAGCCGCGAGTGGAAGATGAGGATGAGGAAGGACCACCACCTCCACCGCCCGTGCATCGGTCAGGATTGGTTCAAACTAGCCAGCAGTTAGTACCGTCACCAGCTCCTTCGTACCAAGCTTACTCCCCAGAGTACGGCCCGCGAGCGACCCAAGATTTGAATCTCCCCCAGCCTACCCATTTGACCCTCGAGGAGGAGAGGTTTCTCCAAGACCTTCCTCCGGTCACGGACGGCCCAGCCATGCCGCCCAGTCTGGTCGCTGGGCTTGACCCAGTGATTGCAGAGGCGGAATCGGACCGTGTTATCCACGAGGTTCAGGCTCGCCGGCGTAGTGGAATCTTTGAGGACGAGTTTCCGGCTGCTCGCAGTCGCGATCCGTCTCCTTTGCCATATCCCGCGAACAACCCACCCGAGGAACACCGTCGGTCTCTGGTCCTTCGCAAGTCTATCAATGGAGATAGCCCGAGCCATAGCCCGAGCCAGCAGATGGTGCTCCGGAAATCTGTGAGCCCACGCCCGCCACCATCACGAGGCCGCGCAAGAGCAAACTCGCACATTCCGTCCCAAACGCCTTTCTCGCCGGACTCGTTCGACGCGTACAACCCGCATGCTGCTCGATCTGCCGTGTCCCGAGACCCGGCACCGGCGTACGATACGCCAGCAGAAGCAATGGTGATTGCAAGGAGAAATGAAGCCGCGGCAGCCCGGCCTGACGGTCCTATTATCGGTGATGACGGGCGTGAGATCGACCCTTCGGATCACCTTCCCACCGATACATGGGCACCAGAACCAGACCGCAAGCCACGCAAGCCAGGCGTGATCGTCCGCTTCAAAAATGCGCCTCCCAGGGCGGCCCCTCGAACTAGCCCTGCGCCGCCACCAAAGGAGTACGCTCCGCGTCCTACATCTTCTTACATGGGCGATACACGCCCGACATCCTCTTACATGAATGATACACGAGGCGACTATAATCGTGGTCGCCAAGGATATGGAGGAAACAGCCCGGGACACGGCCGAACATATAGCACGCCCTCTCCGCAGCCGCAGCCGCGTAGGAACTCAGTCTCGCCTTCTCCATCGCCAATGTACGCGCCGGCTAATATTGGCCCACCGATTCCGGCCAAGGTGCCTATCAGTGCGCCGGTCGGATACGCGCAGGACCCGCTGAGTCGAGAACTCAACTCGATCGACATTGGTTCGGTAGGATTTAGCTCTAACCGTGCGATGCGCAAGTACGTCCCGAAGACGATCGGGTATGCGATGTAGTGCACACCAAAACGCTCTAGATACCAAATTGATACCACACAACATAAAAGGAACGGAGCAAATTGGCAAAGAACACGGAGTGCATGGATATGGATGGACATGGGTAAAATGACAATGAGAAATGGAAATGGTCACGGAACGAAAACCTGCATTTTTTGGCGTTATGGTACTTTTTTTTCTTCTCTCTTTGCAGATTTTTCTGGTTCCTTTTGACTCTATCTCTTCTTATACTCCGGACTTTGAACGTACACTTGCACTTGCACTTGACCTTCAATTTATACCTTCAGCTTTAGCTTTAGCACCTTTGCATTCCTCCAACCCCTTTGTTGTACTATACGAGAACCATTTATCTACGACAATGACTTGCTTGGTAGATCTGAGCATAAATATCATGTTCTTACGACTGAGGCCTTGTCATCTTCCATCTTCTCTTCTCTTATTCTGGGTCGGACTCTTGTAGCTCTTGCCATATCTGAGTGTACTCTTCTCATTCATCAGTCAACTCTCATCTGGATAGATCGATCCTATCAACTCTACTCTTCCATCACATACATCGATCCACAGTCTATCCAACCATTCGCCATAGAGCAAGAACAGAGCAAACATCCAGCTCACCACAATGGTCCCCCCGATCCGAGGAACCAACCGGGAACCGCCCACAAACCGCAGCCCTAACCGACCTCCTACGTCGACATGCACACTTCCGTCGCCTTGGGACAGGCACCCTCTCGGCAGCACTTCCGACGCTGCAAACCGGCAAAGTCGTACCCAACCTCAAACCCGAGACCGAAATGAAGACGAAGACATGGAAAGCATCTCATCCCCTGAATGGGTCACTGATTCAGACTACATACCTGACCCGGACTGGCTGACGACGGAGTCGGAGACGGAGTTTGATGATGATGGGGACATCGACATCGACATCCACGACGGGTTTGGGCATCGAAATCCAAATCTCGACGTCGACGTCCATGATGACTATGTTGATGTTGGCCAGGAGGAGGATGTTGGTCTTGATCTTAGTATCGGCACCCCCACCCAATCTGCGGAACCGCCTATTGATATTAAGGATGCGGCGAGTATACTGATGTGCCTTCGCACTGTCCCGAGGGTTGTTGGGACTAGCCCTAATCCTGGTTCTGGTTCTGGTGTTGGTGCTGGTTCTAGCTATGCTCTTACACGCAGACACGATACTCACCCTCATCCTCATTTTGATCATGAGCGTGAACTTGAACTTGAACGTGAACGTGAACTCGAGGAACGAATCCAATATGAGAGAAATTCTAGAAGAGCCGCGTATACGCAAGCCATGACCGGCGCCGGCGCCTCCACTAGGGCTGAGAACCAGCCGGCACTGAGGGATAAAGGGAAAGCCAAGGGCAAGGAAAGCAACAGGGGGAGGGGTACTGAACAACGATCGACTATGCTCTGCAGCGCCCAACCCCAGAGCCCGCGGAGCAGGGAGAGATATCATCCTTATTCCACGCCTGCGGCTGCCTCGGCCTCTGTTCCTTTGCATGCGCCTATCGTTGCTCCTGCGGCTACATCTGCCTATGCGGCTGCGTCGAGGGGGAGGAGTAGCGCTGCTAGACCTACCCATCGACGGCCGTCAACCCTTCAAACCGGACCGCGAGAGCCGGACTCCGACTTTGAGATGGACAGTGATGAAGGAGAAATCAGGCAGCCCCCACGATACGGTGCACTCACCTCCTGCGGCGGGGCCATTCGTTGCCGTCCTCGTTCTCGGTCTCGGTCTCTGTCCCGGTCACCACCTACCCTTACCAGCAGGAACAGACAGGCCGCCGCCAGACACGACCGTAACCAGAAACATGCTACCAGCAGCAGCAGCGGCAGCAAGAACAACAGCAACAACAACAGACCCTCCGCAACCCGGGCACCACGAACCCCCTCCCCACGACCGCGTCCCCGCCCTGAATCCCCTCCAACCCGGAGAGCGCGGACACGCAGGGAAGCGCAACTAACCCCGTCAACCGAAACCGAGCCCCAATTTCAATCCGAGTCCGAATCCGAATCCGAAAGCGAAAGCGAACTCGAGGGCGAATCAACCCGCGAGGTCTGCGGCTTCCAGTCCTGCAACGCACACCAAACCGGCGAGAAGCTGTACCTCCGCAAGATCATCTCGCACGTCTTCGGCCGCAACAAGAACGAGACGAAGAGTCTGCCGGACTCGATGTTCGTACGGTACTGTCGGAAGCATTACCAGCGCGCGAGGTATCGGTCTGAGGCGGAGGGGTATAACAATAACAATAACGGTAGTGGGAGTAACAGTGGGAACAGGGGGGGTTGTGGGGGTGCTGCTGCTGTCAATAACCGTGGGAAGAACTGGACGGACAGGCAGTGTGAGCTCGTCATGGATGCCCTGAACAGGATGAGGAAGTGGGGGGAGGTGCAGGGGTTCAGCGTGGGGTTGAGGAAGAGAGAGGTGCAGAGGATCGAGTCGATTTCTGGACTTGCATCTACGTCTGCGCCTTCTGCGTCTGCCTCTGGATCAGGAACATCTCAGGCCCAGGTCCCTGCGAACAATGCTCCGTCCACCCCCAGCCCCGGCGCCGCATCAAACACCACCTCAACATCTACCATCATCACGTCCTGGACCAGCAACAGCAGACAAACAGGAAGACAACAACGCCCCTCCATCGCTGCCCCGGTCCCACAATGGCTCACCCAATGGATCATAGTACACGAGGGCCAGGTGCTCTCCTTCGACGAGATAATCGAGCTGGTGGAAGATATCCAGAGATTTATTCCGACGGTGGTCCTGCGACCCGGACAAGAGCTGCGGTTTCCGGATATTGAGATTATCCCAGTGTATTTTGAGTCGAGGACTAATACGCCGTCTGGGTCGGGAACTGGATCTGGATCGGGTTCTGGTGGTCGTCGGCGTGGGCGTGGTCAAGGTCGTGGTGGACGGGGGAATGGACAGAGTCCTACGCCTGAGTCTGGTTCTCGTTCGCGTACTGGGGCAGGTTCTTCCCATCCTCGCAAGCCTCATTCTGGAGCCTTCTCTGGGTTTCCTAAGAATCGTGACCGAAAGGGATAGATGCGATCTGCATGCAGTATCAAGTGATAGAATGATAGAGAAATAAGACGCTGTCATTAACATTAACCCGACTTGAAAATCGTAACCGTAGCATGACGCCTATATACAGTCAATTCAGCAAGTAACAAATGCACCACCCGCACATATACCATAACCATGTACCATATCCCAAATTAAACCAGTCAGTCAATCACGTTCATGTTCTGTATATCCCTCCAGAACACGCTGTGGCCTCAACGCTAATCGAAGAAACAAACAAAAGCCGCCATTTGAACCGGACAGCGGAATAAATCGCAACTCACGAGTGATCCGGAATCAACTCGTACCCTCCCTCCGAGGGGAGACTGTAAGCCGCAAGAATCAACGCGCCGGCGCAGACGATACTCACGCACCAGCTCACAGTGCAAAAGAGCCAGGACTGATCAAGCTGCCAGCCGACGAAAAACCGCGCTTCGTTGTCAAAGAGATATGCCTGTAACCCATTAGCCCAGCCCCAAATTATCCCTCCAAACAGGTTGCAGCCACATACCACAATAGACATACTCGCCGCCTGTACAACTGCCGAAAGCACAATGAGCAGACTTAGAATCTTCCACCCACTCTCCCTGAGTCTCTTGCCTCCCGAAAGTATGATCAAATACGCAACGACACTCATCCCCTCAAGCACAAGCGCAAACGACATCATAAACCCGACGGACCGCCACATGGAACAAAAGTAGCGGTCCTCGCCGATGCAGTCTTCGCGCTTTGGGAAGCTCTCGCAGGTGTCTGTGAGCGAGGAGCAGCGTCGGTGGAGCCCGTAGGAGTAGTGGTACGAGGGCTTTTCGCTGTGGTAGCTGACCCAGTTGGGGATTGCGATTGAGGCTATTGAGAGGGCGAATGCTAGAGAGCAGGGTTCTGTTAGTTTCGGTTTGAGTTTGGTTATGGTTTGGGTTTGTTATGGGAGAGGGGAGGGGAAGAGAGGGGGGAGTACCGGCTAGGAAGACTATGAGCGAGGCCGTGTAGACAATTGTTTTGGTGAGGAAGCCGGTGTAGTTGCGGTCTTCTCCGCGGGGCACCAGATGGAAATCCATCTGGGCGATATGTGTGGTGTTGGAGAAGAAAGCTTGAAGGGGTGGTTGATTGGATTGGGATTTGGTGATGACGCAGGCAGCCGGATCGAGAACCCCAGATAACAGATATACCCCAGAGTGAGGAGTCGAGGTACGTTATCAGGTGGCGAGAATATGACAAGGACAAGGGTATGGTCGGAGTATAAATCAAAAGATAGAAAGCCACAACTGAGGAGTGAAGAATGGAGAATGAAGAATGCAAGAAACAAGGACACAGGAGAAAGCAGTGAGCACGGATGTTCTCTCGCTCGTTTCACCTGATCGCAATCTGGTCTGTCTGTCCCACTCCAATTTGCCCAGTTACGAGTAAATTTCTTCGCCCGTCCTCTGCTCTCTTCAAGGTTCGAGGTACAAGCTAATGCCAGAGAATCCTGCTTTGCTCCATTTTTCGGCCAATTACCGCTGCTGCTGCGGGTGATCATATGAGCGTTATTTAGGCCTCACCTAACCGTTTAGTGCATTCTTGGGGATTGCGCTATCTTATCTACTTATCTCGACGTTTTGAATTGGATCTGTAGGTCAAAGCGCGCAGGACATTTGTCCAACATCGGTCAAGGTCTAAAGGTCTGGAGGGTGGGAATAGCTTCAACTTCACTTTGTCAAGTCTATTCAGCTGACGTCATACTTCATCGAAGCTGCCTAAAAATCTCGAAAAAGCAAAGAGCTGTCAAGCAGGTGAAACGATCCATTCGTCTAGACCTCTGAGAACAAAATCTCAAACTAGAGTAAACCCCGCCATGTCTTATCTCATAAACATTAGAAAGCGGCAAAAAAAAGGCAACAAAATATAGTCTACACTGTCCGGGACTCCCCACGAGACATGGCATCATACGACGGACGATCTGGGGAATAGAGTACAATGCGCAAAAGAATCGCCCCGTCCGGAGAATTAAGAGGTAAAAGAGAAACCCGTTCCGTCATGCAACCGTTCATGCAGCCTTCCTTCATTATGATTCTCCCTGACTCCGCTGGATCATGGCACGGAAATCATCATTGCTCTTTTGGCTCCTGTCCCCTTCGCCAGAGGTGTTTGCGTTTGTAGTTGTCGTTGCTATCGTAGTAGTCATGGGCGGGATCCCACGCTTTACCCCCAATCCACCACGCTTTCCGTTGCGTCCGCCGGGTTGTGGAGGTCGTTTGATCGGTGCCGTCGGAGCAAGGAAAGCACTTCCTGGTTTTGACTTGGCTTTTGACGCTGGTCCGAGCCCTTGATTCCGCTTCTCGGCAGACTGTTTGAGCATCTCCGACACGGTACCGACGTGAAGTTTTCGCCCAGCGCTAATCTCCTGGCCTTCCAACTCGAGAGCAGCTTTTCCCGCGTGGTTCACATCCGCAAATTCAACAATCGCTCCTTGGTGATCGGGTCGTAGCACAACCTTCACGAGTTTTCCGTATGGCTCGACGAGGGCTCGGATCCGTGCGTCATTCACGGTATCAGGGACATTCATCAGGCCAAGAGTGCGGTCTCGTCGCTCGCCGGTTGGCTCTTCTAGATCGCCGGAGGGGGAAGCACCGTTGGTCTCCGGTGCAGGAGACTGAGACTTTCCCACCCGTGAGACGACAGTCGCCGCAGTACGTTTTGCACCTTGCGGAGCAGACAACCTCACTTGGAGAGGACGAGACCGGAACTCTTGCTCATGCAGCGCAAGCGCCGCATTAGCTTCCTCCTTTGAACTGAAAACGACATAACCAAATCCTTTACTGCCTCCATCGACCTTTCTCGGTATGCGAACCAATTCTACGGTGCCAAATCTTTCAAAGAGTTCCTTGAGATCCTGCTCATTGGCTTTCCAGTCGACGTTCGAAACGTGAACCTCACGCCCTTCATATATAGGGCCATGGCGGTCTTGTTTGCGTGTGGGATCCGATATCTTGGCGACCAGGTGCAGGCCGTTGCCGACTGTAGACCCATCCAGCTTTGTGGCACTGTGAGCACCTGCAGAGGTTTTGAACTGCACATAACAGAATCGGCGGTGCGTATTGTACTTGAGAGAGGGGAAGCGAATATCCACAATTTCGCCGTGCTATGAGAGGTTAGCGAAGGTCAAACGGAGACAGGAGCGACTTACAGAACTAAACAAATCTTGAATGTACTTCTCATCGGCTGTTGGTGGAAAGTTGGTCACAAACAAGGTGGTCTCGGAGCCGAAATGCACCTCTATTGTGTGCTCATCGATGATCTTCTGATCCCGAGTTTGTGCAGCCACAGCGTCGTCTCTAGTATTAAACTCGATCATAGCCACTTCGGAGTTGCCGTCCTCGCCGGGCAGCATCTTCACACTGTTGATTGTACCGCACTGTATCTGGTTAGCCTATGTTTCTCGGGGCAAGAACGAAATCTTACGTCACGGAAGAATTGCCGCACTTTGAGCTCGGCGATGTTCCTGGGCAGGTTCTTGACAACAATGGTAGAGTTCTCACGGTCACGACGAAGCGCCACCGGCTCGGTTTCAGCAACCGGTGCCGACTCCTCAGCTCGCGCTTTCTTCGTCGGCAGGCCATTCACAGCCGACTCTTCCTCGCGTTTCCGCTTTTCAGACTGCGGAGTTTCTGATGAGGGTGCTGCTGCTGCCGCCGCTGCCTGCTGAGCCTGTATAGCTGCGGCTTCGCGAGCCTCACGATCTCGGCGAGCGGTAATGGCTCTCAAGGCCTTGCGGGTCTCCAGAATAGCGAGCTGTAATTCCTCCGAGTCCTCGTAGTCCTCGCAATGAGCAACATAAGTCTGCATGATCTTTTCCGGCCAATCAAGATCAGTACGCTTGATGGCTTGCTTGAGCACAGCTGTCGCAAAGCTAGGATTTGGGGTCCGGCGAGCGGCGTCCACTGTCGCCTCACCCTGGACAAACTTGCTCCAAGAGATCAATTCCCAGTGGTAGTACGTAAGCCAGAACTCATAGCTATTACCGCGGCGTCCCACAAGACCCTTGAATGTTTCTCGCGCACTGTCCCAGCTGCCACTCTCGCTCAGGTATCGGATGTAAATACGCTCAAGGCGGAATAGTGGGTCACCTTCATAAGAGCGGCCGTACTTCTTTTCTCCAAGCTCCTGGACGCTTTCAATAGCTGAGCGGATTCCGACTTCGGCTACATCCAGATCCTCGTCCGTGGCATCTGACAAGAAAGCCCTTCGTCGAAGATAGCTACACCATTCTGTGTGTACCTTGAGCACCTCTTCCATTCCACCGACATCAAGCAGACCTGTGCTTGTCGCCTTGTGTTTGATATCCGCGATCTTAGCAAAAGACTGTCCTTCTCTTTCGGAGCTAAGCAGGTACTGCGACCACAACGTTCCGGAGCCTGGGCAGTGCCGGGTCGCACGGTCGAGCGCGGAGATTGTCGTAGTGTGCACATTGCCATGTGTAGATTCGTCGATAAGAAACATGATATAATCCTCCCACATTCTCGCATCGGTCGGAAACCGCAGGACCGCGCGTTGATACACGGCGTTCACCAGGTGAAAGTTCGAGCTGCGGCGACGGCGATTGCGGTTCAGCTCCCATTCAATATACTCGCAAAATAATGTCCACTCTTGCGCGCGGTCACCAGATTCGGTCGCGTTGCGGAGACGAATTTCGAAATCCTCGCGGGCGTTATACTGCTCCTTGACCGAAGTGGCATACCGTCCTGCTGTTTCTGCCATGATACCCTCGTAGTTGGCATTGTAGTAATTTGAGATGAATCCCGAGAAGGCCTGGAATGTCTGATCCCACGTGGCGTGGGGGGTCTGCAGTCGAATATCAAATAGCTCTCGCACTCGCGAGACGCTCTCCTGCGAAAGATTCTGCGACAGATCTCGCACCTGAAATTCGAGGTACCGATCCCAAACAAGCTGGCTGTCATGAATCCTCCATCTTGTCGCGTCGGCGCCCCTCTGCCACGTGTCCAGGACAGTCTGCCAGGTGAAGACCTCTCGGCCAACTTGCCGATCTTCCTCCGACCACTGACTTTGATTTGAATCACCGTGTGCGGAGTTGTAGAGGTATAACACCCATTCGCCGTATATCGCCCAGAGCTTGGTGCTGCCGTATTCTTCTTCGATCGATCGTTGGCAGAGCTCCATCACTGCAATGCGTTCTTCTACCGACGACGCCAGCATACTTTCATCCTGAATCCACTCTGCCCAGAGGTCTTCACCCATGGCGAAAAGCTTGTCCATCTCCTCTCGAGCAGTCCTCATGTCCTTCAGCAGATCGTACTTTCGAGGTTCGCCATGGATATCGGGGTTATTCGGGGGGTACACGTGATTGATGAATCCGGTGTGTAAGAGACGGACAAAGTCCACATGGGCTTCGTAGGATTGAGGGTTAACATGGATTCGAGCGAAAAGTTCGGTCGCCATCCGGCGCGCGTCGGGTAGCAATGAAGATTCTGCGTAGTTTCTCCGGGCGCTGTCTCTTGGACCATCGGACATAGCAATATCAAAAGACGATCGCGGAGTTGGAGTATTGTGCGAGACCTGGTTGACATTTGGAAACATTGTAGAAGGAGAAAGCTGGCTTTCGTACGACTCCGCTCGGAGGATAGCAGCACTCGGTCGCGAGGGTTGATGCTGCTGCATCGAGGCGAGGTCTGCAAGGGTGTCCATCCCCGGGGTAGACGGCTGTCGACTTTCTGGGGGCGTTCCGTTTCCACCTCCAGAGGTAGGGCCGACAGCAGGACTCATCGACGCGGGCGGAGAAGGTTCTGGTACCCGAGGCGGAGCGTAGACTTGTTGCGCGAGCGGTGACGAGGTCATACCGGGTCGGTTAGCACCAGCGCGAGCTTTGCGTAGAGGTTTATGGGCTGGCCCGGGCGGAGGAGCGGAGGCGGCGCCGGAGGACGAGGAGCCTGTAGCAGGGGTTGAGCGCCCGGATTGTGCATTCGCATCTTGCGGCGAAAGGAGTGAATTGATATCCATTGTCAACCTGGTTTGTAAGGGCTGGCGATGAGCCAGAAAAGGAAGGCGCAAAGATAGAATTCAGCAAGGTGCTGACGTAGAGTTTGAGAAAAATTGGAATGAAAGAAATAGTATCCTTAGAGAACTGCCCACAATCTCCTCATCAACGAGTCCATCTCCTGATTCTGTTCCAAGCTATCAAAATTTTGCGACCGCTGGGTTGGTATCTTCTTGGGAGCTCCGAACCTCGACGGGGTGCGCGGGCGGGAATAGAGATCGAGACCGGGAAACTACCAAGGCGAGGAAAAAGAAAAGAAAACAGTTCGTGAATCTGCCTCAAATGCTATCCTTGTCTCCGTTCCCTTCACCGATGCAGTTTTCGAAGGATTTCGACGAGTCGGCTCGCGAAGACGAAATGAAGCACCGAGGACTACAGAACAGACAGTGTCGAGACGGATCGAGATGGAGGCAGGAGGGGGCAGGAAACAAGCTAGAGAATGCTCTCTAGCGGGAGTAAGAACTGCTAGGAAAGACGAGCTGTCGGCGGCAGAGATTCCGGGGCATAGGCGAGGTAAAATGAGCCAGCGACGTACGAGGAATGGGCACGAGAGTCCCTATGAGAGATGGGAGGTGAAAGGAGGACAAGAGCCGGTCGTGAAAACCAAAAAGCGATTCGCAAAGCAGGATGAGAACCAGCGAGTGAGAGTGGATCGACGTTCTCTGGTGGAGATGCAGAGCACCCACAACTATTATCCACGTTGAACTGCCGGTAGTTATTGCCTACTCCGGAGTAGATGCGTGCAGACAACTTTTGTATGCTGTTCTCTATCTATCTCTGCTAAATTTGGTCTCAAAACAAAGTAGTGTGGTCGAGTACCGACCAGAGACCCTGCTGCGTCCAGCTCTTGGGTGTTGATATAGCCAAGCCTTGGCACCGACTGAACGACATCGCTCGCCTCGTCGCGCCAGGAGTCTTTCCAAATGCTGTTATCTGTGTCGGATAAATCATGCAGCTCTTGCTGCTACACGTGGTAATAGCTTGCGGGATTCTGCTCCTTGGTAGGCCGTCTGCGACGTGCTTGTTCTGGTATACGACCTTGCTGACCTCTTCGCCAGGGACCGCGGCTCAAGAATGTGCGTCCCGTGAGAACTATACCGTTCGGACTCAGGACGAGGTCAACAACCTCACGCGAAACTGTACTGAAATTGTTGGCGAGCTGGGTCTCGTCGATTGGACTGGGTCATTGACGCTTCCCAACATTACGCGCGTGGGGACTATCACCCTCTATTCAGGGGATGTTTCTTCCGTTGACCTCCCTGAGCTGGAGCACTTGGGCGGCAACTTGATCCTTACAGATTTGCCGTCGCTAAGTCGAGTCTCCTTGCCTAAGCTGGAGTATATTGAGGGGCTATATCTCAACCTCGTCGGCAACACCCCGGAGCTCCAAATCCCAAAACTGACAAACGCCTCAAGTGTGCACTTGCGGGGTAACTTTTCTACTCAATCCTTTGACTCTTTGCAAAATATCGAGAAGCTGTTCGATATCTGCAATGGATTCAGCTGCGGCTTTTACTCACATATGGACGCATCCACCTCGATGAGTCTATCATTCCCAGTGCTCGAGCGAGTTGGGAGCTTCAAAGTCGGCGGCAACGTCACAACGTACACCTTCCCTCCTTCTCATTCAGTACATATACATGAAAGAAATCAGCTTACCACCAAACAGACTTTCAACGCCCGAAGTCACTGCCATCACATGCGACAATGAGGAATGCGACTGGGCAGCACTGCATCTGAGGCTCTACAGCTCCTCGCCAATCGCAGTAAACTTCCCGAAGCTCAGCGCCATGGAGGGGAACTCTTACATCAGAGGAGATATCGACTCGTTCGTTCCCTTTGTTCTTTCCAGTCTGCTTACAAATATTGAATCAGGACAATTGTTAATCCTGGATAGAATTTCCCTCCCTGCCCTGCGAGACTATACACACGAATTCATCGCTGTCCCCTACGAACCGCTCAACATAACTCTCCCCGTCGAAACAGGAGACAAGTTCTTGTTCTCGGGTAATGTCTCAGAGTAAGCTCGTCATCCTCACTATTTTCTTACTCTAGGAAATTGACTTCTACTTTAGTATCAACCTTCCGAACCTAAAATCCTTCTCCCGGATCCACGTAAACTCAGACCTCAAAATCGACTGCGACGAGCTCTGGGACGATATCAAACGAACAAGCGGCCCTCTGAACGAGAGTAACGCGACTGAGTATTTCCAGTGCTCGGATGGTGTTTCTGTGGCTTATTCGGGCGCCTTGAGGATCGGCAGTGTCGTTGCGGTTGCGGTTTTGGGCATGCTTGTGGGCGGGTTGGTTTGATCTTCTGCTTCTTGTTTCGTATCTGTCTTTTTTTTCTCCTTGTTTTTTTTTTTTTTTTTTGTTTTTTTAGTTCATGTGTCTTCGGTTGCTTCTTTTTGTATATTCTTGCGTCGGTTGTATATCTGAGGGCTTTAGGGTATATTGGATCGGTCCATCTAGATAGACTAGACTGTACACGGTATGATAGATATGACATATATAGTGTTTTCCGCGGAGTCTTTTGCAGTGCTCGACAGTTATGCGGTGAGTTACGACCCGGAAGCTTTGCTTATGAGTCGGGGGCATGACTTGGCTTCCAAATGGTAGCTTTCGAGGTCATCCATGTAGTAGGCCATAAGCATGTCAGATGGATATAGCCTTGGCTTTACCGTCAGAAACCCTGAATCTAGGCCCACCTCTCCAATATTGCAAACCGAACCTGTATCTATGTTGTCTATGCTGCGTCAACGATGTACCAGTCACGCCAAGGCTCGAGCCTTTCTTTGTTCATTGGGCAGACAGGACTACCCCTCCGCATAGGTGGGGTCAATCGTGTTCCTAACGATGGTTGGGGGCAGATGTTCCTGAATAAAAACTAGAAAGTCGAAGGCAAGCGGTAGCGGATAGATGGCTACGAGCCCGGACACACCAGAACTTTGAACCCAGGCTTGAGTCGGCTGGTTGAGCTTGCGGTGTAGCATTCTACAGCTCAAGAGAGGAGTCAAGAGTGAAAGATACTTCCTACAGTCAGTGTCCCGGGCATAGCTTACTGACTGCCATGTCGGGCTTCTTCATAATAGACTTCACGTATAGTTCCTGCGCTCTAACCACACAGGAAGATTCAAACATAGTACAATACTCCCAAATCAGATGAATGTTCTTTCTGAACTCGAATCTTTCTCTGCATATCGGTTTCGACTGTACCATACAATTACCGGACGTGGTACGCAGAATATTGCCTCAGTTAGATGGCATCCTTGAGTTCTGTACCTCACAGGTATGTCAGTATAATCCTAAACTCTCACGCAACAAAATACAAGTTACTACTTACATCAAACCTGACTTATGTTAATTCTTCAGCCACATGGGCTGTAATTAGACGAGTCCAGGCACGACTTTCTGGGGCCGTAGTTGCAGCAAGTTCTTCCCCGGCATTGAAATCCATCGCTGTACGAGCCGCCATTTCCAGGATGTGCCACTGCAGAGCAACACCCGCAGTATATCCTGGGGAGGTGCCGGGATAGCATCGGCATCCGTTTCCGGCACATTCAGCGGAGACAAGCTGAAATGAGATGGCAAACAAGCAGGACTTGCGAGAGGACAAAACGTATGGCTTCGGATTGAAGAGGTGGTACAAAGTGTTTGAGATTCAGGTAAGTCCAGTGGTTGGAGGGCCTGACAGAGTTTATATTGTGCACCAAGCACTCTCAAAATGAGGAAGAGATTTGAGCTAAGGCAGCACATACGTTGATTTCTCGAATATAGATTATCCACACCGAAACCATTCCCGTCGTATACACCGAGGTCTTCCACAAGAGACTCAGCTCAGCCTCTCACTTCTCCTTGAGAGGCTCCTGCCACTGCTGGAGTAGCAATAAGCAGCATCCAGCCAATGGTAGATGAACGGAGTCTTCCAACAACCACTGCACAACCCTACCATTCTGCGCTCAAGAGTCTCGAAAGTTTGGCTACCCGACGTATGAGGTCAGCTGCTATTGAGGTCGACCAATCCTAGTTCAAGATGATAAGTTCGTGCGGAGTTGGTTCCTTGATTGAGTACATCGATGTAAACTTCGTTTGCTCTAGCTAGGGGTGTCATCAAATAGGTTAAGGGCTTTTAGACCATTCTGTAAGTTCTCCGCAGAACTGAGCATGCTCTAAGTTAGCACTGGGAAGTAGTATATAGATCCAGATTTTGAAACATTCGCCGTCCAAGGTCAAGCAGTGGCTGCTCACGAGTTCTCTTCCAAGCCGTTGAGGGATTACGAAGATAATTCCTAATTGGGTTAGCAGACAGTGGATAGAATTCACTGGGAACGTGAGCTCCAGTTGAACGGTCCAAGGAAAAATTGTTAGTTTCAAGTGGTAAAAACCACTCAGGAGAGAAAGAACCTGATTGACTGGTGTTTGCTTGGACTTTGAGTGGTGGTTGTCGTGTGATGGCGACTCTAGAGCCTTGCGGCTAAGGCAGAAACTAGGATTCCGGCGGACCCAACGAGCCAACAGCGCAACCGTGCAACACCAACTTTTTTCCTCCTGCACTCCGAAGCAGACCAGCTCCGGTTGTTGTTCGTCGCAATGGCTACAATGGGTGCTCTACATCCCTACGGGCAGCTGATCCGGTCAGGTATGTCTATGAGAAATTCTCTGAGACTAGTTTTATCCCCCATGAGCTGATCTTAACTCCTCCAGCGCGCACCGGCATCACCTACGTCCCTCGCCGCACCCTGACCTACACACCCATCCGCCGCGCCGAAGAAAGCAACAATGACAAGCCCGAGCCGCCGCAAAAAAAGTCCACCCTCTCCTCGATTAAGAACTTCTTCTTCGGCGGCAAGTCCGATGCTCCCAAACCCAAGATCACCCGCCAGCCCGTCGCGCCCCCGAAGCGGGAAGGTTCGCTGAGTGCGGACTCGATTTTCGCTGAGGACCAGGCTGCCCCCAAGCTCATTGCCTCGGGACGCACCCCGGCCGGCCGTAAGCAGGCTGGGCCGGCTGCAGAGGGTGAAGCGGAGGAGGTTACGACAGAGATGCGGAACCCTGTGAATATGCGGGCGGTGCTCGATCCGCGTCCGAAGGCGAGGATTCGGTGGGAGCGGAAGATGGTTGTTCGGGAGATCAGGAAGAGAGGACGTCTGACAAAGGTAGAGAAGATTGCCCGGACAGAGCGAGAGTCGTTATCCAAGTCGCATTGGTTCAAGACCTCAATCAAGAAGCTCGGTCCACTAGCTCGCCAAATCGCTGGTAAGAACATCGACGAGGCTATCCTCCAGATGCAGTTTAGCAAGAAGAAGGTCGCCAAGGACGTCCTCGAGCACCTCAAGCATGCAAAGAACGTCGCCATTGTCCGCTCGGGTATGGGTCTCGGCGGCGTGGACCCTGACGTCCCGGCACCGAAGCCGATCAAGATCACCCTCAAGGACGGCGAAAGCAAGACCATCAAGGATCCCACCTCTATTTACATTTCCCAAGCGTGGGTTAACCGCGGTCCCTTCGGCTCCGACTACGACCACCGGGCACGAGGAGTGATTAACCGTCTTCGTCTCCCTCACACCTCTCTCACCGTCATCCTGAAAGAAGAGAAGACGCGGATCCGCGAGTGGGAGGACCGCGAAGCCAAGGCTCTGCGACAGCGCAAGGAGCGGCTCTGGGTCCACCTGCCTGATCGCCCGATCACCCAGCAGAACCAGTACTACTCTTGGTGATCACACCCTCTCCATCCCATGCCGGCCGTTTTTCGCTCGGCCGGTATTACTTTGGCGTTTGTATTATTTAGATATTTGGGAGCACTCCGCCTGGGCCGGATCAGCCTCTTTTCTTTTTTTTGTCTTACCCTTATCTGTCTTGAGATGAATATGGCTTATCGTCGACAAGCCCAACTCAATCTACTGTTACTATTCCCTCGGAGCTAATTGCTCAATATGTACACTACAGAATACAACTACATAACTAAGCATCCCCACAGCTCTATTCGCAAGTAATGGAAATAGATGATTATTTAGACACTCAATGATTTGAATTGATTTTCCAGTAATCTGTTGTCATCTGCTACAACACGGTAACGGGATTTTGGGTACCACTAAAATCATTTTCTGGACAAAGGGATGTTCTCCTTAAGTACTTGCGCACCAGGCTCTGCAACAGGCTGCGAGCCGGATGACCGAAGAGTGTTCAAGCCGCGAGCCTCGGCGATTAACTGATACCCAGCCATACCTTGGAGTTTGCTCCACACCGACCATGCAGCTGACAGGATTAGGCAAGATGAACTCGTTGGATAAACTCCGTCTAATGTTATGGATGCGAATTCAGGTAACGTTCGGACCCAGTGTAGGAATTGGTTGACCTTCTCTTGGGTCATATTGTCGGTGATGTGAACGCTAAACACCGCTCGCAAGCTTGGTTGAATTGTTTTCGGGTCAATGCCGGATAAACCAGTGAAGGGAAGGCAGATGGAAGCTGCCCCTAGCTTGAGACAATGACCGGGCTTTTTGATAGCTGAATTTGCTCTAAGGGTCGCGACAATATCTGCTATTTCGGCGTACTGGTGACGGTCTCTCTGCCTCCTGGTTATTTCCGCAACTAGTTTGGCGGTAACGGTGACACGTGGTGGCGCAAATGCTTGTGGGTTGTCCTCCGTTGTTGCAGCGACGATCTCGACAATTCGTGGGCTAGAATCTGCTGCTCTGCACGCGATAAAACCGTAACAGCAGTCCAGAATAAAAAGAGCGTCGAAATTGTCGACGTTTTCCACCTCCGGTCCCACAACCGAGAATAAATACCGCTCAGCATTTATTTTTCGGCCGCCCTGGCGTTCGATAAACCATAGGGACCCATCGGGGCCCGGGGACCCGTGCCCGGCATAGTGTACGATAATAAGTGTTCGTCCTTGGGCGGTTCTGATTCCGGAGAGAAGATCGCTAAATTTTCTTTGTACCGTCCAAGCCGGAAAGCGGTCGTTTGAGCTCAGGACCAGCTCCTCGGCGGCTGGGAGGTTGAATAACCGAAGGATAGATTGAAAATGTATAGCATCGTGGATTGCGTTCGTGTCGTCTGCTTCCCACCGAAGTGACAAGCTATGTGCCTCTGTGTAGCGGATCGCCCGCTGCCTGACTGCTGCTCGGAGGGTGTTTTCGAACGCGGAAAATTCAATCGGTCGTTCCATTCTTTGTGTTGAAGGTCAGGAATGGGGTCGAGATAATAAGTGAGGTGGGGTTGCTCAACGGCAATAGAAGAAGAGAGTTTGAACTGAGAGCCTTGGGAAGAGTGTTTGAACTGAGAGCCTTGAGAAGAGTGTTTGAACTGAGAGCCTTGAGAAGAGTGTTTGAACTGAGAGCCTTGAGAAGAGTGTTTGAACTGAGAGCCTTGAGAAGAGTGTTTGAACTGAGAGCCTTGAGAAGAGAGTGAAGAGAGTTGAGAGACTTGAGGAGAAAAGGTGACCAGAGCGTATATTGGTAAATGAGGAGCTTTTTCTAACAGTTCAGTTCGAGGGAGAACAGATTCGGGAAGAGTGAAACAGTCAGAAGAAGCCTTCCTCAGTGACTAACCTTCCAAGGTTATTAACGTTCTCCCCTGCGTCACTGAAAGTCTGGAAGTCAAAAAATGAGGGGTTTTCCCAACCACTTCTGACTCACATCCTGGACTATGATAGAGGTGAGTGATTGTCAGCCGTGTATTTTCTTGACAGATATCCTCTTACTAGTAGATGCCTAGCTTGAGATCCACTCTCGCAGCTGTATAGATGTTGGTCTTTGGAGAACACTATGATTGGGTAGAAGAGGGTTGGAAGGAACCTGGGCAGACATGGAATGAATCTAACACAGCATGGCAGACTTGGCGCAGACCCTCTATGCCACCAGCAGCTTCTATAGGAGACGCAGACAGATTTAACTAGGCCATCCAGTACCGCCTCAACTTACTCCTCCCCAGGTGGCACCCCTCGTCTTCTTTCAACGATCAATCGATACCCTTTCATTCCGGCCACCTTCGACCAAACGGACCACGAAGATGATAACGCAAAGCACATGTCCATTGTTCCAACAGGGTACAGGCTTTCCACAGTGATCGGCTCTTCAGGGTCGCTAACACAGTGACACTGAGTCTCCCCGCTCGTCTCATAAAAGCGCAGATACACCAACATTCTGTTCGGGATTAGTCGAGCCTCGCGGGGGTTTGACCGATCAACCAAACAATTCGCATTCCTCTTGGTCAGCCCAGAGACTTGCACGCTGAACACGGCTTGCAGAGTACTAGGAGGTGGAGCTGGGTGTGGATCAGCAATGGAGGTCGTCGTTATTTCTGATGGAAGCGGCATGCAGATCGAGACGGAGCCCCTTTCGAGGCGGGTATCTGTGTTTCCCAGGGCATCAGGCCGGTATTTGCCTCTCAACGTTGCAACAAGGGCGGCAAAGTCGAGGTAGCGATGGCCACCATCCAGGCGCCTTTTGATCTCGGCAACCAGCTTCGCGGTAATACTATCCCTGGGCGGCGAGGAAGACAACCTAGTTCGTGGGTCAGTGTTAGGAGCCTCCCGCGCAATAACCTGCACGACATTCGGACTGACCCTTGCCGCCCGAGATTCTGCAAACCGAGAGCAGCAGTCGAAGATGAAGAGCACGTCCACGTTGGCACCGCCCAAGGAAGCACATTGTCGATGAACAAGATCAGCCAGGTGGAATCCTGTTCTATTGTACTGTCTCACAGATGGGAATCTAGGCTCCGGGTGACAGGCACAGCCTTCACCAAACCCCATTATAAACCCATTTCCGGTATAATGAATCACGACGAGTACGGTTACCGGTCTCGCGGGCTACGTTTTTAGCGTCTAAGAGGACTTCACTACACTTCTCCTGGACGAAAGTGCCAGGTGAAACGTGAAGTTCTTTGCAGTGAGGACCAACTCGTCGGCGTCAGTCAGGTAGAAGAAACTAAGGATGCTTTGAAACTGTTCAACATCTTCAGCACCTTGGCGATCGCCTTCCCACCTTATGGAGACGCTGTACGAGTCCCTGTAGCGGACTGCCTTCTGGCAGGCAGCTGCCTGGATAGCTTCCTGAAAACAGGTGGAAAGCTGGAGTTCGTTGGTCCTTTTTTTTCGAGGGTCAAACTGGGGGTTGGACAGGAGGAAAAAAAGAAAAATAGTTTGGAAGGCCATCTTTTCTCTTGGTGACTCGGGCTGACTTACGTACGTCTTCTCTTTAATTCTCCTGAAGTTTACAGTCACAATTTTCCACTGGCTTGGACAGAGAAACGTCAAAGCTCAAGGGTCCACGTTGAAGTATACACAGGCCAGAGGGCTCTATTTCCGCTAGGCCCCATTCGGAGCCTGGTGGGCCGCCAAGAACACTTTATTCCGACTGGCTGGTCCCTGAACACCAGTCAACAAACAGTGAGTATCCTCTCGTCCATACTCATAAGTCACGAATATGACCTGATAGCACATTTTGCCTCTCTTCTTGTACATACCCGTAAGAGTGCCCTCTCTCCTACCCTCTTCTTAACCTCACGATGGCCGAAAAGCCCCTGAGCGCCAACATGGCCCCCGCTCACCCTCCCCCGCTAGAAACTCGACCAGCAGTTTCAAGATCCCGGAGATCGAAATAGAGACCGTGTTTAAAGCTCTTATTCGAGCTGAAGCCTGAACCCTAGAGCTCCTACCTGTAGTCTGCTCACTCGGAGCCTCATTTCTCGACACCCACCCCGCAAAATGAGTATCCCAGCCCCTCCCCCGCAATCGGACTCCGAATCCCACTTTCACTTCACAACAGTCCCGGGCATCTTCCTGCAGGACGACCCAGCGACAGACCCAGACACATTCGACTATGTGAGCTACCCCCTTTACAAAACAGTGCTTATCTTGCGATATAGCTATACTCATGTCTTGAACCTAGGTCTCCACAAACTTCGGCCTGATCTCCCACACCTATCCCTCCGACGAGACCCTCGATCCAGCGAGCCCGAAAACTCAATGGCAGCGTCTAGCACACTATATTGAGACTTTGAACGCCTATTCCCCACCAGAGACAAGTTACAGACTCCTCTTCCTCGGCCGCCACGGTCAGGGTTTGCACAATGTCGCCGAGGCGCGGTATGGGACTGTCATGTGGGATGTACGTCTCCCCTCCACTCTCTTTCCCCCATTCCCAACACAAACCCCACGATCCTCGTATCTTAAGAAGAATTCAAGAATCAGCACCGTGCTAATCCATTATGTCGTTTGAGTAACAGTGCCGCTACTCCCTCCTCGACGGCGACGAAACAGGAACCTGGTTCGACGCCCACCTGACAGATCTCGGAATCGAGCAGGCGCGCACAGCACACAACGCATGGAAGACACAGATCGCACATGGGATTCCACCGCCGCAGTCGTACTATGTCTCGCCGCTCATGCGCTGCTGCGAGACGGCAAGGGTTACCTTTGAGGGCGTGGGGTTGCCCGGGACAGAGCCGTTTCGGCCGGTTGTTAAGGAGGTGTGTACCCTTTGTATTCATTTTTTCTTCCTCTCAGAAGAATGATCTCGTTGTATGGTACATATATACCATAGGTACTAACATATGGGCAAAACCAGCTCCTCCGCGAAACCCTCGGCCTACACACCTGCGACGCGCGCTCCCCGAAATCCGCCATAGCGAAGGCCTATCCGCTCTACATCTTCGAAGAAGGCTTCAGCGAAGAGGACCCATTGCATTCCGCCACGCTCCGCGAATCCGACTCTGCGCGCGACGCACGGTTCTTCGAATTCCTGAGCGATGTCTTTGCAACGGATAGCAACAGTATCCTCTCGCTGACGGCGCATTCGGGCGCTATCACGAGTATACTCAACGTGGTTGGGCATAGGGTGTTTAAGCTTGAGACTGGGGGTGTTATTCCGGTTCTGGTCAAGGTGGAGAAGAGGGAGGGGAAAGCGCCCGAAAGGGTTGTTGAGCCGTGGTTTGGGAGGCCGTTTTGTCCTGGGGAGTGATTAGATTTCTAGTTAGTTAGGGTTGTACATAGGATTAGTTCTGGTTTACATAGTGATACCTGCCTGCTTTTTGACTATGTAGTCAGTGGAGGAAACTACAAGGAACGAGACCTGGCTCAAAGCATCAAGATCGAATACGTAGATTCAGCTTTGCTAGACAACAACAAACGCAACGCACGCTAGGTATATACAAACATCGCTAATCGCCACCAATCAGTCAGCACACGAGAAACGAAATTGCAAATGCGGATACAGCACCCAGAACAGGGTGGGGAGTTCAAAAGAACCCCATTCCCTTCCTAGAAGCGATGATCATTCCGGAAGAGAAAGCAGCGAGGCGACGAAGGAAATATCCTGCCCAGGAGGACGAGTTTCTCGAACTTTCCCAGAGCGAGGATAGGATAGCCATGGTTGTTCTGTGCACGGGCGAGCCAGCGGGCAATCCGGCTGGCGAGCTCGAGCTTGGTGAACGGTATGTGGAGGCTTGTCCTTGTCTTCTCGTGACGATATTCTGTGCATTTTGTGGGTTCACCGCGCCTCGGCTGGTGGTGCACAGCTTTTGAGTCTGGGTTTCTAGGCTCGCGGATGCGTGTCCTTGGTTGCGTGTGTTCAGTGAGCCGCGACTGACGCGTGTTGATTGTCGAGAGACATTCCTGTCTTCCCGGCTGCGGGTATTCAGCGTGGACTGGCTGACGAATGCCGTGGTGGTATTCGCCTCGGCAGGTGAATCTACATTGCGTAGATTCCTGTGTTGCTTCGGTGCGCCCCGGCTGACACGGACTGTTTGAGTTGGTGTTTCGGTCGATGAATCCACGGTGCGTAGATTCCTGTGTTGGCTCAATGTGCCCTGGCTGACACGCCATGTTTGAGTCGGTGTCTCGGTCGGTGAGTCCGAGTCGCGTAGGCTTCTGTGTGTCTTCAGTGCGCCCAGGCTGGCACGCAATATTTGGACGTGCGTCTGGGTAGGTGAATCCGCGTTTCGTGGATCTCTCTGTCTGTTCAGTGCGCCTGGGCTGGCGCTCGGTGTCTGCGCTTGAGCCTGGGTTGGCGAGTACACAGATTGCCGTGGACTCTGGCCGAGATCCTGGCGAGGTCGGTCTTCCGACGACCTTAGTCGGGCTTGTTGCTTGTTTGCTTCTCTGTCTCTGTAGAGAGCCGGAGTGTTCAGAGATCCTAGACCACTTGCGGTAGGTGAACGTGCGCTTGGTGCAGCTGCTCTGTCGTGGCCCGTAGGTGAAACGGATGGGTGGGCCTTGAGTGTAGAGAGACCCAAGCCCTGTTGTGGCTTGACCGATGGCCATGCAGTTCCGGCGGGTAGGCCAGCGTTCACCGACCTCGTTTGACCCTGCCCGGAGCCCGGATTCGAGGCACGGTATTGTACTCTCTCGTGGTTGGTGAGTGAACCGGGTATAACGGTTAGAGGAGCGCTTGCTGGTGTGGTGGGATTCAAAGATGCTGCTGCGGCCTTCTCGAGGCAGTTACACTATGTTTTTGTTAGCATTCGGCGCTTTAAAAATAGCTATGAGAGACTCACCCGCTTGTGCTGCTTGCGATGCTTCTCACAGACTCCATACTTGCGAGCTTTGATGTAGTTCTCTCTCTGAGCTCTTGACCGCGGCTTTTGCTTTCGAGGTACGTTCGTGGTCGTGTTCATGTTGAGGTCCAGCACCAGCTGCATCCCTGCAGCACCAGGCTCCGGTCCAGATGATGGTGAAGGAGATTTTAGGGACTCGGAAACTGGAGAGGTGTTCGGGGTGGTGTAGGACGGCTCACTTGGCATGGCGTCCAGCGAGGATACAGACCAGTCGGGGGACGAAAGCTGAGTGTTCGAAGGAAAAGCAGCGAACTCTGGTAGTGGATCATTTTGAAGACGCTGCAAGTGCAGAGCAATCGAAGCGTCGCGCCGCTTCTCCTTCTTAGAGAAGCAGCGCGTATCCAGAGCCGCCTGGGACTCTACCATGTGCCGGAAAGACGGGTACGCTTCCATGCTTGGAATATCAGTTACCCAAGCCCCATCGAAAGCATGGTCAAACATCATCTGACCCTGAGGCGGTGCCGGTTGCAAAACGTCGTTGGGGTCGACGAAGGGCTGGAACGAATCCAATTGAGGCTGTCCGAGATCCGCCATGGGAGCTTCAAAGCTCCCAATCTCGGGAAACATAGCCTGTGAGAACATAGCGGGGTCCGCATCCCAGTTCTGGAAGTCGACATCGGTGAATGACTGATCAAGATCGCGGGGCGATATTGATTCCACCGAGGTGGGCTGGCTGTCTAGATAGCCAGCGGGGAGCTGGAGGAGGCCGTCGAAATCGAGCCACTCCTCCTGGCAATCAGAGAAATCCATGGGGTAGAGCAATTGGTCTGTAGACATAATGACTGAAATAGAGATTGCAATGGACTAGGAGAATCCGCAGAGTGAAGGAAGGGCAGGCCTGAGGCTGATAATCGATTGCGGAGGCAAGTAATCAAGCGTCGATTTCAGTCGCAGAGGCCGCTTTTGGCACGGGTGAATTGCTTTGCTGGCGCAAAAAGTCAGCGCCTTATCACTCAGGATGAAGAGGGTAATTGTTTACTTTTCAAATAGAAAAAAAAGACGAAGCAGACCTTTGAAGGTCAAAACTTGGGGGACTGCCTCAGCCCAGTTCAAGGCGCTATTCCCTTTTGAGACCCCGAAAGCCAGAGTTCCCTGCAGCCAATGAGCACCGACCGCGGGGAGTGGCTCAGCCCAGGCATCAAGGTGTCGCCAATAAGAGAAAACGACGGCGCAAGAACGGGTTCAAATGAGTCAATCGATGACTGGGAATGCAACATTTGGTCCCAGGCTTTGTTCATCCGCGGGTGCATAGTGCCTGATCAGCCAATTATACGAAATGTGCGCCAAACCCAAACATCTGCCCAGGTGGTAGTGCTGGCATGACGCTGGCTGTGCTTGATGTTCTAGGCCACGCTCGCTGAAGCCTGAGTCACTTCTGAGTGAAGCGCCCTAACCTGAAGCGATCTGTATCTGATTAGATTCTAATGCTTAACCAAGATATGCATAAAGAGGGGCTACTGGAGAGGAAGAACTCTACGAATACTGTGGACATAATGCGGTTGGGCTGAACTGCGTACTCCGTATTTCCAAGCACGGGCACAATACGAGCCGCGATAGCCGAAGAAGCAATCAGCATAGGCAGGTCGGAAACACGCAGCAAGTATGAATATGATATTTCAGTATTACTGGGAATCTAATGTCATTAACGCCATAAGACAAATCAAAAACCGTGGACTAAAGTACACCTCCCAAACAAGACACCCCACTCTGTGCAACTCGAAAGTCGGGGCATAAGACTTTTGAACAGGTATCAACAACTCCAAAACGAACGATTTGCTATATCAGATCACGCTTGCATAGCTTCCTTGGGAAGCTCCTTGGCGGTTCCGGCGAGGTCTGTGGCGGGTGCGATTCTCTTCGATCGGTAGTTTTTAATAGCCGCGGTCACGGCATCTTCGGCAAGGAGGGAACAGTGCACTAAACGCGAAGATTAGCCAATGTCTACAACAATTGTTGAAAATGACAACACTCACGCTTGACGGGTGGTAAGCAAAGTTCAGAAGCAATCTGGGTGTTGGAAATCTTGGAAGCTTCGTCCACTAAAATCTGCTGTCAGTCCCGCCACACACAACCGATGATTCCGGCGAAGCTTACGGGTCTTGCCCTTCAGGAGGGTTGTGAGATAGCTCGAGCTGGCAATGGCCGATCCGCAGCCAAAGGTCTTGAAACGGGTCTCTGTGATTTTTCCGGTCGCTTCGTCCACTTGAATGTCGAGGCGAATGACATCGCCACAGGCTGGGGCACCGACGAGACCAGTTCCTACATCGGCAGACTTGCGGTTGAGGGAGCCGACATTGCGAGGGTTCGTGTAGTGGTCAATCAGTGAGAGAGGGTTAGCTTTTTGAGCATAGCCGAGGTCATGACGGGGTACATATCTTTCTCGTGGTAGGCCCGGACCATCGAAGGGGCAACGATGTTGCGGCCAGCAATGCTGGGGCGGAGCGCGGAGGTGACGCGGAGAGCGGTTCTGATGGAATGCATTTTTCGATGTGGTGATAACTTGAGCAAGTGCTGAGTGAGTGGTGTATTATGTCGGAGGCAGAGGAGTTGACGTCGGTCTTATCAGATCCGCGTAAATTTGTGGCGACCCGGCTCAGAAGAAGTCATGTGAGCCTGCCATGCCTTAATAAGCGTAGCCCCTTGTCGTCATGCTATCTGCGCCAATAGAAGCAGGCGAATTTCCCGAGCTCTGCCTGGTTCTCCGAATGTCCGAGCTCCGATCTTAGGAGTGCGAGCGGACCTCCGCGGACAACTCCACGATCGTGGTTTCGTCAACCTGAACGGGTTTGGCGTGGAGGTATCCCGTCTTACATGCCTGTTCTTTGAATCTCGATTGGTTGACTCGGCCTCTTCACCGGAGCATCCATAGGGGCTACAGAGTATGTACAGCTGTTAATGGGCACGACAGCTGGCTTTGACCTCTTTTCATTCATCATCCAGACAAATCCCAATATATGGCTCACTATCACTCAGACCAAAGAACGCGATTATCACTAAGTCTATCTACGGAAGCAGCAACAGCTGAGAGAACCATGGCCGACCACAGCAATGCGCTGCCTGTGCCCGTTTAACTAGCAACATCCCTGCCGTCATCGCTGGCACTTTTGCTCTCCGCCTATCAGGATCGACCCGCATGCATGATGCATTAAGATCCGAGTCCCTCAATACCAGGGCAGCCCCGGTGTGCATAGTGTCGCTGAACGCACTCCCAAGAGCAACATGATAGCCAGCGATGATTTCCAAATCGACGCCAGTGTGCGTATCAAGACACGTCCCTTTGCCATCTTCGGCCTCTTGACAACTTTCGTTGCTACCAGTCACAGGCTTCACGACCAAGGACAGATCTGGCAAAGCGACAAAAGATCCTATGGCTCCGTCTACATTATAGCCCTCGCCGATTCTGGTACTGAGTTCACAACTTTCAGATTCATCGGGGACACCCTTTCCAAAGCCACGAAGGGCAACTTCTGGAGTGCCGTTTTCTAGCTGTTCGAAGCTTCTTGATAGCTACTCCGGTCAATAGCGAGCGATTCAAGTGACTTGCGCCCCAATTTAGTCAGACTCATTGAATGAGGGAATATGGATTGTGACTCGGGATTCGTCAGAACCCTCCTCGACGGTCCGCTGTAAGGCTATCTCACAGATCTGTTTATGCTCAGGAATGTGCAGTATGAACGTGGTCATGGCAAGGCTGGCATCTTCGCTCTCCCTTCGCGCCTCATATCTGCAACTCACCAAACATGGCACTAGAGTGCAACCAACTAAGGTCCTGGGCTTATACGCAGGAGTGATAACGTTACGATTGGTTCCACTGAGACTGTAAGGCCAGTTCCATACCCATTTAAGAGAGCGGCTACTCTTCCAAGTTGCTTGGCTACATTACATTGTGGAATACTGTGGTTTTTGATATGTGTTGATTAGCCTTCAGCTCCTTCAAGCTCCCCTGATTTCTCGAAATCTCATGCTCGGTCAACCACCTGCACTACAACGTTTCAACTCAATTGCATACCCGACCTATAGGCTATCACTCGCCTCGAAGAAGCCGTCATACCTGAAGTCGAGCCTTCGGTCTTTTGACTTCACCTTGCATCCTTAAGAGAGATAATCTAGAACACCCGCGCTGACAAGCGATTGGTCAATCAGCTGCCGGAGATATATCAATAGGACTACCCCGCGCTCTTTCGACCAGCAGAACTGCTTCTGTTATGGGCGACGGGATCTTGCTGGTGTAGTGACAACTATGCCCTGCTCCTGCGCGCCGTATGTATCCGAGAAGACTTTGGGGAAGAGCCTTCAGAACATATATTTCTGCCACTTATATCATCGGGCTCTGCAACCGTGCGACTAGCAGCTGTGTTTGACCCAGACTTACTTGCCTTTCGCTTGACAGACGGGGCCCGGCGTGGCGGGTCAGTCTACCGTACGAGGGCCCGCGTTTCCAGACACAAAGCAACGTACGGTCTAGATTTGTGCGCCGTGCTCTTGACAGATGGGGCTCGGCGCGGCACATTGCTACTGCTAGTGGTATCATCAGGAACCATGTCCCTTAGCACGCCAGCTCTGCGAATTGCTGCCCTCGGGATCGGAGGTCGCCTCCCGCCAACGCCCCTGCGTGCGGTTTGTATGGGACGCTCTCTTCTGTCGGCCTTGTTCGAAGGGGTATGGGGATTGCCGGTCGAGCCGTCAGCACCCTCGATGACGGCAGTGGGATGCCGTGACGCAGCTCCTCCCCTTCCTCGAACCTATCATTCCTGAGTACACGATCGACCGTCCCTGAGGTTTGGGGCAGGAGGGGTAAGATCACACCAAGGAAGCCGAGGCCTTTTGTAGAACCTGGCTTTGTGACTTTGTGAGGCTCATTTGGGATTGTTTCGTCCTCCCTTCGATTAGTGAGGTTGTGACTTGACTCTCTAAGCAGGGGCGTCACGGTAGAGATTTCTGATTGAGGCTGTTTCAGCCTTTCTGCGGAAGAATTGTCCGACCTGCGCAACAGCTCTATTCAGAAGCTTCCTGTCGATGGCCTCGCGCCTTCCTAATGAATGCAATGCCCTGCAAGGCAGGTGCGATGGACTCGGGCAGTGTCAGTCGCTCCTTCCTAATTCGTCGAAACGCACCTTCCTCGTAAATCGGATTGACTTGCAGGGCAGGTGCGACGGACGAACTGTCGGTAGTCCCTTCCTCTTTTAACCCGTACCTTCCTTGTGGGCAAAGGACATGGCAAGGCAGGCGCGATGAACTCGGTAACAGGCCGCGCCTTCCTCGACCCATCGTCCACGAGCAGTTGACATGCTGCCGCCGTACGCCTGGGCCTAAGAGCGCGCGGTGTATAGACAATTTATAGTATGGCGCTGATCGGTCTCCTACTATTCGCATACCAGCCGAGCCAGACTGTATCGCTTTCCGAGTTAATGTCATCACGAGGCTAGTTAAGACGACTTTTCTTTCGAAGCGTTTCCTCCAAAAGCCCTGCATAACTCGAAGCTGAATCCAACGCCATCAGGTTCATTTTTTTTTTTTTCTGAAACCCTTCACAAAGGGTCCAGAACTTGCCACAAAGGGTTCGCTGCACCCGCCAGCAAGTGGGCAGGCAAGAAGCGTGGCCGTCAAAGGGTAGCAGAATCTTCGACAAAGAAAATCATCGCAACACCGAAGGCTTCGAAGAGATTCATTGTTGATATGGCATCTGCTATTATTAGGTATGTCCCTTGAACCTGGACTCGATTATTATATCCCTTATTCCATCTTCCCTCGACCTTCTCTTCCTCTGATGACCATTCTATCAACCTTCTGTCAACTGAAACCAACTTTTTACTCAGGCTGGGCCATGGCTGGGCCATCGCCATCACGCAAACGCACTGCCTCTGATGCAAAGGAACCGACACTTCGTGTCAAACGACTCCGCGACACGGGAGAAACTGAAGACATTATACACAATAAACCAAAGCACGATCTCAACAACTACTCGGTGATGGTGCAGCGAAAGGCTCGAAGGCTGGTTCGCGAAATCCTCGCATCCGTGTACTATGATATCAACACCGTCTGCGTCATGCGCACCAACGCCAAACTGAATCCAAATTTTGAAAATATTGCCTATTACAGGATACAGTTCCGAGAAAGCACCGCACTCTTGGATAGAGTTGTCAGTTACAATTTTGAACCCACACCCCACGCGGACCCGCGAGGGACGCTCAGACGGCTAGATGGGTTCGTCAAGCTCTTTGGTTGGAAGATGCTCTCCATCTGTATGCTTTCTGAGGGGTTCCGGAGGGCCTGTCGGGAGATCAGCCATCCGGCCCTTTGGAAGGAGCTGATGAAGATGTTCAGCGACAACAAAGTGAGTCTCGAGGTCTTTGCTCGGTCTCGCAATCTAGACTGGCGTGGCCAATTACTCAAATATGCGGGACTGGGCATCCCAGCTCTTGAGAAGGAACTCAGGCCAGCGCGCAGCATGTGGCAGCAACATCCGCATCACGTCGTCCAATCCGTCGAGAACAAGGTCAAAAGACCCGTGTTCGAAAACAACCTCCAAATCCACATCGACCGATGCATCATGAATCCAGACGAATGGGCCGGCGAAACCAAAGACCCAACCCTACGCACAATGTACGACGGCCGCTGCGACCTATGCCTCTCTGCAGAAATCTGCGATTGCAAGCTCGATCCCTCGGTGGGAACCCTCGTCGAGCTCGTCGAGCGCCCCGGAACAGGAACCGGCGTGCGCGCCCTGACAAACTTCAAAAAGGGCGACATACTAGGCCAGTTTGTAGGAGAGCTCCTCCCGCCTAATTTTTCAGGAGATCCAATCTATGCGCTGGCGCATGTTTCCAAAAAGGACTCGGGTGACTGCATCGCGACAGTGTCGCCGCGGTATTATGGAAATTGGACGAGATACCTCGCGCATTCGTGCAATGCGGCGACAGAGTTCCGCGCGCGAACAATTGGCGACCGCACGATTATGACTGTCGAGGCCGCTCGGGATATTTCCGCGTTCGAGGACATCACGGTCGATTATGGGGAAGGATACTGGCTTGACAAGAAGTGCATGTGTGGGGAGCGGAGCTGTGTCAGTAAGCCGCGGTGGACGTTTGGCGGGAATTTCTAGTGATGTATGTTCAATGTACTACGATTTATTCAATAGATATGAGTTCGCTGTGTAAATCCTTGAAGCTTGTTTTCAAAATATATGTCCCTAAAGCTATTAAGTAAGAGAGCTTACTGGGGCCGGGGCACTGAGACCCCATCAACCCCGCATTTCTGGGAGCCGATCAAGTGAGGGGATTCCCCGCAGATCACTCCCGATCCCTCCCACCTGCTCTTCCTTCTCAGCATCTCTTCTCCTGGTGCTCGCGTTCCTGATTTATCGAGGAGGCTTCTAAGCATAGTCGTTCCTATCCGACTTGTTATTATACCCTAACCTGCCTTCCGTGACTCCGGCATCAAGTTGTTAGACCGATTGCGGAGTATATCACGTCCATCCCTTGCTGCATCCGACGATACCTGTTCGAGCGCCATCACGAGACTCCTTCTCTTCGGGACTCACACCTACAGCCCTCGCTCAATCCGGATCATGAGGCAAAGAGTCAAGCAATAACACAGATGCGCCGTTCAGCTATGTATTGCTCCAGTGGCCTCCTACGCGGGAGAGCTCCGAGGAGCATAGTCACTCTCTCGTCCCGACTGCAGACGCTACCACATGCACGACGGGGCCTTCTCACGCAGAGTTATGCTCGTGGTCCGACAGAGGTATGACTTTTTGTCCCGGTACCGGTAAGGCCTCGCTAACGGGCACAGCCACCCCTGTTCGAGACCACAATTGGAGAGCATTTCGCCAAGATTGTCAGTTCGTATGGAGATAGAACAGCGTGAGTTTGATTATGTCTTTATTCTGGACGCGCCACATGGTATCCATAGCTAACACGGTAGTATAGTGTCATCTCAAAACATCAGAATGACCGAGTCACCTACGCCGGCCTGGACGCAAAGAGCAATGCGCTCGCACGAGGGCTAGAATCTGTAGGGGTCCGGAAGGGAGATCGTGTTGGAGTCATGCTTGGGAACTCCATGGAGCATGCTACTGTATGCTTTGTGTCCGCAGTGACTAGGAGATAACTGACATGGATCACAGGTAACCTATGCCTTGTTCAAACTTGGAGCTATCTTAGTGAGTACCTCAGCCCTACCGGCCACTTACAGCGAGCTGATATAGATCAAGGTGCCCATAAACCCCTCATTCAACGCAAACCAGGTCATCGCAGCGCTAAATCACCTAGGAACAAACCACATGATAATCAGCTCAGAGTCGAACCTGCCCCGCAAACAGCCTCGAAGCAACCTTCCCCTCCTCAAACACCTCGTCCCTGACCTCGAGAAACCCCATCTCGAATCATCCACAGTCCCAACTCTCCAGAACATAATCTTAGTGGACAACTCTAACGGCCGCATCGACACCACGCGCTTCAAATCCCTAACCCCTTATACAAGCGTACTGTCCCAACTTGTCACCGACGGCGCCCCCCTCCCACCACAATCCCTCTCCCCGTCCGAAGTCGTAAACATTCAATTCACCTCCGGTACAACGGCAATGCCCAAAGCCGCCTGCCTATCCCACCGCTCAATCCTCAACAACGGCGCTCAAATCGGTGACCGTATGCGCCTCACGGAACGCGACACAGTCTGCTGCCCACCACCACTCTTCCACTGTTTCGGCTCCGTCCTCGGGTACATGGCGACCGCAACCCACGGCTCAGCGATCGTCTTCCCCGCCGAAGCCTTCAACGCGCGCGCAACACTCTCCGCTGTCCAAGAAGAGAAATGCACAGCCCTCTACGGCGTACCGACAATGTTCCTCGAGGAACTCGGCCTGCTTGAATCCGGCGAGGTTCCGCACAAGGGGTTCGAGTTTCTGCGCACGGGCATCGCGGCGGGGAGCAGCATTCCCGCGGAGCTGATGAAGAAGCTGCACAAGGTGCTGAATCTCACGGAGCTAACGATCTGCTACGGGATGACGGAGACGAGTCCCGTGTCGGCGATGACGACGACGGATGATCCGCTCGATAAGCGGATCAATACCGTCGGAAGGCTGATGCCGCATGTTGAGGCTAAGGTTGTGGATCCATCGGACCATAACCATATCCTGCCTATTGAGACCAGGGGCGAGTTGGCCGTTTCGGGGTATCTGCTTATGAAGGAGTATTGGGGCGATCCGGATCGGACCGCTCTTGTTATGTTGAAGGATAAGGAGGGAAAGGTTTGGATGCATGTATGTCCTCCTTCCCCTTCTGGCACTACTCACGCAATCTATAGCGTATACTAACCAAGTAAAAGACCGGCGACGAAGCCTCCATGTCCCCGGACGGGTACATCAGCATAACCGGCCGAATCAAAGACCTGATCATCCGCGGCGGCGAAAACATCCACCCACTCGAAATCGAGAACTGTCTTCTCACTTTCCCGGGCGTCGCGGACGTATCTGTCGTTGGGGTTCCGGACGAGCGGTACGGCGAGGTCGTGGCGGCGTTTATCATTTCCAAAGACGTTCTGGCAGACGAGGCGGCGACGGGGAGACAGATTCGGGAGTTTGTTAGGGAGAAGTTGAGTGGGCATCTGGGTGAGTTGAGCATTCTTTTGTGACTTGGGTGCTTGTTTGAGGGTGAGGTCGACTGCTAACTGTTGCTATGATTGTGCTGGTAGTGCCCAAGTATATCTTCTTTTTGGAGCCGACTGATTCGTTCCCAAAGACAGCGAGTGGGAAGATTCAGAAGTTCAAGCTTAGAGAGACGGCGGTTAAGCTTCTTGGAGGGCATTGAGCATTGCATTGGAAGCTATATATCATGCACTGGAACTATTTAGCATAGCATATATTCATCGTATATGACATAGCTGTTAGAGTTCAGGATATCTTGAATATGAATGCCACATGTAAAAAGAGAATTCATTAGCGTTTGTGCCATCTCGGACACATCGACGCGATGGCCGAAACCAGTGCTGAAGGGCGCAATGCCGAGGACATAAATCATACGGCCAGGTCACACTGGCGCGTGGTGGGAGGGCACAGTCCCTACGTGATTCTTGCGGCTAAGCGTGTCTCTTTCCACATTGAGATGGCGGCGACAGGAACCATTTAGCCTCCGAGACGGCATCTGGCTTTTCTGAAAGAGTACGGCGTCAAAATGCCTCATCGAGAGACGTAGGCAGGACGCTGAGCATGAAGACCGTATGATGCGTTCAGCAGATTGGATAAGTCCGCATATCAATGAACTGATTAATATGCAGGCAGCGGGCGTCGGCGAGTGTTGGACGAGGCTCCAAAGCAACTCAAGCCTTTGCCGGCTGTTTACCAGCAGGCCGAGCACTATCAAAAGTCCTGGATGCCAGTCTCCCCTTGTAAGCGCTCCTTCACATCGCCATCCCCCTCGACCAACCACTCAGGCTCCTCATCATCAAAATACTTATCCAGTTCCTCAGTCAGATCATCATACTCCTCGTTCCCATCCACAGTCGTGTAGTCAAATTCTTCATCCTCCCCTCGAAGAAATCGCATCGTCATCTCCCACCTCCATGTCTCCTCCCCCTCCTCCTTACTCCCCGGTATCTCATCGCGATCCTCCGCAAGAATCTCGCCGTTCGGACCCCGCGTATAGCTAAACATCGCGTGCGGGTCGGGGTGGTTCAGCGCATCCATTTTTGCCTCCGACCGCAGCAAATCCGCCTGTAGTATTCCCGAGAACCCCTTCGCGCGGCCCTCGGATTCTCGCTCCGCAGGGGTCTGGAATCGTCGGATGAGGCGGTCATAGAGTAACGGGTCTGCGGTGGGTTATATTAGCTCTTCCTTATCCAATATACAGCTGTCTGTGCGCGATCAGTCAGACAGGTAGAGCGAGCGGACCGGCAAGCTCGAGGTCTGCAGAGAAATACTCTGGGTGCAGGTCTAGGTAGCGTTTGCGGCGGTTCTTGATTCTAGTTGCCACGGATATTGTTGTTGACGCCGCATCATGTTTGTGGATTGTTTGTAGATCTTCTTCGACGCCGGTACCCATTGGAAATAGAGGCATAACTGTGCGTGAGATACAGCTGTGAGGGTGATGTAAAGGTGAAGTTGAAGCTGAGTCGGAAGCGGGCGGCAAATTCGTTGCTTTTCAGTCCCCGCCGCGGATTATCGACTGCGCTGCATCAACGAAAGCTGTTCAATTTTTATTGAATTCTCTTATTGGCCGGAGGGCATGGCTGTTGGCTTGCTGTTTGTTTGAAAAGGACATGTAAGAGCACCTCCTGATCGTTTCATGTACAGTATCACTATCGACGAATTTGCTTGGCGATTAGCTTTGCATCTGTCCCGATGCAGTTAAATTCGAGCAAACCTGACAGCTGTTAGGATATCTCAAGTCTGATCGAGCTTTGAATCGACATTATGGCGCCCTTTAGGAGCATCTACCAGCAGGACTCGAAAAAGCAGCTGGCGGTTGGTGTCGCCCTGCTCGTCCTGGCCGCTTTTTACTCGTTTGTTTTCCTGTTGACTCTGGCGCCTGTGTATGGATCAGCTCCATCGCATATCTTCCACAACTACGGCGTCGCTATTGCAGGTGCGGCAGGCTGGTTCGCAAAGGACCACATCCATCGGCTGTCTGATCGCCGGGCTGTCTATCTGATCCCGGTGCTGGCCTCGTGGCTACCCATCCTCCAGTACTTCCTGGCGCAGCAGAGCTCATCGCTTGGGAACCCAGCTGGCCCGGTCATTACGGAGCTCTTTGCTCTCTACCCACTGGTTCTGCTCTGCGTTGCTTGCGCCGGCAAACTGGTCCAATCCGGCCTAGATCTCAGCCGGCATGGCGACCTGGTCGCTGAGCATATTCCCCTGCTTGGATCTTACATCGTCTACTCTGCAGGCGAGCACTTGATCAAAGCGTTTCTCTCCAAGTTCATTGGGTCGACCGTGTTTCTCAGTCGTGCGGGCCTTCAGATCCTGATTGCCATCTTCTATGCTGTAGCCGTGCCATCCAAGCTTCTGCTGCTGGTTATCCCATCTCTGCTCTTCTCGGGGACCTCCAATGTGCATCTCACATTCGGATACTCCACTAGAGCGCTCAACTCGGTCATCAGCGAGGAAGGCTTTGCGCTTGTAGCCCGCCAGGACTCGACAACTGGGTACATTTCCGTTCTCGACAACCTCGTTGACGGTTTCCGTGTGATGCGTTGTGACCACAGTCTCCTGGGCGGCCAGTGGATCAAGGCACGCCCCAACTACACTCCTCCCACGGTAAAAGACCCCATCTACGCGGTCTTTGCCATGCTTGAGGCTGTTCGTCTCGTCGAGACGGTCCACGGCGGACCTCGTGTAGACACGGACAGTAAGGCCCTCGTCATGTAAGTCCTCCTTCATGGCCGCAGAAGTAATGAAACATGCGCTAAGAAACCTCCAGCGGCCTCGGAATTGGCACCACGCCCGGTGCCCTCATCAGCCACGGCATCGACACCACCATCGTCGAAATCGACCCGGTGGTGCACAAGTTCGCCAGCCAGCACTTCGGCCTCCCATCCAACCACACCGCCGTCATCGAAGACGCGCGCACCTTCGTTAACCACGCCCAGACCCAGGGCTCTGTGCAGTACGACTACATCGTCCACGACGTCTTCACCGGCGGCGCCGAGCCAGTCGAACTCTTCACATACGAGTTTATTAGCGGCCTCAGCGCCCTTCTTAAGGACGACGGCGTCATTGCCATTGTACGTCTCCTCCTTTCCCCTCTCTTGCCACCATCCCAAGCCCACTAACAACCAATACAGAACTATGCCGGCGACCTGACCCTCTACCCCGCCTCGCTGGCCGTCCGAACCATAAAATCCATCTTTCCAACCTGCCGCCTCTACCGCGAAGAAGCGACATCCGAGGTCGGTCCCGATTTCACCAACATGGTAATCTTCTGCACGAAATCTTCCTCGCAGGCTATTACATTCCGCGACGCCGTGCCCGCCGATTTCCTGGGCAGCCGCTTCCGCTCGCGGTACCTGGTTCCGAAGCATGAGATTGATGCGGCACGGTTTGCGGCTGTTGAGCAGGGCGGCAGGGCAATCTTGTATGATAAGGAGGTTAATCGGTTGCATAAGTATCAGGATCGCGGGGCGTTGGAGCATTGGGGGATTATGAGGACTGTTCTTCCTGATGCGGTTTGGGAGGCGTGGTAGGTAGTAGGTTTCTTTTGGTATTTAGGTGGTGGGTTGTGGTGGTGTTAGGGAATCAGTCTGAAAGAGTGAGAAGGCATAGATGGGGTTATTATTTCTTGATTGTGTTATGTAACTAGATTTTCATTGTGATTGTAGTAAAAGTGTTGTTCGCATTTCTGTGTCCATGTATAGGCTCCATCCGAAATATAGTTACAACCCAGCTCTTGAAAACCCAAGAAAACAACAAGAAATTACGCGGTCGCTCAACGAAGAGATCATATTATATCTATCCTCATTAGATGATACAAAGACAAACTTAAATCACAGAGCTCGCAATCAATCACCCCTTCCCATGAAAATGTACTAGAAAAGGTATCTACGCTAACCATAATCAAAAGGAAAAATCTGAGATAGTGTGGGGTTTGTACTGAACGAGCGAACGTACCAGTAGTAGTCGCCAATAGGATGCCCTCCCTTGAAGCTATCCAACTAAGAACGGTAGCTTAATTGCATGAGTGAGAAAAACAAAAGTCAAATGCCCAATCGTAAGCTCCGATGTACATCCAAACATAGAGGGAAGTGGGAGATGATGAGGTGAGGAAGGATGGTAGATTTATTTGACCTGTTGTGAGCAAGTGGCTGGCTATCCCGAGGGGCTTCCACGGGGGCTGCTGCCGGGTTTCTTGACGAGGCCTGCGAAGAAGTTTGCGAGGGCTTGGTTGTGGGCTTTTTCGTCGGTTGGGGATGAGACAGTGTCTTTGCGAGAGGAGCGGCTGGCTTCTCGTTCCTGAATAGACAGTCAGTATTGTTCTGTTTATAAGGTATGACGTGAACAAGAGTTACCTTGAGTTTGCGTAGCATGTCATCGGCATCTACCTGGATACCTCCCATGTTCATTTGTACAGGACCGATATGTTCATTCACACGGCCGTTATCGTCGAGCGGCGACATCTCAAGCTGAGGCGTCTTCTTGGCGGCGCGGTCTTTCTCATCCTCAATCTTCAGCTGCTCCAGGTATTCTACCTGACTCGTGAGGAAAGTCTGCATGTCGGACGTCTCCACTTCGACCCTGTTACCCCGTTGTTGGCTTCCTGCAAGGGCCATTGATGTGTCCCGCCTGGGATCTTTGATTGTTTGTTCATATACTGTTACCGCGCTCGTACCATCGTCTGGTTCCGGAGCTCCGCCATATCCATTCGTGAGGGGCTCGGGCGGGTCCTGGATCTCAATGGACCATGCTGTTGATACGCCCTCCATGTCGAATCCTTCTCGGATGATTCGAATCTTACCCCACGAATCCCAGTTCGGGGGGACTAGAATCTTATCGCGATCGATCACATTATGTTTGAGGGACTGTCGTTTCAGAAGAGAGTGTATGCCGAGGGAAGAATGTAGTAGGCTTTGAAGAGAGTTTGCGAGGAAAGGTGTGGTATAGATGAGAGATGCGCCATCTGCGTCTGGTTAGCGCGTCCGAGATTCAGGCCCAGGTATCCGTACGTTTCAACAGTAATGTTCTCAGGAACTGAAGAATGAAGTCAAACCCTTCTTCATGCCAGCCATGATCTCGCTCCAGTTTTTCAATCTTGTCCGCCTGTCGACCCGCGCGTTAGCAGCACCCCACCCAGTCGGTCTTGAGCAACATACCCCTTGACAAACAACGCAAACTGGGATTCCCAGCCCTTCATCCCACTCGCCGGGGCCCAAGGGTATCGTGACCGGGCCTCCGGAGCTAGCCACCTGTGATCCCGCAGCAGCAGCATCAAGCCCCCTTTTCCGGTCCCTCCACTCCGTCATATTCTCCTCCAGCACAATCTTGGTCTCGTCATCAAGCGAAATGAGAACATGCCGTAAGAGGCGAACCCATTCTCTGAGCCGCCTTACCCATGTCCAAGGGTCTGACCAGTCTAGAAGAACCACAACCAAAGTTTCGGGGATGGACTGCGGCGTCAAAAGCGGTTTGAGGAGGGGTGCGAAGGATAACGAGGGCTCCGAAAGAAGATATGCAGATACGCGCGCCAATGTATCTGGGAAGGTTTACCATATTTAGTTGCACTGTAGGCCGGGGTAGGGCGGGGATCTGCCGACTCACCTTCTTGGTCTGCGTCCAACACATCCAAGTACGTATATCCCAGAGCGAACTGATTGGCGACAGGAGGTAACTTCCCTTTTCGCTTTTCACTCGATAAGCTGGGATCCGATGTATCTGCCGTAAACGTCTCTAGGAATTCCCTCTGGCTTTCGGGGGTACCTCCTGGAAGAAGTTAGTTCCATCAGCAACGCAAACCAGCAAAGCTCAGCGCCAGGAGGAACTTCCGCACCAAGGATTAACAGGTTCTTCTCAGGTAGGCGCTTCCCGGTCGCAGCGCTATCAAGCATGGACGACCAGATATTCTTCTTCGGGCCATCTTTGCTGGACGGCCGACTGTTGTTCCCAGCGCCGCTGGATCTTGTCCCCGGATTTTGATTTGATGCAGACATTGTCTGTCCAATACCGACCATGCTCAGTTGGCACAGACCATCCCAATGTACTCCGAAGCGATTTAATCAAAGTTCCCGACGAGCGTGACGCGTGGTTTCTTGCCCAAGAAGAGTTGGTGGTGTATCGGAACAGAAAGCGGAAGCGGAGCAGATCCAGGGGACGTGTTTGAGGCCGATACGGACTAGAGTTGCGGAGTTGGAAGATCGGTGCGCTGTGAGTGTGGTGTACTGGTATAGGCTGAATTTTGCAACGTCAAACACTTCAGCATAGTAAGGACGAATTATCCAGTATACTGGCAGAGTGGCAGTTCTCTTGTACTCTCTCCCCTGGATCCACAACACCTCTCGCCCCCAAATATCTCTTTTGGGAAAGTTAGAGTCACGTGGCGAGCCAGATCAAAGGATCGAACCTCAATTGGCTCAAGCTCCCAGAGCTCAATCCTCTGCACCTCAGCACTCCTCCTACAGCAGACGACTATTTGCCATTATTCTGTCAGGCAACATGAACAATATTCGACAAGTTCAAGCGCTGAACAAGCGCGAGCTTGAAAATGCTGTGTACGTACATGACCTGCTTGATTTCCGCAACCGTCACTGATTCCTTTGATTTTTAGTCCTCCCGAAGCTTCCTGGCACGCTGATTATCGCGACACGGCATACATTTACATCGGCGGTCTTCCATTCGATCTCTCCGAGGGCGATATTGTCACAATCTTTTCTCAATATGGCGAACCAGTGCATGTAAACCTAGTGCGCGACAAAGAAACAGGAAAGAGCCGAGGTTTTGCTTTTCTCAAGTACGAAGACCAGCGCAGTACGGACCTCGCGGTTGATAATCTGGGCGGAGCGACCGTGCTTGGGAGAATACTGCGCGTGGATCACACGAGGTATAAGAAGCGCGATGACGAAGAGGATACAAACAATGTTGCCAAATTAATGGGCGAGACGGCGAAGGCGGCCGATGGCGATACAGATGATGAGGGAAGGAGACGAAAGAGGCGAGGAGGCAGCGAAGAGAGGAACCGGGAGCCGCGAAAGCGCAAGCTTCTTAAGGAGGAGATTGAGCTTGAGGAGTTGATACGGAACCATGACGAAGAGGATCCCATGAAGGAGTTTCTCATCGAGGAAAAGCGGGAAGAGGTTGCGCAGGCCTTGGAAAGGGAGGCAAGGAAAGAAAAGTCCTCGCGAAGGAGAGACAGCCGGGAGAGGTCAAGTCGGCATTCTCGTCACCATCACCGCAGGCATCGACACGATGAAGACCGTTCGCGCTCCAGAGAAAGAAGCAGTCGGGACTACAAAGATCGGTCGAGAAGAGAAAGATATTACAGAGACAGGTCTTCTGAGCGTTCTCGATAACCTGTGCCCCGCCATGACCGAGATAGACGTGATCGCCGTTGATAAAAGTCTGCGCTTAACACGATTAACGAACTAAATGCTGTACAATCTCCCGCCTTGCCCCTTTCCCAGACCGTGACGGACTGGCTTGTTGGCCCGGAGAAATCTCTCCTGACGCCGATGCGTTGCTGTGGCAGCTGGACCGAGCGTTGATGGGACTCGTCAAGAGTTTGCTGCTCACAATCGCTGGGCAGCGATACAGCGTCGTGGAGTGCTAGGCACTTATCTAGCAAATGGCTGCCTCGCGACTTGAGGTTGCACTGAGCTTTGTTACGTCTTTCTCCGCGAAGAAGATGAGAATGCCTCTCAGCCTCCCCCCAGATATCGTTTCCAACCGTCTTTGACGCAGTGCCGCCTGCCGTCTTCGCCTTCTCGGAGGACAAACTTCTCCCACCTTCCGCCCCTCCCCGAACTGACCACAAGTATGGTATTATTATCAGACCAGCCTATAACTCCCTTCATGGGCCGCCCTAATGTTGTGCCGAGAGGTGGAACGTATCCGACACCTTGCGTTTCTTCTCCCATCTCGAAGTGGATATTCGCGAAGGAGTAAACGTCGGAGAACATTCGGGGGAGCAGAGGAATCTTGCCAAGAATGCCCCATTTCCTATTCAGCCTTTCTTCGGAGGATGTTGCTGCCTGGTTATGATACGGGTTCTTGCTTGGGTGGGGAAGGTCAAAAACATGTAACGTAGACTTGTCAGATGTCACGGCTAACAGGTTATTTGACGGGGAGATGGCGAGTGAAAATATAGCCGCGTGGTCTACTCCTCGCCGAAGTTCAGCCATCTTCGCGCAATTGCTTGTCGCAAATATCCGTATCAAAGTGCCCTAATAGTCTGGTCAGCTGATGCTTGATCAAAGAAGTAAGATAATGATATACCGCTTCGCTCGCAGTCGCGAGAACCTCCCCATCGGGGCTCAGCGCCATAGCGCGAAGAGGGGTGCTATGCGCTGGTATAATGCTAACGTTCCCGGTTTCGAGTTCCACTAGTTGAACTTGTCCTGGTGACCGACCAGGAAATGCGAGCAGCTCCTGCCCTAGACACGCAAGGCCCAGGGGGTTATCGGTGGTCTCGAATACCGAGAGCTTCTTCGGTGGCGTCGAGAAAGCGAACGTGTGAACGCTGTTCAACAGCGCGACGACGATGCGGGATTTCGACAAACGGACGCCGAGGACGGAGGTGCGGAACTCGAGGGTGATAACGGCTTTCTGTTTGGCGTCGTCCCAAATAACTAGCTGTAGATGTTCGTAAGTAGAGAACGGTATAAGGCGATGGTGTTGGCGCACCTTATTTTGTGGAAACTTCGGCTGTCTGCCGCCGCCGACGATGGCTAGATAGTTGGACTGCCCGAGCATAACGGCGACGCCAACTCCCGCGTTGAAATCTATTTAGCTTGCGGTCAGTGAACGGCCGATTATAGAGTAAGCTGCGGATAATAAACACATACCTCTCGATACCTTGAGCTCACAAGGGTTGGCGTTGAAGACTCCCTGAAGTCAGCCTTGGCTGCTGTTGCTGCAGGTGTATAGAGCTTGACACACCACAAAACCCGGTTTCCAAGCCCACGGAGAAGCAAGAGTTTCCATTATTGAATGTAGCTGACAGGGAATACGGTCCCACAGACTCGTCAATAACCTGTCGCGTATTCATCCTGACGGTCAGGAATACAGAGCGGAATACCTGCAGAGCTGAGAGCTGGATAGAGGCAAGGTTGAAGCTGGAGATAGCTACTTGGAGATCAAGAGATCGACGGGCCCGCTGACCTCATCCAGAAAGCGTTCCTAAGCTAACCGCTCCGGGCGGTATCCATGCTTGGCAGGCTCTGCTTTTTGAGTTCAAAAGCCTTGCGTCTCCTTCGAAGTTTGATGTATGTCATGGCACATTCTGAGGAGCCGCCGAGGGCCGTGCTCTGCAATGCACGAAGCCTTGCTCTTGCGGAGAACTTTGATCGAACAGTCTGCTGTTTTCGGTGTGCCGAGGCTCAGCCTTAGTAGTTCTTGTTTGCGGCGTTCCGCTCCCTGCGCACTAACATTGCGTTTTCCCGTGATGAGGCTATTCGCGTCCAAAGAAAATCTGCCATCAGATTGGCAGGGCTACAAGCATTGTTCGAGTCCAAGCTTCTGGCACATACGATCCATAACGTTGATAAGCCGGGGTCACAGACTCTTATACTTAGTAGTTCTAGGGCGGTTTGAGGCCTCAGGCATTGATACTCCAGGATAGTCTCAGCGGACGTATCAAATGATTGAGATCCGACTGCAGACCCGCAACCGGCCCACGGCCGTGGGGAGAACCCAAGGGCCAGCAAGCAGTCTTTGGCTCCCCAAATTATTTACCCCTGAAAATAGCACGCCGATTTGTCCATATAGTTGCCTGAAAGAGCTTGATATCGTGAGCTTGAGGCCGAAGGTTGAATTGAACAGAGTCGATTCGAACATCTATCTGTGCAGGTCCCAACGACTGCCTGTACTACTGCAAGTATCTCTCCTGCGTGTGAACTGAAGGTGGCTTGAGATCTTGACAGATTATTCCTGGGGACTTTTCGTTTCTGGTCAAGCTTTCGCCGGGGAAACTGCAAGCATGAAGCCCCTGAAGCCGAAGCTGGGCCTAGAGAGACAGGTGTGGCTCATCTTGGATTGGGAACGATAATCGCTGCTTGCCAGCCTTTCAATCTCGCCTTCCCATCCATGTAGCACTGCTTGGATACTCCGTACACAGGTCTCAAACTGAACTCGCACTGTCGAAAACCATTGTATTCAGAGTACCACTCCGTAAACTAATATAGAGCCTCTGTCGGAGCACCACCAAGTGTGATTGGCTTATCCAGAGCTATGGAGAGAAAAGGGGGAGCAGCTTGGGTACGAGGGGCGTACTGGATACCTAGGCTATCCAAGCTAAACCCGATCGGGGCGCCTTCCCCCCTAAACTGCCAGGTCAGTCAAGTCCCTCTAACAACGAACGCTCTCTCTCACTCTCTCGACCTTTGCTGGTGCCAACTCGACTTCAGGAGTCCAGCAGTCAATCCCCTTCTTCGCTTCTCCTTCAGCCGTTGGTTACCTCTTCCACTCGCTCCTCTCCCTCCCGACTTCCTCAATTCCTTTCCCTCGACTTTCGCTTCTTTGCTGCTTCTCCTTAATTAGCCCATCATGTCATCTATCAACCCGGTATGTGAACTTCCCCTTTCTGAATTCAAGGCTTTGGACAAACTCTCCACATCCCCTCCTTGCAACTCCCCTCGCCAATTGCCGCCCGTTGTTGAATAAGGGCGGACGTCTGCAACCCCCTCGCCTGATGCTTTCAACTCAGCATGAATGTCTCGGGTGAATGCTAATTGCGCGTATCATTAGATCAAGCTCCGCCGGAAGAAGAATGTCAAGAAGGGTATCCAGTTTTGCTTGATGGTCTGCGGTGCCAGCGGAACCGGTGCGTGCTTGACCGAGAAGACCTCCGCATTCCCTCGAGTTCCAGCATTAACGAATTTCTTCGATTACAGGACGCACAACCTTCGTCAACACTCTTTGCGGAAAACAAGTCTTGCAGGGCAAGGATGCGGATGATGCTGCCAACGCTCACATTGAGGAGGGTGTCCGCATTAAGCCAGTGACAGTTGGTATGGATGGGAAGCGCTGCCAACCCAAACCGAAGCACTAATTCGTATCGCTTAGAGCTCGAATTGGACGACGAGGGTACCAGAATTTCTCTCACTATCGTGGATACCCCGGGTTTCGGTGACCAGATTGACAATGAAGCCAGGCATGTTTCCCTCACAATTGCGTGGGCAGCATCAATCTGACCTTTTCACAGCTTCAGCGAAATTGTCGACTATGTGGAGCGCGAATACGACAACATTGTCGCCGAAGAGTCACGAATTAAGCGAAACCCCCGATTCAGGGACAACCGTGTCCACGTCATGTTGTATTTCATTACACCCACTGGCCACGGCCTCCGTGAGCTCGACATTGAATTGATGAAGCGCCTCTCTCCCCGCGTCAACGTTATTCCTGTCATCGGAAAGGCCGACTCTTTTACTCCAGCGGAACTCGCCGAGTCGAAAAAGCTCATCATGGAGGACATCGAACACTACCGCATTCCTGTTTACAACTTCCCTTACGATATTGAGGAGGATGACGAGGATACCGTGGAAGAGAACGCCGAGCTCCGGGGGTTGATGCCGTTTGCTATCGTTGGTTCTGATGACTTTGTCGAGATCGATAACCGCAAGGTGCGGGCTAGGCAATACCCATGGGGTGTTGTCGAGGTTGAGAACCCTCGGCACTCCGATTTCCTCGCCCTTCGAAGCGCCCTGCTCCACAGCCATCTGGCAGATCTGAAGGAAATTACCCACGATTTCCTCTACGAGAACTACCGTACTGAGAAGCTTAGCAAGAGCGTTGACGGTGCTACTGCGTATGTAACCCATAAATACAATATTTTGCGCTGGATGCTAACCAAACTAGACATGGCGGTGATATGAACCCTGAGGATCTCGCGACCCAGTCTGTTCGCTTGAAGGAGGAGCAGCTCCGTCGCGAGGAAGAGAAGCTGCGCGAAATTGAGATCAAGGTGCAGCGTGAGATTGCCGAGAAGCGCCAGGAACTGTTGGCCCGCGAGAGTCAACTGAGGGAAATAGAGGCCCGGATGGCCCGCGAGGCAAGCCAGCTGGAGTCCGCCAACGGCGAGCACTAAACGTACCAACATCTGTCTTCTGAGGGTAACGGCTTGCCACATTTCGCATCGTCTGTGCCTATGCCATGAAACTTGAGGCGCAGCGGCTGTTTCTGTCTAAGGGGTTAATATTATTCGACTACTGTTTCTTCACGTTAATAGCATTCTTCGCGGGAGAAAGGAAGAGCCAATGCAACCACGTTCCGTGACCTTCGATACTGATCCGGACCCAAGCGAGACACAGCGGAGGCGCTGCCCTCCATGTTCTCGCAGCTTTCCTCCACTTCTTTCATGTCTTTTCTAATTCGACCGAAGATATTTCGTTGTTTTCACGCTCAAGATCAAAGATAGCATCTTTTAATTGTTGAAAGCTGTTGCTGGAGCACCTGCATAAATTCCTCCCTTTGCCCTTTTTTTTATACCTGCTTTATCCATGACACCTGTCTCCAATCTCAGCAGCGCAGCAAGATTCCCTCTTTTGTCCTTTCATTTGCGTTACCTCTTTCCTGTCTTCTAGTTGAATAGTATATGAGGAAGAAAAGCATCTGTACCGTCCACCTTAATTGCAACTAATTATACTAGTAGCAGTAGTGTAGTGTCTTACCATTACATTGCACAAAGCTCGGGTACACCTGAACAGAGAAACAGAGCAGCATAAATAGAGTAGACACGCAAATCAGCAGATGACTGCAAACGCCTTGACCTCAATTTCGTCGTCGTCGTCATCATCATCTCCCTCATCTTGATTACCAGTGTTGGGTTGTTTGGAGGGAGCGGCACATGTACCCGAGTTCCCACCAGCACCTCCCCTCTTCACCCTCTTGTTCCCCCCAGAGTTATCCCCGTCTTCCTCATCCTCCTCATCTCCCTCATCGTCATCGTCGTCGTCGTCGTCGTCATCATCATCATCATCATCATCCTCATCCACCTCACCAACCTCATTCCCCGCAGTACAAGCCACATCACTAAAGAGAACAACCTTGCACCCGCTCACCTGACCAATGTAGTTGATACCGCCGCCAATCTTGCATGTCACAGAGGCCGTACCGCTGAAGTTGCTCGGCTGGCCTGTGCACTGGTTGTCCGAGTACAGGGACAGATCCCAGGTCTTGCCGTTGTTGGCGGAGTCGTCCTCATCATTGTCATCGTCGTCGCTCTCATTGCCCTCATATCCGCTACTGCCATTATCGCTGTCATCCTGGTTTTCCTCATCGTCGTCATCGTCGTTGCCGGAATCATCGTTGGAGTCCGAGCCGAAGGGCGTTGGCGATGCCGATGGACGATGGCCAACAGTACCGGCCAACCCTGATGATTTTGGCTGCTGGCCACTTCCATTACCGGAGCCTGAGCCCGAGGTCGGGGCAGGTGAGTTGGAGTGCTGAGATGAGGGTTTAGCAGGCTGCTGGCCACTCCCAGAACCACCTCCAGAGCCGGACCCGGACCCCGACCCAGAGCCACCGCCTGAGGAAGAACCAGAATCACCACCAGAGGATGAGCCAGAACCAGAGCCAGCGCCAGAACCCGAGGTAGGCTTAGGCACAGCTGAACCGGTAGGATGAGGCTGTGGGAATGGTGTATAAGTCTGCGTTGACCCGTAGGCAGCGCCGTGGGCGATTATAACCGGCACAGGGCTCGTGGTGCCTGGAATCGGCAAGGAGGACAGGACATAGAGAACGAAGAGCATAAAGGGGGATAAACGAGGGAAGGAGTTTGTAGGAGCCATTGTGGATGTGGTGTGATGCTCCTGAAATCCACTGAGGGACACTTTTTTTGTCCGTTTCTGATTGAGGGTCTGTGTGGTCTGGCAGAAAGGAGAGGAAAAGTGTGAAAAAAAGAACAAGTAGAATTGAAGTAAAGGGAGTAAAAGAGTCATTACTTATACATCAGTCATTTCGTTAAGTTAGGTTTCGCTTGTGCGCGTTCTTGCCCTTCATCGTTCCATACGTTGGCGTTTCGCTTGCGTGTTTTCAACGCTCTCAGGTTGCGTTGGCCAGTCCAGTCCCATTTTGGCGAGAGGCCGGACTGTGACTTCATAAAGTTTGCGTGCGAGCTTCTGGGCATCATTCCATTGCATTACCACCGCCTCGCCCATGGTGCTGTCCTCGCCGAGAGGTAGAAAAGTGTAATCAAAGGCACGGAAACTCAATTACACAGGCAACTGCCCGTCGGCGAAGAAATCCATTTGCGCAAACGTAGTCGGGTCTATGGTTGCTGGAAGCTCTTGGAGGTCGATGTCAGGGAATAGGTCGGTAGGGAGTTGGAACTGGGGCTGGGTCTGGTCGATGGGTTGGGTATCATTGGGGAGGGTTCCCATTTGGAAGAAATCGAGGACTTCGGAGTAGCTGGTGCTTTTGTTAGCATTTGCGTACTATGGAGTACAGCGTAAAAGGAGGTAAAGGTATAGGTAAAGTGACGTACATCATGATCTTCCACGTCTCTTTGGGAAGCTCGGCGTCATTGAAAGACCAGTCGAACTTTTCAGTTGCGACGGGCTCGTCCATAGGGTCGTGGTACGGTGCCATGTATGGGTGTTTCAAACCCTGTTCAGCGGAATAGCGTTGGTCTGGGTCAAAGACAAGGAGTTTTTCGAGAAGGTTGATGGCTGGAAGTATAGTCCGTCAGGTACGGGATTCTTCTCCAAGCTTTTGCAAAAACCCAAATTTGGTTTGGATAGGGTTTGATGGCGCATACCTTCGTCGTCAGCGGCCGGGAACACCTCCCTGAGTGGTTTTGGCTTGAACTTTTGGAGAGACTGCATCATCCGGCGAGTCTAAAAGTTTCTCGTTAGTTCAAAGAAGATCCTTAGCAGCGAGAACCTAACGGGGAACCGTACATTCTTCGTTGTAATCCGTTCAATGACCTCATCCGGCGGATTCCCTAGAAGTTCCGTGATGAGATAGAACTGATTAATATGGTCCGTCCCTGGGAACAACGGCCGACCCAGCAACATCTCCGCGACAATGCAACCGACACTCCACATATCAACCTTCTTCCCATACCGCTGCCAGGTCAACATGATCTCCGGTGCGCGGTAGTACCTCGTTGACACATACCCGGTCATCTGAGGTTCCTGCAGCCGTGCAAGCCCGAAGTCACAGATCTTGAGATCGCAGTTCTCGTTGATGAGGATGTTGCCCGGTTTCAGGTCGCGGTGGATAACGCCCGCAGAGTGTATGTATTTTAATCCACGCTATATTCTCAGAATCAAGACGCAAGACACACCAGAATTGTGTCAGCCAGCCAGCCTCATGGTCTCCAAAGGAGCGTAGGAGTAATTAGTGTGGGCTGTTTGTGGTGTCGAGTATGCTTACAAGGATTTGGTATGTGAAGTACTGGACGAATTTGCCTTCTAGGGGCTTTGCGCTGAGGAGCCGGTGCAGGTCTGTCCCAAGAAGTTCGGTGACGAGGTAGCTAGACTTGCGTTAGTTGTTTCCCTCTCTCTAACGGAGTGCAGGTCTTCATACACGTCTTCCAGCGGAGAGATGAAAATGTCGCTCATGTTGATCAACTAGTGTGAACCAAGCTGTCAGCGTTTTCTACCACGCCGGTGTTATGAGGGGTCCGCACGTTATCGTGTCGCAGATGCTTCAGGAGCTTCACTTCTCGGTACGTTCGCTTCGCAATGGCCGTGCTGTCGAAGGGCTTCATCATCTTCTTAACGGCAACCGCTTGCTCGGAGATCAAGTCATAGGCGGAACTGGAAGCACAATGCTCGTTAGTGCCATTCTACCCCGCCTATAGAGAAACTGGGGGAACACATACCATACGATGCCTGCGGTACCGAGACCGACGGGTTGTAAGTTCGCATACCTGCGTTCTCGTCAACAAAAGCTCCAGCGTTTATGGCTTGTTAGGCGTTGTGCTGCAGCGAGGAATACCTGCTAGTGGTCTCGAAGGTGGTGCCCAGAATCTCAGACCGGATAAATTCCGCCATGGTTGTGTTATGGTGAGGAGAAGATGGAGATGAGAGAGGGGCAGTCAAGAACTCCAAATCCGACTTAAGTTCTCCCACAACGGTCTACCGGGAAATGTGTCTGTGGGGTACACCGTGTGGGCTCGGTGGGAAAACGTTCCCTGGAAGAAAGAAACGAGCTTGTGCGAGGAGAAAGAAGATGAGGGGGAGAAATAAAGTAGACCCCAGGGCCAGTGTTTGTTCTAGTATCTCGTAGAATAGACTAGCGATTGAGCGATTCTATTGGCGGAACGCACTGCCAGACAGGTCAAAATTCCAGCTGTGGATCACGCTGTGGATAACAGGGATATTTTAGGGACAATGGCCAGATGCACAATGATATCATCGGCGGAAACAGGGAACAACATGTGTTGAAGAATCAAAAAATCACCCGACTCAACAAGTCTCTCTACCAGTAATCGAGAAGACTTTTCTGGGGCTGGATCGCGTCCTGTTTATCATTTCCTGTTCCTCCTTCGTTCTTTGCGACAGAATTGGTTTGCCTTGTGGCACCATCCATGGGATTGTCACCATCGAGAAGCAAGCAGATGTTCAGATCCATCGGCTGATTTCGCTGTGCTTGCAACGCTGCCTTTTGGTCGAGAACCTCATCATGCTCCTTTGAGCCCCCATTCGCGTACGCTTGGTAATTCTTGATCGCCGCTCGCCGCTCATTTTCGCGCCTATCTTCGGGCTCGGCCACAACCCACCTAGCCCCCGCTCCTTCGGCCTGCTGCTGAGCAAGGGATTCCAGACGCTGACTTTCTTCGCAGTTGCAAGTACATGTGTGACGGTCTTTGCAAGGGATCTTGCATATGTGTTTGCAGGCCATTCGACGGTTGCAAATCTGAGTGCACTCAACCTGGTCGTGCGAGAAGCTGCAAAGTCTCCCATTAGAGACGAATTCTCTCGAAATGTCGACCAAGAGCACTTACCTATGGCAGCGTACAGGACAGGTGTGCCCGCACTCAAGTCTCTCCCCACACGCACCTTCGCAGCCACCATTCACCTTCTTCCAATCGGCTGGGTCTAGACCGCTGCATGTTAGCGTGCCAATCTAGCTTGGGCTAACTGCTACTAAGCAGCTACTCAGCGAGGATAACTGACCTTTGATGCCTGTCTTGTTCTTGTGCTTTACGCATGTCAAGGTTAGTCTCTGGCCGACTCGTGGAGGTGCACTCATGTTTCCCAATATCCACAACACTTGACCCCAGAGGCCATTGCTCTCTGCAAGCAGTTCAGCATTGCCGAACATGTAAAAACCTCTCCGGGCACGCGAGAGGGCGACGCAGACTCGGTTGGCGATGGACAAGAACCCGATTCCTTTATGGCCGTTCCTGACAAGTGAAAGAATCACGACTTCATTTTCTTCGCCTTGGTATGAATCAACAGTGACCACTTTCACATAGTGTCCTTGAATATAAGAGTGAGTTTTCATGAGCTTCAATATCCTTTTCCTCTGTCCATTGTAAAAGGTGAGTATCGTGATGTCTTTGACGGGGACGTTATTGAGAGCGAGATAGACGAAGAAGCCCACAACCATCTCGGCTTCTTTCTCATTGTACTTTGATGCCATGTCATCGGCACTTTCAGGCCAGTCATGAGTGAGAAAGAATGCTCGAGTATCCCCCATTCCTGGTACATTCTCGCGATTCTTGACCGACTGGTGATCTCGCAATTCCCCGTAGATAGGAGTCAGCAATTCCCGGATCTCGGGCGCCATGCGCCTTTGGCGCTGAAGAGTGACGAACTTCATTCCATTCTTGACGAAACGCTCAAACATCGAGACATCCAAGAAAAATGGATCGCCCTCAAGGTCCTTTACGGTGCAATGTCCACGGAGCTGTTGGTGATCCCCCACTAGGATTAGTTGCTGGAGCGAATCCAAACATGCCGCAGCTATAGGGGCCTCGATTGCCTCTGCGGCTTCTTCAATCAGAACGGTCCTTGGCTTCACACTCGCCACGAGGGCGCGATACTTGCTCAGGCCTGTTGTTGTCATTCCGATAACTTTGGCGTTTTGCAGAATGAGATTGTCCCTTTCCCAAGCGCCGATCTGCAGAGACTTGCAGTTTTCTGAGTATTGTGCTAGAAGCTGACGGAATTCATTCAAGACCTTCTCTTTCAACTGGCTTCGGAGCTCGTTGTAGACCCAACCACGATCTCTTTCCGGAATCTTCCACATATCGTGATATTCGAGATACTCCCAGCTTGCGGCCTCGACGTCTGGCGAGACGAATCTCCCACAATAGCCCTCTCGAATGTTTGTGTATGAACCTTTGAGAGCCTCGTATTCATCGTCGTCATTGAAGCCCATTTCTGCTTCCAGCTCCTTCAACTGCTCATACTCGAGATCCACCTCATCCTCTGCGAACCCAAAATTTTCCATGGCGTAGTTAACTTCGAAAGGAGCGACTTGGTCTCCGAGCCAAGTGACAAGAGGATCAATATCCTGCGAGTCTTCTCCGGCAGTAACCCAGCGGCTTGCTCCCTTCTCAAGAGACTCGCATTGCTTTGCGGTCAAGAGCCTATACTTGTGGAACACAGATGCTGGAAGAGGTGCATGGGAATTTGCTGCGTTGAAGGGTTGCAACGTCTGCAATATACCATTTATCAGGGCCTTGCTTGCTTTGTGGGCGCTCCCGGCAGTGCTACCGGGTATGTTGGGCATTGATTCTTCACGTCGGATAGAATAGAGCGTGCGCTTCTTGATCTCGACATCACTGCTCCTAGCACCCAAGCGAACATACTTTCTCTCATATCGAGAAATGTGTGTCAAAATCTGGTCAAGGGCGTGATTCGTTTGAGATGCCACGACTATTGGTGGGTCGCCAGGTTCCATGTTCGAAAGGAGTATCTTCAGCGCAACAACAGAGACGTAAGTTTTTCCCGTGCCAGGAGGGCCCTGGATAATGGCAAGCTGTTTTGTAAGCATTTGCTCCAAGGCTGCCCATTGTGTAGTATCAAGATCTCCGATTGGGGTTTGAGGCCAGGCCTTCAGGATGTCGACCTTTTTCTGCTCTTTTGAATCGTCTATGATAGAGTCTATCTCAATACTCGACTTGTTGATCACGTATTCGGGGACTTTAACATCCTTGTCTAGAAAGCATATCTGGTCTGCGAGAGGAAAACTATTATCCATTAGTCTCAGGTCCCGCAGGAGAATGACGACGATATCAGCCACTGACCTTTCGCGGCTCATCTTCTGAAGAGCCGTCATCGTATGCCTCGCCGACTCGTAGTACCCCTCCTTGGATTGCACCATGATCCATTCCAATTGAGGATCGAAGTCTGCATCCGCCGGATCTGCGAAGAATATGTCGACTTCTGGAGGCTGCATCTTCACACCCTCCGACGGCCTAGCAGCAATGATTGCAATGACACACCTAGTCTGGAAAGCATCCTCTGCAGGAGATAGCGCAACTATCGAGCCACTGACAAGACGCTTTGAGTATTCCCACGCAATGTTTCTTCCCGCTCTGTTGGTCGAAAATTGAATTCGAAAACCTAGGCCTCGTCGAGCAAACGTCAACCCTGTCACGTAGACCTGGTCGACAGTTAGATGCTATCTGGTAATTGAGGGGTACAAGGTGGGTGGGTTCGTACCTTTTCGTAGATACAGGTGTTCTTGTCATCTCCCATGTCGGGATCACATTTGAAAGTCGCAACGGCATCCCGCAATGGAGCAACGGCGTCTTCTCGGATAAGATCGTAATGAGCTTTGAGGTATACCTCTTTAGATTCCCAAGGGCCATCAATCTTGTTCGGCTCGAGGTCCACAAACTCGCCATCCTCTCCTCCAGAAATCTCGTCAGAGGATGGAATCTCCGGCTTGAAGATCCATGGCTGCGAGGTCCAAGTATCGGGGCCTTGAGCATGGGGCAGGTCAAAGTACTTGGCAATGTCCTTGTTGATCTTGACGGCAGAATGTGGCTTGGTGGTCGCCTTCTTGAACTTTTCAGGAAGTGAATTGATTTCGTCCTCCCAAGCCATTGTGTTGCGAGAGATTGTAAAGAAGCCCAATCGCAGGGGAAATGAGACAAAAAGAGCAAAACAGAAGAAAACAAACTGCAATGCGGAATGACAGCTCGAGTTTCCTAGGCGAGAGCTGCAAACGAGACTGGAGGAAGCTGCCTATTAATGAGATTCCTGGTATTGTTGCCTTCACCTTGGAAAATCTTAGGGCCACTCTTCTATCATAGATCTTTTTATTCTCCTGGATAATTTTCTCAATCGTCGTCAATGGATTGCTCCTGCTGATTTTCGCTTGTCAACATCTTGCCTGCCATCGAGTGACGGTGTTTAAGACATGGAGTTTCAAACATATGCAGGCTGCCCATCTTTCGCAGTGCCCAAATTGTTTATTCACTTCGAAAAGACGAACTTGGCCTGACTTCAATCTTCTTGCCAATTGGTGTTCATTGATACACCAGTCACCTATACTTCGAGACGATAAGGTGGATAAAATGGATTAAGGGTTATGAAGAGACTAGCCTGCTTTGGGAAGTTAATGCCCCAGGCAACAGTGGGCTGGAAACGTGACTGACGTCGGGGAAATGGGATGCGATGGCCAGCCATACTTCCAGCGCGAAAACTATATTCTTAGTCACTCCTTTAAAGTTCTGCTCGCCGCAGAATCATTCAAATCTCCTTGCCTTCGAAAAATCAGTATTCATACGCGCGGCGACTAATCCGAAGCTCTGGCGGCCATGAGACACTGATATCGATACCACTTTCTTTCTGGGGCCGCCGACGAAAACTAGGTCGTCCAAAGCAAGGACAAACATAGCGAAAAGATTTGCGATACTTTTCTCCTCTCGAAAACTTGTCCGCGGCCGTTAACGGACCTCAAGACCCCGACCCCGCGACACAATGGCATCAATCGTGGAAGATGACGACGATCGAGATCTCGCAGGTTAAACTCCCCTCCGCGAAGACATCTCGCAACCGCAGGCCAAAACTGACATGTCTGAACTACTTTAGGGTCGCCGGATGGAAGCTCCGACAACGAAATGGACGATACACTCAGGGACGCGGACGAAGGTGGGGGGGACAACGAGCCGGACATAGACGCAGACGGCGACGCAGACGACCAGGATCCAGACAGCCCCTCGAATGCTAGCCATGCATCAGAGGGCGCCGGTATAGCTACACAATCGAATCAAGAGACCAAGTTCAGTCCCCCAGCTCCGAACAACGCCACATCAGACTTAATCTCCGTTTTCCACCCGAGCGTGCGAGCAGAGTGTCTCACGGCTTCCACATACGATATAGTCCCGACAACGGCTGCTCCTCACAGTACATCGATAAACGCTATAACAGCCACGGCTGATATGAGATGGGTGTTTAGCGGAGGATCGGATGGATATGTGCGGAAGTTCAACTGGGTGGATTCGATGAACAGCAAGCTGATGTTGACCGTGGCGCAACGGCACCCGTTCGTGGACAGCGTTATAAAGGCAGGTGTGCTGATGACATATTGGGAGAACATGGACGGCTCCGCTTTATCACCGGTGTACTCGCTGGCCACCCAAAGCGAGGGTCTCTGGTTGTTGTCCGGCTTGGAGTCGGGTAGTATCCGGCTGCAGTCTATCCGGCATGAAGAAGGGAAGGAGATTGCTCTCCTACAGCAACATACCTCAGCCGTATCCGTTCTGAACTTGACATCCGATGAAAAGTCATTATTATCCGGAAGTTGGGATAAACGGATTTTCGATTGGGACCTCAACACAGGGCAGACTCGGCGTGTTTTCGGCTCGAGCGCTGGACAAATATCAGCGATTGAGCTGCGTCCGGAGTCTAGTCTCCCAATCCCTAGGGATACCTCCGAGTTCCAACAACCCAACGGAACCTACTCTTCAAATAATCAAGCCAGCGTAAACAACAGCTTCGACTACATGGACACATCAAATGACCAGGGCGACAATGGTGCTTTAAACCCGCAGGCGGGATCACCAACAGACTCGCTCTTTGGCGGAGCCGACTCTCTATTCGGCGATGCAGATGGCACGGGAGGCGATGGCCTGGGTCCGTCCACTAATGCGTTCGGCATAGACGAGGATGATGAGTTTGGCAAAGCCCTCGCCAACGGCGTTCTTCCCGACGCGGACGCACCGGGAGAGCCAGACGGCGACCCCATGATCCAGCAAAACGGCATCTTTGACCACACTTTCTCCTCCCAAGATGCTGGCGGTATTGGGATGGGTACTCCCTTCGCTAGCCAGCCAGTAGACTCTCAACCAGGGGACATGTCCAATCACCTGTCCCAGCCACTAACCAACGGCCTTCCTCACGCTGAAGAATTAGAACCTCCCCCTCAAGAACCAGATCAATCACAAGCCACGCCATTCGAGGCAACAAACGTTACCGACAACACCTTCCTCGCCGCCTCAATAGACGGCACAATCCGAGTCTGGGACCGACGGCAACCATCCGCCATCGCCCGCATCACTCCCCATAACTCGCCGCCCTGGTGCATGAATGCATGCTGGTCCCCAGACGGGAACTACATCTACGCGGGGCGCCGAAACGGCACAGTCGAAGAATACAGTCTGCACAAGGGACTACGAGATCCCGAGCGAACCTTTAAATTCCCGCAAGGAAGCGGGCCCGTCACCGCACTCAAAGCAATGCCTAACGGGCGACATCTCGTTTGGTAAGCCCATCCGCCACCCCCTCTCAGCTACCTCCTCAAGTAAACAATAACTAATCCTTTCACAGCGCATCCCACGATATCCTTCGTCTCTACGATCTGAAACACGAACAAGCCACCCGCCACTCCACGGTTCCCTTCCTCATCATCCCTGGCCACCGCACGGGGACAGTCTCACAACTATACATAGATCAGGCGTGTCGATATCTCATCTCCACGAGCGGTAATAGAGGCTGGGAGGGCAGCACGACAGAAGTCCTGCTAGGATACGAGATTGGCGTCCCTTCTCCTCGGTAGCGAGGAACAATTTCTATGAATCTCTTGAAATGTAAGGGGACGGAATATATGTATTTGTATCATACATGTTCTACTACTGTTGCTGCTATTCTTAATGGGCGTTGGTTCTTGGTTTTTTTTGCCTCACTCTTCCTGCTATGAGGGCCACAGCCTTCGAATAGTGTCACGATGTTAGGATTTAGGATAGGTGGCTGTCTGATATAGAGAGATGGGGTTGATTTGATAGCTAATCTAAGATGGCTTTGCAGAATCACATGAAGTTCATTTCCTGTTCGTATTCTGTGCTACCGATTCGTATATATAGTACTGCACCCATAATCATGCCCAAACGCTGAATGCTAACGCTACCAAAATAGCCTATATATAAAGCAATACATACTAAAAACACATGGTACATTTCAAAGATCATCATCATAATCATGAACATTATCCAGATCAAGCCCATCACAAACCTCGTACTGTTGCGCTCGCCAGGAACCGAACAGTGGGTTGTGCTCCCACTTCACCTGACCATCGTTGTCACGTTCGAAGAACACATAACCTGGATCTCCTGATTGTACGCCCCAGGGGCCCGTGACTATGCGCCCAAATCCATCGAGAGCTACATTAGGGATATGTCCGCGCGCCTCGATGTTGCCGTTCTCGATACTGTTGACTGTTATGAGGTATACGGGCGGGAGGTCCGCGTCTCGCTCAGCACGCAGAGGCACGGGTATCCATGCTTTGTTGTTATATGACTCGACTCTATTCTTGTCGTGTCGAAGAGGTAGCGGTCGCGACGTGAACATGGAGTCCAGCTTTGTGGAGTCGAGTAAGAGGCCAGGCGTCTGGAGAAAAAGAACACCGTCATATTGCATAAACTGGATTTGGCCTATACGCAGCAGCTTCGTATCTGTGATAGTGTACCCCGCCGAGGTCGCAGCCTTCATGTCAATCGGTAAGAGCCAGATACCGTATTTGAGGCTTGCGGCGCGAAGGAGTGAGAGCGCTGTTGAGACGGGCTGAGAGAGCGTCATGATGTCCCATTCTCGTGGGTACATGAACAGGCGGTCTTGGATGGCTGTGCCGTTTGTGGAGAGTTGTTTGAAGAAGAGGATTGCGGAGCAGATGTTGGAGGGGTCAGGTTCGGAGAGGAGTTGTAGGTATGCATAGTTGCCAGTACTCTCTGCGGGCTTTCTCATTTGCAGCTCTTCTATGTCTTCTTGCTGCGCGTCCAAGTCTAGATCTGATAGAGGATCTTGGGTGCTTCGTGTGTATAAATGTGCCTTTGGCTGGTCTGGCGGTCGAATCGCATGTTGGATATTTCGTACGGACTGCTGCTGTAGTGCATAGCCTGACAGGAAAAGTAGAGATGTGAATATGACGAATATCCCCGTAGACACAATGACTGAGACCGTGGAATGTGTCAACAGCACCATGGCTAAGTCTAGTGTTGTACCGGCATGTGTAGCGGGGTGGAATTTCTGCTCTTGTAGGCTCAAACTCTCGACACGCGTGAAGCAAGTACAAAGATAAGAGTCGCAGCACCCTTCAGCTTTAAGCACAGGAAAGAAACAGGAATTATCGTGCGTTTCAAGTCATCTATAGCAAGGCAATAGACGTCAGTGCTGATTGTTGATGCGGAGTGGTTGTCGGTGCGACTATCGATAAGCAAAGTCTTGGCATTAAGCCAAGTAACGTGACATCGATTTTCTTAGAGCTCTCCAAGCCTCTTCAACCTCCTCAGCCCGTTACACCCTCTTAAATTCTACGCAGCAAATTCGTTACCATGGCCTCCCATCGCGCCGATGCCAGCAAGCTTCTCGATGACCGGGGCTACACCGGCCCCCTGGTCCGCGGCCTCAATCCCGCAATGCTCTTCGAAAAAGCCGTTCGCGACCGAATTACCGAATCCTACTACTGGAAAGAGCAGTGTTTCGGTCTAAACGCCGCAACCCTGTGCGATCGCGCGGTTGAGCTATCATTCCTTGGCGGTACCTATGGAGTTTCCGAGAAGGCTTCTCCGTTCCTTTGCCTTGCGTTCAAGCTCCTGCAACTCAATCCGGACCGAGAAATCATCTTGGAGTACCTGAATTTCAGCGATCCCGAACTCGAAGCCGACGAAGCCGATCAAGATACATCACCGGAGGAACGTGCGCAGAGCAGCGTCGTCAAACATCGTGGAGACTTCAAGTATCTACGCGCTTTAGCGGCGTTCTACGTGCGTTTGACGTGGGAGCCCGTCGAGGTGTACAAGACTCTGGAACCACTGTTGCTCGATTATCGGAAGTTGAAAAGACGGGTCCGCGACTCGTTTGTACTCACGTACATGGATCAATTTGTTGATGATCTATTGACGAAGGATCGTGTGTGCGGTACGAGTCTGTGGAAACTGCCGTCGCGGCAGCAATTGGAGGATCTCGATTTACTAGATGAGCGTGAGAGCCCCCTTGCGGATGAGTTGGAGGAGATGGATAGAAGTGACGATGAAAATGGGCATTCGAGCGATGCCCGCTCTGATCGCTCTGCTGATGACTGAACGCACTGCCTCTCGCCATCATCCAACTCACTTGACTCCGCTCTCGCCCGCATCAAAGTGACAAACTACTGGACTCCGGCATCTGCTCGGTATCAGCTCGAGGCTGCTCTGGAAACTCCAGCTAGTATACACCATGGGTGTCTCACGATCAACATGACTACTTCCTAGCAAAGCAACCCATCTACGGTTCAAAGATGCGATGAGGTACTGGAACAGGAGCTTCTACTCCCATAGATATAAGTCCAGCGCCATTTTTTGGTTCGATACGCTCTTTGAAAGAGACGTTTATGAGCAACCCTCGCCAAATACCAGGATTACCCGCGCCGGTATAAGGAAGAATCGGTCACTCCTCGCGACGTACAGGGAAAAGTCCATTGTCACTCTATATAACGGACAATCCTCAAATGCTATAACACTAAATACTCAACCACCCAAATGCATACAGTATCTTATTCTGTACAAGCCGTTCCCCGGTCATGAAGGGGCTTTCGCACTAGAATCCTTGCTGCCGATGCCACTTCTCCTGCCAATTCTTGAACCACGGACTATCATCTAATGTACTCACCTCCCAGTCTCTGGGGACAGCGCCACTCTCTTCCTGTTCCCGTATCCACTCCTCGAACTGGGGAAGAAGGACGTGTTCTACATGCCATGTCGCCTTGTACTTAATCAAGTTTTCTTTTCCCTCGGTCATTATCTTCTTTAGAAGCGCGGGAACACAGGGTTCGTCTCTGAACTCCGTCACAGGCGTGAAGAGTGCTTTGAAGTTGAAGACAACGGCAGCGGAAAGCGGGAGGCGACGGAGGGTCTGCCAGTCGACTCTCAGGAAGCAGTCTTCTAACTTCAGATCGGGGTCCTGGAACGTCCGGAGCTTCTCGTGTGGGTCTCCTGCAGGCATGTACAGAGGCTTGCCGATTTCGAGGCCCCAAGAACCTCGTTGAATTGGCTTGTCGCTTGGCATCTTCGTGAAGAAACTATGCAGGAGCACTGTTAGTGGACTTGCATCTTTGCACATTTGCAAGATCAACATACCGATCCATAGAGAACTGCATCTTTTCCTTGTAATCCGGAATAGGATCGTGGATTTGATGCAGTTGCAGCCCAATCTTGGTGCCGACATTCCACCCCATAGAAGAGCAAATCACACCGGCGCGCAGGAAGTAATTCCCCGTCTTATCGTCACGCAACATGATACCAAAGTCCTCTGGTACATTGTCCATGAGAATTTCGAGCGGCGGCTTCGCCCTGATATCCTGCTCCGTCCCGAGGATACCATTCTTCAAGATTCGATTGTCAATCAGTGTGAAGTACTGCGGATACCGCGCGCACAGGAACTGCAGAACCATCTCCATGAGCTCCTTACACGCCAACTCCGATCCCGGAAGAGCACCAAGGACCGAGCTTCCATGCTCCGCAAACAGCGCCTTGCGCTGTGCAATCCGCTCCTTGTACGTGTTTTCAAGCTCAAGCCACCAATCAGGCTCCAACTTGGTCAGGGCTACAATTCCGTGCAACACTCAATCAGCCTACGTTTCTCCCCGCGACAATCGATAAATTGCAAAACCAAAAGACAGGAAAACGTCACACCACAGACGAGGAAGTATACATACACATAGTCTGATGATACGTCCAGCGAAACGGCCGATACGGTCTAGGCAACGCCCTCTTGATATCAAACCCCGGATAGGGCGCAGGCAACGGTACGCCACTGAGCGCCGCATAGTCCGGGAAATCGCCTAGGGCTTTGAGATCGGCAACCGAGAACCCAGTCGGAGTATATCGCTCCTCGTTATCACCACCCTGGCACGCGGTCGTGTAGTCCACGGTCATCGGCAGGATCTTGCGTCGAACATCCTCCTCCCCAATCTCGCTCTTGTGCGACACTCCGAGTGTGGCGAGCACATGACGGCGCTGCGGGGGGAGGACGTCGACGGGGTTTGTGGGAGATGACGACGGTTTTTGCGGTACGGCGGCGGCGGCGGCGGCTTGCTTGCTTTTTGGGAAGATTGAGCGCGGTGGAGTTTTGCTGGTTGATGTTCGGCGCGTTGGGCGCAGTCGGGCTATTTGGTTGACGAGGGGTTTCCCTTGCGTGCTGGTGACGGTGAGGATGCAGAGGCCTGCTGCGAGGGCGACGAGGGCGAGCCCTGCCCACCACGGTTTATCGTGGATACTTAGCATGTCCATCTCGAAGAGTTCTCCGCCATGTAATAGTAATGAAAGAAAACGAGGATTAAACTCCTCAGCCTGCCTTTAGATCATCAGAGAGGGTTGAACGTCTTAACTATCCATCTTCTGTACCCCCAGGCAGACGAGTAGAAGAAAGCGCGCGATAATTAAGCCTAGAAAAAGCAAGATTCGCATCCCCGCAACTCGCATCAATCCCCCTCTTCCTCTTCAATGTCTTATCTATCCATCTACGTACCTTAGTCGCTATCTCACTATCTCCCCAGGCCAAACCCGGAACCACTCACATCACCCCTCAAACCGGCAGGTAACAGGCACAACAACGCGTGCTGCCCGCGGGCAAAGATGAAAGGTTATCCATCATCACCGCCCTCGAATCCATTATCGTCATCCAGTAGCGATATGCCCGCATATATTCCGGCCCTCCGGGGCGCCCCCGGACTGGGTTGACAGAAGCGGAAAAGGAATGAGGGGGATTTCTCGCAGCGAATCAATCTTTGAGAGAGGCCAGCTGGAGGACTCGGGACTTTGAGGCTGGAAGGTGGAACTTGGGCTGGTTGGCTTGGATGGGATGTACAGTACATTTCCTAGATGGGTAAAAATGTCCCGGATCCATGATGGATGGCGGTGTTGCTTATCTGTACCGCTTCCACTGCCACTACCACCGCTCAACCAGAGTGCTTTTTACCTCAAGGCCGAGATCTATATGTGTTGTTTGCCTGGAGGAGTCAAGGCAGGAAATGCTGGATATTGTGTAAGAATAATGCTTTCGATGATAAATTGGGTTTGACCTGGGTGAGCCCTATGGATGTTAGCAAGGGTATCCTGGATGCCAGATGGTAGGGAGGGCTTATCAGGCCAAGCCAAGGTTGATAAGTATTGCTGCTTGCCGCGAACTATATCAGGGGAGATTATGTCTTAGATTTAGGAGTTAACAGGTAACATTCTCATGTGGTGCTCTCTATGTACAATTTCAATAGATTATTCGAGTGAGTCGAGGACGCCGCCTGTTGTGGGCTCGCGGCTTGAGAAACCGTGGTGTCCTGGTGGACCGACCGGTTGATGGGCGCTTCATAAAGCTATTTCAATGCTCCAGCTGCCGATTGTGATGAGGAATTGCTCCAGTATGCTGATAATACAATAGTCAGACACGCCGAGGGGAGAAGCCCGTTGCTTCCCCTCATAGATTATAAGAAACAGGTTCATGTGACAAATGGGTATCATAACACCGCTGTTTCGCCGTGAAAACAGAAATCCAGTAGGAATAAGGAATATCGGGACGTAAATTCAAAATAAGCTCGTAAGAATTGATGCTTGTCGACGTTTAGTCGGGGTTGGTAAGCTAATGCAAGGTTAGTCACGTACAGCGTAAACCAAAAAGAAAGCACTTGATGTTGACTTACCCGTAGGACCGGCCGGGAATAATCTGCGTTATCTTGAAGAGACACGTCGCTGGGTCGGCGGCCATTTGGATATAGCACCGCGCCGGTGTTCAGGCGATTATCTGTAAAAGTGGGCATGCGCTGAGGCGTATGTGATGACCCGTTTGACAAGGTGTGGCTGTGATTGTCGCCAAACATCCCCTTTGCGCCTGCATAGCTCATCTGGGAGCCTTTGCTCTGCCGGCCGTCTATCGTCCCGCTTTGACTGCCGTCTGGACTATCAGAGCGCTGGCGGCGCTTTGCGAGGAAAAATATGATGGCAGCCACTATCAAGGCGATGCCACCCACAACACCGACTACTATTCCCGCGATAGTACCCCCACTGATGCCCGAGCCACCGTCATCGTTATCTGACCCATTGGCTGAATCTGCAGCGGCTGTTGAATCTGAGCCTCCAATAGTTATCGTCGTGACTTGGCCATCGTGTGTCTCGATTGAGGTCGAGTGGCTTGTAGTCGTAGTGCTCGAGTCGGACGTTGTAGACGATGTCTTGGAAAGTCAGCAAAAGTAGTAGATGAAAAGTCTAAGTACTAACCGAGCTACGTGTAGTTGAGCTTGACGGCGCAGTTGCAGTTCCCGACGGGTTACCGAGCTGAATATAGCCGTATAACTCATCCGCCGCATTGCCGCAGGTATCTGCCGGATATCCAGGGCATTCATCATCACACTCGGATGTGTCGACATTTGTTGCGTCGTTGGGAGCGATATCTGAGCACCAGCAGTTCTTATCCAGCAGAATACCGAATGCGCTTCCACTGCAATGCTCTTGGCAATTTCCTTCCGATTGGTATATGGAAAAGTCTATGAAGCTATGTTAGGGCGAGTAGATGATGGCGAGCGCGCCGACTTACTCGAGGAGCTAGAAGACCCGGTGCTGACTGTGGAGCAGTATGTGATCGAGCTGTCCACCTTCATCCAGAGCGCCGCCCATGCAAGCAGAGCTAGCAAGGGGAGTGAGTAGTGATGATTCATGACTGCTGCCCTCGTTGTATGCCTCCGATCACCCCTGCAGCGTTTCAATGGCAGTCGCAAGTTATTTCAATCTGTCGTCTCCCCGTCGCGAGGATAGTCCCTAGTTCCTGCTCAAGCGATCGGTCGAGTCCGAGTAGAATAAACAAAAGGTTCGATGGTTTCGAAATCGATCAAGGTTCAAGTGTCATTTGCCGAGGTGTATTCGAAGGTACCGACACGGAGACTATTATGGTTTACGATGTACCACCAGTGTCCCGCACTGAAAGACCCTTCGAGCGTCTATTGTTAGAGGCGGCTCCTTCGGCTTTGTTTTGACAAGAATAGTAAACTCACGAGATGGTCAAAGATTGCCCGTAGCGACAGTTCAAACAAAGCTTTTTAACTATAAAGCGGGCGTGTTATTCGACATTGGTGAAACGACCGATTCAAGGAAACACCAGGGATCAGGGGAGTCCCGGGATCATCTGGGTCAGGAGCAGCGAAGGGACAGTAAGAGCGCCAGACAGCTGTCGGATCGGTTGGAAAAGACTGGTGATAAGCGAGGGAATAGGTGGTATTGGCGACGAAACTGGAGGCGCTCTTCTGGAAGGTAGGGAGAGGAAATTCAGAAGACAGGAAAGACAGTCGTGAGACACCGGCAGAGAGACGAGGACAGGTTCGCGGGCACGGAAGCCAAAGACCAAGAGTCGTCGTCTTCTCTGCATACCTCGTCTGTACTAGTTCCGTACGATTCGACCCAGCGGGCCCGTCCCGTTGTCCCACCCAAAATAATACTAAACTTTCAATACTGGTGGTATTTGCAACTATTCAAACATCATGTCTTTGAATCTCCGCTGACAAATTATTCTTCTGATGCTGAACTGGGGGGCATCCCATTTATACATTGTTTCCGGATATACAGTATTCATCGTTTGATGCTATGAAAAGAGCAACATGCCATAATGAAGAAGCCAAGCGATGATCCCATCTCGCGTTATAGACGATTAAGTCAGCCACATCTCAACACCAACCTCGCTACTCAGCACCAGCAACTGTGACCGGAATGCTGCCAGTGTTAGCCACAAAACAATGCAGTCGTCGCTTGGACTCTGTATATTGGAGGAAGTTGCTTACATGTGAACACTAAACTAGGATCCAATCAGTCAGATTTAGACTTGACCGGAACAGAGAGCATCCGAGCTTCTTTGCTTGAAGCTCAATATCCCCACCCAGGGACAAAGCCACAAACTGTTATCGCGAACATCATATCTGCGTCACAATTTTCAAATCCCGTCAAATCAGATCAAAGTAATAACAGGTACCGCGGCTTCAAAGCCACTCATTTCGGAACTTCTATTATCCTCAGAGTCCCTTGGTATCACCCTCCGAAAAAGGAAGGGCAATGAAGAGCACGATTACACAAAAAAATAAAATAAAAAAAATCTCCAGGACCAAAGAGGCCTACGCAATCCACACTGTGTTTGAGATTAGGCGGGTCGCGCAGATCGTAGCTCTCTGATTGGGCTCTCAAGCTCCATTTCCTGGATCCCGTCCTAACTCTCGTCACAGCGCATACCCCTGACAAAGTATTTTAAGAAGCCATTCTTGAGCATTCGCCACCGCACAGGACATCGGTTGCATCAAAACAGGACAGGTGGAGAGTGCAACAACTGCGAGACAAATGAACGGTCAGGACCTCTTATGAGGATGCGCATTCTGCGTTCATTTTCAACTTCATATCTTAAATTTCGAGACGCTCTTCAATTCTCATCATCTGAGTGGCTGACCAGACCGGTAGTCTTCGCGTCCCATGGACGATGGTCCCATGGATACTCGAGAAAAACACAACGACTGGCGGCATGTGCTGTTTACATTGACTCGCCGAGGCTTCCTGCTTCACCATGATCAACTCCTCACCAGGGTCTTTGACAGCGGTTATCCCAGTCGATCGTTGTCAGTCCGTTGGCGATCTACTGAGCGGAGGTTTCGAGGACTGCGCGGCCTATAAAGACTAAAAACGTCGACCTTTGACAGACTTTCGTTCCGTATGCTGTGCGAGCATCTCAAACAAGGCAACATCCTGGCAGCTGGCCTGCGCCCAACCCTACCGCCGAAACGTCATCACACCTTGACAAGGTATCGATATTCAGGGGCGGCAGAATAACTTTGTTTCTGACATCTCCAATCATCACCCCTCAATCTTTTGTTCAGGCACGGCTCTGTTGTTCTGGATCACCTTCCTGCGCTTGAACCAAATCGCTCGCCAGCGATTCCTGAACTCGGCAATCCATGTCCTCCTATGAAGCCGGGTTTAAGCGGTTGATAACTGTGACCCCGCCTTTCGTATCAGCCAAAATCAAGGTTTGAGTTCGCTTCGAATCGTTTGGACGAGACTGCTTTCTTTCTGGAAGATCTGTTGCCTGACAAAAGAAACTTCGATCAATCTCGAGATCGGCAACTAGTAGCCTGCCACGTAGGTACAAGAATCCTTCAAACTCGGGTCAAATATCCCATTATCCCTTGTTTACCTCTGAGAACACAAAGCACTAGCCACTCGTCTGCGTGGCTGGTGAACCGACAATACATCGCCCGCCCGCGTCGGTTTTCAAAATTTCAAGAACCCAAGCTCTTCGGACGTTCGGCGTCTCAACAATCGATACAATTAATGGATGGTCCCAGTTTTATCCCGGTTATTCCTTCTTGGCCATTTGCGCAGCAGTTATGTGGCTGAGAACTAGAGATCCAATATCTAGCCATGTCCAGGCCAGCCAATGTGATGCTCTCAACTTTCTTCTTCATCCATGGGCATCAAAAGATGTTTGTATACGGCATCCGACCTCACTCGGTTCAAGGCCGTTGCTATCACATTCTTCCATGACTCGCCCTCGACATTCGGAATGCGCGCTAGATTGCAAAAATACGCATTGCACCCTTCCGAACGGAGATAACGGTCAGCTGCAGTGTCCACTGAGACAAGTCGCCCACGGGTCCCTAAGCCAAGTCTTGACAGTCCACTGAGAGAGGTCAATGAAAGACATGTCCTGATATCAGATGGTTTTAATCTGTTCGCTTTCCTTCTGATTCCTTCTGTCCGTCGACAATGAACCATTCTCTGTATTTACCGAGGACTTGAGAAGCTGGACTAGTACTCCGTATGTGTGTCTAGTTGCCTCCACTGGACACTCAACGGATGACGAATCCAGATCCACAGACCGGAATCGAATGGATCAGTCAACCCACGGTCCTTTCCCGTCTGCACTGTCTCAAGCTTATTTTGAGTGATCATCTGTGTCTACGGCGATTCACCGGACGACGGAGTTTCGTCGCCGAGAAAATGGTTTGCTTGTGTCGGTCTATATACAGACAACCTAGTAGTATAGGTTGCTCTAGTATTCACCTCGAGTTGATCACTACTACTGAACGACGCCTAGTAATAGCCCTCTGTGTCCTCATTCTATCGGCAAATAAGATGCTGAAGTTCCCTCGGAGAACTCTAATCAAAGACAGTCGGGTCTCACCTACTACCATAGCAACGGCCCGACCAACCTCGCAGTCCACGCACCTCGCATCCAGCCCATATCACCGCAACCAAAGAAATAGATGTTCGGCGTAAAGCGACCACCAAAACTCGGACACGCACGTGCACGGTTCACGAATCCTGAGACATTCCACGCAAGCCTTTTTGAACTTTCAGCTTAGCATTGGGAACGCCCCAACGCACTGAGAGTGTTCCCGGAGCACACATTCTTTTACTCAGCGACCCCATTTCTGATCCAATCCAACGCTTCGTGGGAAATAGTGGCGGGCTCAGGAATACATTGCAGCTGTCAAAGAATGGGGCGCAGCGAGAGTCCCGCTTTGTAGGCTTGTCTTAGCTACGAGTCTCGGCCTTAGTTCTGGGGTCGAGGAATGCTCCAGTACGTATGCGTGTCGTAAGGCTTTTTGACTCGAGGTTGCGTGGATTTTTCAGTTCGCGAGGCATGAGACGGTATAGCGAGCACTCAATATCTAGGTACGTGATACTGGTAGCGATTAGTAGTAGCATCTACTTCGCGTAATCCTCAGACTCGTCTCAACCCACTGGTCATGCTCTCCATCATAGGACCTGCGAGGATTCGTCTAGTTCCAGTTGCTTAAAGCTCTAGGTGAGACAGGACTTATCTAGATGCCTTCTGGAGAGGGCTACTACGAGTTATTTTTGGTCACTCCCTTCCGTCAGGAGGACAATCGACATTGGGTCTATAGATGGCACATTCGTTACCGTCTTCTACCGACATCAGCCTCGCGGCACGGTCTATCGGCTGCAATCCAGTAAGCCGATATGGTGGATCCATAATTCGGAAGACTATCAAGCGTATCTCATGCATTTGTCTATGAGAGTGCGAAGCGCCATAGTCAACTAAAGGAAGGGGCGAGCCGTGAAGCACATCAGGCATGGAAGGTGCGATGGTCGTTCCTTCCCCAAACAACTAATGTAATAACTTCAGGGAAAGTGCGCCAGTATACGTACCTTCCATGTATGGAAATATATGAACAGGAAAGGGGCGACCGGTGTAGCAATCGAATGGAGAAGGAACGAGGGTTGCTCTTTCCTTGAGCCATGCACATATGTACTTGATAATTAGGGAAAGAGCGACCCACGGAGAAATAGTATCTGGAAGGCGCGACTGTCGTTCCTTCCCCAACAACCAATCTGGGTAATCTCAGGAAGGAGCGACTGAGATACGCCCCTTCCCTGGCTGGTAAGGTATACAGAGACGGAAAGAGCCACCCCGTATGTCATCAACTGCGGAAGGTACGAGGGGATCGGTTGCTCTTTCCTTGGATTATATTCATACTTTGGGAAGGTGCAACCCAGCATCACCGTGCCTGCCTTTTTGAGACAGTTGACGAGTACAGAAGGTGCGATGGTGGGTTTTCCCTCTGGACGATGGTATATACCAAGGAAAACGCGACCCAGATAGCAGTTAGGGCTGTGCGCGCACCTGCCCCAATTCGTGAAACACTCCATACTAGCTGTGTGGCGAACCATACGAATCCATACCCGCTGATAGGTAGTAATCCTGAGAGAAAATAGCTATCATATCCTCCAAAGCTCCATCCATGTAGCAGCGTTCAGTTCGTACACCATGCCTCCAGCTCCGCCATTCGCAGCCCTACTACTACTCGAAGCATTGGGTAGTTCGGCCCCCGATATCCCCAGGACATCTCTACTGGCTGTATCTCACCTAAATCCTGGGGACCGAAAACGCAACGTATCTCGTCCATCCATCTCAGTCGCACCGCCTTGTCCCCGAACAGGGTCCTTTCCCTTCTCGCCAGAGCTGTTTTCAGAGCTCGGTGCATTGTTTTTCTCATTTTATTCTTTTTGTTTTTCCTTCTGATCTTTCCCCAGACCACGATCGCGGTGCGCACTGCTATTGATACCAGTATAAGTACAGTCCCAGCGACGCAGGTAATAGCGCCCGTGCTGGAGCCGTCGCCGCTGCTGGTGAAAGTGTATTCATCACGGCGGGACAGGGATTGTACTGTACGTATATCTGCGGTAACCCGGGAGAAGGCATAGTTTTGGTTGTGAAGGAAGAAGTTGTTGTAGCGGTAGCAGGTCTGATATTCCATCCGGACACAGGCTGCGAGAACAGTTTGTATCCACTACCCGGGTGCCCTGTGGCAGTGGGAATATCGGTATTAGCTTCGTCTGCATAAGTGATCCCTGTTGAGGACTGGGGGGGTGAGATGCAAGCGATCTCGAGGGTTCCGAGTGTGTTTGAGGTGATGGTTGCGGTGTATTCACCAGTAGTTTGACCAAACAATCAAAAATTGACTCTGGCAGGCACCATACTGCATGGTGTGACCCCTGCCTGCAAGCTTGCTCGCTTGTTGGCTCCTGAAAAGTAACTTAAGAAGAACAAAACGCCGTCGGCGTTCTCGATCCTCCCTTGATCATCTCAATCACGAACGTCCAATTCTCCGGACAGAGGAAGGGAGCCGGCGAGAGAGCCGTGTTCCACATCTCGTGCAAGTTCTCCGTGGGCGAGGTATACACTTTTCGGCGGGTTGCATGGTGCGTTTGGGTGGGATCCGCGAGTTCGGCTTGAACCCCATGTGTGTTGCGACTCCATTTGTGTGGTGTAGACTGATGTACTGCGTTGAGCAAACTTCGGGGAATGTCCACGATGTTGTGACTGGAAGAAAGGAGGTAGATGTGGGTGTGTTTGTGCTTGTGCGGTTGGGGAATGATGATAACCTTGGTGATGTAGCTGCGGGAGGCATTGGGAGATTTTGAGGAAGTATGATTGGGTGGGTGAATTTGTGGTCTCCGTATTAAATCTTGTTGCAGAGTGCTCAACCTTGCTAACCGCTAATTCAGATGGTATCTGATGTCTAATATATGCAGCGAAAATGCCATGACTCGTTAGAGGCGAAGGCTTTACTAGAACGGGCTGATTGGGCGAGATATGGCGCGGAGAAGAAGGCTTGTATCCCGAGTCTTGGACTCCTTAGCCTTTCGCCAAAAGCTTTAGTCCAGAGCACTTAGGTACATATACCATATATTTTATGGTTTTTGGTAAGCCAAGTACATACGACCACAGGGTGTGGAAAACAGGGCTTCCCGTCCGCTCAGCCGTACTTAAGCCACACGCCGGTAGGTTAGTAGTATGGTGGGTGACCACATGCGAATCCCTACTGTTGTATGTTTTTTCTTTTTGTATCTTTTGAGTAGAGTACAGAAATGGCTCGGAGATATGGTATTGGATGTCTGGAAATACTGTAGTTTAGTTAGCAGTTAGGGTTGAGCTTCGAATTATACAGTGCATTATACATACATACCTTGGTTTGGCTTCTAAAAGCCAGACACGCCAGGCTCAGTTTTGACCAAAGATCATGTAACAGGATATCAGGGGGCTGAGAAGACCACAGTATCTGCCATCCAGTAGACAGGCATGTGATGGTCAGGCAGGCACTACGGATTCAGATCGCAGTCGATTGGACCTACACCGACCGGCACAGTACAAAGCGATTGATTCCCTGGGCCTGATGTTGACAATACAGCTACCCCTGCATTAGCTCAAATTCTAGCACGGGGTTAATTCCACGACCCATGCTCAAGCTCAGAAGGCAGGACAGGGACCTACAGCGTAACGGACGAGGCTTCCAACCCCTCTAACCCGATCTACCACGTTGAAGCATAATCAACGGGTCAGTAGTACACGATCATTGTAAATCGTAAATATGTCACCATACATGCCACGTATATACCTCTAGCAAGTCTACCTTATATCTCGTGCCAGCATGGATCAAACAGCACTGGGACGCGTCCCAGAATAGATCTACGTCTTGCAGGGCACGGAAACACGGAAACGAGCTGGTAAACTTGAGCCTGCGACTTCAACTTTGGAAAATGCTGTCTCGCCGGGCTGGAAGAATTGGGCGTCGAATGCAAACAACCCGCCCCAGCAACTGCGGACGGGGACAGCATCCTTGCCAGCAAGGATATCCTTCCGGCTCTGCCCACTGTCGGAATCTGAGAACATGGGAAAGAATGGGAGGCCCATGCTGTAGCCCTCTAGATCGCGCGTGGCGTAGGTGTCGTAGAACTTGAAGGGGTTGATGAAGTCTACGGCGCTGGCGGCGCGGTATCGTGGTTTATGGTCGTCCTTGGGATCTTGGTTCGTGGAGAATAAGAGTTGCAAGGCGTCGAGAGGATCAAAGGCCACGTCGTCGAGGAATAGAACTCATCTAAGACCTACGCACTGCTCCTGTACGCAGCTCTAGCTCTCTTCTCCTGCTCATGGTCCGTCTTTTGCTGACTTTCGGATCTCCATCGATGCTAGAAAGCGCTCAACTATGCGCTCCCGATCCGGAATATTCCGCTCCTCCCAGGATCCATGTTGAATATAGTACTCGACTTCCTTGGCAAGTGTCTCAGCATCCACTTCCATAACATCCATGAGCTCCGTGAACCATGCAAGCCGTCGCTCGTACCATGCTCGCCTCTGAGACTCGGCTTCTCCAGAAGCTTCTGACCTATTGTACTGATGCTCCAACCATATAATGTATTCAGCCATATATTTGGTTATAGGTGTGGGACTTGGCATGTGACCCCCGTAGCAGATTCTATAGGTGTCGTTCTTATAGTCGACGTTGTATGGCGGCTGTCCCTGTCAGAAGTGCGCACAGCCCCTAATAATTAGTAGCACTTACCATGTCAGAGGTTTCATGACTACCAGATCTCTGTTTCCGCTTCTCGTACTCCTTGTACTTCTTATCCCGTTTCTCGTACTCCTCCTTGTACTTGTCTCGTAACATGACCATCCACTCAGACAGCAAGCACCCCATGGGCTTCGAAGCTGCGAGGAGCATTTCTGTCTCAAGCTCCGCAATAAACTCTCTTTCTTCGTCCATAATCTCGTCGATATCATCCTCGGCCATTGATTTGCGTGAATGAGAATCTGAGCCTGGGATCCTCGACCCTTTGCAACAGCATACATGAGTTATGTCGATCTTCTCGAAATGTGACTTGCGTAAGAATCCAAGCAGGACTCTTTTCGAGTCATCAAGGCCTTTCACCTCCTCCACAATGGAAAGAAATTCCATACCCCATACAAAGCTCGGTTGGCGGGGTATGATGTAGTTTCTGGAAGCAATATCGAAGGCTGCAGGAAGGAAACATCCTCCAGGGGAGCACGGACATCGGCAATCGTCTGATGAACAGACATCGAGACCCCCGCTTAGGCATATCCTTATGGAGTCGAGCGCATCCCAGACCTTATGGCCCATATATGATAGTCGTTGACACAATTTGAAGAGGACAGTATGCCCTTGTTGATCAACATGATTAAGGTCAGTTCCGTGATCAAGCAGGAATCGGGTCAGTTGTGCGTTCAATTTGGGCGCCAATGAATAAATGGCGGTTCGACCTTTACTGTTGGGCAGATTAAATGATCTGAAGCCATGTTGAACAAGGACCTCGGCGTCATCGCGGTCCGTAACGTAATGTAGAAGGTTATTATCTTGGACTCCAAGGTGGTAATCGTCAAACAGGGTGTTGCAATCTGCTGGTAGACTGACAAGGTTGGCCATAACTCTGCTCCACACATCATCTCGCCCTCTAGTGCAACTTATGAGTTGCATCCAGGCGCAGTAAACAAAGTAGTCAAAGTCGTCCTGCGGGTAATGTGTTTGGATAGTGGCAAGGGCTTGAATGATCAGCTGCCACTGACCACGGACAGCGGCATAGTCGATAAAATTCCTCTCCCATTTCGAGTCTCTAAGGAAAGGATTGGCTCCCTTAGTCAATAGTAGCTGTACGGTGCTGATGTTTTCAGTTGCAGATGCGTACATCAGTGGCGTAATACCCTGCTTGTCCGTGACGTCCATGTCGTGGCCAGCTTGAACAAGCAATTCGACGACATCCGGATTACCGCATGCCAAGTGCAGGGGTGTCTGGCCCAGAAAATTCTTCTGTACACGCAGCTCTGAGCGGGAAAGAAACGAGGCCACCGCGTCTCTGTCGTTCTGAAGCACCATGTCATGTAGAGGTGTCAATCCAGCAAACCCTGTGATTTAATGTCAACAGGATTAGACAACTAGATTGGGGCCTTACTCACCTGGGCAGGCTTTTGTAAGTATGGCAAGATATTCAATGAAAAAAGGGTCTGGCGTTATCTCCTCACAGATCCAGCTGGGAGAACATGTCGACGGCCACTCTTCGTATACTGGTGAATCACTGCAGCTCGGGTCAAAGCCGTATTCAAGGATTTTTTCAAGCAGATAAATATGCCAGCCTTCACCAATCCATCGCGCACAACGAACTAAGAATCTAGAGAGCAGAGAAACTGGCATTAGCTTAGATTAAGAGTAGTCATGGCTAGAGCACATACTTTTGGTCCAGTTTTTCAAGACTCATACCTAGTTCGCAGACTAGTGACCTCAGAAGCTCGAATTGACTCTCTTGGCACTGACCAACAGCTGGCCCATTGGACAGGAGTTCCTGCTCCAGTATCAGATAATCTGGTCCCCATACCAAATGAGGCTGTGTCTTTACCTGAACATAATTGCGGCCACCTGGGTTAATATGATGCTTCAACGTGCCATCACATTTCGCGAGCTCTCGAAATCTCCCCTGTGCTTCTGGAAGAGATATGTAGCCTTGTTTGAAAAGCCAGAGGGTCTCAAAACCGGGGGATGTATATCTGACCACCCTCTGTACGCTGAGAGCTGGTCTGAGAGAATACATGCCAGCTTGTGCAATGAATTCCAGAGTCGTATGCACTTTGAACGGAATTTTGTAGTTGCTGAGGGCAAATTGAAGACTCCAGCGATAGCGTGTTGCTGTACACTGTGAAGTGCTACAGCTGCTTGACCATAAAAACATAGGGCTGTACTCGAAGAACCAGAAGCGGTCCGAGCTTCTTCGTGTCATATGGCATGAACAGTGACAATGTGCTCGGGTGCAGTCGAAGGCTTTTTGCCGAGGCAGTGCGCTTGAAGTTGGGCTTGACCGAATGATGTGTGCTGTGTTAGAATCGGCAATGGCAGGAGGTGTCAAAGCTCTGCCTTGTGCCAACAGTGCAAGCTGAAGATCACAGTTAACATGGTCAAGCTTCAGACTTGCCTCTTCAAGATTGTCTCTAATCTCCGCTGTATGTCGCGCGATCCGCCATCTGCGGTCGCGTAAATAGGAAAGCTTGTCGGTGACCTGTTGGAGGGCCGTGTCGGCCCTGGAGTATGTCAATTGGCAGTTATTGATGGCAAGCTCAACAAATCTGGGTCCTTGAATTTGTTCAAGAGAGAGCAGAATTTCCCGTAAGACTTCTAAGCGCCGAACAATAACGTCCATCTCGACGTTCGCCTTGCTCTGATTGAACTCGTAAGCGGTTTTTAAACGATCGATGGTGCTTGTAATCTGCACCACAAAGGCTGCTATTCCGACTCCCGCGGACACGATTCCGACAACTTCGGCCATGGTGGTGTGCTTCAGGGTAGAATGATGATGAAAAGAAGATCGCAAGTGTGGTTGATGAGAGGTGCGGGCATGGTGGGAAAGCTGTAGCCGCCGGGGATGGTGTCCTGCCAGCCTCACTCTTGCCAACAACTTGAACACTGCCCCATAAGTCACCCAATAAGCATACGTAAGGCTGTAGACGCCCTGTACAGGATTTGACGGAACAAAGGCTCGAGCGCTGAGAAAAAGCGGCGTTCGTGATACATACGCCCTGTTGCTAGCCTGTTTGCAATGCTCTTTTGTGGAAGGTGAATACCCTATGGGTGCCTTTGCCGCCTTACTTGCAACAAAAAGGTTAGTAATAATAAACTCATAGATCCACGGCACTGATCCTCTGCTGAAGCCGATGTTCTAGGACTGGTACGAATACTGTATCCTAGAGATGCTACCTTGCCGGCGATTCATTATCAGAAAATAGCATTTATATAACGCCTCAAATGATCAAAGACCATCGTACCATATCCGAAGAAGTTATATACCAAAGGCGTCCAAGCACATTGGCCATCATGGCCAGTGTCAAGAGGATATTTATGTCTGAGAAATGCCTCCTACCAGCGAGGCGGGCGAGCTCGATACAGAGCCTCTTCGATTTCTTCATCCCGCTGCGGCTCTCGTCGTCTGCGATCGTCTCGATATCTACGGTCCTCGCGATGATAACGGGGAGGCGACGGCGCCCTCTCAGGTGGCGGAGGTGGAGCCGCTGGCTTGGCTGGGGCACGTCTTGAGGGTGGGGGTACTGCGCGCTCGCGCTGAATCTCTTGGAGACGGCGGCGCCGCGCGCGTCGAATATGGTCAGATTCTTCGATCAGGTCAGATACCTCGTCCTATTTAGACATTGGTTAATGGTTGACTCGCACCATACTATGAAGGAGTTGGACGAGTGGAACTCACAGGATGAAGGTTGGCAAAGATGTAGTAGAAAGAGTCCATTTCCTCGTACTCATACCCTGCGCGCTCGATGGCTTCCTTGACAACGAGATCTTTGGTAATTTCCGTCCAGAGGCGTTCCTTCCGGTCCTTGACGCCGACATAACGCCGTGCGACCTTGCCGCGAGGAGGTGTATCATTGATCTCGAGCCCCCTTTCTTCTTTCTCAACTACCTTGGGTCGACGGTGTTTCTGTTTGGGTGGCCTTGTCTCTTCATGGATGTCGACCAGCTCCTTCTCGGTATGTTTCATCTTGGTCATCTTAGGAGGGGCTTGGACGATGGCCCATCCATCCATGGTGTCGCTCGAGGGTGAGCTGTAGGAGCCCGGTATTTTAGGTTCTCGGCGTCGGTAATAATCCTCTTCTTCGATGGCTTCGCGTTGCATGGCCCTGTGTGGGCCGGCGCGGTCATCCTCTATGAAGATGTCCCTGTGGCCTGTGATTCGTGGCTCCTCTACAACCATCGGCACCGCTTCTTCTTTCCTTCGCCGAGGAGGTTCAGGGGCAGTTGGAATCAACGACTCCTTACTCCGCCGCTCAATCTCGATCTCTTCCCTGGAGGATCTTCCCTTCCTCAATCTACATCTAGAGTCAATGGAGGTTATTGGAAGATAGCGGTGTTCGGCCTACCTTTGACGAGCATCGCGTTCACTGAGGACGGTCTCCAGGTCTGGTACACGAGGTGGAACAGGTGCTTGAGGCAGATTGGGGACCCGAGGCGGACTAGGCAGCCGATACTCATTCGCTACTACCAGTAAGCTATTGCAGCAAATGCTCTCTTGGGGATATTACCGTGGTTGAGAGATTTGTGTTTCTTGCCAGGCTCCTTGAAGAACGGTGGCGGTACGGGGACTGGCATGGGTACTTTCGGAAGTTCAGATTCAGATAAATCTGCAGATGAAGATAACGACGAGGGAGAAGATGGCGAGATAGCTCGATTCCGTGCCGCATACTGCTTGTTCTTGATGCGTTCTTTCTGCATCATTATCCGGGCTTCGCGTCTGGCAGTTATACCTTCACTCTCGTCGCTCTCATCACTTTCCACGTCATCAATGTCAACATGGTAGTGTGACCGATGTCGTGGACGGGGAGGAGGTTCATAACGCGCAGACTTCCGGTGCGATGACATATGGTCCTCACGCGAGCTGCCACTTTTAGGGTAGACCTCTTCCTCATACATTGAGCGGTGCACTCGCTTCTCTTCTTTCGGGTGTCTACTGCGCGGTATGGGCTCTTTGCGAGTCTCGTACTCATGTCGAGATATTGACCGCTTCCTTTCCCTTCGGACGGGCTCCACTATCTCGTCCGACTCGCTCTCATATTCCTCGTCAGACTCCTCAGTAGAGTAGTAGGCGTCCTCCATCTCGGACATTCCCCTTGATCGTGGCCTCCCTCGAGACTTAGCAGCAGCCCTTTTGATGTCATCTTTCTTCCGCCTGTAGCTCTCGACAATTTCTTCTCGTGGGTATGGATCAAGGTCAAGTCGTTCAAACTTCTCGGCGACGCGGTCGCCATCGTGGAGATACTCGTAGCTATCGCGAGGAATCTCAGGCTGCGCACGGTCTCGGACGTGACGTCGCTCGAGTATCTCCACGTATGGTCCGGGAGGCGCGCGATGACTGTACGGTGCTTCCCTGTCAATTATTGGCCCACCTTTCGCACGGCTGGGGTAAATGTCATGATCGATGTCATGTACAATATCGTCATACTCAACCGGGCGGCTTCGGCGAGGCATGGTTATATAGGATAATAACAAGTGCTATACGATAGTGAAAGATCGTGGATCTAGGATTGCCGAGGATCTGTTGTCGTTTGCACTCTCAGTCCTTGTCGCTAAGCTTGTTGTTAGGTGTGGGGCTGCTCTTCGGGTGTTCGTCAACAACCCGAGTAATACCCCACGATAAATAAGAAGAAACGATTGTTGAATCGCCTGTCGTCACCATAACCCTCGAGTAACATCTGGAGGATGGACAGGAGTTTGCGGTCAATGCTCGGCGGTGGAGATAGGAGAAGGGGACAGCCAGGTGTGGGAGGAGACCCCCCAGATGAGCTGTACGCTGGCTGAAACGAGCCCCGCGGCTGTGCCAGCTGATGTCACGCCGCATGAGTTTGCCCCCTTGAGGCACACTCAGCTTGGGACCTACAGCGACGTCTGAAGAATCGCCTTATAAACATTATGCGGGTGTATGGCCAATAAAACGTTGATAAAACTGACCGAATATGCGAAAAACGCCATTGCAGGGGTTTCCTTGCCGCGAACCAGATACCGATTGCTCTAGCCTGGACTTGTGGTTGATTCTTCGGTTAGCCTATAGGCACCTGGGCAGCTTATGCAGTGATTTGGCTCTTTTTACTGGCTTACTCTGGGAGAAGCTGTTGGGATGCAGAAAATGACGTGAGAATATTCATCAATATCCCCGAGGTCATGAGCAAGAATGGACGCTCACTGCAATCCTAACGTATACTCGTTGAGAAACGTAGACGTTATGACAGAATCCACGTGAAACGGGTGCGCTCTCATAGGCGCATGTCATCCGGACAACGCTCTTCTAGTTCCCTCTTTGAGATAACGAGCATAACTGTGCATGTAATCATGCGCATGAGATCATCTACGTGACTCACGAGTTCCTGCTAGAATCGGAGGACTAAAAGTAGAGTCGGTGACGCTTCTCGTACTGACAAGGCGGTTCAAGATGAGTGAGACTCTGGCTGTCATTCGTCCCATGAAGGCAGTGTTCAACCGAACGTCAGGCGGGTCTGGCCCTTTTCAGGTTTACCTCTACCACCACGGGAAGATTTCCCTCGAGAGTTCGACGGAGCCGTTCTGCTCGGCAACTGAGATGTCTGGTTGTCTCTGGCAGCTTGTCGTTCCTGAGCTTCGAGATCTTTGGCAAAATGCCAATCATTGTGCTCTTCTTCTTCTTCGACCGGTATTGCTCTTCCACACCGGGAGCAACTGAAGATATTTGCAACTTCCTGCTCTTCCGGGTTGGCATTCGAGATGGTTTGGTCAACATTATGCGCCGCTTCGTCTGCTGGAAGATCTACTTCAGGAAGAAGATTTGTCTCCGGATCAGGTGGTCGGCTGAAAAATCGCCTCAACCCGTTGTCGTCAATCTTTCTCCGTTTCTCGTCCGGTTGCTGCACGGTCGAGTCATCTGTGACGTGAATTCGACTGTGAGATTCAACGCTTTTAGCCTGATCTCCCCGCAATAGGAAGCCATCGATGGCTTTGTTCTTGACGACCCCATCCTCGAAGCCGCCAACACTCAAGGACAGATTCGCGCATGGCCATGCGCTTCCATCCGCGGAAACTTGCCGCAATAATGTCGTGCCTAGGTCAAAGAGCAGATTCTCATCAATAGTAGCAGATCCGGGGATTGGCAGCTGGCGGGATCTGACCTGGCCTCCTTGTCGATGGTGCAAAGCAGCGGTCTTCGGACGGCGCTTATTCTCGAGAACGCCTTCTTCGACGAGACGGCCATATATGTCTGCTGCAAAAATCCGCAGCCACTTCTCTGCTTGGTCAAGGTTGTTGATACTCGGTCTAAACGACTTGGCCGAAAGCATGGATTTGATCTGTGTTCGCGGATTGACTTCGCTTCGATCCTCCCCGCGGATAATCCCGTATAGCCAGGTAGCTGTATCGTCGTTCAATTTCGCTCGGAACTGTTCGAGAGATACCTTGAGCAGATCGCTAACCTGTTCTGTTCCAAACGTGGCAGAGATCTGATCTCCCAACTTACCACCGAGCATTCGAATCTTGGTGAACTTGAAACCGCCGAGAAAGTTTTGAATAGCACGGTTCCGAACAATAGTCTGTTTGTTGGGCTTGTTCATCGCACTTCCAAGTTTCGCCATCATCTTGTTCTTGGCTATTCCTGCCGAACAGGTGTAGCTGAGAGCCTCCCAAACAGCCGTGCGGACTGATCTGACAATCTCAGACCCAATAAGCATGGCAATATCATCCCAGTCCGGGTTATCAACCTCGGTTTCGTTCTCATCCAAGTCAATCAGGCAATCCTCCGTCTTCCACTCTAAAGCAGTCGTAGGCGGGCAAGGCAGGGGTGTAGTCCGATCATCACCATGAGGCTTCTCACGTAGCTCCGGATACCGCTGGAGCAAGACCGCGAAGACCAAAGGTGAAAGATCGATAAACACTTCATCAACGCTCGCCTTCTCCACAAAAGCCTCCTGGATCTTGACCTGACTGTCCAATTCCCGCGAATCCTGCACCAAGTCGGTATACCACCTTGCCAACTCGCCCTTTATGGCCTTCAGAATCTTCCTCGACTCGCCCCGATACGGGTCGAGGCAGACCTTATCCGTCCCCATGTTCCTCCACGCATCCTCTCTATATGCCCATTTCCCGCCCTCGCCCTCACGGAAGGTCGCAACATGCTGCAGCACGATATCCGGACACTTGGCCCTTGCCTCCCGCGCACTTATCATCCGCGTAATTCCGGACTCGCGCGCCGGATAATTGATCGCAATCAGCGAGTCCCATTGTCGCACGGCGAGCGGAGTCTCGCGCGGCGTTCCCAGCCGGACCATTTCACATTGTGCGTAGAAAGCATCGAGGTCGATGTGCGCGATTACTCGGAGTTGCGAGGACGGCGAGGCTTGTCGGAGGAGGTGCAGTTGGCGATAGGTGTAGCGGGAGAGATTCAGCTCGCGTTCTAGCGAGTTCTGCGATGCGGCGGGCGACGTGGGGAGTTCTGGGGAGTGGGAGCGGGACATCTCGACTGCGGCGATGCATCACACATAGCGGAGTAGTCTGCGGGGTATGACAGGGATTTGGGAGAAGGCTAGATGAGTCTCGTGTGAGATTGTGGTGTCCGCATCATTAAATAAAGATTTTCCGATGCCCTTGGAGTTTGCAGATGGATCGATCGCGATCGCGCGCATGTTCCAGAAAACCGGGTTTCCTATTTGGGTTAGGCCCATTGACTCGCGTCTAGCTTTTGATACAGAGTACTGAACACCATTTTCGCATGGTGATGGCTTCAAGCCTGCTTGTTAGGATATAAATGATTGGACCATGGGTCACATTGTCACTTACCAAGTTTTTTTATCCGTCTTAGAGCTTCAGAGATCACTTACGTGCTTCTATACCAGATGTCGGTGTCACTATATACTCCCGAATATACTTTGCGGTGGGAACTACCAACTCACTCTACTACGGACGATTCCTAAGATAGTTATGAAACCCCTCTCCTAATACCTATAGGATCGAAGAGCAGATATCGGGTTATCGATTAGATATAACGTTGAAGAAGAACGAGAAGCCAAGCTACTATTGAAAACTTCTATTCTCTTGCTCATTTTGACGACATTTTGCCAACGAGAGAGTAGGCAAAGGCAATAGTCACTCACCAGGCGGACTCTGAAGTTCTACGTGCCGCTTTCTAGTCGGCAAGAATAATCTGGATCGAATTAGAAGCTCAGACCGATCCAAGTTCTATGCCACGAAAGATAAGTTGCATGACTGGAGAGTCGATATTCGTACAGACACGTTGAAGAGAGCATAGACATGAAAGACAGGTGCGAACATCCCTTGTGGGCAGGAAGCTCCGTTGGAAATGCAAGGGAGTCCTACCACAAGTGCCCTCAACTTACCCTGAGCACCATTTCAACTATGGCACGGTACTCTCTCGCCACAGGCGTTCCAGCAGGCCTTGGCCGCGTCCTAGGATGGTCAGTTGATATTGATCCACGATCCACGATCTACAAGCTACGCCTCTCGAGCTGCCCTAGGAGGCTCCTGAAGGCGCGCCCTAGTAGGAGGCTGTCTCAAATATATCTTCCATGGGCCTCAGAACCTTCAACATGTGGACTCTTGTGTCGCCGCCGAATGGGCGAGCTGGGCGAATGGGAACTCAACGCAGAAGAGAAGGGCTCACGATGATACGTGTCTTTCAGGAGGTTGGCACTGCACTGGGCATTGGGCATTTAGACTTGGAGACATCCTGCAAAGTCATAACGAAGTCCTATGGCCGCTCATTGTTGCCGGGTGAAGCCACCAGTATCAGACTCAGTTGGGTACCGGTTGGACCAGAGTCCTGCCTTAATTGCCGCGCGGGTAAGTGGGCCAGAGGGGAGGCAAGGGTCCTTGAGAATGAGTTGATTGCCATATAGTCGTGCGCAATGCTGACCAGCCGGTTGGGAATCATGAGGTCCTGACCTTGATACTCCGAAAACAAGAGAGAAGACAGCAAACCCCATTACCCACAATCTAGCGGTATGGTTTCAGACAATCGAGACCCTATATGTTGGGTCAACCAGTGAGTTTACTAAGATCCGTGTTGAGACTGTGAGCGGCAAGACCGCAGGATGTTTCGTCGAACTGAGGAATTATTGATTCCGGCGGGGGTATCTGGCACATCCAAAAGCGGCCCGGTATTATTAGGTAAGGGCTGGAAAAACAACCAGAAGGCTGGATCTCCTGTCTATTGGACAACCACATCTGAAGTGTAGAACCACCGAACCACAGAAACTGAGGTGGGATGTTGGAGTCTGGGTCCCAGGCAACGGCCCGAACGGGTTCGAGCCTTGGTTCGCGACTGCGTCAATCTATGTATAGACTCTACGGAATACCATTAGCGACTTGATAGTGGACGTTTGGGATCAGCGGAACAGAATGTTGGCGGAAACTCCGTCAGCGATAAAAGTGCCTATGTTTTGCAAGGAGTGCCCAAACCGCCACAAGCATGACTGCCCAACCCATCATCTCCGCTCTCCCGCCTCACTGGCTGGGGGCGACATATTTCTGAGACCCAATAGCCTAAAGAGAGCGGAAATCATCCACTGCATGATGCACACCTTGGTGAAAAGAGCTCGTGAAGAAAAGTTTGCTTCTGTGTGACTTCCACAGATTCGAATCCCCTGGAGTCGTAGGCTTCCACCAGTCTTCGCCACGGCGCCCGTATGATATCACGTAATCCGCATATTCATTGGCAGGCAAGTCGAACAAGATGCGTCCTTTTGTTCACTTCGTTCAAGCGCGAAGAAGAAGAAGAAGAAGAAGAAGAAGAAGAAGAAGAAGAAGAAGAAGAAGAAGAAGAAGAAGAAGAAGAAGCAAAGAATAACATCATCGGTTTACCTGACAGTAACCGGAGTCCTGACGTCTCATCTCCGACTTGAGAACTCTTTCACTGGGGGCTGGTCATTTAACAGAAGACGTCGGGTCCCGTCTGTGGTACCAAGTGAGGCAAGGATGATCGTCAAATTGGCCAGGAGCTGGGACGGTGAGGCAGCTCATCTGTCAGGCCGCGGGTGGATGGTGTTTCTACCAACTGGTCGATAGGACGGCGTTGACGCAGCGTAGAGAATCACCCCGAGCCGTCATTCTGATTCCCTCGCTCTGGAGTCTGTTTTCTTTATACATGTCTATGAGTCACAAGTCGAATATTTCCCCAGATTAAATCAAAAAATATCGAATGCTGTGCAAGTACTTTTGACCAGAAATTCTTTGCCTGATTAACTGGAAGGCTCAGGTTTGATCCAATCAAAACACCAAGAGGCGGGAGACGACAGCTTTGCAGGCTTGCAGCACGGGTGCTGGGGCAAAATCGCTTTCTGTTCATGTCGAAAAAGCCAAGCGTCTAAGCCTGATTCGTCCGCCCATGCATGCAGATTCTCAGAAATCATCGGCCCTGTGGTGTGGAGTCATTGCTCAGCGTCGTGGCACCAGACAGGCCAGCAGCCCAAAGGGCCGGCCCAACAACAACCCAATCAATCCTGCACAGAGCACAGGCGCAAAACCCACACAAGTCCTTCGCTCCTCTGCCCTCCCACCTTTTCGCCCCCCTCGCTTTTCCTCAGCGCTTCTGTTCTCCCTTATCTCGGTGACTCTTCGCGTCTTTCTCCTTCCACCTTTCACTCTTCGCTTTTTCTCTCTCTGCTCCCTCAGATCCTCAAACTGGCCCTCTCCGCCAGCTCCAAGGTAACATACTACTCTGTACACGACATCCCTGGAGACGACAAACAAGCTTGAAACCTGGACTGTCCCTTGACCCCTCCCCAGTCATCTCTTCATTCATCTCAGTCTTGTATCTCGTGGTCCCTTCGCTCAGTCATCTCGACTCTTCCATCTACCATCTCCCATCTACCTGGATCTCTCTGGATATCCTTGGGGACTATCGGTTTACTACTCCCTGACACAACCGTGGGCAAAGAATTCATACACCAGGATTTCTTTCTTTTCGTTGCCGCCAGGAAAGCCATAAATAAATCCCTCGATTCTTCCCACTTGGAAACTTGCCAGATCAGAAGTCAGATTTGCTTTATTGCCAGCCTTGGACCCTCAGCCTCAATTAATCCTACTTGCCTTGTTTCTGAAGAGCAGCCAGAGATAATTGTTTACCGTCATCGATCATATCTCCCTGGATTTCATCAGCTGCTATATCCCAGGATCCCTTTGGCCATCTGGACCTTCTCACTTTGTTAAATAAACACCGGACTCTTTCCCTGGACAAAATGACGAGCCGTCATGGACTTGAGCGTCAAAATGAATACTTCATTCCCGGAGATGGCATTAGCCGAGAAGTAATTCAGGCCGACATCTGCCGTTACCTTGGAAATGATGCACTTGTAAGACCTGGAAACCATAATGTCCGTCTCCCTGATCTTCTTCTCTCCACCGGTTACATATGAGCACCAAAGAATAAACCGGATTCTCTATTAACCCACCAGAGCTTGTTACTGACTTGTGAATAGGGTCGCCAAGGCTTTTTTATTCGGGCATACCGCAACCTCACATCAGTAGGAGCCTCCTCACGGATATTCAACTGACTCGAGATTTTGAGCTGACGTTGCTGTTTCATAGGAAATGATCACTGATCTCAAAGCGGACTCCGCTCGGTGGGAGGCCGATGTGAGAAGCCGCGCTGACCAAGGCTATCCCCGAGGCAGTTATATCCAGGACTACAGCTACTCCCAACCCAACCGGGCCGGTCCCACCTTTGCTCCTTCTATGCACCCCGAAATGTCACAGGGACCAGGCCCTTCTCCTCCCACATCTTATGCTGCACCACCGCAACAACAGTATGCGGATCACCAGTATCCTCAGGGAGGGTACCCAGCGACCTCTAGCCCGCCATACACAAGTGCTCCATCATATCCCCCAAACCATTCATTTGGGACTGGTCAGAATCCTTACCCTCCCCAGCATGTTCCATACAGTGCTCCAAGCCAACCGCCAGTAACATCTGAGGTTCATCCTTCCTATACTTACGCCACTTCAGGGTATGGCTTCGAAAATGGGAGAAGCAATGCCCCCAGATATCCTGGCCCTGGTTATGATGCCGAGTCTGATTATTCCCCTGTTACTACTGGAATGGCCTATCCCACCACTACTGCCCCTGACCCCCGGATAGGAATGGAGCCGAGATACACCCCGGAATACTCTGATCGCAGTAGGCCCCAGCCAACACGAGAAAGAGAGGCTCCGCGCCGAGCTCGGTGATGAATAATGATCTCATCGCTCGTTGAAAGCTCCGGGCTTCTTGTCTTGGATCGATGCCTCCATTTCGTGGTCGGAGAACACCGCGGGATTAATGACTTTACGCCATGATATTTTCTTTCTCTTGCCGCTCATACCACGGAGCCTCTACGGATTACTTTTCCTTTCTGCTTACAGGAATATTATGCCGGAAAAAGTGTGCTTTTAAGTCATTGTTTTCGGAACCAATTACAACCATGGGGAAGCGAACCTTAGATTACCGGACATTGCTCTATTCACATGGACGTTGTGGGCGTCTATTTTTTTTTTGTTTCCTTTTCTTTACTCCACGTTTCCATGGACGTCGGCTTGTGCTCCGCTGGATGTGACCTTGGCCCCTGATTTACCCGAAGATCAAATTGGCCTTCTAATATGAAGATTGCCCGAATGTTGTGATGCTTATGAAAAGGTGGCTGACTGTTTTGGCTTTCTAATTCGTCATGTTGGCCGGGCCTCCGATTTTCTGTTTGCTTGTCTTCTCGCCGTGTCAGACAAATGTTCCGCTCCGTTTTTGGTTCCTTTCGTGGTGTACTGGCTCGGTTTCAGGTTTATATGGGCCCTTTAATATGTTTCGAGGGGCGATTTGTTACTGGCGATGCCGATGTGTTGAGTCTGACGGCGGTCTCCCAGATGAGTCTGGATTATACCCTGCCAATTCGGGGCGTTGATGATATACACTGATGTAGATATGAGCATATATGGCGTTCTCTTCCTGATGTGGCTTTTGGTATGGACTGTTGCAGTGTTGTCTAAAAATCTGTTTACCAGCCAACTGAGATTGTTTCTCCTCTTTTCATGCACAAGGATTGAGTCTCTAAAGAAAATTCCACCTATGCAAAATCTTTCAGGTCTTAGTTTTTCCATCCAGATCTCAACACAAGGTTGATGAGGTAATTGCACATCTTGGGCCAGTCTCATGCGCGTGAATCTAGACTACTGAGGTAGTAGGTATTCTTCCTCATTTAGCATGATGTGATTGCCTTTATGCACTCAACTTTCCACTTTTTCTGCAATTATATTCGCACATTATGCATTCCTTCACGAGGGTCTCCATCACCCTGAATGCCCTCTGCTGTTACTCTAGTCTAATGTTTTGCTTTCAACACCCACCTGTTGCAGTGTTCTACTTATGTCTTAGAACTGCACTCTGGCTCTTTGCAACCATCTTTACTCCGGGCAATATTAACACCACCGGCTATGCCTCACCCTCTTGGAGATGGACCTTGAACGCCTCCCCTGCTCCATTGACGGAGATGTTAGGATAACTGTGCTACCAGACGTCCATCGGCTTCGTTCTTCAGTGCTTATAGAGTGCTCGGGGGCTTTGAAGAAGCTTCTTGATATGCCCCAGCCTCTACCCTTCAAGCTGGAGCAACAGAGACAGTGCTGCGCGTCCTTGGGCTCTGTTAGACTGAACCTAGTTAGTTCGTCAATTCATAAGTACGGGATGTTGGAGATTCAGGTGAGTGAGATCTGGAGACAATGTCGCGCGCTGCCTGAGAAGCTAACACGGAGGTACGTCTAGGGCTACGACGGTTCTCACTGTACGATGAAAGAGATAGTTCCTTATTCCTATCCCGTGTGGCCACATCGCGTTCGCCACGTTTGGTTCAATATGGTCAGGATCTTCCGCAATCTACCACCCATCTTGGATGAGGGTGGCGTCGATTCTATATTGGAGAATTCTCAAGCGCTTGTTGAGCTGGGAGAAGATATTCTTGCCTCTGAAGTCGTTTCTCGCGCCTTGAACACAGCCTTTCACAATTTGGATCAACAAATGTACCGGCTCATTGCCCAGGATCCAATTGCGTGGGTCAAGCTCGCAGTTCACATTCAATCGGGGCCCATCTTTCAAGAGTCAATGATACACCTGCTAGGGAAATGGGGCCAACTTGAAGAGAAAGAGCGCGATTTGTTGCCTGCAGACATTCGCAACATATGCAAGCGGAAAATAGAGGACCTAAACTCAATCAAAAAGGCCGTCGAGCTGCAAATCGTGAATCATGTCCCTCGCCCACGCTTGGCCACCACTCGTTACCGAGAGGCAAGCAACGCTGCCATCTGGATGGTATTAACCTACTACCACCAGTGGCTTTCACAGGCCTTTGCTGAAGGTCGCAACTTTCGGGCCCGAGACGGAGGAGCAGCCTTCTATCGTGCTATTGCGGGCGGAGGCGATACCTACTTGAACAAAATTGAGCAGGAGGTCTCTCATTTTGCCTTTACAGAAATTGGAGACGAGGGCAGAGAGCTTGAAAGCGACCTGACCGAGCTCAAAAGGGGCATCAAGGGCGTCGTCTCTGACCTCCTCGTCAATCATGCCAAGTACGATCCTGAGATCCTGGGCGAGCTTCCATACCTCACTTGCTATCACGTCGGAGAGGAGGAGATGCCTCCCAAGCCAGCAGAGACCGTCAAGTTTATGTATCCAGCTGCAGAAAAACAGATGACCCATGAAGCCGGCAATTTCGCGAATGCCAACTTAGAGCAAAACTTCTTCAACGACCCCATGTCGAACGGGGTCCAGGTACCCATGAACATGAACATGGTGGGATACAACGGTATTGCCAACAATTTCTACCCTACGAATGGCACGCAGAATCACTCCAGTTTCGACGGGACCAACCTTGCCTCGCAGCACTGGGGCTCAAACTGGAGCAATACTGTCGACTATTCCGACACCACTCCCCAGCTGCCAATGGCATCACTCTCCGACATGACCACCGCCGTCTATCAGACTCAACTCGACCACAATGGCAACTTCGACGAGATTGATGTGTTTGGTATCGTGCCGACCACTGAGACTGGGGATTATTCGCAGACTGATGACGGTACGGCGTTTATTTGAGGTGTTCTGAAGGCTACAGCTGTTTTATTTTGATTGAGTACCTTTTCTTACAATTTTTCTTTTTTGTTTGTCGACTTGTATTTTGATGCCACTTTCAGAGCCATCTATGTGTTCTATTCGTTTCAGGCATGGGATAGGATACCAACCAGTCGGCGTCTCAGGGGTTAGCTCCGAAATTGATTTAGAAGCTCTCTAAAGCGACAACATTAATGCTGAAGATTTGTTCTCCTTCGATCTATATCCGTTGCCCGTGTGCAATACAATGTAGATCCTGGCCCGCAAAACCGGGTAAGTCGCTAAAGGTGTAGAGATAGTAAACGGCCAATCGGTATAGACGAGTGCCCTCTTTCGACGGTGAGTGAGAATGGCCAACGGAGCTTTTCCCTCAGAATTGCCGGTCAAATAGTTTCATGGTCTTATCGTACACGCCGGATAATGTGTGGTGTTTCGAGATAATTTGTAATATTTCCCAGCTAAGCAACAGCAAAAGTGATATAAAATCCGACAAACAACTTCATCCGTTTCCAAGCTGGCGGATTTACTCGTCATCGTAGCCCTGCGGGATGACTCGGGGTCCTTGCGGAACTATGGTGGTGAAGAAAGTAATGGTTAGTCGCCCAACCACCTCAATTGTTCAAAGATAACAGAACAACACAAGATCAGGGAGTCAGATATGCTGTATCAGCGCCGCACTTACTAGGATATGTCAATGGGATAGGCTCTGGGTCTACATCTCCGAAGAAGCGGCGGATCGGGGGAAGAGAAACCAGCATGACGGGGCCGGTTGCGCCGATGACGAGGGAGTAAAAGATAGCGGGCTTCTCGTGGGAGGCCCAGCGGAGGTACCGGAGGGGGGTAGACCAGAACTGAGGGGTAGTCATTGTTGCGACGCGGTAGGGAGATGAGAAAGAATTTGCGGGTTATCCGAGTCGGTGGAGGGGCGGGATGCGCGGATCCGGGGTGAGTCGTCAATTATATGGACCGGCGTGAAAGGATGCAATTGGAGTTCCTCCGGGTGGTGGTAGAAGAGGACGCTGAGCGAGTGCGCTGCTAGATCGAGGGGAACTGAGCAGGTGAGGTGAGGTCGAAAGTGACGACAAGCCCGGACCGAAGTTCAACCAAGGAAGGCGGCACATTAGAGTGAGGTCTTGGCGCTCCGTCCAAACACGTCGCCTACTTGGAAGGGAGTGATATTTGCCTATCTATATCTTCCTTCTTCGACAACTGCGGTTTACTCTAAGTTTCTCTTTTCTTCTTGTGGTGCTACTCTTCTCGGTCGCTTTATTGTCGGTCCGCTGTGCGGCAGCTTCACAATGCGGTGGTGTCCGTCTCTTATGCTCTTTGGCCTCTTGGCCGCTGTCAATGCTTTGAGTAGTTCGGGGAATCGATTGCTTGTTGTTTTGGAAGATTCGGCAGAGAAGGGGCTATACTCTACACTGTGGGGTGATCTAGAAGGTATGGCGATGCTTACCCTCGTATGAAATTGGTTGATATCTTGCTAATTGCTGTGCTTGACAGCTCGGGGTTACAATCTCATATTCGAATCTCCCAAGAATGAGCAGCTTTCCTTATTCGAGCTTGGAGATAGAGCCTACGACCATGTTCTCCTCCTCCCTCCAAAGTCAAAGGGTGCGCTAGCAGTCTCGCGAGCCATGAAATCACTGGTGTGGATAGGCAATTGACCGTTGACAGGCTTCGGACCTTCCTTAAGCCCCAAGAACCTTGTCGACTTCATCAACAGCGACGGCAACGTCCTCCTCGCTCTCTCCGGAAAGTCCACAACCCCCAGCGCTGTCAGCTCTCTTCTCCTCGAATTCGACCTCCACCTTCCCCCCGACCGTTCCTCCGTCGCGGTCGACCATTTCAACTACGATACCATTTCTGCTTCCGAGAGGCACGATGTTCTCGTCCTCGAGCGCCCCGGCAGGCTTCGACCCGACACCAAGGACTTCTTCGGCGGCGAGGGCGTTTTGGCGATTCCCAGCGCTAACCCGCACACTCTCGGCGACTCCTCTCTCCTTGCGCCTATCCTGCGTGCTCCCGCAACTGCCTACAGCTACAACCCCAAGGAAGATGCGGGCTCTGTCGAGGACGTCTTTGCGACCGGCTCTCAATTGGCCCTTGTGTCCGCCATGCAAGCTAGAAACTCTGCCCGCTTTACTTTGCTCGGATCCGTAGAGAGTTTGCAGGACAAGTGGTTCACCGCCAGCGTCCAGGTACCGGGTGGTAAACAGGTTGAGACGGCCAACCGGGAGTTTGCGAAGCAGCTGACTGCCTGGACGTTCAAGGAAACTGGTGTCCTCAAAGTCGGAAAGATTGAACATCATCTGGCCAAGGATGACCTGACTGTGGAAGACTTGAACCCTAGAATCTATCGGGTCAAGAACGAAACCGTACGTGACTACACATTTGCGATCCGCACATTTACACACACTAACCCCAATCTCTAGGTCTTCTCCATCGAGATCTCCGAATATGCCCACGACAAATACATCCCCTTCGAAGTCCCCGCAAATGACGCCCTCCAGCTCGAATTCACCATGCTCTCCCCCTTTTACCGTCTAAACCTCACACCGACAAAACAAACTGAAAATAGCACGGTATTCAGTACTCAGTTCACCGTCCCCGACCAACACGGCATTTTCTCCTTCCGCGTCAACTACAAGCGGCCCTTCCTCTCCAACATCGAGGAGAAGCACGAGGCGACCGTCCGCCACTACGCGCACAACGAGTACCCGCGCAGCTGGGAGATCAGCGGCGGCTGGGTGTGGATTGCAGGTCTTTGGTCTGTCATCGCTGGGTTCCTGGCCCTTGTGGTTGTTTGGCTGTACTCGGCGCCTACTTCTGCCGCTGATAGGAGAAAGAAGACGCAGTGAGGAAGCTGCTGGTTTTTCTTTTCTTGTGTGTATTTGTTTGAACGAATCTGTATGAACAGAGTAGGAAATATCGAAGATCAATGAATGTTGAATTAGACTATAGTTACTTGGTCGATCACTTGAGTAGCTTATTCATACCTGATAAATGGTTATACAAGTCTTTAGTAGACTAGTAGCCCTGATATATACAATACTGATAATATACACCCCGAAGCTAAGAAAACATATAAACTCCGACCCATGCCATAAGAGGGGGGAAACAAGCCAAAAGTCCGATAGAGCTCAGAACAGAATGATGCTACAACTGTCATGCCACGATGAAATCTTCCCATCCCCCATACCTATCCCCCTTCCTCAATGATTAAAACTCTTCATGATCAAACCTTCCTCACAAACCCCTCGTCTTCTCCGGATCCATCTGCACCTCATCTCCACTAATCTCCCTCACGGTCTCAAACGCGGGTTTACCCGCGTACAGTTGCTGCGATGGGCCGGACTTGCCGTCGACCTCCTTGTTCATTTGGAGGGGTGCGTTTCCGCGGAATCGTTTGCGCATGTCGATGAGGCCGCGTCTATTCAATTGACAGACTGTTAGCTTCAACGAGCCACACAAGTGGTAGAGGACGACGAGGAGAAGGCGGCAACTGACTTGCACTCGCCAAAGCCTTTCCGGAGTTGCTGGCATTTAACCGGCAAGTCGTCGGCGAGGGGCGCGCTGAGGCACTCGCGGGGTGTGTGGCGCTGGACCATGATGCAGTCGGACTGTTGGAGGCATTGGGCTAGGGCGTCGCCTATCGAAGAGTTGTTAGAGGGGTGGTTCTGCGTTGTGGAGTGTTGATTAAGTCATGTGGTCGGCTGGCGGGGAAATATGTGTTCCATCTGCTTTGGGAGGGGTATGAGGCGAGTAACTTACGCAGCGCAGCGCAAGAATTCGGCATTTTGGATGTTATGCGGCCAACGCCCTGGACAGACTGGAGGCTGTGCGGAGATGAGTGGCCGAGATACAGACGCCTCCAATGCGGCCTGAGCTCCGCGGGCAAAATTCACTGGCCAGTTCCTGGATTAAGTAAGCGCCATCACATGAAAATGGCGGCGATGACGTCGCGGCTATTGCTCAAGCGTCCGCCATGGGAGCTCGAGGGATATTTATTGTTTTCAGTCATTGCGCATTATGCACTTTCGTTTTTGCTAAAGATTCTGGGGACTAGTTGCCTCTTGATAGCTATTTTGCCAATATGGCCCGTGTACCAGTCATCGGGCGACTTTTCTGGTTCGAATACCTTGCGCTCTTTGGATCGTTGCTTTTGGTGCTGCTGGAATGGATAATCCATATCATCACCTTTTGCCTTCGTGAGTGACTGCATTTCGTCTCTCTCTGTGCCATGGCCTGACCTGAGATAGCTGAGCCGATAATTGATTTCTGCTACGAGCGGTCCAAGACCGTTTTTAACCTTGCCATAGCCCCTGAAAAGCCAGAAAAGCAGGGGCCAGAGAAACGGACCGCACACGCGGTTGCTCACGCCTCGGATTTCACAGAAATCTGCGCTATCTTTGGATATGAGGCGGAGGAGCATATAGTCCATACCCAAGACGGGTATCTGCTAGGCCTGCATCGGTTGCCTTATCGCAAAGGCGAGGAAGGGAAGCCTGTCAACCAGGGAGAAGGCAGCGTCAAGAAGAAGGTCGTCTATCTCCACCATGGCTTGATGATGTGCAGTGAGGTCTGGATTTGTCTGACGGAAGAAGAGCGCTGTCTTCCATTTCAGTTAGTGGAGCGAGGATACGATGTTTGGCTGGGAAATAATAGAGGCAACAAATATTCCAAAAAGTCCACCAGATGCTCGCCACTCTCGAATGAGTTTTGGGACTTTTCCATCGACCAGTTTGCCTTTCATGATATCCCAGACAGCATCAACTACATCCTCGAGTTGACGTGCCAGCCCTCCCTGTCATATATTGGCTTCTCGCAGGGTACAGCCCAAGCTTTTGCCACTCTTTCTATCCACCCACAGTTGAATCGGAAGATCGACGTCTTTGTGGCCCTTGCTCCTGCAATGGCACCTGCGCGGATTTCGAATCCGGTTGTTGATTCCCTCATGAAAGCTTCACCGAACTTCATTTTCCTCCTCTTCGGCCGACGCAGCATTCTCAGCTCAACTACAATGTGGCAAACCATCCTCTACCCCCCAATATTCATGCGGATCATTGACACGTCGCTTTACTTCCTCTTCAACTGGAAGTGTAAGAACATCAGTCGGAGCCAAAAGCTCGCTGGTTATCTCCATTTGTTTTCCTTTACCAGCACCAAGTCTGTGGTACATTGGTTCCAGATCATCCGAAACAGGAACTTTCAGTTCTATGACGACGAGATATATGCGCCATTCAGCATTGTAGCGAATGAGCGATTCTACAAGCCTGTCAAGTACCCGACGAGAAACATCAAGACTCCCATTGTCTTGCTGTATGGGGGTAGTGACAGTCTTGTCGATATCGATGTGATGCAGAAAGAGCTTCCGCGTGGTACAACAGCCAAGATCATCCCAAAATACGAGCACCTGGATTTTCTGTGGGCCAGCGATGTGCCGGAGCTGGTCTTTGGCCATGTGTTCGAGGCTTTGGACCGATATAGCTCCACCAAGGGATTTGCGGACGGAAAAGCAAACGGCGTGGCCAAAGGTACCGAGAGACGTGTAGCGGCCTGAACCTAAATCTGCAGATGCAAGGAGTAATCAATGTTCCTGCCGATGGCAGCGCGGCTAAAGTGATGCTGGCTTGGCTTCTTCATCAGCCATTCTTCTGATGTCTCTTGCGTTTGGCATTGAATCTTGAGGTCTCGATTGTACAACACATTGCATCGAGGGCCTAAAGCGATGCTCCATAGGGGTCTGACCGAGAGCAATCAGACAGACCTTGACATAGAGCCGTCGTCATGCTCGGACACCACATGTCAGATCATCAAGGATTTTGGCGAATCGTACCACGCTTCCTCTTATCTCGAAAGGCATTGCTGTAAATATTTTGAATGTGATGAGTGAAGCGCAATCGGAACGGTCCGTGTGGGGCCACAAAGATGATGCCTAAGTACATTTAGCTGAGTACACTACGTAAGAAGCGACCAGGGGTCTGACTGGAAGATATGAGAGATTAATGCACGGAGCTGATGTTTGCGAAGGCTGTACCTGCTGAATAGAGGTCGTTTTCGCTTGCTTGGCCTCGAGTCCAGGAAGCTGATCCGTCCTGGTTGCGTTGAGTTGTTCAGCCCCTGGACTCAAGCCTGGCGATCATACGCTGATTGTCGGAGAGAGATCTCATGTCCGATGACGGGTGGTGGCAGATGCGTTGGTTCTGTTCCAGTACCTACCAGGTAGCTGTCTGAGCCACTGTGACGAGGAGGCATGAGAAGGAAGGGCAGGAGTCGAGGGTCGGATCCTTCCCAATCGGTCCAGGAGGTTTTTCCTCGTCGATGAGCTTGCTCGATTGCTTCCCACGGAGGAGAGCGGTCGCCAATCTGCCCATCAGTCCTCGCAGCAAGAAGGCAGTGTGCCAGAGACTGAAGTCTGAGAGAGAAATATGACATGGATACCCTCTACTATTTATTCTCCACATACCGTTTCCCGACGATGTGATGTATTCTCTCTCCTTGCCAGCAGCTCGACACTTTCACCGACTCCGTCTCCATTCTTAGCTTGTCCCCCTCCATCTGATTCCAATTTATTTTTGTGGTTATTTTGACAGCATCTCGCACCCTGCACTTCCATTTCTCGGCACCAACTCCAGTTCTCCAACTCCAGCCGAGTTAGAGTTTGTGGTTCCGAACAATTCGACTTCACCGCCATCCAGCGCTTCTCGTATCTCGTTTGGACAGTTCCTCAGAAGGGAAAAGAAAAGAGAGCGAGAGAAGCCGGGAGCAGACAAAAAGCAAACAAGCGCAGGTCCACGAGCATTTTGGGATATTGCATCATTGTCAGTGCAGCATCATCCTTCACGCCTGCTTCAGCTTCCTCCGCCGTACTCCGTCTCCGCCAGAGCCAAAGCCCAAATTCTTAAACCCTTCACAGCGCGCTCCCCACAAATCGTCAACACACTAACGGACTGCCCTTTCCTTCATACGACTGCCGGACTAACTAGAGGCGGCCTGGCCGTGCCTTCGCCCCCACCGGCACTCAATCGCGCTCGCTCCATCAAACTGGTCGACCGTTTGTTCGCTCCGCTGCATTATTATTTCGTTCTCGAACCTCTCACGGACGCACACTCTCGCTTCCTTCCGACCTCTGCCTTTCACTTTCCTCGCTTCTTCTTCCGCCCTAAGCGCCCCTTCCTTTCCAGGACCCCTTCAATTGGCCGGCAATTGATTGATATCGAGACCGATGTAACGGATCGCGTGTCGTTATCCTTGCTCTTCTTGCTCACCCCGCTCCTTTACCCCCGAACGACTCGGCCCACTGTCCGCCAGAAGATCCGACCATTGCCCGAGCCCTGCGCATTGCAACGGACCGACGAAGCTGCAATTTCTTTGATTACTAGAACCGAGTACGGATTATCGAGTTACTCCTCGCGGAAGCAATATACAGCAAGCAGCTGCAGACGCGCTTGTTGGACGGTTTCGTTTGTCATACTTTTGTGACTGAGGGAAGCAATTCTAAATTGAGGGTTGAATTCAGTTGCTCGTGTCACAATTGCCTGTTCCAATGCGGCCGCAGTGAGTCCAGCCCTGAGAACTCGGTTCAGGCCGCATATTGTGCAGGACGGATGCTAATAATGGCCCTGTGTCACCGGTAGACGAGAATATCATATTGTCGTGTTAGGCGCTGGTAGGCCGCCCCCTCTGCTCAAAAATATTCTCAAGACCAAACACTGACTCTCCCGCGCAATAGGAGGAGTGGGTAAAAGCTGCCTTACTGGTATGAGCTCTGAACACTGCCCCGCGCTGAAGGGCCACCGTCGCTTTCCGAGCCATCAATCGCTGATGCTTGACAGCGCAATTTGTACAAAATGTCTGGATTGAAAGTTATGACCCGACTATTGAGGATTCGTACCGCAAGCATATTGAAGTAGATGTGAGTCAGATAGCCCGTTTGCAGCCTTCTCAAATTGCTAATCTCTCCTAGGGCCGACAATGTATACTGGAAATGTATGTCAAAAAGCTCGCCGACTGAGCATGGGAAGATGTTGTTCAAACTAACCCTGGAGCCAACAGTCTTGATACGGCAGGGACAGAACAATTCAGTAAGTTCATATCTCTCACCCCTAGGCCCTTCTTTTCATTAACATGTTTTTAGCGGCCATGAGGTAATCAATGCGCCCTGTCTCGAGCCGCCGGTATACTTGCACATTAGCGAGTGACCATAGCTCTTTAACTATGTGCCGGGTTCATAATGCTAACATCTCGGTCCATCAGGGAGCTATATATGAAGCAGGGACAAGGATTCCTGCTTGTATTTTCTATCACAAGCATGTCATCACTGAACGAACTCTCTGAATTACGGGAACAAATAATTCGCATTAAAGATGACGAGAATGTCCCCATTGTCATTGTGGGCAACAAGTCGGACTTGGAAGAGGACCGCGCAGTGCCTCGTGCTCGCGCATTTGCTCTTTCTCAGAGCTGGGGCAGCGCACCATACTACGAGACCTCGGCTCGTCGACGAGCCAACGTCAACGAGGTTTTCATCGACCTCTGCCGCCAAATTATCCGAAAGGATGCTCAAGGGAGCTCAACAAGCGAATACGACGTTGCGCCACGCAAACGTGAAGGTCAAAGCCGACAGGAGAGAAAACAAAGACGACGACAGACCAAGCGCAAAGGACCCTGCGTGATTCTCTAAAAGAACTTGATCAACTTCACACTTCATACAACTTTCCAATGTCTCTATTTACCAACTTCATGATCCTCAACGACTGCACATACCAATACTCGCCATAAAATATGATACCAGCCTCATTTATCCTGTGTTCCATCAGACACCTTCGACGTCATTCTTACGATAGACTTATGTTCATTGCCTTCTCTCTTCGTGTACTTTTGTCATTTACACAGCCGAACTATATTCCCGTCAATCTACGTTTCAGGAATGGAAAAGTTTATTTTGAGTCACGGATCTTTTGCCTCCTTCGCTTCTCTTATATACTAACAATCTAGGTTTGCATTGCAAGCGCTATTGAAATGCTGATGCCTAACAGGGCTAGTGAATGATCTTGCAATACCTTGACTTAGTCCTCGCTCGATTGAAGGAACAAGACCGGTTGCACCTTTATTAGGTTCACAGTGCCTCGCGCAGTGCCCGATGTCGGCCTTGTGGTCGTACTATGGTGCTATAGCCGCTTGTCTGACCAGAGCTTTCCTCCCTAGCTCCGGAGCTTGAGGAGCATCACTGAGAAAGACCACCACCTGGACCAATCTTCGGAAATGGGATAAATGAATGATGCAGTTCTTGGTCCTATAGTCGTCATGCCGGACTCTCATAGGTCTCTGGCAAGCTAGGTTGGCGTTTCCTGAGGTCTTCCGAGACCTTAAGGAGAACTTACCTGTGTCGCCCTTTGCGAATATTGAAGCCTGTGTCCGTGAATGGTGTAGTCCTTGTCACTGTACCACGGTTAGGACATGGATGTCAACCGGAGATGCATTCCGAAAACCCTTCTACGATACTTTGAGCCTCGAGTGACTTATAATAGGGGTATCCAAAACTTGACTTGCAGAGCTTGACCTGAGAAGCTTGACTTGCAAAGCTTGAAGCAGCATGAGCTTCCAGAAAACCTTGTCAGGAGAGGCGATATTCTGTATGTTATAAAAGCCCTCTCCCCACTCAGCTTTCTCCTTGCTCTCACCATCATCTAACATCCATCTCTTACTTACTGCTATCAAACAACATTCTTCATTCTATACACTTCAGACTCAACATGTACTTCACTCGCCCTTCTCGCTTCCTCTTTGCCTTCGTGGCCATCGCCAAGGCCACAGTGGCCCCCTCCTCCTTCGCAGCATCCGACAAGATCCCCGTGGCTGCCCTCAACCGAGCTGTCGACGGTATGAACAAGGTCCCTCCTCTGGCAACCTACCCTGTCAGCATCAAGAACGACTCGGCACTGTCGACCATCCACAGTGACTGGGCGTCCTTCCAGGAGGGGGCGGCCTTCGTCTTCAGGGCAGACATGGACATCGACTGCGACGGGATCAACTTCCAGTGTGTTGGAAACCTCGATGGGCAGCCCCTGACCAACTGGGGTGCCCTCTCCGCCTACGAGGTCCCCTTCATCGTGATCCCCAATCGGTTCCTCGAGGCCAACCCGACGGCCACCCCGGGAAACAACGTTGCAGCGGTAATCTGGTGAGTCGGCCTTCTCATCCATCAAGGACGTATCGGCTAACGTAGCACAGCAACAACAAGATGTACTATGGTATCCTCGGAGATACTAACTACAACGACCCGCAGGTGACGGGTGAGGCCTCCTGGCTTCTCTCGCGCGCCTGCTTCCCGGATGCCGACCTCAACGGCAACCGTGGTCACGACGAACCCGACGTGACCTACGTCCTTTTCGCCGGTGAACAGGCGGTTCTCCCAGAGACCGCCCACAACGACAAATTCATCACCGACTTCGGGACACTCCGCTCCATGGGTGACAGCCTTGTCACCTCCCTCCTCGGGAACCTGGGGATCCCCCTCCTCCCTCCGGGTTCCCACCCCAACGACACCCAGGGTGGTCCCGACAACGACAACGACTCCGACAGCCACCCTGGCACCGAACTCGACTCTGCCTCCTCGAAGAGGCTTCCCTATGCGCTTTTGGCGCTTTTTATGTTTTTCCTTGTGGTTTTGGCAACTTGACCCGGTTTAAACCTGGCGTTGCTTCCTTTCCTTTTTTAAACTTGCTTCTTCTCTTTTTTGATATCTTCTTCATTTTTTTTCCTTTTCTTTCTTTCTTTTGTTTATATTTCGTACTTCAAAATGTGGTGACGTCTCTCCGAGTTGTAGCCTTTGCTCAGCCTGGATACCTTTTTCCTCATCGTCCTTTTTTCCCTCGAGTTGAAGAGGTTTTCATGAGACGTGAGGTTTTTTACTGGCTCCATGGCCTGGGCAAGGCAGGGTCGCCGTGTCATTTTGTTATCTAGTTTAGTTTAATAGCATAGTTTACCCTGACACTTCTGATGGCATTGTGTAGAACGTAGATATGCAGCTCACACCTAGCCGTGGAAAGTTGGGCGTAGGGGATAGTGCTAGAAAAGGCACGACGGCATTCGCAAAGTAGTCTGCTTCAGAAATCAAAGCCCCTTCAACCTCTTGATCATCATTCCATAGCTGCACTTCCTACATCGTCACAAATCCAATGATGTCTTTCTCTGAAGTTTCCCACCCTACACCCGTTCTTTTTACCTTCTCACCGGGGACTCCAGATTATAGTGTCACTTCTATGGTGATTATCACCGCTACTACGATCATACTATCCCTATTCCTACCACCACCACTATTATTATTGGCAGCCTAGTTGCTCTGTCTCCATGGAAGTTTCTGGCGCTCGTGATTTCTTCCATGTTACTAGCCATATCCAGCATATGCCCGCTAGTTAGTTTCTTCCTGAATACATGCATCTATCATGCCTGTATTTCTCTCCTGGAGTGTCAACTATCATCCCTACCATCATCCCTACCATCATCCCTACCATCATCCCTACCATCATCCCTACCATCATCCCTATTATGACTATTACTAACTATTACTATTATTGCTACTGCTGCCGTACGCTTCTCAAGAGGCAGACTCCACGCCAGCACAGGCTACGGAGCGACCACCAATCAGTCAGATTCCCTTACTCTCCTCTACCATCTCGCATCCTCTAAGTCACACACCCTTTGCACTGTGACGTACCTTCTTGCCACATAGAAAAGTATGAGCTCAAAGTTTTCCACGGGGGTAGACTACGAGTTCCGGTTCCGGCTCCGGCTCCGAAACCCTAAACTCAAGTCTGGAATAGGCAACGGGCCTTCTAGGCTGTCATTTTGGCTACGATTCAACGCTATTGTTTTCTTTCATGCTATAATTACTTCAAAGCCCCTAACAACCCCCATTCCAACGCCAAGTAGAACGGGTAAAACAGAAAATCAAACGGAATCTACATCCTGAACACTCCAAACCTCGTCTGTACGTCATCTACCTTTCCGCCCAGAGCAGCGGACAAACTCAAGCCCAGGACCCGTCTTGTATGTGACGGTGGGATAACACCGTCATCCCATAGCCGTGCAGAGGAGAAGGTTGCCTCGGACTCGCGATCGATGCGGTCCTTTAGCTCGGGGTCTGCGGTGCGGCCGACGGCTTCCATGACGGAGGAGAGCTGCTCGGAGCCCATGACGCCAATCTTTGCGTTGGGCCACATGAAGAGAAGGCGGGGCGAGTAGGCACGGCCGCTGTTATTTCTAGTTAGCTGTCGGTGATAGAGTCTGAGAGAAAGGTGATTAACGTACCACATGCCATAGTTTCCTGCACCGGCACTAGAACCAAAGACGACAGTAAACTTAGGGACATCAGCGCAGGCTACGGCGGTAACGAGCTTCGCGCCGTTCTTTGCAATACCGCCCTTTTCTGCGTCTGCTCCAACCATGAAGCCTGAGATGTTTTGAAGGAAGACGAGAGGAATCTTGCGCTGCGCACAGAGTTCGATGAAGTGTGCACCCTTGAGGGATGACTCGGAGAAGAGAATACCGTTGTTGGCGACAATGCCTACTTGATGACCGTGGATGCGGGCAAAACCGGTGACGAGGGTTGTCCCGTAGTCGCGCTTGAACTCGGCGAACTCACTGCCGTCGACAATGCGGGCGATAACTTCGTGGGCTGGAATCTGGCGACGCAGATTTGTGCCCACGATACCATTGAGCTCTTCAGGGTCGTAGAGGGGTTCCTTTATGCTGCCAATGTTGTTGTTGTTGCCTGTGAGAGATAGATTGTTGGCAGTTGTTGTGGTTGGGTAATTGAGGTTAGAGATGGAGCGGCGTGCGAGTACGAGGGCATGGGCATCATCGACAGCTAAGTAATCCGTCACTCCAGATATTGTGCTGTGGAGTTGACCACCCCCTAGATCTTCTGCTGAGACGACCTCGCCGGTGGCGGCTTTGACGAGAGGAGGCCCAGCGAGGAAGATTGTTCCCTGGTTTTCGACGATGATTGTTTCGTCGCTCATGGCTGGAACATAGGCGCCTCCCGCGGTACACGGACCCATGACGACGGAGATCTGGGGAATACCCTGCGAGCTCATCCGGGCCTGGTTGAAGAAGATGCGGCCAAAGTGTTCCTTGTCCGGGAAGACATCAGCTTGGTGCGGAAGGTTGGCACCACCGGAGTCAACCAAGTAGATGCACGGAAGCTTGTTCTCTTGAGCAATGGCCTGCGCACGGAGGTGCTTCTTCACCGTGATGGGGTAGTATGTGCCGCCCTTGACAGTGCTGTCGTTTGCAACGATCATACACGTCACTCCTTCGACCGTTCCGATCCCGGTAATAATACCTCCTGCAGGAACATCTTCTCCCGGGTAGACCTCGTGACCTGCTAGCTGTGAGAGCTCGAGAAAGGATGTCCCTGGGTCGATGAGAGCTGAGACTCGGTCCCGGGGTAGCATTTTTCCTCGGGCAATATGCTTGTCTTTGGCTTTCTGTGGACCTCCTTGCGCAATTGTACTGTGGATGCTGTTCATCCTATCTAGAACTTCTTGCATTTGTTGAGCATTCTCTTTGAAGTCGGGCGATGAGGTATCCACCGCCGTGGGGAGAACAGAGATTGCGGAGGCATGATGCGGGTGTGTGTAGCTAGCGATGAATCGAGTTGTAGAGGCGGTGCCCTGTCTTGAGATGTTATATACCGGCCGTGGAGATGAAAGGGTGAGTTGTCTAGGAGCTAATCTGCCAGCGTTCGCTATGGAGGAGGTCCAACTCCTGCGGAAGAGTGGAGCGGGGACGCGCATTGTGGGGGTAAAGGAGACACCGCAGACGAGTCGAATGAAGTGTCGGTTATAGCATGACCTTTTGAAGTTATCAAGTCGAAAGTAATTGGATCTTCTGAAGATATGAAGTCAGAAGAGTTAGATGGAGAGTGAGTGATGATGCGGTCGGTTTGCGGAGGAGGGGACGCGAAAATGCGGAGAAAGCCAGAGGCCCCGGTAAAAAGCGCTTGTTAGCGGAAAACCTCGGTTGGAACGAGAAAGCGCGATTCTGCGAAGCTTGGTATTTCGATCTGCCATATCTCGTCAGTCCCAACAGGCTGAGCAGAGAATGCTGTCTATTTACACTTACTCCGTACTTGATAGATTTTCATTGTCCTTGGACTAGACTGGATTGTGCTGGGATTTTACATATAGTAAAGTGTTCTGCCAACAGCCCTAACCTGAAAACCAGATAATTGATGAACTATAGGGAGATTTCTCTCAGTTGGTTGGTCACTTAACTTGCCCTCTTAGTCTACTGTCCCTGAAAAGCCTTCTTGTTTTCCTGTCTACTAACCCAATTTTGCATTTTGAAAATCATGAAGACGTCTGGGTTCTCATACTTGGAAGACTGTAGCCACGTGACCCTCCCTGCGGTTGCACTTTTTTCTTCACTTGGCAAAAAGTGGACAAGCGCTCAGCTCTGACCTCATCAGCCATCCTGGGCGCATTGTGTTTCTTCCTTCTATCATTATCGCCCTAATTGCTCCTCAAGTGTTAATGGGTCCCACTTGAACCTTCCATCTCTCTTTTCCGTTGCGATAAATCTGTTCTTCGATCCACACGCCCTTCTTTCTCCTCATTCTAACTGTCGCTCATACTACCTAAGATGGCTTCCGACGACGAGGACTTTTTCGAGGAGTTCGACGACGATGACATCTTCTGGGTCGAAGAGTCGGACCCAACTGCCGCGGTACGCCTGCTTCCTACTTCTATTGTTCCAACTCCAAGAACTAACATCAATGGCAATAGGACGACCTCGCCGCAGCCGCGACTCACGACCCCATCCTCCCCGAAGACCCCTCCCTAGAAACCGCCGACTATTTCAGCGACTGGGATGACCTATCCGACGACTACTATGACGAAGACCCTACGGCAGTCCGCCGACTACGCGCCATGGGTCTCCTACCGCTTAAGGACACAGCACCCTTCGACTCCTTGCCCTCGAAACGAAGAAAAGTAGCGAACAACCTCATAACAGATACGGCTTCCTTCCAGGGCGTCGCCTGGAAACACCCCGCAGACGAGACAGATATCGTGGAAATCTATGCCCCGGGCGAAGGCGAGAAGGTCTCCCTGCTCAAGAACTGGAGGGAGATTTTCCGGAACGCGAAACCCGCGATTGGCCGCTTGCGCGGCCGGAAGCCGATTCCCATGATGGTGGATGTCAATCCGGCCGAAGAGAGCGAGCCTGGACTCGAAGTGCCGCCGTTGGTTGAGGATATATCTGATGCCGAGGTGACCGATGCAGACGCGAAGTCTGCGAAACCGCTATACTCGACGCCGTTCCATGCACAGGTGGTTTTGAACTCGCCACCTGATTTACCTGTCCATTCGAAGAAACTTGGTTTTGCGAAATCTCCTGGAGATGAGTTAAAGCACCCATTACAACCGATCACAGAGGAGGATCAAGGGCCTACCACCAATGGAGTTTCCAGTGAGACTCCTGCTGAAGATGGAACGAAAGAGCCTGCCCCCGCTCCTGCTCGCAGGGGTCGAAAACGCAAGGCCTCGGTTTCTGTGAGCGACCCGCCAGACGACTCCCAGAATACCGCGACCACTGAAGCGCAGCCGAAAAAGTCGAAACGGTCGTTGTCCAAGTCGTCCCAGACATCAAAACCCCCTCCAGCGTCGTCAGCGCCGGTCCGCAGGTCAGCACGAAACAAGAAATAGCTCAAGTCTCATGAATTATGCTCTCTAACTCCCTGTATGAAAATACATTATCCTTATGTATTCCTAGACACCTAAATCAAAACCAATTCTAGCTACAATACAGCTCACAGCTCTCCCTCATCATTGAGCGTACTCTTTATTAAAGGCACGCCCAATAACCATACGTCGAATCTCGCTCGTCCCGGCACCGATCTCATATAGCTTCGCGTCCCTAAGTAATCGTCCAGCCGGGATCTCATTGATGTACCCATTTCCGCCCATAAGTTGGATCGCATCGAGAGAGCACTCGGTAGCCCTCTCAGCCGCGTATAGGATGGCACCCGCGCAATCTTGGGTCCGGATTGCCGCAGCTCCGAGGGAGGCGAAGCTGTCGATGTGGCGGGCAGTGGCATATGTATAGGCGCGTGAAGCGGCGAGTTTTGTATGCATATCTGCGAGCTTGCCCTGGATCAACTGGTTATGGGCGATGGGGGTACCGAATTGCTTGCGGACGTGGGTGTATGGGAGGACTAGGTCGAGGGCGGCTTGCATGATTCTGTAGAGCACCATATAAGTTAGTAATCACTTTAGGAGAAGGAAGGCGCGGTATATATTACCCTAGTGGACCAGCACTGAGAACAAGGCGTTCCAAATCAAGGCCCTCCATCAGGACCTTGACGCCGCGATTTACTTCGCCTAGAAGATTCTCCTTGGGGACAAAGACGTCTTCGAATACGAGCTCTCCGGTGTTTGACCCGCGCATTCCGAGCTTATCAAGCTTACGAGCGCAAGAGAAGCCCTTGAATGTCTTTTCCACGACAAAGGCGGTGATGCCTTTGGAGCCCTTCTCGGGCTCTGTTTTGGCGTAGACGACGATGTAATCGGCATCGGGGCCCTAGACCTCTATTAGCTATATTCTGCGCATGAACAAGCTTCAATGGCTGACGTTTGTGATCCACATCTTGGTGCCATTCAATACCCATCCGCCGTCGACCTCTTTGGCCGTCGTCTTCATGCTAACGACATCGGAACCAGCCGAGTGTTCTGACATAGCTAATGCGCCGACTTTTTCACCGGAGAGCAGTCCCGGGAGATAACGTTCTTTTTGTTCGGCGCTACCGTTCAACGAGAGCTGGTTCACACAGAGCTGCGAGTGTGCTGCGTAAGATAAACCGATACTACCTGAATTAGGGAAACTGCATGTTAGAGATCGTTCAAGCGGAGTCAAGTCGGGACAAAGCGCATACCGGACGCTCGACTGATTTCTTCCATCACGACGCAATGGGCTTGATATCCCATTCCGAGGCCTCCATACTCTTCTCCTGCTGTGACACCTAGGAAACTGGCGATCTTGATTAGACGGCGGAATTATTCGAGGATCCGGGAGTGTTACCCAGCATCGCCCAGCTTCTTCCACATGTCTGCGGGGAACTCATTTTGAGCGTCAGTCTGCGCCGCGACTTCTTCAGGGATCTCCCTCCCTAGTTAAACACACGAATTAGGACACTGTTAAGATCAAAGTTGGGCGAGTATATCCACACTTACTCGTGAACTCTTGGACTCGTTCTCGTAGCTCTAGCAAGTCATCTTCGGAAGGAGGCACGAATCCCTTCGGGTGTTTGGAGGTTGCGTAAGTGCGGGCGGCGGGAATGAGGGGTTTCGTGAACCGCGGAGCTCTGGAAGGAAGGGAGCGGAGGAGAAGAGGAAGACGTGTGGTAGCCATGATCACCATGAGTTTAGAGCGACAATTAGGTGTATCAAATGGTCTAGACTCGAGGTGATAGAAGCTTGGAGATGAAGTTATAGAAAGGGTAGGGAGCAGTGCGCTTTCTCATTCTGACCGAGGCTTTCCGTCGTCAAGCGCTCGTTCCCGGGGAGATCACTGTGATTGGAGAAGCGGAGGCTGCGGGGACTCTGGTGAGCTTCCCCGGATTTATTCTTTTTTTTTTTATTCAGCTCTTTGAACATATCTTCAGTCAATGTTTTGACCTTAAGAAATTAAGCAGCCTTTTGCTTCTCAGGTGAGATTTTAGGCGCCAATCTTCAGCCACAATTTGCACTATAATATCCCTTGCCAGTTTTCTCAATAACTTCTATACTATTAATATAGCTTCTAGTTCTTGTATCATAAAGAATTTGTTACATAGTATGCAGGGCAGCTTCGCACTCTTGGAATGAATATAGCGATGTTCGAAGCATTTGTGCCCGCGAGTGGCATGTCTACTTTCTTAGAGATTGAGATTTGAACTATAGATGATATCAAGTATTCTCTTCATGATCATCAACAGGGAAATGAAGGATGATCGCAATTTTCTCCATCTCGGTGCTTGAATGTGCCATAAGATCACCCTTGATGCTCTGGATGAGGGCCCTGCAACGTTCAAGCCTAGCCTCATCTGGAGCCAGCCAAGGGCATCTGTCCCGATTAGATTCATCATCTCGCCTAACTCCTATAAATTCTCCTGTTCTTGGTGATAATCCTCCGAGCATTTCAGTATCTCTTCATCAGAAAATTTGACCGGACCCTTAACATATTTCGTCTGTGCTCCTTCATCCAGGGAGATGGGGCAATTCTTGAGGGCCTGCGACATGACATACTTCAACGAGATGGAGTCTCCTTCCCAAGGGGCTTGTGCATGATGGAAGAGCTTCGCTCGGAGCATCAAGGTTTCTGATGTGATAGCGTCACAGTGATCCGGCAGGGATTTCATGGTCAACGCAGCATAATAAAGTGAACAGTCCGTTTTCGCATCGTCTCCAAACGGTTTCTTGCTCTCTCGGACTCAGCTGTTCAAAGCCTTCAGGCAATTTGACCTCTGGCTTGGATAATGTCTCAGACAATGGGTCACCCCGATTTTGAAAATGATTGGGTTGTTCAGCGCACAGACAGAGAGGCAAGCTGACTGCATGTTGCCAGTCAATGACCACTACCACGTCGTTAGAGAAAATTCACAAGGATATTATGGGGTGAAAAGTCCGGATGGCGAAGAGTGGGACGGGACATGCGGTGGTCGGAGGGAACGCCGAGACGTGGCGCTAACTTCAAATACTTAGCAAGGAGATGTTGGTAAGGAATAGGGGATTGGCTGTGGAACTGGTGTAGTTCTCGTAGGTATCTTTCGACGTGTAGGCGTGGTTTGCCAAATCTTTTACAGAATTCTATTCGCGCTTCGCCCGTGCTTCGAAGCATGCAGAAAAGGTATTCCCTGGCTCAAAGTCAATATTTCTAAACCAATCAAGCACTCCTAAATGGAGACGTACATGGACCGCAGTAAATCTCCAGAGAGGCCCGTTCCTGATACCACCATTCATGCTGTGCAGTTGGACCAACGACAATGTCGCCCGAGACTGAGATAACACAATGTGAATTGTCAAGATCATGGAGGTGATAAAGACTTCCACTTGCTGAGAAATTAAGGCTCATGAACCGAGTCTCCAAATCAACAACCTGTCCATTAGTTTGACCCAAGTCTTCGTATCCATGGAAAAGCATCGGCCGCTCAACGGTATTCCTTCGAATTTTTCAAGAATAATGTATTCGGTTCCAACAGCGTCCGTTTGATCTGGAAAATACGTAAGGACTTTAGGGACTGGGGCCCCATGAGCACGCAAAAGTGTGAGTGTGGCAGCTTCACTAGCCACTGCGTAGCGTTTGGGAACAGTTGTCTTGTAAGGTAACCTTGCAAGAACCACATATCCATCCTTGAACGTGATTTACAAGACACGATTGAAGCCTCCCTCGGCAAGTTTGTGATCGAGACCACACCACTGATGCAGCGGCCGACAGAATAGCAGGCCGCCCTTGCGAGAGCATCCACGTCGAATTGGATACGGCGTTCGGAGCGGCGGAGCTCTTCGTTGAATCCGGTTTGACGCTGCAAGTCAGTCAATCACAGATGCGCACTCAGCAGCTAGCCGCCACGGCTCACAAAAGGCGCCCAGAAGTGTACTCGAACAGCTCAGGATTGCCACTCATAGAAGACATCACCCTGGGTCGTGACTTCGGGGATTGACCAAGAACATAAGAGAAGCGTCACATTTTAGACGCTATTCTTATTGTCTGTACCCAGGGTAGTCCTAAGGTTAACACCAGATTCTGGGCAGCATGCGGGTCCTCGCTTGCTTTTTGTCGGTGGGTTCTCCCCAGCTGCCTTCGCTAATATGTTTGACATGGTTGTTGTCTTGTCAAAATCCAGTATCCCAGAAGCAAAGGCCAGTGACTAGACAGTCAGATAAGATAGAGTTGATTCATGATAACACAATATAAAGGCGAAAATAGGGTGCCCTTGAGCGAGAGAGAGCCACCTAGAAGAACGGGTTCATCCTAATCGCGAAAAGGCAATTGAACGATCGGACTCCTCACCCAGGTCATGATTGGGACAGCTCTGTAGATATTATGCCAAGAATCAGTGCCTGAAAATGCATAGTATGTTGTTCTGGTTACCTTGGTAGTAAACAAGTTTCTGTATGTTCGTTTGAGAGGCAGCAAGCTGTTCGGCGCCGGAAAAACAGAAGCTACCGAAGTCTTCCCCGCGCGAGCCAAAATCCCCACGCCTTGTCATTCCAACCGAGGTTATCCGCTACCAAGCGCTTTTTTCCGGTAACACATTATCCAGGTTTGGATGACAATCAGATCAAGCGGAGCAAGCTGGTGAGCTTCCCCAGACTTCATTTACCAGCTCTTTTTCAGATATCTTCAACCATCTTGTTTACCTTCTTGAAACATGCAAGTTTTTTTCTTTGTCTAGTACATCCTAGGGCATTGAGTCGACACCTGCGCCCTCTTTACATACGATGCCACTCTCATCCCTTCCCCGCACTCTCGTCCGCCTGGGGCCGACGGCCGTTGCTCGTCGCTCAAGACGAGCTGCCTCTACAGCCACCACCAGCTCCTCAAGTCCTCCTCGCCCGCTAGACTCAATCCTGATCGCAAATAGAGGAGAAATTGCTCTGTACGCTCTATCTCCCCCGTCTTCTCCGCCTACTAATCATAGATAGGCGAGTGGGCCGAACAGCTTCTCAGCATGGAATCCGAGTGACAACGCTTTATACAGACCCCGATTCAAGAGCACAACACGCACTGAGCTCACCATTCGCTTTCAACCTGGGCTCAGTCTCTGCATACCTTGATGGAGACCGCATTATCGAGATCGCAAAAGCACAAGGATGTCAAGGGATACACCCGGGATATGGCTTTGTATGTAACGCTGTTTGGATTCTTCTCAATCTGCCACTGATTGGTATCGACAATATAGCTCAGCGAGAACTCGGACTTTGCGCGAAAATGCACGGAAGCTGGCCTGGTTTTCATTGGTCCGCCATGGAAGGCAATCGAGGATATGGGAGACAAGAGGTTGGCAGCCTACATGCTCTTTGCCATTTTTTCCTTTTTATACCTTGCTAACGATGCCGGCATTATAGTCAGTCCAAGAAGATTATGACAGCCGCAGGTGTACCATGTGTGCCCGGTTACCACGGTGAAAACCAAGACCCAGCTTTTCTCGAAGCCGAAGCCGATAAAATCAGATATCCTGTGCTCATTAAAGCAATCAAGGGAGGTGGCGGTAAAGGCATGAGAATTGCCCAGTCAAAGGACGAGTTTCAAGCCCAGCTTCAATCTGCAAAGTCGGAAGCCATGAACTCTTTCGGGGATGACCACGTCCTGGTGGAGAAATACATTACCACACCCCGACACATTGAAGTGCAAGTCTTCGCTGATAAGCATGGGAATTGTGTTGCGTTAGGAGAGCGAGATTGCAGTATCCAGCGGCGACACCAAAAAATCCTCGAGGAGTCACCTGCACCTCATCTCCCTGACGCCACGAGAAAGGACATCTGGGCAAAGGCTAGATCAGCTGCCCTCGCTGTCGGCTACGAAGGGGCTGGTACTGTTGAGTTCATCTTTGACAACGACACTGGAGAGTTCTTCTTTATGGAAATGAATACTAGACTCCAGGTTGAGCATCCCGTCACTGAAATGGTCACCGGCCAGGACCTCGTGCACTGGCAATTGAAAGTCGCTGAAGGCGCCAAACTTCCCCTCACCCAAGAGGAGGTCGAAGCGAAGATCGCGAGCCATGGGCATGCGATTGAAGCTAGAATATATGCCGAAAATCCTGATCAAGGGTTCATTCCCGACTCCGGAACGCTTCTTCATGTCCGCACTCCTGCTGCTACCGAAGATGTTCGCATTGATGCAGGCTTCGTGCAGGGGGACGAGGTCTCTGCGCATTATGACCCCATGATTGCGAAGCTGATTGTTAGGGGCCGCGACCGATCAGAAGCTATTCGCAAATTGGCTGCCGCGCTAGAGGAGTACGAAGTTGCCGGCCCAATTACCAACATCGAGTTCCTGAAGACCATCTGCAAGAGTGCCGACTTCGTCTCCGGGGAAGTGGAAACGGGGTACATTGAAAAGCACCGTGAGGAGCTGTTCGCCAAGAAAACCATTGAACCGGAAGTTCTGGCACAAGTGGCATTGGCTTGCCTACATGATGATTCCGACCTGGTGACACGAAAGACGGCCAATTTGGAAGGCTCTGCCGTGGGATTTGGCCCAGGCTACCAAGAACACCACATGACCTTTACGGATTCATCAGCAGCAGCGACAAACAGTGACAGTACGTTTGATGTCAAAGTCCAGCAAACAGGCGCAAACCTGTTCACCGTCAAGGTCGGCGAGAATGTGTTCGAGCAGGTGGCCAGCCACCCTAATGCATCCTCCCGAGTCATCACATCGTTTTTCCCTCACACTCGCCTCGATACAACTGTGATCCGAGACGGCGACTCGATTGTTGTATTTGACCGCGGCACACAGTACCGCCTCGCTGTCCCACGGGCAAAATGGATGGAAAAGGCTCTGGGGATGAAGGACGTCACGAATAGCGTCCTCGCGCCAATGCCGTGTAAAGTCTTACGTGTGGAAGTTCAAGCCGGCGACGTCGTTGAAAAGGACCAGCCCCTCGTGGTGATTGAGAGTATGAAGATGGAGACAGTCATTCGCAGCCCGCAAAGAGGGAAGATTGCGAAGGTTGTCCATAAACAAGGAGTAAGTCACGCCGTTCTGTTTCCCTTGCATATGGTTCCCTATTTGCCATTTGTTTTCCCATCCTCTTTCCGGGTCCGAGTCTTCAGCAAGGTGTCTCGGTATCCCGGCTTTCCTTTGCGTCGAGGCTTGTCAGAGCTGGGCCTTGAAAGTCTAGCTGGATTCTTTCAACTTTTAGGAAACCCCTGACAATTTGTGCACACACTAATTACCGAGCTCCCACGGGGTATCTCCAAGCGTATCCTTTTTGTTTTTCTTTTCCGTTCTTTTATTTGCTTCTACATATGTTCCAAGCCCAAGCTAATATTCTTTGCCTTTCAGGACCAATGCAAGAGCGGAACACCGCTTGTCGAGTTCGCAGGCGAAGATGAATGATTGGCCAGTATGTGGTATTGGGACAGGATATTTGGAAGGGCTGGGAATTAGGAGGTATCATTATCGTATGATACCGTATGCATTTTGCTCTCGACACCGGAGTCATGTAGGTATATTCCAAGGTTATTATGATTATCATGTTGTATGGTTCTCTCCCTGCAAATTACAGCTGTCAACATATGATCCGATGCAAGTTGATTACTCAGATAGATCTACACTAAGCCTAAGGCGTTTGACGAAGAGGCATACTCCAGAAGTGTGAACCTCCGTTTCTTCTCCCTTCAAGCCGTTTTGTTACAAGGTACAACTTGACGTCCACCTCCGGACCCACAGGGGACGTCATGGGGATGATGTTCGAAGGCACGGAGCCTCATCTTGCTGCTCCACATGGACTTCGGGTTTCAGGGTCTACCCGAGGTGGGCCGTTTCAGCTAGTCGGTGCATTGACCAGGGCGGGGCCTTGTGGCGAAGACAAGATGATCATCTTGGGGGTGGATGTCAAGAATTGAGTGTAGGGCTTTTTCGGCTCCGCTTTGCGAATGACCGCGAACTGCACGAGCCCAAGGTATCCGGAGGCCTAGCTAGGGCTCAGGAGGATGCAGACAAGTGGAGCCGTGAATTGTTAGTATCTACTGAGCGTGAGCTGAATGTTGTCGGTTCAGATCTCGGAAGATACCGGCCGGGGCCGGGAATACTAGTCAGGATGGGATGATCTTTCGAGTTTCTAGAACATTTTTAGATCGAAGTGGAGGGAGACGGTAGGCCTCGAACACCCTGTGGTCTCGCCTGACTACATTGTATGAGTTGGGGTCTGGAGATGATTAGTCTCGGTAAGTACTTTCTGGAAATTAATTCGTGGTCTCTTCTGTGAGCTCTGGCAGCCCTGGGACCGCGCTCGGCATGATCTTATGGGAGCTAGGAACGGAGTTTAGGGATTAGAGAACCACATGATTAACATGGAATGGAAATGTCCGTTTCATGGATCTCACGGGGACGGCATGGACGTCAGGCACAGTTGGCATAACGAAGGGTGATGAGTGCGGGTGCTGATTCCGCGCTGGTATAATAGAGTAAACAGTGAGTTTAGCGAGATAGTGTGGTAAGGCGAAAGGGAGAATCCGCAGCGGAGTTACTAAGATTGTGCAACGTGCTTTGAGCGAGATCTGCGTGGCATGGTGATAAAGTGTCTAGATTTAGCTGCATCTAGTGTGGTCGCGGAAGGCGAATCAAGGGCAAGCCGTGGGATTTGATATGCTGACAACAAAGTACGCTGAAGCTAGTCATGCCGGTTTGATATCGAGATGCTGTTGTGGAAGGCTTGTGCGCAGTGTTGATAAGGGCAACTTTATATATATATATATATATATATTTTTTTTGTCACACAAACTCAATTCGATGCGAAACTCATACGTTGGATAACAGGGAGGGGAATAGATATGAAGGTAATAGACCCTCAAGAAAGATCACATGGGCTGGCACTTGCTGGTGGAGTTGGGGTTTCTGTCGTGTTCCCAAGCATCGAGGGCATAGTTGGGTTGAGTTATTGCATTGTGCCGTGACCAATTTGCGTACACATCCCCACTGATTTCGAAGTCAATGGCTGGACGGACTTGAGTAAGTCGAGTCTCGAGACGAGGGACTCCGAGTTTCCGAGTACTAAGTCATGGAGGAGGCATTGACCATGTGCCCACTGCGGGGCTTCTGGAAAACGATGCTCACGTACTACCACATACTCCGGAGGAAAAGCCAACAGAGGATAAAGCGATTGAAGGAAAACTCTCCATGCAAAGGAAAAGCAATTGCCAGATGAGAACCGGCTCCTGAGGAACCTGGCAGAAAGAATCGACAACGGCCAAACTCCGCGTTGGAAGGAGGGGCGCGGTGCAGGTCACGCGGAGGCAACAGAGCAGGGATTCACGTTGAAACTGGGGCCGTCGTTGTTTCTAGACCCACCGATGGGGAGATCTTGCTCAGATCTCTGCATGGCGGTTGGAGCCTGGCCCTGAGTAATATCACCGCCTGACATCAACTTTTTTTTTTATGGGCGGATGATTAATTGTTTGAAAGACAGCAAAGTTCAGGGGAAAATTACAGAAATGGAGCATCTGAATCTGACAAGCTGATGAGCAAGCACCACTCAATGGATCACGTTTGCAGCGGATCTGGTAAGTATCGCCTGTGTCCGTTGCTGAGCGGCCTGCATCAATGAGGGGAGCTCCCCAATTGACCTTTAATGAGATCGTTTCCAGAGCTGGTAATCTGCTTGTAAATAACATACTTCCCACATTCCGCAGCTCTTCCAGGGAATCGCCATTTATTATATTTTTATTATTTTTTGTTTATTTCCTCATTTTGACTTTGCCGCCTTGTGGGCACCGTGGTGTCTGCTTTTGCGGGTCCATAACCACTTATTGTGGCCGAGCATTCGAAAGATCTGCTCCAATGCCCCTTGACCGAGAGCAAGGTCCAGCTTAAAAGCTGATTTCCCCGTCTTCTTTTCAGAGCCTAGGGACTCTGTACATATATTTTTCATCTCCTCGCTCTCCCCCTACCCTTGCTAGCATACCCCCCTCATACACTCAACAACCCCACCGAAGCATCAATTCTACCGGGTGTCCTCCGAATATTCACAATGTTCAACCCTGCCATCGCTCGCCAGGCCGTAAAGGCTGTTAGCCAGACTACACGTCCAGCTGCGCTGGCTGCGACGCCACGACACTTCCTCCGACCCCTCTCTACCACAGTTTCCCGCCTCCAGAAAGATGACAAGAAGGATCCCTTTGTGCAGGCGACCACCAAAGCTCCCAAGGGTGCCGCCGGCGAGCAGGAGGGTAAATATGCCCGTACCGACGAGAGCGTCGTTATCGAGTACCCCGATGATGAACACATGCCGCGCAGCCCTGTTGTCCAGGGTCGCGGAGGAATGCACTTCAAGCGCACACTTGCTCAATTCTCGCTTGAGAATAGGACCACCATCGTCACCGGTGGCGCTCGTGGTCTTGGACTGGTTATGGCGCAAGGAATCGTGGCTTCGGGTTCCAACCTCGCCATTGTTGACTTGAACCGTAGGTGTTGACCGCAGATCGACGTGAAGTGGGCAACTTTGCTGATAGCTTTACAGGGGAGGAGGCTGAGGACTCCGCAAAGAAGCTTGTGGAGCAATTCCGGAAGGAGAACCCTGGTTTAGAAGAGTATGGTTCCCCGAGCATCCCCACCTGAGGTAGACATCCAAGATGAATGCTAACGAATGTGTCCGTCTAGACTGCCTAATGTCACTGCTCACTATGCCGACGTCTCCAACCCTGACTCTGTCAACAACGCCCTCTCCGAAATAATCTCCAAGCACGACAAGATCGATCACCTGGTTACATCCGCAGGGTTCACTGAGAATTTTGATGCTATAAGCTACCCATACGAGCGCATGCAGAAGCTCTGGGGTGTCAACGTGGATGGCACCTACCTCTTCGCCACTGGTGTCGCAAAGCATCTAATGGAGCGCAAGGCTCCTGGAAGCATTGTTATGATTGGCAGCATGTCAGGTTCGATTGTCAATGTTCCCCAGCCTCAAGCTCCCTACAACGCTGCCAAGGCTGCCGTCCGTCATCTTGCTTCCTCCTTCGCTGTTGAATGGGCAGGACAAGGCATCAGGGTCAACTGCATCAGCCCCGGATACATGCTGACTGCCTTGTAAGTCGCCACCTCTAGGCAAGACTGATGAACAGGAACTGACTCTGAAATCAGGACCCGCAAAATTCTAGACGAGAACCCCGACCTACGCGACAAGTGGATCTCGCTTATCCCAGCTGGCAAGATGGGCGTGCCGGAAGATCTCATGGGCGCAGTGACTTTCCTTCTCAGTGACGCATCCAAGTACATTACTGGTGCCGATCTGCGTGTGGACGGTGGCTACACCCTCACCTAAGGGCTCAGTTTCGCAACCCTCGCCACCTCCAATCAGCCTTTTTAATATTCGACGCGACAACTGGACGGGGTGCTTACTTTTCTCTTACGGTCTTTTACGGAGTTTTCTTTCGTCACGGCGGGTTTCGTCCTCGAACTTTACTTTTCTGCGGTGGATGCTGCACAGGTCCGTTGAATCGCATAATGACACAGCATAATTTTATCCTTGAGATGAGCGGATGATATTCTTTTGAGAGCGAAAAGTGGTACGCCGTATATTAACGGTCGCATATGTTTGCATTTGATAGACATCTGGGGTTTCGTTGGTCATAGCATGATGTCATTGTCACTGTTGAAATGAAATCAAATAATCTTTCTGATCTCATCCTCGACTTTTCCGCAATTTCACGCAAGAGACGATAGGTTTCCTTGAGATGAGGTCGAATCTCTGAATCCGAGCCGCAGAAAGGGAGAAGAAACAACAGTGAGCATTGTTTCATCAGCTTTGAACAGCTTATGGTTGGAAAACAAAATGGAGCAATCATCTTTGACACGAGAGTTTTTTAGGAACCGATATTGCCGCCTCCAATTCTTGCAATCCAGCGGTCTAGAGATTTGCATTGACTTGTTGTACCCCACCTGCAACTATCCTTCCTCTTTCTGTCTAGCTCTGGGGTTGGGGTTTTGGTCCATTTTCGGTTCATTGGAGCTCGAAACCCTTCAGTCTTCTGCCGTGTTCCAGAAGGATTCCCGATCGGAAGTACGACACCACCATCTTTGCTTGGAATATTCGAGTCTCGACGTGGGTTTCGTAGCTCAACGAGTTTGATCTGTGGTTCTGCCAGATTACTACGGGTTTGTCTTGCTACTTTTCAAATCTCTGCTCCTGCTGAACATATCTGCAAGTGCTTACAGCTACAAGCGCTTAAATGTGCATACAGAGGTCAGATTTGAGCAAGAAGTGCACGGGCCAAAAAGTCCCTTGTCTTAACAAGAATGGGCAGGCCAATCTATGCATCGCAGGGAAATCACCTCTCACATCGCAGGCATCCAATTTCCGGCATTTGATATCACCGCATCACCGAAGCCCCGAGCCTCGAATCGAACATCGAGACTGACCGTATCAGGCGCGCTACCAAGTTCTTATCAATCACCAGCGATTCTTCCGCGGCGCATGGAGCGCACCCGGGCTACAACTCAGGGCTTCATCACTGGGCTGTCTAATGGGAAATTGGGTTCTGATCATCTTCAGACTTCACACTAGTTCCAACATAAACATTCAAGGCGGAATTACTGGTCTCAGAACCTGAAGCGACTCGATACGTCTCATACCAAGCTTCCAGGTATTCTCCGAGCTGCTCAAGGTCCCCTCCAAGCTGGGTTTACCCTACTTTATTGGGGTCCAGACCAGTTAGACACCCGAGGCGTAGATGCTTCCAAAACTTGTTACTGGTCGAACTTCCCTGTTCTCTTTTTCGGCCCATATCTTTGGTGGGAGAATGACCTGATATCTCCAAGGCAATGCTCCCGCGCGCCGGCCGGCCCGTCGCCGAGTCATGACTCGGCAGTGCCGGGAGGCCCGATGAGCTTTGCGAACGCAGGTTTCTCTCAAGATTTGTACCCAAGGGTAGCATGCCATCTCGGGACGCCCTCGACTGCACAGGTACAGAAGCCATCCATATTAGCACGCCAGGCTTTCATAAGATGAATTAGTAAGAGTAATGAATAAATCTGCAAGGCATCAGGTGACGATGACCCGTGACACCAGGCCGGGCGATCTTGGCTCTTTTCATCAAGTAGCAGTGCGGGTGCTTTTTCCTCCATCCCTGTCTGTTCGGAGTTGCAGTCTGTGATTATTTTCTCTCTTCCGCCGTTTGCGTAGCAACATCGGACCTGGATGGCCAGATCAGGAAAGGCCACCTAAATCCGAGCAAAAGTCGACGCTTGCACAGGAAAATCGACTACGGCGCACACCGACAGCTTTCAGACCCGCCAGACCAAACCAAGCTCGGCTTGATCCCCCACTGCAGCAAGGTAAGATTAACCTTTTGGCTCCCTTTAATTCGCCGAGGGATTCCTGCAGGGGAAGCCTTCTGGATCGTCCTTCCATCCGACTGGGCTGAAAATTGACAAAAATCAGGTCTCCGTGACAAGGCGGAGGCGAAGGCAAGAGAAGTCACCTAAGAAATAAGCACCGATTAACCTATCCCGCGAGGAGTCCGCTCTGGTTGCGGGTCCTGTGGCCTCATTTTGAGACTCCGCGGGCTTCGGCCCCCTTCTTTGAGTCTGGGGCGAGCTGCGTTCCTCTCCAATCATGCATCCCTTCGTCTGGAGATACGCGGGGTAGTATCCGTACACTCATCCAGCCCTCGGCGGACCTTTTGGACATCGCCACTTGGACAGTTTAGACATTCGCGGTCTCTGGTAAATCTTGGGAGTGACAGGCGGGAGGATGCCAACGGGCATTCCCGACGCCTTGGAAATGGATTTGGGTTGACTGATAAGGTGTAGAGGTGATAGGCTGAGCTTCGAGCCTACAACTTGAAGAAGCGCTTGTCAAAGGCCAAGTTGGGGCTGGGACTGGCGCAGGTGAGCACGGTGGAGGGCAACGGCGCGATGATAGGCTGGAGGGGCAGGAAATGCCCTAATGATGAGTGTCGCATCAACTGACACTTTGCATCGATACATTGTCCTGTAAAGATGGATGGCCATCCATCGAGTTGTGAGCCTCCAGGCTCGGTTCCCATGATCGAATCCTTGATATCCTGGATCTTTCTGAATGGACCGGACCGTCTGATCAGAGGCTCCGAAACCTTGCCTCCATCACGCTGTTCTTTGTCCCGCTTTCTCTCGTTATTCAAAAGGTGACTCGACTTTTCGATCTATCTTCCTTTCTCACATTCCTGGGTTGTGCGGGACAAACAGCCTCCACCTGCACTTCACTGGGCAGCATCGGTAAGACTCGGCAGCCATAGGGCAGCAAAACGAGCTTCTCAATCCACTTGTCGTTCCTCATTTATGATACATTTCGGGCGTGTCTCAATGTCCTAATAATATTCCTCGTCTCCCCTTCCTGCATATTCCGACTCGGATCTGTCTGCATGACTCCCTTTGCACCCCGGATTGCGGCTGAAGGCCACTGCAGGAAATACTGCACCAGTTGACAATAACACCGGACAGTCAAGAGTCTTGCCAGAACCATCGCGCGGTTATTGAGTGGTTTACTGCCTCATTTGTACATGTGAGGCAGACCTGCTTGCCACTGCCCTTGCAGCTTCCAGTCACTGTCCTGAGCTCTCATTATTCCACTACCTACCGCGACTCGACAGTTCAAACTGCACAGTGCACCTGTTTTTCTCCCCTTCCTTGCCTGCGTTTGTTATGGTCTCTGACCAATTCCCTTCTTTATTTACACCGCCAGTCACAACACTTGTGCACTTTTCCTCCTTTTCTCTTTCTCTCGCTTAAGTCCTTGCCACGGAGATTTTGCTTGTTAGACTTTCTGGCCCTGATCATGTAGCTGCGTGTTGACATCTCACCTCGCTGGCCCTCTCATAACTTGGACTTCTCTCCCAGCTCGACTTCGATATACTCGTCGCCATGGAGAGCCTTCCGAGAGGCCTAGTATCTACCTCTGGCAGAGTGACTTCTGAACTTGGCGGGATTGATGCCGTCGATGTTGGCGATATCGTACAACTATGGAAAGGTGAGCTCGCACAGGATCTCCTTTAGCCAGGTGAACCAACTCTCACATTCTCAACAGCTTATAGCACAAAACCTTCAGTCCATGAAGGCGACAAAGGCTTCCGACTTCAGAACTTCTTCTGGCGAATCTGGAGCAGCAAGCGCCTCAGCGGCTCACTTACTGGATCGACACTAGCCCGCCTATTCCTCCATGTATCGGAACCTAGTTCGCTGATGCCAGCAGTAAAGGTAGTGACCCTCCATGAGGGATTTGCAACTATGGATCGCTAACACCCCAGATGCAGGAATCCGATCATCCGTCGTCCGGTTTGAAACATGGGAAAGATCACCCGAGCACTACCACCACCAGTACTACTATTACTACTCCCGCCACCGGAAAGGCTACAGTCAGCGCCAGTGCCAGCACCAGCAAATCACCTCTTCATCCCATCCTCAAGAAATCAAACAGCTCCTCCCATGGAGAAACGCAAAAGACTACCCGACTCTTGCTCACGGGGCTGGGTGGCCAGAGCGTTACGCGCAAGCCCTCTAACCCGCTAACACCCATTCCTCCTTCTCGTCCGATTATGTTTGGTGAGCAAGTCAACCGCCAGGGCCAGAAAAAGGCTTTTGTTGTTCCGAGCAAGGCGAAGGGTGCGAAGCGACGACCTGTTCTCATGCGCCGCAAGTCATCGCAGCAGACTTCGGCATGTTCTACGCGCGCGCATTCCCCTGACTCAGATCCTCCATCGCCCGTCAGCACGATTGCAGAACCCCCGTTTGAACCTCCAGTTCAGGAGGCTGAAAGGAGTGTTGGATCATCAGCTGAAGTCGCATCTCAAAGCAACAAGATCACCCAGCCCACACAACCTATGCAACTTCCACCACATCCACTTGATAATGAAGAAGTAATAGTTGATGATACACCACCTGAAGGTACATACATACCTACATACATCCACTTCACGCCCCTCTCTAACCCACCTTTGCTACCCACACCCAACCTTACCGAGCACCATACCAGGAAACTAACCTAACACAACCAGAAAGAACCTCCACAAACACAACCGAATACGAAGACCTAATCGCAGACCCCAACCACAAACGCCCCTTCTACCTCTTCCCTGACGAACAAAAGGAAATCCCACCCGCCTTCCTCGCCAAACTAAAAGACCTCCTACACAAAGAAACCCCACTCGGCCGCCTCCCCTTCCGCGGCGAACGCCCACTCGTCGGCTTCTTTTCTACAACGGCCTGCCGCTCCTTCGACGTTCGCCACCTCTCCGAGGAGAACTACGAGCCCCCGAGCAGTTACACTCTTGTTGAGAAGGACTTTCGCACGCGGTTTGCGGAGCAGAAGAGGATTGCGGAGGAATATTGGCAGATGCAGATGTCGAAGTCGCTGGGGGAGGGTCGTTCAGGGACTGGGGCGGCTGCGTTCGATGGGGCGGAGCCTCGCGGCACTTCGACTCCTACAACTGATGGCGATAACGGCGCCGGGGGAACTGGTGGTGCATTTTCCGGTCTCGACCCCGCTTTACCTACATCTACAACACTGGGAACAGGCACAGCAGAAACCATCTCGCCCTCGCGGTTCGGCGATTCGCAGTCGCAGGGAATCCCAACCGTGGCAAGTAGCATGGGGACCTCTCTCCTCGTTGGGAACAGCCATAGCCATAGTCCGGGGATGGATACGGACTCGTTTTCGCTAGTTGAGGGGCCTACGACGACTGCCATGTCATATCAGACGCCTCTCGCTCTATCGCTGCCGCAGGGTCCTAGCCAGATTAGTCTGATGGTTCAGGAGAGTCGACGGCAGAGGCTTTCAAGTAGTGAGATTGAGGATGGGCTTAAGGGGGAGAGCGAGGGAGAGGGGGACGAGAATGAAAATGGAAATGAGGAAACTAGATGAATAGCTTGAATTTTTCTTTTTTGTACGCCCAAGAATACCCCGAGTCAATATCAAGATGATTACCGAGAATGCCAATCATGCACGAAAAACTTTATCAACAGCAGCCCCCAAACCCTAAACCTGAACACCGATCCGCTGGAGCCAGCCAGCAATGTCTTGCTCAACACAAGTACAACACAATATTCTATCCAGCATCAGCCATGACTCCTCCGACCTTGCTCAGGCAAAGACGCAATCCGATCAAACCATCTCCTTCTCACTCGACATCCCATCCCCCTCACCCGATTCCTTCCTCCCCTTAGCCTTCCACCACCTCAACCCTTTCCAACCTGCGGACCCAGCCCACATAACCAAGCACGTCAAGACCACCCAAACGGCCCTGCGCATCCTCGTCACCTTGGCCTCCCCACCATCATTTCCTCCAACATGATAAACACCAATATACATCTCGCCGAAGATCCCAAAGACAACCAGCCACAGAATCACCAGGACAGTCTCCCACGCAAACAGCGGAAGGAAGAGGTTCTCACGGACAGCAAGAGCCGGCTTCGACCGCTTCTGCCACCACCACCCGAGAACCAGGTAAACGAGCGCAGACGAGGTAGAGAGGAAACCGACGACGACGGCATAGACCCAGCGCGAGGGCGCAGAGTCGCCCTTGTTGCGGGCTGCGGTGATGTCCTGACTGTAGAGGCCGATGACGGCGAGGCCAAAGGCAAACTGCGCCATGGCGAGTATGAGAGAGAGGAGGTCTTTGGCTTTGGCGCGCTTGCTGAGAGGAGCTGAGGGGGGAGGGGTCTGGATTGGGAGGGGATCCATTGTGTAGCTTTCTGGTCCACCGGGGACGGGGCCGCGGGATAGGTCGGTAGGGTGAGGGTTTTGGAAGTAGGCGTTTGGGAATGGCGGTTGTTGGAACTGTGTTCCAGCTTGTTGTTGCTGTTGGGCCTTTTTGGCTTTGTATTTTTTGGTCTCGGAGTAGCCGAAGCGGAAGATTTTGAAGAGGACGAACCACATTATGGAGGTGGGTTGAGAATCTTTATATGGTAATGAGATGCAAAAGGAAGGAGCGTTGGTTGTGCCTACTTCGAGTAGGAGTGTCAAAAGATGTATACAAAAAGACGAGTCTAGATGTGGAAAGATTGGATGGGATGCGCTGGCGCAAGATATAGTATTGTCCGCCTGGGAAAGAGAGAATGTGAACAAAGAAAAGAAAGAGAAGATGAAAAGGAAAATGAAACGGAGTCTGGAGTCGAAAGAGTTAAGCTGGGCTGAAGAATGAATATTGAGACAGCTGCAGGAACTTCTGCTTTATATCTTATTGTTGTCTGAAGCATACGAGGCACTGCTCATTATTGAATGGACTAAGACCAGCTGCTGAAGAACTGCGTGTCAGACCCAGGATTGACAGCTCCATAATCCAAAGCTCTGCCAGCCACTGATTCTTTGTCCGAGTATCATTCTGAAACACATCGTTGTTGTGGTTCGCGCGCGCCAAAGCCTGCAACAGTGAGTTTGAGCCGCTGCTGGTGGTCGTCGAAGCGCCGTCGCAGGGACCCGACGACCCGCCCAATCGACTGGACGAGATCGCCCGAACTAGGCTCTCAGGCCCGATTTAGTCGCCGGGATCCAAGTTAAAGATAGATTCAATTAGACATGACCTATTCATAGACGGCTATAAGCTAGCGTCTCTCCAAGTCTACTCGTACTCTCCGACAAACATACAGAGACACCCCCTGTTTTGTTTCAACACCAACCAATAATTGAACACCTATGTCCACCTGAAAGATTGCATGCGTGATTGTTGACATGACGCTGATCAAAAAGACAATGGGAGCAGAGATTCGTGGATACAAATGACAAAGGCTAATCGACCATGCAAGACCAAATGTGGGTAAATCAAAAAGTAAACTCAACCCAATGCAACACATTACCCAAAGGCACACCTCCTCATCTATTGTCAGGGAGGCTCCACGCCTCCTTCCATCACTCCTCTCCCCCCTGACCCAGTGGCAGTCGGTTTCTTGGCCGCGCTTCCTGGGGGGAGCGGCGGTTTGAACGTCCCCGCCGGAGCAGCTGGTGCGGCTGCAGCTGGCGCTTCATCGTCGTACTCAGGCCCCTGGTACTCATCGTCATGCTGTCCTCCCCCGCCAAGTGAAGAATGATCAGCCGATGCCCGGTCATACCCCTGGTCATAGGATGCATGATGGGCATTAGCATGCTTTGATGTATTCTTAGGCGCCTTCTTATGCTTGCGTCCCTTCATTTTAGCTTTTTCCAACAGCCGCTTCTTCTCCGCTAGCCGCTTGCGCTCTTTACGGTCCTTGATCTCGTATTGACGGATGAGAGCTTCTGGTGGTCGCCCGAAAATGCTCTCATACTCGCAAAACTCACAGATCCAAATGTCTTCGAGAGTGGGCGGATGGTGGAGGTTTGCATATTGTTGCTGGATTTTTCGTTGACGCGCAGCCAACGCATATATGCTCCCGGGCGACCGCTTCTTCTTTCTCTCCACGTTGGCCGGTTCTACAGACCCAGCTGGGTGCTGTGGTTGTTGCTGTTGAGTGTTTGCGCTCGCCTGTGATGGCACAGTCGGGCTCGTCTGCGTTGCTTGTGTTGAAAACCGCGAATTTTGCCCTGTTGGCGGCTGGGTAACGGGTGGCCGATGTTGTGGGTATGACGTTTGTGCATGCATTGCCATGCCTTTGGAGGAGTCGGACTCGCACGTAAAGGTGAACTGCGTCCTCGTCGGGGTAGACTGCTGTTCGAGCATGCTACCTTGAGGTGAGCCCCGATATGGCGATGAGGAGAGCGCCGAGGCGGCAGCATTCGCAATGGCTGCGGAGATGATACCATGGTTCCGCGCAGACTCTCCTAGCGGACTGTTAGCAAAGAAGATCGGTAAGAGGTCTCGAATTCGGTTACCATTTGGCCCCGGCGAAGACAACGGCCCGTCCCGACGACCTGGAGTCCGACCTTGTGACCAAGTACCATGCCCGTGTACTGAAGATCGTCTCCCTTGCCGACCAAGTCGGCCCCTGCCGGAACCCGATATCCCATTGCCCACCGGAGATGCGGGGCTTCCAGTACCGTAAAACGTACTTACATGGCCCCCATCGCCAGATGATACCGAGGGGTTTTGAGCAGAGTTTGCTAATCCCATCGTAGCAAATTCGGGAGACAAAGAAGAGTGATGACTGCCCAAGTTACCGGGTGTTGGTATCTTGCGCTTTTTCTTGTTGTTAGTGTTCTCAAATGCGTCGTATCCGTCAGGGCCGGTCGGGGAGGACTTGGCCGGTTGCCCTTTCCCGTTGCTGGGAAGTGGTTTGTGTTGCGCGCCAGAAGGCGTAGGCGACAGGGACGACCCACGAAAACCCGCACTCCGTCGGACTACCACAGGTCCATCTTCGTCGCCGCTGTCCAAGTCAACGCCATTCTCATAAAGAATATGGTGGTCTCCGTCGGGACTCTGATCGCGACCATCGCCCTGTTGCACATATACTTTGGACTCGTTTGCTACATCCCCGTTGGACAACGCTCCGTAAAAGAGCTGCGTTGCCGGTGGAGCAGGAGGGTACAGGATTGAATCGGCGGCCTCGGAGGACAACCGGGACCGGAGTGGACGCTTGGGGAGGGGTCGGATCAGTCTGTCGGGATAGACGGGCGACGGTGTATCTGGGGCCGAATTGAACATCCCATCTGCAGGAGGACAGTATCAGCAACTGAACGGCCATCAGACCCCCTCCGTTTGCTTCTCTCCTTCCATCTCAGCCTCTTAGGTCTGCCAACTAGCTCCGGGGGCGGTGTTTGATTGTCCAGCAGATCCAGCGACTACTGTTCAATGAGGTCACGAGAGAACATACTCAGCGTAGCAGTCATTATGCGAAACTATTGACTGTGTCGGCCTCTACAGCCACAGCCGAGTGAGGCCTTTTGTTGGTTCCGTCCGTCCAGTCTGGTGATATCCACAGTCTGTTTCCTCGACCTCTTCCTTGAATGCCTTCGTTTAATCCTTCTCGGAGTTGCAAATGGCCTCCAGGGTTCGTCCCAATCGGTCACCCACTTCGAATATTATCTAAGATGGAAAAATATGGTACTAAATCCGGATCGAGATAACGGAGCGGAGGGAAGACAGGGAGAAGACCTGAAAATAATCCTTCAAGTCAGCTTCTTAGTCATGTCCGTGTTCGTGCTTGCTGGCAGGTGGGAGGGCACAATTCGGGAAAAGGCCGACAACGCAGAAGCGAAGGGAAAGGAAAAAGAAAAGCCGATAAACGACATGATTGAGAATCACACTTACAGATATTGAACATCCCCCAGCAGTAGTCCCCATGCAAACTTTTTTGATGGAGAGAATGACACCCGATCGGCACCTGACAAACGTAGCGGAAAGGAGAGGGACCAGACGAAACCGAGAAGTACACTAAGGGGCCCCTGCGTAGTGGGAGGCGGTGGAAGCGAACGCCGACGTGGGGTTTGCAATACTGTATGGAAGTAAGTGGTGACTTTTTGATCAGTAACGGCAGCAGAAGCCACCGAGTCAACTTCTAAAGAGCGAGTTTTTTTATATTATTAATCTCGTGTTCAATTAAGCTGTGCTTTTTTTGTGCTTTAAAACGCATGTCACCAACTCTGTTTCTTTTCTAGGAACTACAGACACCTCGGTGCCTGAGGCTATAAAACCCCCAATATCATTCGAAAACAGGTCAAGAAAGTTGATATCGCATTTAGATACGATAGAAGCTCGCCGACTATAATGACTACGTTATATGATCTGCCCGCCGCGTTTTCCGTCCCTGGTTATCCCATGTACCCCTGCAAGGGCTGTGCGCTCCCTCCACTAATAGTCAGCGAACGGTCACTCGATCACGATGCTGGCATATTGCAAGCACACTGCAGCTCCTGAGGCTCCTCGGACGATCTCCGTGAGTCGACCTGGCAGCGGTCCGTGTATACAATCTGAAACCCAAATGTACGACAGTCACGTTGCGTCCTATCCCACCTGCATCCCGATAGGTTCTCGCTTCCTCCTACTGTTTTATGCAACGAAGGTCATATCAACGCTATGGAAAGCTGCGCATGATTCTCGGTCTCAGTGTGCACATCCGAACGTTGAAAGCAGTGTTGCTTTGATACACTTCTGGGATGGCGTCCCTCAAGTCGATCTCCCTAGTCGGGGTTGCAATGCGCCAGCCGAAGGGCATCACTGTGTTATGCTGCAGCAAATTTCGCAAGTCACGGAGACTGCCAGGCCAAAGTCCACTTCGTCTATCTCTTCGATCGGGATTGGCAGCTTAGTCCTTCAAGAGAGCCATCAGCGCTGCAGAAAGACGCACCGGCTACCTCCAGAGTCTCACGCAACGACCCATTGCAACCGTACGCGATATGGGGAAGTAAGTTCGGACTGTAGGGTCGTCTGTTGAGAAACGGGAAGACAAGGAGGAGGGTTGTTACTAGTTCCTAGAATGCATCAGTGGGTAAGCGGGGTTTTCACGCCGGAATGAAAGAGCAAGCAATCACCACATACAATTACAACCAAGTCGTCGCAGATTGCGGAAGAAACAGCGATCGAGCATTTTTCTCAAGACATTGGGATAAAATCAAGTGCATTCTCGGATGGAATCAGCAACGCAGAAGCTGGAAAGCAGAGGAGAAGAGAGAGCGGGGAAAGGGAATGCGGACCAATACTTGCTTCCCGCGCAGAAAAAGTGAGCGATTCCCGATCCGTGTCTCTGGCTCCGGCTCTGCTTTGCGTCCTCCCATATCAGTCTCCCTCGCTCTTTTTCCCTCCTCTCTTCTGCGTGTCCAACCCCTCCCTCAAATCCGACGATTACTATGTAGTCTCTGGCCATGGTTTGAGCTTCAACTCCGTCCTCTTGCTATTTCTTCCTCAATTGCCGCCATTCACCTTTGACTTTCTCTCCCCTGCGTCACCTCTTACCCTCTGTACGAGTCGCTCGAAACCTTCCAGCTCTCCAACCCTCTGCGACAGCTCGCCTACTGGCAGCTATTGCTACTATAAGTCCCTTATCCGATTACATTGGCAGCTTCGAGATTTTTATTTGGCGTCGATGGTCTTTTATACCGACTCTGTCGCATTTTATTCTTATTCTCGCCGTCTTGAGCTGTCCCCTCCACAATGAGCCCCCGTCGCTCGTCTCGAGCCCGTACCTCGCAACCTTCGCCAGCAATTCAGCATACAAATTCATCGAGCTCCTCAAACTCCATGACACGAGAAAGAAGCACGAGGTCGAACCACAAGAACCCCTCCCCACGCTCCCAGTCGGTCGACGATGCGGATAAACCCGAATTTCGCGAGACGCGGCAGCGCCAACGCGCCCGAGGCGATGACGAAATCGATCCTCTCTCCAAGCGTACCGATGGGGAGGACGATGATATAGACGATGAGGAGGAGGATGAAGAAGAGATTACGCGGTGTCTCTGTGGACAACAGGACTACCCCGGCCTTCCCTCCTCTCGGAGGGAGGCTCTCGGTCGCAATGGTGCGCGAGGCCTGATTAAAGATGAAAATCCCCTCAATATCTCCGCAGACTCGTCGGATTTGTTGTCAGATGAAATCGGCAGCATGTTCATTCAATGTGATTCCTGCAAAGTTTGGCAGCATGGTGGCTGTGTCGGGATCATGGATGAGGCGATGAGCCCCGACGAGTATTTTTGCGAAGAGTGCCGAAAGGATCTGCATAGTATTAGGAGCGAGATGAATGGGTGAGTTTGTCTTTCGTTTAGTTGTGCTTATTTGTCGATTTGCACTGGCACGTCAGCTCGTCGTTGAGCATGGGCATCACTGGAATAGGCGCCGACCCAAACTCTGCCTTGTGATTTCTTTTTCCCGAAGCCTTTCCAGTATCCCAACATGATACCCCTCATAAGCAGGACCTATTTGACACTGGTGGAAATGGAACTCTTTCGCTTACGGTCGCGCAGGCAATATTCCTCTCAGTATCTACCCGTCGCTCCTATCCCCTCCTCTGCGGTCACCTCACGAGATTCTTCGCGCGATAATGCCAAGCGGTCGAAGGAACAGAGATCGCGAAATTCGGATACATTCCCGAATCCTAAGCGGCGATCCACCATGAACAGCCGGGACGCCGCATACGACGAAGAGGAACAGATACGACGGGCCATCGAAGAAAGCAAGGAGGACAATCAAGGCGATGGAGAAGAAGGGTCTCGGAGGTCCAAGAGGAGCCGGAGCGACAGTGAAGCGTATGTCATGCATCCATCAACTGCGAACTTTTTCTGACTTGTGGGGCTTCTAGTCACAGACAAAACGCAAAACGACCGCGAACTACCTCTCCGTCCCCGGATATTACCTCAAAACAGAGCAACCCAGCCTCTCCGGCTGTTTCAGACGATGAGTCGAAATCAAAACCACTTACAAACGGTAATAGGAAGCAAAGAGCCACGTCGCGTGGCCAGCGTGAAAATGACACAAAGGAGCCAGAAGAACCGGAACCAGAGCCGGCAGAGGTTGCAGGCCGACGAAAAGGAAGGCCCGATAGACGGAAAGGTGAAGGTGCGTTAGAACAACTGATCCGTGTGTCGGGAAGTCGGCCAGCTAACAATCACCAGGAGCTGATTCAGATCATGAAATGGAATCATCGACGAAGCCGACTGCGATTGAGGCTGAAATCTTCTCACACCCACCAAGTCCAGAACCCTCAGTACCTGCTCCCGACTCTGTACCCATACGTCCCTCTACACGCAAGTCCGGACGACCACCTGCAAGGCGTGGCCGTGTAGGGCGGAATCAATACACTCGGGAGCGAGATGTCAATGGCACGGGAACCGACTCGAACACGGGCAATTCACCACGCCGTGGGCAGTCTCTTGAAACGGGCGGAGACTCACCAAGGATCGGCTCTGCTGGAACGCCGGCAAACGGCACCGATACGGGAAAACCAAGTCGACCCCGCTACGTTCATCAACGGACGACAATGAACGAGATGAAGAGGCGTGTTGCAGCAATTCTTGAGTTCATATCAAGAATGCAGGTCGAAATGGCTGTCGCCGGTGAGAGTACGACACCCCCTGGAAACGGCGAACGCCCCAATGGAACGGGAAGCATCCTCCTTAGGGCAGTTGCCGAATTACAGGGAGGTGCTCTTTCAAACAATGTCGATGGGGGATCCTCAGGCACTGCTGATGGTGGCGCGGGGTCCGCTGAGCTGCCTACCGAAAAGGACTTCAAGGATTTGAGCAGCCTCGAAATGATGGACGTACTCACCCGTCATCTCCTCAAGTGGCAGCAAGAATACGGAAAGTTCGGAGAGAGATGACAACAACCTAACCCATCACATCTTGCGCAATCTTTCTATCATCCTCAATCTTTATGCAACCCAACCTCCCTCCACATACTCCCGACTTATGTTTCATGCCAAGCTACCTACGATACCCCAACCCAACCTATACCGTCCATACAGATGTAAGACGGACATGTATAATACACCACGGCCTTGCTGCTTTACTTCAGGACAAGTTACACTAAACGGAACATCGGACGCGGCGTTTTCTTCTCTCTCCTTTCGAGACCGGCGCGGTTCTCTTGCTTCATTTCATTCTTGCTACACCCATATATCTCTCATTCTCTTACTTGATTCTCCACATATGCCCTCACGTCTCTGTTTCTCCATTCCCAAAACATGATGTTTGGTCTGTCGAATCTCTTAGTTGCTTGCTTGCTTACTGGAGTCATTCCATCGTCCCTCTCCAAACTCTGGCGAACATTCCCATGCACGGCGTTGGCTGAAAGTGATCTTCTTTTGTTGGATACCTCGGGCTATATCACCTATCCATCACTCTTTTATTCGACACCTCTACCATCTTCGCTTCTTAGTTAATGCGGGCTTCTGCTGGAGTTTTAATGTCCTGGTCTTTGTTTCAAATGTTTTCAGGCGTCTTGTCATGAAGGAGTGGTGTGATTGATGTCTTTGGCGCCTATTGCAGATTTGCTATCATAGTAGATGTATGGATAAATAAGTCTTTGCTCAATGAACTCGTGCTTGCCTCCTGAGTATTCGCTGTGGGGTATGTCTGTTGATCGGGAACGAGAGTTACTCCATACAAAGTGCTTGTTGCATGAGACAATCCAGCAAGTAAACTTACGCAGGCTGCAGAAGCGTCAGGTCAGCGGGAGAAGTGCTGACACCTGTTAGAGATCTAAGAGAGAAAAAAAGGCGAGTAGGAAATCAAACAATCTACATTCCATTAAGATTGCTACATACAAAAGGGCCATGATACAAAAAGGTTCGTTCCAAACAGGCCATTCCCATCGTTGCATACAATTCCCACATACATGTCAGATACAAGCTTGCTTAGTAGGGTTGTTTATTTGTCCAGTCATCAATGATCGTGCTCGTAGCGCAAGGAAATGAAACAAAAGGGAAAAAAAAAAGGGGGAAAAAACAACATATGACGTCAGATGATACGCCGCCGTCGCCAGTACAAAGTTGTCAAAAGTTTGGTTACTTACCCCTGGTCGTCGGGAAGACTAGTCCCGATTTGGAGGGGGGTAAGAAACCGCTTACAGGCGGGAGGCGTGGATCACCTTAAAGTCAACGACCAATTCACGGCCACCATCGTTAATGACCAGGGCGCGCACGGAGCCACGGCCCTCACGGAAGGCGTCGCGGATGCGCTGGTAGAGGCTGCCCTGGGGAACGACGGGGAGACCCTGCTTGACGTCGCCGCTCTCGGTCATGGCGACAATGCGGTTGTCATCACGGATGTCAAGGATGCGGTAGGTCTTGTAGACAGGGCCGAGCATGGTCTGGACAACAACCGAGGGGGAAGGGTTGGAGATGAAGCTGGACTCCTCGTGGAGCTCACGAGTGAAGAGGTCGACACCGAGGTAGCGGTGCTGGCCAGTCTGGGGAGAGACTGAGATGCGGATCACCTGGGAGGGACGACCCTGGAGGACCAGGATGTCACCGATGCGGACAAAGTGGCAGGGAATCGGAACGGTCTCGGCGGAGGTGTTGGGGCCGCCACGGGGCTCGATGATGCGGACATCCTCACGGACACCCTCACGGAAACGAACTGGGCCGCGTTCGTCAGTGATAACTACATCTTCGCGATCGTGGTGATCATGGTGCTTGTGGTGGAAGGGGTGCGTGATGCGGTCCACAGCGCGTTCCACACCACGACGGAAGGAGTGGTAGTTACCGTCGTCGTCGTAGTAACCCATCTTGCGAGCTGGGGGATGATCAACTACGGTAGTAGTCTTGAGGATCTTAACGTTGGTGTTGGCGGGAGCAGGGGTAGGCTTAAGAGTCTCTACGCTAACCTGACGGCTGGTGTAAGAGTCTCCGCGGGGAACTTCGAGGGTCGGAGGCTGGTAGGTGCGCTCGTAAGAGGTATCGTAAGCACCTGAGCGGCTGTAGGAAACCTCAGCGGTGTGCTTCTGAGGGCCTTCGTAGGACTCTACAGGAGCTTGGGAGCGACGGTCGTAAGAGACTGCGACGTCGTAGGTAGGGTCGGTGCGACGGCGATAATCACGCTCGGTGATGTCAAGCTGAGTCTCAAGGGTCTTGTCGTAGGTCTGCTGCCTTTCCTGGTAGTAGTCCTGGTAGCGAGACGAGGTGGGTTGTTGTTCACGGTAGCTAAGGGTAAGATAAGATGTCAGAGGGGGGTCAATGACTCAAGTCAAGGCAAGGCAAGGTGATGTGAGGTGAGCCAAGGTGAGCCAAGGGAAGGTCAGGTCAAGTAAAAGTAAACAAAGACACGAGGGAAGCAAGACGCGGTGGCAGGGACAGAGGTGTGATTGGATTGTTTTTATTTGGGGCTGGGACAATTGGATTTGTTTTTGTTTTGGTGCCACGTAATTTAGCGGAGGGACTAGACAGCTCTAGCCTGCAGCCACTGCAGCCCATTGGGGAAGTCGAGATGTCCAACTGGAGGAGCGCGGGTGACACCGCTCCTTGGGCTCTCCACTTGGATGGTTTCATAGGCGCCCAAAAGCCGAGCAGGATTGTAAACAAACGGAAAAAGAAAACATGCTGTGCACACATACCGTTCACGAGCTAGGTCGACCTCGGGATAGCGAGTTGACTGCACACGTTCGTCGGCGACAACGGTAAAACCTTCGTCACCTCCTCGGCGTTCTGAGCGACGTTCGAAGCGAAGATCGACTTCTTCCTTTCCGAAGACACGAGGGTCGGGGAGAGGAGCAGAGGTTCGAGTATCTTCCCGTTCGACGTGCGAAGTGCGATCGAGGTTGACTTCTCCCTCTACCCTTTCAGTAACAAGAGTAGTCTCAGGAACAGCGTCACTCCGGTACGACGACGGGAAGACACTGAAGGGGATGGGGACGCGGGCGTCAAAGTCCAGATTGGCTGTCCTTTGAGCGTCTTTTCTCGAATCTCTCCCGAACTGTTAAGAATAACAACTCGGAAGATGAGACAAGAAAAGACTTTTCACAGGGGAAGTCTTTCTCGTGAGAGTCGAGGGTGTGAGTACAAGATAGACCTGAGATAGATCTATGCTCGACTGCAATTGCGGAGAATTCCTGGGGAAGAGGAATGTAAGATAAGCTTAACAGCTGGAATGTGAGATGGGAATGTGAGGATGGAGAGTGAAGAAAGAGGAAGAAGGAGAGGAAGAAGAAACGAGGCGAGCGACGAGCAGCTTTAAGATATGCAGCGTCCACTGGGTGTTGTTGTTGACACGCGCTTTGTTTACCGCGCCTTGCCTGATTGGGCCAGCCTCTCTGTGCCTGCTGCTGCCGATATCTGGTTTGCACTCTCCTCATCCAGCGCCAGATGAGTTGATCTGAATCAATTGAACCTCCTCGGCATCAGCTGTTAGTACGAGTCTTGAATTACGCCCACATTCCGTCTCATGCGCAGTCGACTACAACGGAACACCGTTTACCAGCATAGAAAACCCACCACTCCAGGCACCGCTGCAGCCAGATCAACATCCACTGCAACTGACACTACCAGCAAATCCCAAGCTGACCAGACAGGGCGCAAGAGTAAGAGAAGCAGCGAAACCCACGCCTGATCACATGCAGCACCAGGATCACCGTCCGATCAAAAGCACCGCTCAGAAAAGCCGATTCCCCCAATCTCTGGCCTCTCCAGGTCGACAGCTCCCCAATCTCACTCCTCATTCCAGCCACATCACACCATCACCATGGCAACAGCCCGGGACGAATCGGGGGTTCTGTTGATGCGAAGCAGCGAATTTAGCGCTGACTCCGCTGAGCTTCAGCCGATCGACAGGCGATGGTCCAATCGCCCACCCACGGGCTGGTCGAGCCTTTCTGGCCTGTTCTGTCGTCAGCCCAACCACCCTCATTATCAATCACCCCAGGAAGACGACTCTGAAACTCGCCTCCCAATTGATGAGACTCATCAGATAGATTATAGCGTGAGCAGCTCGTGGATCTAGTTCTATCCGTAAATGTGTGAGGCCCAACCTCGTGCGTGGTCCGTTACCATTGGCGATCCGTCCAGTTTCCTTCGCCCCACCTCCTCTTGCTTCAAGAGTTTCGAGAGTTCAGCTTCGTTCGCGGCTCCACCGTGAGCAAGCTTGCCACTGAGTCCAGGGCAATCAGGGCCGAGCTTTAGGCTCCAGCTCCAGCAACCAGCTCGGTGCTGGCCAGCGCCAATGCCAGATGATCAATCCGTGAGAAAGCCCGCCAACCTCGCTGTTTCTCATTCACCTCTCCAATAATGCCTGTCATGACTCGCCCAGCCTTTCGCTTTATGAACCCCAGCCATGGGGTCCAGACTCAATGCGCTCTTTTCCAAGCGCCGGAGTCCTGACAACCGAGACCAGGTTGATGTGGCTGGCTGTCGGCTCGGTTGCCGTGTGGGTGGTGGAGCCTCGATCCAGCGATCGGGGTGGAGGTAGATTCCGTCCCGAGGTTGTTGCGCTGCCAACATCCAGAGTGAAATCTCCCCAGGTCCCCGAGGGGTCAAGTTCATCAACAGACAACAAAGATCGCAAGTGCGAATGACAGTTTGTCGAAAATGTACTCCATAATCTGTATCTACCCCAGGTTTGTTCAATTCAGAGGAGATCAATTCTATGCCAAACTCCAATTTCATACCATTAGTAATAGGACGCCCAGACTCGTTCTCTATATCATTCCAACTCCCCAAAGCTCTTTTCAGATTTTATAGCCAAACATATTCACTAGAAAAGAGCAAAATGGTAAATGATCAAGCCAGTGAAGTTCCAAGAATTCATTTCGTATATGACATAAGCCAACCGGGGCAGAGTATTGCCCGTCAAGCGAGGGTATCAGAATGCTCATCAGAAAATATAAAAAGAAAGAGATGTCACAGTATTAATCAGCACTATCCTTGCTGTCGCAGACAGCAACTGGCTTCCAGCAAAGTGCAACAGATATTAAAACCGTATTGGGGGAATCAAAGGACAGGAAAATGAAGGGTAAGAGGCGTTGTATGCCAAAAAAAAAAAAAGGAAAAAAGGGAAAAAAAAAAAAAAAAAAAAGCCTCATAAATCAAGTCAGATCATTAAATATCTCGGAATAAGACACATGCGCTTATCCGCGCATCTTGAATGCATTGCGCAGTCGCTGGAATCGCTTCTTGCGTCCAGATCCTTCAATCACCACGTCGGAGGCGCGGTGACCGTTGACCACGGATTGATCCTCGTTGGGAGCAAACTGGAAGTTGTTGGAGTTGGCCTTGTTACCATTCACAGAAGCTCCGTCTGATGCCGCAGGTCGCTGGACATGCTGTATTGTGGAAGGCGTTGGAGTTGATCCAATGCCGGAGTCGATAGGCTCGCCTTGCGCCGAGCCGAGAGGCCAGGCATCACCAGCGGCTTTGCGGGGAGACTTCTTCAGGAGCCCAGACGGGCTTGCAGGGTTTGCAGTGATAGTAGCCTTGTAGGAATCGTTTCCTTCGAAGCCTTGGACCGGCGACTGGGGGTGCTCTGAAATCGCCCCATTGGCGGCGAGACCAGGTGGCTGAAGTTTTCCACGCTGCACAGGGAACTTCGATTTCCGCATGCTCAAGCGATTGAGCAGTGTGGGTTTGCGGGAAGAGCCAGTAGAGCCACGGTTAAGTAATTCGTCCAGCTCCTGCTCCGTCATGCCACGCGATCTAGCTAGTGCAGCCAGCGCAACTTTTTCCTCGTGAGCGGGTTCGGCCCGTTGCGCTCGGCGTGCAGGAGTTCGTGGGGCAGATGACGGTCGGCTTTCGCCTTCGGAGCTGTCTTCCAGCTCAGTAGAGTCCCCATCATGGGCGCCCTTCCGGCGCGGGATACCACGGACAGGGCGCATGTCATTGTCGCTCATACTCCGCGTAGGACGATGTCGTATCAACCGGTTTTGAACACCACCATCCGAGTCCGAATCAGAGTCTTCGAACCGTGACCGGAATGGCGTACCAGAGCCTCTCATACCCTTTCCTTTTTGCGACTTGCCTGAAGAGAATAAGGATGGCTTGTCCTTTCGTGGACCGCTACCGCGCAGAGTGGTACGCATAGTTCCTGCTCCTAGTCCAGAAGGGAGTGGGCGAGACTCGACAGGAGAGCCAGAAGCTCTCATTGGAGAGGCGGGGACTGAACTGCTCGTTTGACTTCCTCGCAGGGTTCGTCTCATCCCCATTCCTCCTCGGCTAGGTCGGCGAACCCGGGTGAAACTACTCGAGGAGTCACTGCCATTTGAGAGCGTGCGTTGAGGCAAGTTCGCATTAGGTCCGTTGCCATTGACTTCACCATTTGGTCCATCAGTCTCTTTGCGCGTGGATGGCGCCGAGGATGAAGAACGTTTCATGTCCTGGTCTCGAGGTTTGGGCGCACTATATGTATTTGTCTCGGGTTGTTGATAGCGTTTATCAACTTCCTTGAAGTCGTCCTCGTCTTGTACATGGGAAATAGTGTACACTTCCACTGGCATCATTGACGAGCGCGGTAGTTCTCCATGGGATACGGTCCGCTCTGGTTCTGGTTGCGCAAGAGGTTCAGCGACCGAAAGCGGCTCGATCAATTCAGGAGAGCCGGAAGTTGATCGTCTCGAATCCTCTAACGCAGGAGAGTCCACATGAGCGATCTGGCAGGTCGCTGGGAATTCATCACCAGTCTGATCGGCTTGGTGGCCTTCATCTTTTGGGCTAGTGGTTAATTCAGGCTTTGCAGCGGCCGAGTGTTCGGGTGCCGACTCGCGGTCGAGAATAGCATTGATCGATGCAAATCCATCACCATCATATCCCTCTTCCGCGTCACTATACACACTATCACTCGAGTCATCATCACTCTCTCCAAAAGACTTTGGCTTTCCCTTCTTCTGACGATCAGCTTTCGAGTCCACTTCCTCAGGTAGCTGGGGATATTCAGCTGCTTCATCATACTCCTCGAGACTCTGCCTGCCTTTTTCCAGCTCAGGGGTGGCAGGTTGAAGCGTGATATCTGGCGTCTCCAAAGTCTGTTCCGGTTCAAGGGGAAGGTTCTGTTCAGACGGCACCTCCTGCAAAGGTGACAGCGGGGTCTTGTGAAAATAAGCGGGTTCAGAATTGGACTCGCCAACCGAAATATTTTCCTCATGAGCTTCCAATACATCCTTTGCAGCAATGTGCGTCGTGGCGGGCAATGCATTGTCAATCGGCACCTGCTTCTGCACATTCTCTGGGACGGTAGGAGAGACTATGCTGCCAATGGCATGGTCATTTGAGAAGCCTACATGGTGGTCTTCATCCGACGACGTTGATTCGTCATCATCCAGGTCTTGCGGTAGTGGTTCAGGTTTTGCGCCATCCCTGCCAGCTCGGATACTACCAAACGATGGGAGAGCTGCACGTGGTTTCAGGATTCCATCGAATTCATCCACATCTGCAGAGCGCTTCGGGGAGGATTTCCGTTTGTGCAGATTGAACCAGCTACTTTTCGGTTTGGATTTTCCAGGAGGCGATTCAGGAATGGGGTCCTCCGGAGGCGTAGGCGGATCTGCCGCCAGTCCAACCACTTCGGCCTCGTCATCGAAGCTGACCTTGACGGACTTCTTTCGAATAATCCTTGAGCCGTCGTCAGATGCCACGGATGTCGCATCGGAGAGCTCGCTAAGGGGAGGGCCAGGGCGCAATATGCCATGAATTCTGCCGTCGGGTGAAAGCGAGCTATTGCGTTTCAGTGCAGACTTGGCCGGAGAAACCGACCGTGGGGGTGGTTGGTGCAACTGCTCCCCAGGCAAGCTCATTACTGCTAATTGAGAAGGGAAACGAGCCGATCTTCCAGGGCTAGCCGACTGGCGGAGGCTGGCGGGCGGGGACCCTCCGTCCAATTCCACCGCAAGATGCGGCTGTGGTGGACTCACTGGCGGCGTCTTTAGTTGCTCCTTTGACGTTTCTACTACCGGCGGCGTTTGCGGCCTCGGAAGTTGTGCGGCAGCCGCCGCGGCCTTCAACTCCTTTGGAGGCTCCGGCTGTTGACGTGCCTTCGGCTGGCGTTCCTCTGTGACTGCGGATGGTTTCTTTACCAAAGGACGCATACTGATATCCACTGATGCAGGGCTCCGGCTCGGAGACCGCTCCACAGCCACCGCTTGTTCACGTTGGCGTGTTGGGCGAGATGCTACTGGGGGAGTATTCGGTTCGTCATGGCGGTGCACAATAGCCGCTTGGGCCGCTAGAAGAGCAGTTCCTGCGGTGCGCTGGTTTCTCCCAGGACTGCCAGGACTCCCAGGGCTTGCAGGACTTGCAGGACCAGTTCCATGACTCTGTTGTCGGACTGCCTTGCCAGGTTCGGCGAGGGTTCGCTTGTTATGAGAAGCTTCCTCAGAAGTGGATCGCCCATTCCTTCCCCCAGCAATAACCTCCTCTCGTCGATCGGGAAATCCAGACGGTATCGTCGGGGAGTTGGCTCGAGAATTCATGGGATAAGAGAAATTTATCGAATTCCTGCTTTCCGACCTCTGGTGCTCGGGTGATGTTTTGCGGACTCCTGGTGTGGGACTGTCGGATAGTCTCTCCAGCGGTTTGATCTCACTCGCCTGCTCTTCCGCGGCTTGTGTTCGTGAGTTTGAGGACCAAGCATTCGGCCCTAGGCTGACAGAGCGCCGACTTTGATTGTTCCGCCCCGTAAATTCTGTTGGGATGGCAGGAAGCGGCGGCGCGACAGCTGGAGCCCCCGGAGTTCCATAGCTCGAGGTTGGCCGACCAGGCGACTGATCCCGAAACGTCCGGGCACTCATCGAGCCCGAACTATTAACCCGTCGCAGGCCATTTCGACTTGACGGTCGGAGAATCGGAGACCCACTCGTCGCGGGTTGTGACGAGATCGACGATTTGCGCTGAAGCATGCGCTTGGTCTGGACATTTTCGACGGGCGTCGGAGTCGGCGTCAAAGTGCGGAGAGCGGCAGCGGCAGCGGCGGAGGAAAGGTTATTGGACGAGGGCTGCGACTGGAGAAAGGCTCGAGTAGCGGCGGATTGTGCGGATTGCGATGAGGAAGTCGAGAGGTTTGGCTGGGTAATGGTCAGTAAGCGATTTGTCAAGACCAATTGATCGAATGTCATCGGGGCATTGGGATAACGGAAGGTAGGCACAAAGGACAAGTAGGAAGACGAACCCGATGTTGCGAGGCGCTCCTCTTTCTGCGGAACATGGCTCTGCAAGCAAGCCTGCCTTGAGGCTGGCACAGGAGGGTGTCGAAGAAGGCGAGTTGCAGCAATTGAATTTCTCGGCGGACAGAAAGGTCAACCGGTACCTAAAGAAGGGATTGGCGCTAAAGGCGGAGAGCAAGCTCTTAGCTGGCAACGAGCGAACGTAAAAGCGAGTGCGAGACTCGAGGGAGAAAGAAGGGAGAAGGCAAGGGCGTAAGCGATGGAGGTCGGGGAGAGGCGACGATGAGGAGGATGATAAAGAAAAGGGAAGAAGAAGCAAATAAACACCAGCAAAGAGAAGAAGAGAAAATGTAATCATACAAGAACCAAGAAGCGACGAAAGGACGATCGATGACGATGATTTCATGGTCAGTGGGAACCAGCGACGAAGGGAAAATCGGCCCGCTGGAGCAACTTTGTTGTGGTGAGCCTGTCAGATGCGTGTGAGCCACTGCAACTGCGTCATTCTGGCCCAAGCAGGAAACTCACAGCCACAGAACCCCGAACGATCGTCGCTTGATCAAAACAACCTTTCCCTTCAGCCAGCTCCTGTGCCTGGAAATCTGCAATCTCAGATCGTGCAGTTCCCCTCTCATTCAACTCAAACTGGTGCCTTGCTGGAGCGGTGCCAATATCGCCGAGCTTGGCCTTTCCATCGTCGAATCCGAGTGCGCAATTCGCAATATATCTTTTACACGGCCCAGCCCTACGGTTCTCCAACTTCTGCTGTGTCTCCAACTTTCCGTGGAGTTTCCTAGAGAATTCCTTCGTGGTCAATTAATTAACCACTTTTACCTCTATGAACTGATGAAATTATCCAGGCCTCTCAGCTCAAAACCCCGTCCTACCTATAAAACAATGCCTTGCCCCGTTCAACACACTCCTGGCAAGGCCTTTTCAATCTGGTCTCCATCAGCATCTCTTCCCCAGCAAAACGTAAATCCGATGCCATGACCCCTTGTTCCAGCTCCTCAGAGTACCTAGCAAGTCCTCGTGGCATAGGCGAAGCACCGAGTAACGACCTCACAGCCTTTCAACATCTTGCAACGCTCGATCTAAAAACCTATCGCAACTCCCAGGGGCAAGTATATAACCGACCTTCCAGAGTAACATGCACAACAATCCCATCTATTAATTCTCCTACGTATCCGGTCCTCTTGGAATACCCCATATGACACCACCTGGTTGGGAACCCTAGAACTCAATCTTTCTCGGTACCGGCAACCTTGACACTCCCCGAGTTCTAAAGGAGACTTCGCGGCCCTCCGGGCCTTTCCAGACAAGATCAGAGCATATCTAATCTTTCAGCCAACCGAGTACCCGAGAGACGCGCGTCCGCTCTTGTCTCTTCCTTCCAATGGTGCCGGGAGACTCTAATTCAACGACCCTCCAGCGAGGACCGCATCCATGAATGTCAAGAGCAAGATCATCAACGCTATATATGTCCCAAAGACGACCAGAAACCCTATACTACTGCCGCTCAGGACCCAGAACAGGATCATATTCTCGTATGTGTAGCAAACTTCATGCGGGGAGCGTTCCCTATTCCGATCTGTTGTCGCTGTATGAGCGCCCCTGGTGCTCTGCAGAGGGCTGTAGATGTATTCCTGCAACCGGGTAGACTGTCACAAGAGCCGTATCTAGTAGTTGCGGTTTCGTGGTAGTTAGACTGCTGTAGGTTGTAATGGTGAGCATGGAGTGGTAGGACTTTGCGCCATATCCCTAGACAATCTAAAGATATTTGACAGTCGACAGTTATTTGACTAGCTGCGGTATCGAGACGCAGGCTGATGTATACACCATCAACTAACCGCTAAGTAGTATGTACTGGAGATAGGTAGACAGGAGCCCAGGTGCCTTCCTCCTCACTAAACCCCAACGGCCCACAAAAGGACCCATAGTGAGATTGGTTACGGGTGGCTTTTGACCCGAGTCCTTTATCTTGACTCTCTCACTGGATCCACGCATACACGGAGCCTGCAAGAGAAGCAACCCGTAGCAAACATTTGGTATAGTAACCATCTAACCAGACACTGCCACGAAGCATCACGATGTCTTCAGCAGCATTCGAAACTGCAACCCATATCCACACGAAAGGACACAGAATTTTGCAGTAGTAATTATCATTAATATCAGATTCAGCGAGCAAGCGCATAGATAAGGTATCCGGCATGCAGGTATATACAAATCGTGGCATAAAGTCCGGAGGTCAACTTTCATCTCATCTCCCCAACGCCGAGTATAGAGGATTGAGAATAGAAGGAAGAGAAGAAGGAAGAGAGGGGAAACGGGGAAAGGAAACTGGGGGGTTCATTCTGATCATTCGTCGCAACTTGTCACTATCTGGCCGACCAGTCGGGATAGTGGGGTATGTAACGTCATGTAGTGGCTATTGGAGAGAAATAGAGAGGTAGGGAGAGGAAGAAAAGGGTGGATGGAACCGAGTATTTACGCCATCAGCATCGCGTACGCGATAGCTAGTAACGCTGGTAACAATGTCGTGATGAAGGAGGGCAGTGTGATGATCTCAAAGCCGGCGCTGTCTAATGATGATGTGGTGAAGACGGTCTCGAAGGAGATATGGCTGGAGTTGAAGCAATTTGTGTCGTTGACTTCGGCGACGTCTTCGGGTTCGGCAAAGGTAATGTCTGCACACTGTACGACTTCTGATTAAACCCAGTTCCAGCCAGCTGAATTGAAACCGGACGTAGCTTACATTGTACAAAGCGGCACAAGGTTGAGCAAGCTCGATGACCTGGATCGTCGCATTGTCCCCAACCTTTACATCAACGTTGGCAGGTAGCGGGACTTGCGGAAGACAGATTGTGCCAGGGTAAGGATCGTTATCTGGACCGACGATTTCAAACGGTGTGATCATGGGATGGCTCATGTTCGGGGGCTCCGTGCCCAGACCCAGGTTGAAGAACATCATCGCTCGAGCGTGGCCGGGGAACCAGCCTGGTTGAAGGGCGATTGCGCCGCCACGGATTGGCCACTTCGTTCGGTTCGTGGACAAAGGCATGCCGCCGCCTTGATAGGGCATATTAGCATATAGAGAGCTATACTCAGGACTCGGAGTCAAGACATACAAGGGTAGATCCATTGCATGCCATAGGGGTAAACCAAAGTCTCGTTGTCGCTATCATATGCCACGCCAAGACCTCCCACTTCACCAACTTCTCCAGTGGTGTGGAGATTGTTGCCTCTGTAGCCGGGGTAGACGATAACCGTGTGCGCGGACACCAACCCCATGCACAGCAAGGCACCAGCAATCCATTGCGGCGATGACGCTGAGATTTTCATCTTTGCGGCGTATTCTCCTTGTATGTGACCGAAGAAGAGCAGAAGAAGAAGCCGGGGAAATCCTTCACAGTCGTCGAGAGGAAGCTCAATAGCAGAATGATCAAATCAAAGTCTCGTCAAACGCATCAGTCGCTTCGGACACTCTGAATCATTCTCGAAACGAGACAAAAATAAGCTTCTTCTCGCGACCCTCGAGAAAAAGAACAAGTCAGACAGAGCAAGTCTCAGACACAAAGAAAAGGCGTGGCCACGCCCTTTTGAGGCGAGACAAGCCCGGGGGCCCCATCGCCTGATTCTGCAGTTGGCCCTTCACCTCCAAGCGGAGCGGGGACTAGCCAAAGGGCCGTGGACGAGTGAGAGGGCATATCACGATGTGACAGCGCCTGCAGGCGTTGACAGGGGGCCTTTCATTGAAAGGGTTTGCTTGAGGTGGTGTTCGGCGAACGGTGGCAGACCCGATGGCATTGGACTCGATTGGTTGCACAAGGAGTGGGAGGAATGAGCAGTGCAGACGGCGGATTGGCCAGACGAGGCGAGCCCAAGACTGTGAGAATGCAAGTGCATCACCTCGAATGCGTGTTGCCGACTGCTCATTTGTGGACTGTGCTTGTTTCGAAGCGCCCGGATCGGGAGCTAAAGTGCAGAGGAGGGGAGATCAGGAGCTGGGCGCTTAAAGCCCGCCGCTGAGTGGCTGGCCGAGATTATCTTGATCTTGACATTTGGAATCATCTTAAACTTGATATTGCTGAACCTTTTTGAATAAGGAACTGAACTTCAATAATCCTGGGCTCGGCATCTCTTGAACCGGCGCAACCTGACCGCCTGCATGAAGAAATCACCGTAAGCGCTGCAAATCTCCACTCGACTACTGAACTTTCCGAGCTTATCACCATCAAGCACAGTCGCATTGCAGCATCACCATGCAGCTCCCTCCAACCGCCTAATCCATCCCACCATTCCTGCACTACACATCTCCCCTTCCTCCTGTCCTCCTTCTCGCGCCTCTGTTCCTGAAGTCTAAAAGTACCTCCCCACAAGTGGCGCCACAACATGCCCCACACCTCTCGTCGCAAAAAAAACCCCTCACAACAGCATAAGCGCCTCGAGATCACCGACTCCTCAGGCTGGACGCACGTCACAACCTCCGGCAACGCGCGCCGTCTCAATAATCGCCGAGACCACAACCCCAATCGAGACTCTATCTCCGAGCCACAGCAGCAACAGCAGAAGGAAGTCGAACCACCTCTCTCCCCCGCGGAAGCTCCGCCATCCGTGACGCTCTCGCACCTCCAGCGCCAATTGAACGAGTCGCGTCGGCGATGGGAAAGCTCGGCGACTTGGGCGAGTGCTCAGGGCGCGCTGCGGCGCGCATTGCCTTTGACCGGTTCCCGAGGTGAAGGCGAGGACGTTTCAATCGTCTGCGTTGGCCTTGGGAGTCCCAGTGGGTTTTTGCGTGGAGGATGGGTGGATCGGAGGTCTGTGTCTATGTATCAGCTTGCGGCGCTGGCGAGTGCCATGGAACTGTTTGGTCGGTGGTCCCTCCCTCTAGATTTATTACTCCTCCGGGCGAAATTGCTGACGCGCCGTTTGAATCCAGAGAACCAAACCCCAAGCCGCCCTGTCAAAGTCTACGCACAAGACCCCGTCTTCAACGACCACGATCGCGCCCTCCTCGAGTCGCTCAATATAACTGTCCTCGAGCACCCGGGTGCCTTTGATAAGGTCTCGCCGCGAACACTTCTGTTCTGTCCCGGTGCAGAGCGGAGACATCTCGAGCTTCTACTTGCGCATGATCCGGCGATTGTGTTCGGGGGCCCGCTTGAGGACATAGACTCAGTTATCGTGACAGGGTTCATTCGCGCGAGGGAATCGGTGCAGCTTCCACTGTTCGAGGAACAGGAGCATGCGTTTTGGAGGATGCGGGTTTACTATACTCCTAGTGAACGAGGATGACCCAACTCTGGGTTCTGGAATTACAATCACTTACAACGCTTCTAGCGAAATTGAGGAGCCACACGCTATTTATTTAGAGGATGTGGGTTTCGGCCGATGGATTTATCCACCACAGAGGCTCGGTGAGCTATATACAAAGCGTCGAGCAAAGCACAGGTAATCCAACTCGCCACAAGAGACAGCCATGGCCATGTCAGGCGAATGGAAGTAAAGCAAAGCAAACACAGCCGGAGGGGCCCGCCAGCGAATAAATTACAATCCAAGACAGCATAAAAAAGAGAATATGCCAAGACCATAAAGTGGAGGGCGATGGCTAAAAGAAACGTGCTCGTCAAACATGTGTACGTCGAGAATCATGTATACAAAGAGAACTCCAATGGATATTCGTGAGAAGAGGTCAAAGTAGAGAGAGAAGGGGATGGAAGAGGGTGGAGAGATTTTGTGAAAGCCAGCTATGCTGCCGTTTGGCCGTCGCAGTCAGGGATTTTGATTCCGGGCTTTAGGTTGCGGCCTGGGTCCATGAGGCCCCATTTGTCTTCCCATTGCATCTTGCCTTCGTTGTACCGTGCTTTCCACGGTTCGTCGAATGCCTCGAACCTGGATGTCTGTTAGAGAAATATTGTTCGGCAGTGGGCAGTAGAAAAATGGCATACCAGAAATAATCCGTCCCGTTCTTCAAAGCCTGGCACACCCAGTCGGCCATGAAGATATTCATATTTTCAACACTAGCCACAGCGCCAGATGTCTCATCAGGACAATTGGCGCCCTGTCCGCAATCGTTTCCACCACCAGAGGGCCACCCCACTTCGGCGATGATGTTCCCTTTGTTCGTGCCCTTGGTCAACGGCGCATTGTGGTTATTCCAGAAACTCCAGGTCCAAGCTGCAGCGTCTTCGACCTCCACGCCTCCAAAGAAGGGGTGGACGTTCGACATGACGACGTCGGTGGCAGCCGTCAGCGTTGAGTCCCAGTTGTCGCCAAGATCCGAGGTCGCAACCTTGATGTTGATGTCGTGGTCCTCAAAGTGCTGGCGCACCTCGCGCATGTAGCGTGTGATGTTCTGCCGGGCGTGCTCTTTGGTGTCGCCTGCGCGGTAGAGCGCCTCGTTTCCGATGATGGCGCCCTTGAAGACGGAGTGGTCTTTTCTGTTGTCGAGGATATCGTAGAGCTGCGAGAGCTGGCGGTCGTTGGTCGTCAGGTTGGTGTCAATCCAGACGCCGAGCCAGAGTTTCATGTCTGTCAGCTCGAGTCGGTCAATGGCGTGGAGAACCATTTCGGTCTGGTTGCAGTCCGTTCCGTACAACCGGACGGTGTTTGTGAGCTGCGATAGAACGGCCATGTCCCGAGTAACGTTGTTCTGAGACGGTGGCCATTTGTCACACTCCGGATGCTGCACGCCCCAGGGCGTGTAGTCAATTCCGGGGAACACCTTGTGTAACCCTTCCATGCTCATTAAAGCCTTGATCTCGTCGGAATTCTTATCGAGGTCACCATTTGACTGTTGGTCGTCTTCGGCGGAATCGGTCGACGACGAAGATCCTGAACTGCTTTCTGAGGTGCTGTTGCTACGGTTGCCAATTGTGCCGCCCACAGCGCCGCCAACGATGGCTCCTACCACGATGATGGCCAGAATGATTCCAATGATCCATCCACGTTTCCGACTGCCGCCGGAAGGCCTGGGCTTAGCATACGAACCTCCCTTCTCAATCGCCCCAATACCTCCTCCCGCGCCGGGAACGGGGCCGTAGGAAACATCAGCCGCCTTTTTGGCACCAAAGAACCCACCGAGTATACCCCCGGCCGCGCCTCCAGCGCCTGCAGCAGCAGCGCCATTGTTCCTCGATGGACCGGAAGTGAATCCGTCATCACCATCATCAAGGATATCATCTGGGTTGATCGGGTAATCGTGGGCACTGTATGCGGAATTTCGCTGATACGGCCCTCCGCTCGTGGACCCAGGCCCACCCTGGTAAGCAGTCGGCTCAAAGAAACTCCGCTGGGAAGCATTCGGTGGCGTCCAATTTCCGACAGGCGCCGCAGCAGCCCCTAGCGCGGCATTCGAACCGAAGGTTTCCTGGGAACGCAGGCCCTCCGAGCTTCCACCAGGCCCAACACTCGGCGGCGCGGGCACGTATGGGTTGTCCGCGCCAGTTGTATGATAGCCACGTTCTGCGGGGATATAGCCGCCCGGTGCGTCTGTTAAAGCGTCAACGCCACTCTGACGGTCATGGGTGTTGGCAACGCCAAGGGCGATACCACTAATACCGCCGCCTACGGCCGCTGGCCCTAAGTTATCCATCCCCGGTGTCGCTGTTGAGGAAGTGCGCATCGACTGCGTGTGCGCGAGCCCCGGTCGCCAGTCTTGGCCGTTTTCCGGTACTGAGTTGAGACCTCGCTCGCTTTGAAGCCGGCCGCCGTATCCGGCCATTCGGTGTTGGGAGGAAATCGGCGGGATGTCACCGTATTGGTCGCCCATGAGGTGTCCTTCTGCGCCGTCTCCGTTGTGGTTGTAGGGCCCGTTGGCACCGCTCATTTTGCCGTATCACGACCAGCGGTCGTGCTGTGTCGTCCCTAATCGTTCGTTTGTGCTATAACCTTGTCTCAAAACTCCGGAATGCCGAGACCTGACTGATAAATCTCGGTCGGAAGCGCACTGTTTCATGAGAAAAGCGTTGCGTTCGTGGCAAAGATTGATACTGTCGACAGACCAAACGAAGGAATATCGAAAGCAAAAACGAAAGCAACAAATGCGATGCCCGCGAAATTAATCTGGCACGAATAATGAGACTGGGCCCGAGGAACAGCTGAAACGTCAGGGAAAGTGGAAAACCTACCCGACAAAGCTCGAACCACGGCTCTGAAGAAGTGGTACGGCGAGAACGAGGGCGATTGAAAGTTTTTGTCGAGTCTGGAACAGGAACAGGGGAAGGAAGGCTGACACGGACGCAGAAATATAGCGGCTGAGACGTAATTTCGAATAATAAGCTGATAGTATATTGAAACGCTAAAATGAGGAAACGAAGGCAAGGGTATAAAAAGCACTAACAACAGCCACGGACACCGAGTGAGGGGAAGAGGATGGGCCGCGGGTCTCGAGAGCGAGAAGCAGACGAGGACGAGGGAGATGGGGGATGAAGGAAGATGAAGAGTGAAGAGAGAAACCAAGTTAGCCAGCGATTACTGCATGCGGGCTTGGAGTTTTCAGACGGCGACGACAAGACAACATGATCCCCAGCCGGAAGAAAAGCTGTCTTACTCTTGTTGAGGGTTGGAGGTGGAGGAGATGTGGAGGCTGTGTCCAGGACAACCACTGCAACGAACCAGTACGGACCCTGTAAGACCCTCGAGATCAGGGCCACAGACCCTTTATTTTACGGTATCCCGGAGTTCCGCAGTAATACCACTAAAAATAACCCATCATGACAACCATTGACTTTTGGATGCCAGGCCAACTTCGGAAGAGACACCCGGACGGATGCAGCCAAACGTGGAGGGCGGATTCATCAGTAAGACATGCTTGGAAAATCGAATGGAATTTAATTGTCCGCTTCGTGGACCAGAGCTGAGGAGACATTCTCTTTTCATTCTGGCATGTGACGGTTCCGGCAGGATTCTGAGACAACCACCTATCGCTTCTAGAAGCTTGACTTCGCCCCTTGAATCAACACGAACATCTAACCTAACTATACAAAAGGAGGCTGACAATGTCTCAAAGTTCGGCATTCTGCTTTCACATGATCTACTGCTGTCTCAGTCAAATTCATCTGGGCAGCTCATTGCAACAGCTTCTTCTATTATTAAGATTGGTTCGTCTCAAGAGATCTTAAAATAAAAGTCGTCAAGAATGAGGCCGCTGAGAGCCAGGTAAAGTCAGTGCTGTATAGTCAAGGTAAAAGTAAAAAAAAAAAAAAAAAAAAAAAAAAAAAAAAAAAAAAAAAAAAAAAAAAAAAAAAAAAAGATAGCACTATCTGGCGGCGCCAAGTCAACTCGTTGCGATCAGGCAGTCAGTAGCTACACAAAGTGCCAGCAAGAAGGGAATCTTAGTCAATACCTCGGCTGCCCTGTGCCCGCAAGGTATATAGTAACCCATCGTCCACGAATACAAGGAAACCTAACAACAGCTACAACAAGGACCTCCTCTTAAACATGGCAAGAATCTCAAATCATAGTCATAACTCATAAGTGGTGTCAATATCCCTTTTAGGTCTCGTTCTCCGTTGCCCAACCCCAGATCGGGTAATCATCACAAATCATCATATAAATCGTCAAAAAACGTCACAAAATCCGTCCAGTACCCGAATACCCGGACACCGAGAACAGAGTTCTGGCTTCAGTTACTCATCACGTTTGCAGCTGCGCGGCATTCTCCTGCCGTGTCTATTTATCATACATACCGACCATCGTGACTGAGTTTCTTGGGCAAGTAAGATGGGGAAGAGAAGCGAAGGGAAGAGTTATCGTAATGTAGACGCGATGATAAAGAAGAGAGCACAAGAAACAGCTCGAAAAGGTTGTCGACGGGCGGTCGTAAATTAGGGCTCGACTTCCTCCGCTTCATGCTGTGATGCAGAAACAGCCACTGTGACTCCAGCTTCACGAGTCGCGGAAGCTGTTCGTTTTATATGCTCAAGGAACTTGCGCTTCCCTGCGCGGGTCTCAAAATGAGGAGGGATTGACGCTGGATCCTGGCCAGCGGCTAGCATGGTGCTGCGCATCTTGTTCCGGTATGCATCGACTATTCAACACGTCATTAGTTACTGTATGGATTACAATGTCCTCGGCATGGGATAAGTGACGGCGCGCAGGCTAAGCGAAGACTTGCATGTCGATTGTAGAGCGCGGGGCTTATGCAAAGCAGGGAAAGGAAAGGTTCACTCACGAGAGCGTTGCAAGAAGAGCATTCGGCCGGCGAAGACTCTACTTTGACTCCAGCTCATTCGGTAACCCAAATCATTCAACAGTACCTCCTTTCTGTGCCGACGCCTAGAGACTTTAGGAACGGCTATTTCGCTGTCGTCATCAGCTTGCGGCGCGGGAACCATTATCCTCCCCACCGTTGCGGCTTCATCGTCCTCGTCGCCGTCATTGGTCTCAATATCATCCTTGATGTACCTGTTTCCGGGGAGCGGTGGACCCCGGGGGCTCTTCATTTGCACCGGGAAGTAGGTGCGGGGATACACCGAGTTAGACATGCGGTACGAATCGGGGATCTCATTCATGTCGACCTGGTCCAGCATCACCTTGACACGAACGCGACATCCTCTCTGCGTATCATCGACCAGGATGAACTTGCGACGCTTGCCTTCCGGTAGTGTACCAAAGAGATCATCCTTGCTGGGATCATGCTCGTCATCATCCTCCACCTCTTCCACGCGGTTCGAAGTTGCAACAGCGGGGTGTCGTCCGAACGAAGCGATTCCGCTATCCCGGATAAGAGGCGGAATAGAAGGGCCTCGGTGACCGACGGTATCTGCAGGAAGGGGGAACGCGGGATAGCCACGGAAAACCTGTGCTGTGCGAATGTCCGTAGAATGTCCAGCAGGGATTGGCGCGGGTGGGAGTGGGCGGTTGTTACCACTCGCGTACTCTGCAGGCCCTATATTATACAAAGAAGGCAATAATTCAGAATTAGCCTACACGGAACTGCATGGGGCGCGTCATGATAGAGGACGTGCAAGGGAGGTATGCATCCATAATAACATAGCGAACAGCAAGTCAGGGGAACGGAGGTAGAAGACCACGTCAACAGCAAGTCAAAAAAAGAAAACTTTAAAAAAGAAGGGAAACGAAACGTGAAACTTCGAAGCCAGGAGTAAAAGTACATGTCCGAACTCCGTCCTCTGAAGATCGCAGGAATAATACATTCACATGGGTATTGCAGGACCAATAGAAAGGTCAGGAAAAGGGCAAATAAGAAAGAAAAAGAAGACAAGCTCATAAAACATAGCCAGCGTAAGTTGTTCATGCTGGGTCAACAAAATGTGCATGTTATAGATGACGGAACATACCGCTAACTTCCTCGTGTGCCGGACTTCCGTCAGGTTGGGCATGGTGATGATGGAGCTGCGGTGGTCCCATAGCTGCTAACGGGCCAAGGCCGGGTCGTGATCCGGTTGGATTAAGGCCAGACGGCGAGATTCCAGGGGCCACCGGAGTGGTAGGAGCCATATGAGGAGGTGGTGGAGCTGGAATGCCCTGTCGTCTATTAATCTTGGCCATTCGCCTTACGCGCCGGCTTCGAAGTCGTGGATCCTGATTGCTATTTCTCCAGCTGTCGACAGCTCGTTGGATTAGACCCCGCTTCCCTCGCAATGCAGGGTTGAGATCCGCCAGTGCCCAGCCAACAGCATTGCACTCTGTTTCATAGACCAGACGATTCCCTCTATACTGATCCTTGCTGCAACAAGCTCGGGGATATACGCAGTTTTCCGTTTTGAATTCCTGGCTCAGGTTATCCACATTGACAGACTCAACATCGCACCGAATTGTGTACTCCATCTTCACGCGATCACGAGAATACTCAAAGGCAATCCACTGAACTCCGTTACTGTCTTGTCGCACAACCAGTGGAGTTGTCGCTGGGATAGGACCGGGGGCCGCGCTTGAACTTGCCCCAAGACTAGGACTTTGATGGCTAGTGTTGTTCGCTGAAAGAGGTGCGGCAGAGTGTGGTGGGTTCAAGAGTGCCCTCTGGGGAGGGGTAGGTTGTTGTACTGTGGCGCTTGTTGGACTGGTGAGAGTAGTAGGCGGAGGTTGAGAAGACTGGTGGGGTAACTGAGAGGTGCTGGTCTGATGCGGCATCATCATCGACTGGGATGTGAGAGGGTGTTGCTGAGAGGAAGGGTGAGATCCATAGGGTGAAGGCTGAACGGGGTTAATGGCAGACAGAGCCTGTTGATAGCCATATATTGTGGATGTCATTTGGGGTGACTGTGTATACAAGCTTCTATTATGCTGTTCATGGGTTTGAGAAGCCACTGATGCAGGTGAGCTTGATTGCGGGGTATGGTAGATTGGGGGGTAGGGTCGATGCATTTGCGTTGTCGCCATGATTTCTTGAGGACCTAGAGCATGATTAGACGCAAAGTTGCAGAGCCCAAAAGTAACCGCCTATGGATGTGGATGGAAGTTTTAGGGCATCGGGATGAAGCAACCAATCTAGTATAAGGATTTGTTGCCCCGTAAGACAAATGCACTCACCGCTTGATGGATATTGGCCAGGCGTGCTCGCCGTAGTGTAAGCTGGATGAGGTGTATAATAGGTTTGCTCTTGGGCTTGTGGGCCGTATGGATGTTGGTGATGATGCAGGACCCCGTTGCCTAATGGATGGGGACCATATGATCCAGGAGAGAGATTCGTGGTAGGTTGGTGTGGCGACTCGGGTTGCTTTGGTTTTTGCGCAAGGCTTGCTGGGCCAGGATGCTGTAGATGCGGGTGCTGAGGGCCTTGGTGTCCAGAGATAGAGTGTTGTCGCAACTGAAATTGAGGATACAAGTCAGCTTCGTTTCATGTGTTAATCTAGTAGTCAAATCTGCATGGCGGGAAAAATGCATAATCCACTGCAGCCACATGATAGTGAATGGAAGCGAATCCCTCGGAACAAAATGATGGGCGGCGGGCAGATGTGGAGGGTGCAATAGGAATTCCAGGACAGTCCTCTAGCCATTTTTCTTTTCCTGGTCGAATATATCCAAGGCACCCTCGGATTGGAGAGCGATGAGAACTCGGAAGGGACAAGCTGGCTGGGCTTCACATCTCCTAGGACAAGAGCTTCCCTAGTGCCCACGACCGCAGTTCTTGTAGGGAAAGAATCAGTCACACCAGGTGTGACCAAAGCGAGACAACCTCCCACTGTAACAATGACAGCCCCAGATAATGTTCTGTGGCCTCCTAGGTCGCACACATCCTGTTTCGGGAAAACATTCAAGTGCAAAATCTGCGGATCGCGTTCCCTGTTGGCTAGAAACTCGCACAAGACGCTCTTTGAGAATCCGACAAGTATCGACCCAAATGGATAGGGTCTTGCAAAGTCCCTAGATGTGGAGAACGGGTACTTGGAGCCTCAATTTGAATGGAGACTGATGCATCAGCACGTCGAGGGTCTAGTCGATCGCACCGGAAGGTCAAAGAACACATGGAGCATCACCGCATGTTTGTCGTATCGCATCAAATTCGCGCCCGAAGATGGTCGTTGTTGGCGCTTATATACGTCCCAGGAGCAGAAAGCTCTGTTGGCCGTCTAGGTTCTCCTGGTACCCATCCATATGCAGCGAACCAGGATGTCCTTGGATGGAGTCGAAAAAGAGAAAGACATGGCTAAGGAACAAGAGAAAACAAAACCTTACAGGGTTGTCAACAGGCTCGTCCTTGTATCTTGTTGTGGCTGGATGAGCAAGGTCATTCGGGACAATGCCAGTCATGACTGACCTCCGGGGTCTGGTCTCGAGAAACACTCGTTGATTAAAAGTCGGCTCCGCGTCTCATCTCAAGGACTCTGTGATCTGGCAAGCTTTAGAAAAAGTTGGGGGCAATTGTGTTGGTCAATGAGCACGGTGGTTCTGGGAAGGAAGGTCACAGCAAAGACAAAGTTGGAGGAAGAGAAGCTTTGGGGCGGTAGAGAGCAACGGTAGTGGTCCGGCGAGCTGTGGCCCTGGACTGGGGGAGGGGAACTGGAAGATGGATGGACCTTGTTAAACGGTGCGCTGCGAGTGTGTGGAGGGTCCAGGGTCGTTATTTAGCTGCGCTGGAGACCCGTTTCGGAGCAGGCACTCGCTGAAGGCCCAGGCGACTAGCCCACATCAGGAATAGGGAGAACGAGTGCACAGAGAGAAAGTCGAGAGCATGAGGGAAATAAAATTCCAAAAAAATAAATAAAGAAAGTAATAGTCAAAATGCACTAAAGAGGGAAATAATGGCACTGCAATGAAGGGCAGGACAAAGTCCAGAAGGGATACACTGAGTGGTGGGGATATCAAGATGAGCTTGTTACTAGCGGGAAGGTGGTGTAATATTGACCAGGATAAATGCAGGACGCAGGAGAAAAGGCGCGAATGTGACAGCAAAAAGGATGAGACGAAGACAAGAATCGACTCGACCCCGGTCAAAGCTCAGCTGGCTAGAGCCGGTAGCAGATTAGATGGCCAGGGTTATGGATGATTTGCAGCATGCATTGACAGTGCGTAAAAAAAAATAACACGAGAAATGCTGAAGAAACTGAAGAATCATGGACCAACCTGAAAAGCGAGTAGGGGAATTTTGCTCGGAGATAATGTCACAATGCAGACAGTGACAGTTGAGCCAGAACACACTGCAGGCGCGCGTGCAGCAATGACGCTGGGGATCTGATTGATAATGAATGTGGAGGAAGCTCGATCGATGGAATGGAGACTCGGGTCAATTCAAGAGGGATAACCCACGAATACGACGATAATTTGGAGAAGGGGAAAGAAGAAGTCCAAGCTGGATGTCAAAATCAAAAACAGTCAAGACAAAGAACCGGAGCCGCGAGTGATCTTAAGTGAGAGTGAGAAAGCTGGGGTACTTCTTAGTAAGTGGGCTGTCTTGCATTGACGTGAGAGCGTGGGTTGAAGAGATATCAGAGTACAGGGTCGTGACGGACGGGCAGTTAAAAGGCGACTCGCTCGATGGATAGAGTACTGAAGGAATCAACAACTTCATGCGAAGTGGACTGGATGTACTGTCGGCAGTCAAGTCGAGTATGGTGCTGATATCATCAACATTGCTGCTTCTTCGAATCAGAGGCGCTCGCCAAATAATTTGAATAATAATACAGGATAATATGCGCTGTGTCAGAGAGGATGCAGCTAGGTAACTAACTCCTACTGAGAGCTCCGTCCGCCTCGGATAGCAGGTGCGCCTAAGAGAGACTCAGTGGCCATAAGAGAAACCAAGAGTCTGTGGCAGATGTGGTTGGTCAGTCTCAGGATGTTGTTGTGTGCAAGCTGCCCAGGTGCTTGCTTGTCTGCGTTCTTCAGATTGGACGCTTTTGTCACTGAATCTTTGAGGCTGTTGCGAAACCCAGTGTCTGGCTGATTATTGTCATCGTATGAACAAAAATCCCCCCATTGGCATCGCCAGGTTTACGGATCCACCCACATTCGCTTTAGGTTCTGGAAAGAAAGAGGGGATGGGGGATGGCGTGGACGGTCTGGAAGAATGAAGATTGGCGCCGGGAGGATTAGGCACTCACTCCAGAGTCGACGCTAAATGTCTGTGTGGATAGTCCTGGATTTTTCCTTTTTCAACCATAGCTCGTGTTTATCTTTGCATCGGCGAAAAGGGCCTTTCTAGGGTTGGATCTGGCAGCAGGTACCGTCCACTAGTTTGTTTCACACACACGAGCTCAAGCAGGAAGCGACGGCCCTGGTCGCCGAGGATGGGCCGTCGCCCAAAGGAAGAATAAGAGCGAGCCGAAACACTGTTGTTGATCAGCAACAAGAATGATCTCCTTCACTAAAAAGCCAGGCCAATGAGACAGACTGGTCTGCCCGCCACTGCTGACTGCAAGCGACACTTCTCTGAAGCATGGTGCGTAGAGGGAGGCTGTTTCTCGGTGAGAAGAGCGATTCACCTGTCCATGTGTTGGTGGTCGTAATATTTCCTGTAACTGGTGTGTTACCAAATGGCTCGCGCGATCTGTTTCCTTTGATTTTCATTTTTCCCCCTCCTGCTTCACCTCGAGATGCTCTTTTGTCTTTGCTCCGTTGTTAGCGCAAAGTCAAATATAATAAGACTCAGCTCGAGACTAACGAGACTGACCTCGATCTTGTTACATTCCGGTAAGAGGGACAACCACCAGACGATCTGACTTGCTGCCGTCAGCCTTGTTCCCACCTGCTGGGCAGACGCCGACCCCACTCCTCCCGAAGCCCCCATCGAATCAGTGGAAGCAATCAGACGGTCAAAAAACTCGCCCCATCGAGTTCCAGGTCCCTCGGAGCAACAATTGGTGAAAATGAGATGGTCACGCTTATCCCTCCTTGGCCGCATCTTGAATCAACTCGAAACACTCTAACGGCTGTCGACGAGAGTGTTCATCGTTCTTCTGGAAGCGAAAGAAACAACAAGAAGAAGCTCGGACTGAGGGAAGTAGAGAGAAAGGACAGAGATGGACGAGGGAAAAAAGCGAAGGCTCTCCGAACGGAACATTCGCGGTGTAACCCTGGACTGTTATCACAAAATGACGGTCTCAGCCCCATCTGCTGCTTCCCGATATAGAGCCCTTCGATGCGCCTTCCTTCCTCGTGCACCGTCATCATCAATTGCCTGCCCACCAACACAAGACACTCGAGTTGGGTCGTTGAGTACGGAGTATCCAGTTTCAACCATGGCTCGGGCAGTTCGGTACCACGAATGGGCTGACGGCCGGGCCTTTACTTTCCGTGTCAGCAGGAGACAGCCTGTCAGAAGTCATCGTCGGCCCCACGGAATCTTCCTCTCAATCAGGGCTCAAGAAGCCAAGGCCTAATTTTTAGCGCCTCTTGGCAACCGAGACTCGAATCTCGAAAAGCAAAAATGGTTGTTTTCTGGTCGAGGCTTCAGCCTTCGAGCCAGACTGCCACCTGCTTCCAAGACACAACAATAATGGCGGGCTAGCGATAAGATTCCCCCAGCCACACTGCAACTGATGCAGACCGCGATCTGAAGGTGTCCGCGTGCATTCGTCCATGTGAAACGGGATTTGGTTTTCTGAGTGTATATTCGAGGCATCCCGTGTCCAGTTAAGAGCCCGCGTTAGTGGTGAAGAGCCTCGATCTCTGAAAGCCAAGGGTTTACATTACCACCCACCTCAGTCATTAGTTATTGACAGGCACGCTTGTACAACCTGAAGCTGCGTTGAGCTCTCAGAGTTACAGATATTGCTAAGCTCTGGTTGGATGTTCTCGGTCATCATCAAGCGAAGAGGGGTTGAGGTAACCTCACCCCATCGTCAGTTCTTCACACAGGTGTACCCTATCTCCGGCTCGACTGGCAAGCTTTCGACCCTTCAACGGCTGCGAGGTAGAATGCCTCTTGTCCATGATTGCCCGTCAGCCGCTATGCTGTAGTATTGATTTTCGGTGAAGACTTGCAGCCACTCCTCCGACTGATTCAGCGTGAATTCGAATGGAGACCTGAAAGCTCTTCCAGAAAAGGCTAGCGGAGGCGTCGTCATCAAAATTCGAGCCTTTGACATCAGTCCCTCGATTTTCAGCTAGCTGTTTCTGGCGCCTGGCGAGGAAGCCTTCCAGACTTGGGGCTTTGAGCTGGGTCACAAGTGAGTCTGTGAGCAATCTGGCCTCCAGTCCTCCATCCAACTTCTGTTATGATCTGATGCAGGGAGCGTGGCGTTCCGCACCCCCGGCCGCTTGCCGGAGGCCGCCCATGGAGGGAATTGTTTCCATTTCAGTTCCTCGATGGCAGTGTGCTCGAGATTCTGTACGGAGTATTCTGCGAGGAGTTATCGGACACTCTTAAAAGATTGTCAACAATATCGCTGCGCGATCAGAGATTAACAGCTCTCTATACACCAGTTTGAGCATGACCAGTCAAACATCCCCGACGCTTGGCCAGTTTACTCAAGTCTTGTTGATGCTCTCCATCTCATTCAACTTTCACGCGGAGATAATCTGCCCGTGGGCTCAAAACGGTGAATGGGGGACAAGCCACAGAAACTCGTCAGAACAAGGATGATACCTGTAGAGCCAACCGCCCACACAATTGACAGTTCGGTAGCCTCTGTCAAGAACGCTCTGATTTGACCAAATGCTGCCACATGAACTTGCAGAAACTCTCCTCTCCAATCGCTTCGAGTCACGACACTCGACTAGGAGAATTTCCAATCTCATGGTACTCCGTACACTTCCTGTATGCATCTGCATCCCTGCTCTGACTCTGAGAGCTCTGTGTTTCGCTCCTGTACATCAGCCACCGCTAAAAGAACGGCGGGGAGGCTACGCTTTGGATCCGAGGCCTAAGTCCACCACGGCACCACCCCTGGGCAGATCATCCACAAATCCTCATATTTGAACAAGGTGACAACGGCACCTGTCCGCGAAACGGAAGGAAACGGAGAATCAGTCCTGAAGCCACCCAGCTCACCAGGGCAAAAGCCGACTAGTTTCTCGTCTCAAGAGGGAAAGGAAGGAGAATGTTTCGGCCTTCGTACCTCCGACACCTGTGCGAACTTCCCATGGCTTTTCGAGCCTTCGTACTTTTTAACTTTTCTCTACTGACACTAACGTGTTTCAGGAGAGATCAGCGGCTGGGGGTGTCATGCACATCAATTGCGAAGTTGCCGAGACCCGTTCACGAAGCAATCGTCTGAGACCCAAACCTGTCCACTCTGTGCACTGAAATCAAATCCTCGAAGCAACGATCTGGCTCCCGAGTCCCAAAGCGTTGCGCTGGGTCAATATGG